GATTTACTTAGAGCTATAGTAACATAAAATATAGTAATAGGTGTAGTATTTGCTTAGTAAGCTAGTCCCTCTATTCTACTAAATATAGACTACTAAGTATAAGGTATAGTTACCTTAAAGCTATATTCCTTAAAATTCCTTTAGCTAATGTAATATGTTCTTTAGTAAGGTTAAATTTTTATTATATAAAATAAAAGTATAAGTATAAAAAAAGTTAAAGGTATAAAGGAAAGTAAAAGTATAAAAGTTATTTTTTCTACTAAGCTAAGCTTATAACTAGTAAAAATAATAAAAGGTTATTTATAAATAGTTATAAAAAAAAGTAAAAAAAAATAAAAGTAAACAAAAAAAGTATATATATATATTAACCGTTAAGGTATTATTTTTCCTTATTATTATTATAAAACTATCTAAGTAAAGGAAATATTTTTTAGTTATATAGAAAGTCCCTTAGATATATATAGTATCTAAGTATATATCTAAGTATATATCTAAGCGCTAAGAGGTACTTATAGTTTTTTATATATATATATATATGCCTATATATACCTATAAATAAGCATAAGCACTAATATATATAATACTTAGAAGTATATGCGTTTATATATAGTAGACTATATTAGTTTATAGTAGTTTATATTAGTATAGTTATATATAGTAATATATACTTTTATAAGTTATTTTTCAAAAAGAATCTAGAAAAAATAACTATATATTTATAAGACTTTTAGTTATAAAGTTATAAAGAGATTTATATATAAGAATTATAAGAATTTTACTTCTTAATTCTTAGTTCTATAATTATAAAACTAGGCTTTAAAGAATCCCCTTATAATAAAGGTATCTTTATAGCTAATAATAATAATATAAGAGCTATAATAGCCTATCACGTAAACAATATAATAATAATAGCTCCTACAAATAAAGATATAGAATATTTCTATAATAATATAAATAAAGATTTATAGATATAAGACTTAGGAATTCTATATACGTTTTTAGGGAATAAAATATATATAGATAAAGTAAATAAGATCTTATATATCTATTAAACTAAATATATAAATAAAATACTAAAAAAATATAATAAAAAGGATACTTATCCTTATAATACGCCTATAAATCCTACTATTAAGCTTAAGAAAAATACAGGGTAAGCAACAAAAGAAGAAATAACTTAATATCAACAAGAGATAGGATCTCTACTCTTCTTAAGTCTTAAGACTAGGCCAGATATAACATATCCAGTTAATATATATACTCGTTATATAAGTAACCTATCTAAAGAGCATTTTATTATACTTAATAGAATATAAGGATATATAAATAAATATCTTAATCTAGGATTAATATATAACTATAATATTAATTTATAGTTAATTATATTTTTAGACTTTAATTAAGCTAAAAACTTAGACAATAAAATATTTATTACTAAATATATAAGTACCCTAAGGTACTATAATATAATAAGCTAAAATAGTATAAAACAAAAGACTATTACTTTATCTACTTATAAAGCTAAATATATAGCTTTATATAAAGCTATAAAGGAATCTATATACCTATATAACTCTTTTTTTTATATATATAATAACTTAGGGTTAAATATAACGTTAAATAAGCCTATTATTTTAATAAATAATAAGGCAACACAACATATAACAGAAAACCCAGAGCTTTATAAGAAATCTAAACATATAAATATAAAATATCACTTTTCTAAACAAGCTATCTATAATAATCAAGTCTCTTTATACTATATCTATACAAAAAATAATATAGTAAATATATTTACTAAATCTATTAATAAAAAAGTATTTAAATACTTTATAAAGACTATAAATCTTAATAAAAAAGGGTTTTTACCTAAAGAAACTATAAATAATAAAGAAATACTTTCTAAAAAGAAAATAATATAGCTTAAATACTAAGGTTTCCCCTTTATAAATTTTTTTTTTTTCTTTAAAGGTTTTTAACTATAACTATAACTATAACTATTTTTCTTAAAATTTTCCTTATATAAGGTTTTTATAAGTTTTTATATAAAATAAGTTATATCTATAACTTAAATATAACTTAAAAAAAAAACTAAGAATTAAGAAATAAAATTCTTATAATTCTTATATATAAATCTCTTTATAACTTTATAACTAAAAGTCCTATAAATATATAGTTATTTTTTCTAGATTCTTCTTAAAAAATAACCTATAAGAGTATATATTACTATATATAACTATACTAATACAAACTACTACAAACTAATATAGTCTACTATATATAAACGTATATACTTCTAAGCATTATATATACCAGCGCTTATACTTATCTATAGGTATATATAGGCATATATATATATATATAAAAAACTATAAGTATCTCTTAGCGCTTAGATATACGCTTAGATATATACTTAGATACTATATATATCTAAGGGACTTTCTATATAACTAAGAGATATCCCCTCTACTTAGACAGTTTTATAATAACAATAAGAAAAAACGATACCTTAACGGTTAATATATATATATACCTTTTCTGTCTACCTTTATTCTTCTCTACTTTTTCTTATAACTATTTATAAATAACCTTTTGTTATTCTTACTGTAAGTATAGCCTTATTAAAGTAATTATTATATAGTAAAAAATATATAAGGTAGGATAGTATATTAGCTTTACTTTACTATATCCTTTTTATTAACTAGGCTAATATAATATTGTCTTTAATAAGCTAAATATTTGATTTTTTAAACCCTTTTATAATATTTATAGCTATAAAAGTAGTATTAGTTATATTAGTAAAGGTAATAATAAAGTTGTTTTTTATAAATATAAAGTTGTTATCTTATATATGGTTATGAAGTACCTTTTGTTAAATACTTTTAAATAGCTAGAAGACCTTAATATTTATTAGCTAAAAGAAGTATATTATATAAAGTAAAAAAAAACCTAAAATAATATTAAAGTTAATGTAATACTTTATAAGCTTTATATTAGTATAGCTAATAAACTTATTTAATAAAAGTAGATAATATAGTTATTTTAATTTCTTAATAGTATCCTAATAGTTATAGTATTATTAATATATTCTATTTAGCTTTTTATTAAGTAGATATAAGTTATAGTTATAATAGCTATATATATTAATACTAAAATAGTCCTTAAGTAAATAGCTTATATAATAATACTTTATTAACCTTATATATAACTTAGTATTAAAGTACTATATATAGTCTATTATAACTTTTTAGTTTAAAAAGCTAATTAATAAATATATAAAGTAAACGTTTTCTTAAACTTAATAATTTACTTAAATAATAACTAGCTATATTTTAAAAATTAAATATCTTAGTATACTATTACTAATAGTATTATTATATCTAATAAGTATATATAACTTTTAATTTATAGGATTAATAACCTCTAATAAACAATTATATTTTAGTAACTATTAAAATAGTATTATATATATTTAGCTACTAAAACAACTAATCTAGTACCTAGACTCATTAGCGTTCTAGATATTAAAAAAGCTAAGGTTATATTCCTATATAATTGCCTAGTACTAAGCAAAAAAGTCCTTTATTAAGGCTAGATCTAGCTCTACTCTCTTCTAGTATAGCTTAACCGGCTTAATAGTAGACTTCTTTTAAAGCTCTAGGTAGTTAGTAAGCTAAGTGTAGACAAAGTGCTCTAAGACGAGGCAAATACCCTAGAGGTCACAGAGGTAGTTAGCTATTTCCTTGACTTATATTAGCAAGGCCAGGAAGCTAGCTTTGGCAAGCTATATGACGAAGGCCGCAAGAGCTGCGTCTTTGGCGTCCATTAACGCCCAGGGCCGGCCAAGGGCAGCCAGTAAGCTTGCCCAGAGGTTACGGCCAGCCTGAAGGGCCTGGAGATGCCGGTGAATAGACGTATTAGATACGCTATACTGCTAGGCAACCTCGCGGATAGATATAGCAGATATCTGCTTGCCAGCCCAATCAAAGTGGCCAGCCCGTTGCTGGGCAGCAAATACCACTTCGGCGGCCTTTTTGGCAGTAGTTATATTCTTGTTATATTAGTGGGGCATATTGACTGTGTTAGATAAGGATAGTTAGTTTAAATAGTGTTGATATTTGTTGATGAAATGTCTGAATAATTGATTGTTTTGGTGAGAATATAATAACAAAAGTCAGGACAAAGTGGGGACAGGCTGTAACCCCCCTTTTCCTGCTGCAACCCCCCTTTTTTCGCCCCCTCCGTGAGGAGGGGGTGTTTAGCTCTGCGCGGCGCTGACTAACACCCCCGGGTAGTTCTCGAAGTTAAAATATGAATCAGTTCGCTATTGCTTTGACGTTATTCATGCAGAGACCATATGGAGTAGCGAAATCTCGGCAATGCTCCACTTGTCTGACCGGACGCGCCAGTTTCCGAGCTTCATTAGAATTGCACTATGTAACCCAGTGCTGCTTTGCGTTCAGTAGCAAATGTAACTCTGGAGCCAAGGAGAAGTCTTCATTGAAGATGCGCATTTTGAGTTTTCAAGAGAGATGTACTGGAAAACGCTAACCATGGTATCGTTAAGTTGTGATGGGAAACCAGCCGCACAAATCGGGTTCATCTGCCATTTGTTAGCTTAACAACACCATTAAATGGAGTCCTGAAACTAGCGAAAATTTATGCACTTCAAAGTTAAAGTCTTAGTTCCTCTTTCTTTGAACGATGTGATAGTCACAAACAGTACGCAGCGATATCTACTTCTTTTGACACACCATTTCATCAATCGAACGCTGCCAAGTCTCTTGCTGAGCGAAACGCCCTGCAAGAATGAGAGTTAAATTAATGATATCATAAAGAGTGACTGGAAGGCTACCCCTGTATTCACGTGGAGAAGACGCAGGTCAGTGATTTTGAAGGTGAGAGATGCTTTGAGAAGCGGTCAATTTATTTACGGAAATATTTTAGAAAATATGACTACACAAGAAACGAAGTGACCTTGGAGCAGAATTCTTCGCCGGTTAATGCCTGCGAGAAGTTCCCAGAAGTCTCAAGGACCTGCTACGCATGTGCCTTCTTGCGTGAGCAACAGCTGGAGCAGTAGTGGAGTTGGTGATAGGGCACGAACTGTACATGACACCCCGGCCATTGGTTCCCACGTAGACAACATTAGCCTCGTTTGCAGAACCAGTAAGCGCAGCGCCATCGAGTGCACCAAAGCTCTGGTCACTCTGAAGGTCAACCCAGGTAGCACCAAGATCAGGGCTACCGTAAAGTTTCTTGCCATCAGCACCCTCACCGAAAACGTACAAGTTCCAACCAGTACCATCGCCCTTGCCGACAGAGATGGCATGAGAGTTAGTAGGACTTGATATGGGCGTCAAAGTTTTTGCGAAGTCCGTGCTGTGAAAGATTCCGGAATCGGTCGAGACAAAGACTTCGCCAGTCGTGGTTGGGTGCGCAGCGATATGACGGATATCCGTGACGTTAGCGAGTTGAGACCCTGTAAAGGTAACGGCGCCGTCGGTTGAGACGTAAAAGGTCCCTTTGGAAGCGGCATAGAAGACGGTGTTATTTCTTTTGTCGCTGGCGATGACGCTGCTTGCAGGGAGAGTCACGTTCTCAAGTTTACCCTCGTTACGGCTGATTTGAACGCCGGCGCTGAGAGTCGACCAGAGGATGATATCACCGTCAGCAGAGTAAGCGACAGTACCGTCGGTGGCAGTCGTTCCAGTGGAGTTCAAGACAGCCCAGGTTGCGCCGCCGTTTTTGCTGAGGGCAAGCTGGGGTGAGTCAGTAGCTTTGCCGATACGGACGATCTTGGTGACGTCGTTGCCGGCAAAATCAACAGAAACACTACTAGCCCACCAAGGGCTTGTCCAGGCCGTCTGAGGAGCCTTCTCGAGGTCAGCAATTGTGGTGTAGGTGAAGCCGTTATTGTCAAGAGTTGCCATCAAAAGTTCGGGGCCATTGGGAACACTGGCAAGGCTGGAGATGGCCATCTCCTCGATACCGGAGGCAAGGCTCTCAATGGTGATGGTCTTATTATCGTCCCAGTTAGTCAGGTCGTTACCGCCGTACAAGGTTAGACCAGTGCCGTAAAACCACTTGTCGCTGTTGGTGGGGTCGATTTCGAGGGACTCGATCATCCAGCCAAGCTTCTTGGTATCGGTTTCGAGAAAATTAGTCTCAATCCAGGGTGCCTGATATCTGTAAGTCATTGCACAGCGACTGGTTGGTGTAGCCACTTACATTAGCCGCGCTGATAGTGTACTGAGGTGCAACCTTGCCGTCCGCACCGTAGCTCCAGATTCTCTTCCACGTGGCACCGGAGTCAGTCGAGCGGAAGAGGATCGCATCAGGGTACCAGCTGTTAAGGGTAGCAACCACCAGAGTACCGGGCTTTTTCATGTCCACACTGAGTCCGCCAAAGCCGTAGAAAAGATCGCTGCCAGAAGTGGGGGTGATGTCGGTCCACTTGCCCGAGGTGAGGTCATACTTCCAGATCCCGCCAAGGGTACCGTCATACGGACCAGTCCCGTCAGAGTAGGAAAAATAAATGACCTTCTCGGTGGGCTGGAGTCTGGCCTTATGAGGAAAGAATTTGGCGGGCTGGTCGGCGACAGGACCCCAGGTTGCACCAGCATCAGTACTGACGTAGACCGACGCAGTAGTGTTGTCAGCGGTTCCGACAAAGATTCTCGAAGTAGCGCCGTTGAGCACATTGGAGGTCTCGTCGAAGGTGACGAAAGTCAAGCCCTGTGGTACTTTCGTCAACGCCTGTCTCGCGAACAACAAGCATGACCTTCGTCAACATACCTGGAGGTCACCGTTGTAGGCATCACCCTCGGGTCCGGGACGAAAAGTACCAACGGCCTCGAATGAAGACACCTTGGAAAAGGTCGCGCCTGCTAGATGTCAACTACGAGAGCAGAATTTCGCAAGGATTTGACTGTGTTTACCAGAATCTGTGCTTTTCCATAGACCGTTGCCACTGCGGGCACCAAAGTAGATAATTTCGGGATTTTTTGGGTCAACTGCAAGACGCTCGCCAGTTCCGCGGCCAGGCATATTACCGCCGACCTTGAAAGGAAGAGTGGTGACTTCCCAAGACTCGCCCTTGTCAGAACTACGTGCAATAGTGCCGTTCTTGGGGTCCCTGTCATGCACGGTCAACCAAGGTGAGAGAACCAGACTTTGTATGAAAACATACCAGCCATTCGTGTACATTCCTGTTGCGATGTACACTTTGTTTGGGTCCGCGGGGTCGAGGGCCAGAGCGTCGACGCCCCATCTGTTCCAGTCGGCGTTGTTGGCAAAGCCGTTGGCGTCAGTTACGGGTGTCCAAGAATCGTCGGAGTTCAAGCGGTAGAGACCACCAATATCGGTGCGGGCGAATGCCACGCCTTTCTCTGTTGGGTGGAAGACGATAGACGGGACAAAGCCGCCACCTCCTCCGGTGTGGACATTCTTCCAGGTGCACGCGGCGCGGACGCACGCCGCGGCAGCCAACAGAAAGCTGACGCTCTTCATGATGCCAATTGGCTGCTGCAATTTGGGCCAGGGTACTCCAAACCTCAAAGGAATGATGAACTGAGGTTGGACCAGCCGGTCGAAGTGAATGTCGAGTCCAAAGAAATGAATGTTGAGTGGAGCGAATGTGATTGGATAAAAAGAGGCTAAACTAAAACTATGGGATACGATCAAGTCAAACTGAGGGACCATCTACTATTTACATGCACATGGCTTTCATGTTGGCTCGGGCTACATGTCCAAATTTCTACTAAACGGGAGTCGAGTCTGTGTACTGAAAAGGGACACACGTCTATGTACGCCATTGCACTGCCAATTGTAAAGCTTCTCGAATAGATTAAAGTCGTCCCCATGAAAAGTTTAATCCAAAGAGCGATCATTACCAGGAGTATTCCCGGAGCCGAGGCGATTGACAAGGGCCTCCCGATTCACCCACCAATTGGAAGACGGCAGTCATGGCCTGGGTGACCCGTTAGTACCATGTAATCTACGGGTAACTTGCGCAGAACGATCAAAATGAGGTGAAGCGAGGCAACTTGCTTTCGGATTGCGAGGTCATGCCATTCTCGAGGTTGAATGGGTGGGAAATCTAAGCCAGTTGTGTAATGTGTTGCCATTTACTAGTGTGTCAAATTGAGTTGAAAGCGCCCTAGGCCTTTTGATTAAGGGGTAGATGGGCCGAGCATAGGTTTTCGGAAACTGGAAGTTAGCGAGCAGCATCCCTGCGAGTTGGGGGTGGACTTGCGAATGACTAAGTTTTCTCCGAGAGGGGAGCCAGACATACTTGACGGCTCAATGAGGCACTTGCTCGAATAGCAGTTTGGAATAACTATCATATGCAGTGATAAAGTAGACAACCATGGACACAAAGATGCTTCGGTGTTTTTCAGGGTTTCCCCCCAAGCCAGTCAGCATTTTGATGCTGGTTATCTGACGTCTTCCCGTGTATGGCGAAGTCTGAGACATCAAGCCATACTCAGTGGTGAGATGCATACAGGCCAGTTAGGATGAAATGGTATTTTAGCTCGTCTCATGAAATTTGGAGAGCGAAAGCGTGCTACGATGACTCAAGAAGCAAGAATTTGCGATGGTTAACTGCCATTCCAAACACTCTTGAACATAATGTTTCATTGGTTCTTGTTCTAGTTACTCGTCGTTTTTCATTCGAATTATGATTGAGAATTGCCGGCTTCACTCATGTTGAAGGCGCAATAATGGTGGAGGAAATAAGTTGACGAGTGGCTTCAAACTTTCAACGATATTATGTACATGGGATTGAAGGATGGAAGCCAGGGTGCAGGAGGTGAGATACTGGCGTGAACGAGTGCTTCAGTATGACTTGCGTTGATTGGGCCGGTCAAAGTCGTCTCAAAACATCGGATGTCCCCATCCTATCTACTCTAAGAAGTAAAAAGTCTGATGAAATTGCTATATCAAAGTGCTATTGAATGCTACCGAATGTCATGACAACGACTAGTCTTCGGCGCCAAGCAAACAAGATCTGCGACTACCGGAGCAGCCAGGTTAACCTCGGCTTACATTCCCCGCAGCCGCCACATGGAGTGGTTCACAGAAATACTATGCATCTGACATTGTCTTGTTGCCAGGATTCTTTCACGTATGCAATTCGACATGGCAGCTCATTCGAACGTGGAATCGATCGAACTCGAACTGGCGACACCTCCAGCTGCGTCTTTCCACACAGGCCCAAGGACAATCAACCAGAATGACTCGACTGAAAGACATGGAGTGCAGAATCACCATCAGCTCGAGCCCACTGACCGAGGTTTCGCGGCATGGAAGCTCCTCCTGACTGCGTTTGTTTTCGAGGCTCTGTTATGGGGTGATACACGTTCTCATTCCCAGGCTACGGGCGTCGATGGCTGATAATATGACACATTTCAGGCTTCCCGCTCTCGTTCGGTGTCTTTCAAAATTACTATTCCAAACAACCAGCCTTTGAGAGCAACCGTTACATCCCGGTCGTCGGGAGTGTCGCTTCTGGTATTAGCTATCTAGGTGCCCCGGCCGTTACGCCCCTGATCAAGCGATTCCAACGATTTCAAACGCATATGATTTGGGCTGGATGTAGGTGTTAACAGTTGTGCCGAATCTTCATGGCAAGTCACTGATGTAGCACCTAGGGCTCGTATGCATAGGAGGTGTCGTCCTCGCCTCATTCTGTACCACCGTTGAGACTCTCATCCTCACTCAGGGAGTCGCCTACGGAGTTGGATTTCTCATATTCTACTATCCAATCCTCACCATGGTCAACGAGTACTGGATCACCCGCCGCGGGATGGCTTACGGATTGTTATGCAGTTCATCGGGTGTTTCTGGGGCTGTCTTTCCCTTCGCCATCGAGGCTCTCTTAGACAGATACGGCTACCAGACGACGCTGCGTGCCATCGCTGTTGCTATATTCGTTTTGACTGGGCCGTTGATCCCATTTCTGAAAGGTCGCCTGCCGACTTCCGTCCATAGTACCTCGACCCGCATGAACTGGAGCTTCCTCCGCGATGCCCTCTTCTGGCTCTTCTCCATCTCCAATATTGCGCAAGGCTTGGGCTACTTTTTTCCGTCCCTGTGGCTCCCGTCTTATGCCGCATCCATCGGTCTGAGTGGAAGAGAAGGGGCCCTTCTCCTTGCTTTGATGAGCGTCTCGCAGGTTGCTGGCCAGCTCACCTTCGGCTGGCTGTCTGACAGAAAGGTCCCCGTCGAGGCATTGACTATCGTTTCCACGATCATTTCAGCAACATCAGCATTCGCTCTATGGGGCCTTGCTCACACCTTGCCGCTCCTCATCGTCTTTGCATTGGTATATGGCTTCTTCGCAGCTGGTTTTACGGCTATGTGGGCGAGGATGACCACGGCAGTAAGCACCGACCCCGCTGCCGTTCCCATGATATTCAGTCTCTTCAATTTCGGGAAAGGGGTAGGCAATGTTCTGGCTGGGCCGATAAGCGGAAACCTACTACATCATATCACGTCGGCGGAGAGTTATGGTTTGGTCAAGTACAAAGGGGTAGTTGTTTTTACGGGATCGTGCATGGTGTTCAGCACCGTCGCTATTGGGTTAAGATACGCAAGGCCATGTTGGCCTCGGGAGAGATAAAGTGAGGTTTTTTTTACTTCGAACAAGGCACAAGAACTGCATCGCCTCTCTCAGTAACCAATGGCAAAGGACTCGCTCCACCAAGATTAATAGTTTACAACTTGTTGAGAAGAGGGGTTTGTAGAGAGATACATTGGCTAAATGAAATGTATTTTCTGTAGATTCCATTTTGAAGTCACACAGAGTGGCACGTACAGTGTTTCTGGCCCGAATTGCAAGTGTTAGAGCAAAATTACAGGATGACTGTGTCCTTCATGGCTCTTGAAGCACTATGGTGAAAAAAGGAATTGGCAAACTCATGTGTACATCCAGCATCTGAGTCTGAACCACAGTCACGTACTCCGAAGGTCGCTAGCAGAACTTGAAGGATTGAGTTGAGTTTCGCAGTCACTAACGCAGTCTTTTTGGAATTATTTAACAATCTTACTGTCTGGATGCATCGCCAGATGCTACTGGCGCGAGCAATGGCAGATGTCATCTCGCTGACGGTGGCGACTAACATCTGTCTCGGTCGCTAGGCGGGGTGATGCTTGGCGATCAGCATCAATCCCACGCAAATATCTCTCCCCAGCACCCCATAGGAACTGCAGTCGCTCCTAGATAGCACGGCTGATTCACATTGTAATAAGATTTCCGAACAACGAATGAAAGCCGAAACTTCAGCGCCGCCATGTCGATGTCCCAACTCCCCAGTATCGACGACCAGCTCGTCACGGCCGATAACCCGCCGCGGACAGACCTTTCCGATGGCATGGACCACGCGCGATGCGCCGCCCTCCACAATTACCTCGTCGAATACTGCCGCGCGGCCGATGGCCGGCTTGACCCAGCTGCTGAGGGCAGCTGCACCACCTACTTTAGCACACACGGCGACGCGGCCGAGGCCGTCCGCCCACGGTTGCATCCCTCTGTGGCCGCGTTTCTTGCCGCAGCACGCACTCCCGATGCCCCGCTTTTCTACTTTGTTGCAGGCATGCCAGATCCAGACGGCGGCGACTTCAATGGCCTCTTCGACAACGAGACGGCCGATATTGAGGACGAGCCCAAGGACTCCATCGTGCGCTTGTACTTCTCCCACATGGACGCCTGCGGCGGCAAGTCAGGCGGCGGCATGCTCTACCACCAGGGCCGTCACCTCGCTTCCTTCTTTGTGCACCCGGACGACACGGAGCGTGCGTTTCCAGTGGATGAGCACTCGCAGAACTGGCATTTCTTCGAGACCATCCTTTCCAACTGGATAGCCCTGATCCGCCTCGGCAAAGTCGTCGCCTCTCCCACCGATGACCCGGCTCTGTACGGCAGCGTCAAGATCGGGAACTGGGAGTGGCGGCCGTACGGCGACGGCCAGATCGCGGGCTGCGTCGCCGCATGGGATCGGCTCTGCGGCGTCACAGAGGTGCGTCGTCGGCAGAGCAGCGGCGCCACAGTCGGTGATGAGGACAACCATCCCAACGAGCCCTTGCTTACCCCTGCAGCCATGAACGCAGCCGGAATCCCGGATCCTTCTTCCGTGCGGACCTTCCTGGGCCTCGCACGCCGTCCCCCACACATCCGCCAGATCGCACTGGGGCTATCCCTCCCTCCCGCACACGGGGCCACTTTCGCCGCCGCCCAGCCCTTCACCCACCTGCCCCGGCGCGTCCCCCAGTGGGACGGCACGACGCGGGAAGGGATCGTGCCGCCCGTGTATATCTTCTTCAGCGAGGAGGGCACTCCGCAAGTCGACACTTCAGGTTTGAGGTCCTCGTTCCGGTACTACTGGGAGGACGGGCACGGCAAAGTGCCAGACGGCATTACATTCCCGTCTAGCGTGCCACCAGGGGCCTATAGCGAGTGCGTCATCCGATCCGAGCCCGAGGCGACTGAGGAGGCGTTCCGGCTGCCGCTGCCGTTTAACCTGTACGGCGCGCGCCTCAGCAGTGGGGACGAGATGATGAATAGGGCAGCGGATGAGCTGTTCCAGCATGGGTTCAAGCCTTTTGGGGGAGACCCGAACCGGCCCCAGCGCCTGGAGCGGCTGCTGGACCACTGGGCAAGCCTAGTCGAACGAGGGGTCTGGTCTGTCGGGCCGCACGGGGTGCAGGGCTCGATCGAAGTATTCAAGGATTCTACGGTGGACTGGGCGAGTTATGCGATCCCGTCGAGCTGGTGACGGTGATTATCTCCTTCACGACGTGAACGGTTCTTATTTGATGGAAGCCGGAAGAATTAAGCAGTTAGGTGAGGTAAAACCTCGATAGTAGGAACAGCAGGAGATAGCTAGACTACAGGAAAGGCACATCGAGCCAACCCCCTTCATCAGCTCAGTCACGGGACACAGGCGCCACTATAACAATTAGACCCCTTGCAATAGTCGTTCCCATCGCCACAGAAGCCATGTATCGAGCAGCACGCCCCAAACTGCGTCCCCGTGCACGTCTTGTTCCCTGCGTTATTGGGCCCGCACTCATCGTTTGTAGAGGGGCCGCCTATATCGAGCTCGCAGTCGCCCGAGTAGCAGTTCCCAGGCGCGCAGTAGTCCGACCCGGACCCGCAGAAGCCGTAGATACTGCAGCAGCTGCCGAACTACGGCGTGTACACCGTCCCACCGTAGTCCGGGCCGCACGTGCCGTCTTCCCTCTCGGACCCGGATCCGCCACCACCATCACCACCATCGTTATCGTCATCATCGCTACCGCAATACTCTGGCCCACTGCCACAGAAGCCAAACGGCGAGCAGCAGTCGCCGAACGAGGTCCCCTAGTAGGTGATGCCGCGCGGGCATGTACCGTCGGCAGAGGGCCGCTTGGGCGTCACGGGGGCGACGCAGGCGTTGTAGCCGAGCCAGAGGTTGGTGCACGCTTCGTCAAGGTACGTGTTTCACTCCCACAGCCTGCCGGCGGCTAGGTTGAAGCGCTGGTTCACCGTGAAGCAATCGTCGCCGGGCGCCACGAGATAATAGGCGCCGCACTGGCTGATGGTGCCGCTCTGAGTCGGGTTGGCGGGCGTGGCGGTTTCATAGTAAGTCGGTGAGCCTGTTGCGCCAAGGGCGGTTATTGTTGCGTTGGGCTTGGGTGCCGTGCCGCCTGGCGACTTGTTCAAGAGCGAGCCTCCCGCGTCAGTATGCGTACCTGGCACATCGCATGATATCTATTAAGCCTGTCTGGTTGGGGACTTTTGGACTTGCCCTTTGCATACACGCTGCCCTGTAGCAATGCCAGAACAGCTTCCCTGGATGTTGTGGTTCCAGCTGAGGAACTGCATGGGCGTGACGTTGTACGTCGAATTGGAGTACCTTTCGGCAAGTTGATCACTGGGATGATAGTCAGCAAATTGATACACCCATCTTGGGGTGCCTAAGATATCGCGCATGTCTTTTGAAGCAAAAGAACTACCATGTTGGGCGGTCCTAGACGATGTCAAGTTCGCATGGCAGGGGCACACAAAGCGCTTGTCGAAAAAGCAGCTGTTGTCCCCCGTGACAACCCGCGCATCTCCGGTAGAAATGTTGTACCTATCCAGGATCAGTTATGAGCAAGAAGACAGTGCATTGGCTCAACCACATTTCAGGTTGTTATACTCACGTATCCGACAGGTCGTTGCAGGTGAGCCAGTTTTCCAGCGGCTGTATCGTCTGCCCCTGGCAGGTAGGCGTCGCCGTCATGGACTGGCTCGTTGGGGTTGCTCCAGTAGTAGTCGTCGAAGTCGCCTCTACCGCGTACAGCGTCGACGCCGAGGTGGTGTAGGGGAGACTGGTGGAGCACACGCGCTGGATGCCGTCAAATCGGTCGATCAGGTAGTCCGTGAAGTTGGCGTTGGGCAGCCAGGGGTTCAGAAGCCGCTTGCGGTATATCTGCAGGAAGCAATCACTGCAGTACTGCGCTGTGTGTCAGGACCTGTTTCTTTGTCGCTTTCGTGTTCCGATTGTTCCTCTTACCAGATCCTTTTCGTAGAGGTTCCTGATAGCAGACATGTCGTCGTCAACCTCGTCAACGTCAAAGCCCGGATCCGCGCACTCCGGCGCAACGGTGCTGTTGTCGTCACCGTTGCTAAAGCACATGTCTGGGTCCCAGCGGATATAGTCGCTGCCTTGCCACGTCTGCGAGTCCAGGAAGCACCACCTGGACGCTGCCTGATCTCGCGTGCACACGAGCCCGGCGTTGTAGGCGAAGGTTAAGGGGAGGCCCTGGCCTTGACGATGATGCCATTCTGGATCGTTTTCTCCCCTGCGCAAACCTTGTTGGCTCCACGCTCCCAGGCCCGAGAGACTCGGTGCAAGTAGGAGAGCAGAGTTGCGTAACGTCCGTAGGCGTCCAGTCTAGAGAGGCATGTCAGTGATGATTGCAGGGAAAGCAGGATTAGGCCCAGCTTACAATGAATATCTGCACCTTGCCCATCAAGTGCGAAAGGGTGCATGTAAGTCAAGATATGCACGGAGATCGTCACGGACCATATAGTCGGCCGACTTACAGTGCTTGCAGGCAAGTTTCGCCCAGAGCAAGCCCAGCTACCAGGGCATCCGCGTTGTAAGCCTTGTATACGGTGAAATCGGCTGAGGTACAGGCTGTCCAAACAACCAGCAGGACTGCCCAGGACAGCTTGGGGAAGGACATATTGCTTAGAGCTGGAACAACACTGCCCTTGACGCTTGGTTCACAAATCTCACTCCCGGGAAGAGAGAGGGCCTTTAATGTCAGCGTGAGGATAGTCACGCTGATGAGTGCCCGTTGAACAGATCTAAGTAGCAGTCAGGGAGAGCGGTCTCATGATACCAGACAAGATGGGGGATTTGAGATCAGTCTCAGGCGGCTGTGCGCTTAGGTGACTATAAATTGTGATATTTTGAAAGAGCTCTAGGCTCCGAGCTTGTCCCCTCAGCATGTTCCAATAGATCTTCATATCTTGCGCGATTTCTGAAGACCTAAGCTGCCAAGACGGTAACAGCGACGTATTTAAACCCTCACATTCTTACAGCCTCTTGGCCCTCTGTAGACTATGTAACCATACAAGACAACTGCAATCTATCCTATTGCTGGGCGGTTATCTTAGGTGCGGGGCTGTCTCACGCAGTTACTCACATCCTCTCGAACAGGGAGTAAATTGTATGTACTTGGCGAGCATAAGCAACGATTAAGGATCGGTCTTGGTTGGGAGACCAAGCCAATAATGTGTGATACTGATCGGCAGAGAGTGCATTTGTGTGTGTGCGTCGGGATCACTGCAATGGCGAGGCTATGCGAGGCTAGGCGAGGCAAGCTGAGGATGCCTCTGACATAGAAATTGTCTGATTGAAATAGTGATTAGCTCTCTGCTATCCTCGAGCACTTGACGAGGCCTGGTCCCATCAGCCGCTAACTACTGGGTGCTTATCAGATAAACAGTAGTCGTGCACCTGCTTCACCCTCCTCGAACCAAGTTCTAGCATCTTCGCAGACGCAGTGGCTTAACTGCCACGATGCAGGTGCTACTTCTTTTCACCTTGTTCTTTCTTCTTGCTTGGGATGGGCCTTCTCAGGCTCTAGGGCAAGGCAACAACAGTTCCCAGCCATCAAGGCCAATAAACTCGTCTGCGCTGCCTGCCGCATCCAACCGGCCGGCTCCCTTGCCGATGAAATCATCCTCAACCGTGAAGGCTCTGTACCAGGCATACTCGGGCAAGACGCCCAAGTTCAGAAACCAGCCCCTGATCCGGTTCTTGTCCGAGAACCCGGGTGCGCGGCTTGACCGCATGATTCCCAACTCCCTCTCTTTACTGGACAAAAGGCAGTCGGACGACCCCCAGAGGGCGTTTGCGCACCCGGGCAGCCCTGCAGAAACGGCGCCTGCTGCAGCAACACAGGCGTCTGCTTGTACGTCCCATCGAGCTGGAAGATTGATTATGAATGAGTCATTTGAGGTAAAACACAGAGCGGTAGAACATGAAGGAGCAAAACGATTCATGATGTTCAAAACATACTGCTGGTTTCGGCTCAACTCCCCCTTCTATATTCACCTCTGGTCATTCTATTCAACGGACTTGATCCCATCGAGTTGTGGCATCAAATTTCGAAGCAAAGTAGAGGTAGTCTAATGTTGCGCCAAAGTTGCCACCGATATATTATCAGCTTCGGTCTCCTCGCCCTTGTTGCGTTACACTGAACTCCATAGTCTTGATAATCCCCTTGAAATTGTCACAATCCGCTATAAGACGCGGGCAAATCGCTTCTTCACTACCCGGGCCTTCATTAGTCGACATTACCGTGGCTGTGGTATCTCCTATTGCGTTACTGAAGTTGTGCTCGCCAAATCCAGTGCCCGCACCCTCGACCAACTCACCAAGCTCGTACTGGTGCTCTCTTGGCTGTTCCTGATTCCGACTGCGAATCGAGTAATGTTCTAGCGTTCGAGGGCCACTACTGGTTTGCTTCGAGTGCTTCATATAAGGGCCATGTCCGAGCGTGTTGTGTGTCGAAAGATGATGGAATCTGCCGATTAATGGCCTTAGAGCCGGCGCACATGCCGCGATGATCCCTACTTGCAATTGGAGGCTGTTATATACAGAGCATCTGTTAGTATGTTCCTGATAAGAGATGGCTGGAAGAGTAGTCGCACAACCCCCAAAACTGTATACTTCGGTTGAACGTTTTGTCCGGCTCAGAATTGAAATTGATCTGGTAGTACGCTTTGACGATCCCCATTGCAACAGCGCTGCAAGAGATGGTTAGCAATTACAGTGTGCAGCTACTCAGCGACCTATTTCCAAAATATGCATGTACTCACAAGTAACCCAAGCTTAGTATGCCAATTGCGTAAAGCTTCAGCCTACGCTTCATTTGCAATTGCCAGATAATCGGTACATGTAGTGTCGACAGAACAACATCTGTAAGGATATTGAATGCTAGTAGTGAAGTCAGTATACGAAAAGGTCCTATAGCAATGTCGCGGAAGTATACATGTTTGTCATACCTGTGTTAACGATGCCAAAATTGTTGACATAATCGGGACCGCGGCACTTGGGCGGTGGCGTTGTGAATTTGTTCCAATACCCTGACATCGGTTCACAAGTAATGAACAAAGCCACCATACCCCCTATACAATAGAAAAAGGTTATTCCTATAATAATACTGTCTCAATACTTGTTCTTAATTGAAATCGATCCTCCGATTATCGCATTAAATAGTAAACTTGAACATACCAAGAGTCGTGTACAGAGCCCATTTGAACCATTTCGTTTTGCTAAGTCGCAGCAGGCTGAGAGCGATCGAGACTTTCAGCCACATGATAGCTCCGGTGGCCGAGATGACCGATTGCCAGAATGCACCATGCTGGAAGATCACATAATCTGTTGTCTTGTCGATAGTCTGAAAGTGTTTTCCAAGCCCGTGGCTGGCCTGAACGACGAAGACGGACCATCCTCCCACCGCACAAAGCTACAATTCCAGTGTGTTTAGTGTAATTGTCTCCCATTGAAATCATGTTGATAGCGAGACTCACCGCTGACAAGACCATCATGACATCGTCCAGCCCCGCCGCCCTGATTACCCAGACTCTTACGTACCCCCGTAATCCTACACTGATCAGCGCTAATGCGTGGAAAATCGTCACGATGGCGAGGATTCTCTGAGTATTGCTTTCCGATGCCCATGTGGGATCAAAACGCTGATAGGCCGTTCCGTTGGTGCTGTTCATCATTCATCGCTCTCCATCTCGTACAGATACGGTATCGCGTAGTCATGTGCGGAGAAGTCGACGCTTGAAGAAGCTGGGTGATGAGGGGCAGTGTGTTCTTTGTTTGCGGTGGATTTTCGAGACTCGGATGGTAGGCATGGTCATTTTCTGTACAGTTTGAGAACCCCGGTTATTGAGAGAAAGTTTGACGATGAGGTAACTTTGAACCCCACTAGAACAATGCTGAACAGGCATGTTGCCTTGAACGATGAGTCTTGAAAAGAACCTTTATGCTAGTCGACGATTCTTTCCAGTTTTGAGAAGGAAACATCCTGGAATACCAAGGCCTTGAACAACGCAAACTCCATACCCATTTGCCGATTTACGATTGGCCTGTTTTGGAGTACGAAGCCTGCTTAGCCGCACGACCTTCTCTAGTCAAAAACCGCGATTGTCCTTTCTCATTCATGTCGACTGCGTCTTTAAACCTCCTGATTCAACTTACATTGACCATGAGTGGTTCACGATGCGCTGATCACTAACTGGGCAGGTAGTAATCCTTGGTTTTCACCACTCACATAGATTCCGGCCTAGGACTAAGAGACCTCAGCCACAGGATACAGAAGATTTCTCCTTCGAGCATAGTTACCCCAAAAGTGTTGGTTCAGCTAGTTTTACCGTTTAGCCTGAGTCACGAATCCGTAAAGGTTAATCAGAACGATCCGTCGCTCCCATGGTGTCAGGTGTGGGTTTGGTATCCACACTCGGCGTAATCGAAACAGTTTTTTGGTAGAGGTGCGGAACAAAGTCAGTTATGAATAAGAAACCCCTGCTAGCCGCGTTCCCAAATTGAAAGTTACTGTTTAGGTGGCTCTAGCTTAAGACAGATAGACTTCCGCCCACGCGGATAAAGACGAGACACCCGAGCCAAATATTTCCAGGCAAGGCTAACATATTCTCACATTTTGCATAAACGCACCTTGAGAGATTTGTTTTGACAACTGAATAACGCAAGGATATTGACAATGGGATCTCTATATATAATGTCCATATGTTCCGGCGAGTTAAGCAAAACGAGATTTGCCGTGAGCCGTTGTGAGGTCCACAGTCTCCAACTGGTAAGCGTGATAACCCACCCACCCCACAAGAGAGCCACCCCCACATCCGAGCCATCCGAAATTGCTGCATCGTCAAGAACATCCCTTTTTTCAAACTATCGCAACAATTGCTATTTGTCGCCAAACAACGCCATCTTTTTGGGATACCTTCTCTATTACACCATGAAGCAATACACTGAGTTTGAGCTCCAACGAGCCCTTGCAGACGTAGCAGATGGCTGCCCTATCCGCCAGGCTGCTCGTAACTGGGGTATACCATACCAGACCCTTCAGCATCGGCTGCATGGCAGGCAAAGCAGAAATACTGCGTGGGTTGATTATCAGCGATTATCGCAGTCACAGGAGGCTAATCTGGCTACTTATATATCTACCCAAGCTGCCCTAGGCAGTGCCCTTACCTATCAGCAAGTGAAGGGCCTGGTAGAGCGTATGACAGGCGATACCTAGCGACCTCTGGGGAAGAGATGAATAGCTCAATTCCTACAGCGATACCTATTAATCAAGACCTAAAGATACTGATTGATCGATTCTAGGCGATATAGAGCCTATACTACAGATGCTATCCAAGAATAGTTCAGTTATCTAGATCTGCCAGCAATCAAGGGTATCTATCTATTTAACTAATAGAATATAGATAAGACTAGTATTATAAAAGGCAAAAGAAGCAATAGGATAGTACTAGGCTCTACGGCATCACAATATATCCAGAAAAAACAGCCTAGATCTAAGGCATAAATATTACTAATTAAATGTATATCTACTACTAGGACCTCTTTACTTCCCCTTATTATATATAAGGGTAAGTTAGTCTAGGCTTAGTGGTTCTTATCATCCAACTTATCTAGATATACTAGCTAGCACTTTACAGCATCAAATAATAGCTAAACAAATAACCAGACTACCTTTAAGTAGCTAAAAAAGGTCTTCATCCCAGGGACTATGCCTAGCTAGCTAAACAAAGCCAGGCTACTAATTCTAGATAGCCATTATAGCCATATAATAATAAACTTAATATAGCAATACTTCCAGTATTACATCTATCTACTGTTTTTACTACTATATTCTTCTATTATCCTTTAGCCTCTAGATATATTAGTTTTTAGCCTATTAAAATAGATATATTAAAAAAAGGTTAAAAGTCTAAATAACTAAATAAGTGACTTAACTATTACTAGCAAAAAGGTATTTCTAAACTATTATTTTAATACGTATAAAGCAATAATAATAACCTAAAATATAAAGTCTAGCTAGAAATAGGCTAGGTTATAGCCAGTATCTATATAGCGCCCTCTATTTAACTCTCTAGTATCAAAAGCATCATCTAGCTAACTAGCTAACCAGCAAAACAGTAGCCAGCAATAGGATAAGGCAATATCTGCTATCCCATGGTCAACCCCTCGTCTGTAACAGCACAACTCCCCTAGCCCGATGGTTGTACGTCACAAGGGCATATAAGCAGTGTTGACAGCAGGGCTTGCACGCGTGCAAGCACTGACGGATCTTTTGGGTCAATTGGGTCAATTGGTTAGGCCGTAGAGTCAAAGGGTCCTTGCGACCGACGTCACTGTCAGCGTCTGTTACATCGTCACTCTGCTGATCTACGGCATCAGTTACATCTATTCAACCAGCTAGGTAAGAATGCCCTAGATACCTATACTATCCGTCACCTATCTAGAAAGCTGCAAAAGGGATATAATAAGCAGGCATCTAGACTAGCAATTGCAAAGCAACAAGCCAGCGATCTGCAGGCCTGTCTAGATAACCAGCACAAAGGCAAGAGGAAAAAGGTCCCAACATCTCCTAACAGCACCTTCGCAACAATAGCCCATATCCAGCGGGCGCAAAATACGGATATCGGCGATACAGATAGTCTAGATGAATCCAGCGCATCTGAATTATCTAGTGAAGCCGAAAGTTGCATCTGGGTGGGTGGAAGAGGGAGTGAAATAAGTGGTGATAGTGGTAGTGATGGTGGTGCCGATGGTGGCTCGGATGTGGGGGTGGCTCGTTAACAGGGTGGTTGTGTTATTACATGTCTGTCTATAGCCATTTTCCACGGCGGCCCTCATCCCGAAAACATCAATCGTAAGTATCTACGGATATCTCTACCTAAGTTCGACTGCGTCATTGGTTGCTCTTGGCGTTGTCTGCGCTGCTTCACTGTTTGCTTTTGTTCCTTTCAAGTCCTAAAGCCAATGGCATCAACTTTTTAGGTAATGTGTCTAGTAGATGCATTGCATCCCTATATACTAATAGATCCTAGTAGTAGCGTCTCCAATATCACTAAAAAATATGTTAAATGTTTGACCTAGAAACCCTAACCTCCGATTATGTCGAAATGATAGCCTTGTAATCCTTGATTAGTTGCTCTCCGTCAGCAGCAGAAATCTTCTCTACTCCGCCCTTGGAGGAAATAGCGCCTTGCTGCACCTTCTGGGGTACACAGGTCCAGCTATCTGGGGAGTTGGGGTCTCCAGACTTGTACATGTTGCGTGTAGGGTACTTGCAGTGCTTCCTCGTGAAAGAAACCTCACCACCTTGCGTACCATTGACAAATGCAGTTCCGAGAATCGACTCCGGAGCGACACCATTCTCAACCCACTCGATAATAGCAGAGAGAACGTTGCGTTCGGGCTCATAGCCAGCAACGGTTTCCTGCTTGTTGCCGATGAAGCTGGCACCAGGGCCGCCTTCGCAGTGGTTCATGCCGGAAATGCGGAAGTACCGGTAGAACTCATCCAGCTGGTCAGAGGTAAGGCCCATGGTTCTCGAGACGTGGTTGTAGTAACGGGCAGAGTTGTCACTGCTGATGATGGGGTCTTGGAGGCCGTGGTAGTGCAGGATCTTGGTGCCACGGTTCTTCACGCCCGAAAGGTCGCCCTTCCAGGTCATGATGTTACCGGGGTTTTGAGCAGCAGCGGCAGAATAGTCCTTCGGGCCGAGGGTGGACGGGTCCCAGTTGGTGTCGTTGTATACGACATTCGCAAACCAGTCTGTCGTGTACGAGAATGGTCGGCCGTTGAACAGGAGGCCAGCCTGGGCGCCTGGCTGGAGACGGGGGTAGACCAGGGCTCCGTCTTGACCGTAGAGGTCGCTGAACACGGTGCGGACCGTCTGGGCCTGCGTTCCGGTCAAGCAGTTCTCGGTCTGGTTGGCACCGCAGATGATGGACTCGGGACGGTACTGGCACAGATCCGGATCCTCGATGATGCCGTCGACCTGACCGTCGAGACCGTCGCATTGGGCCAGAAGGTCCTTGTAAACAACTTTCCAGAGATCCGCTGACAGGTACGTCGGCTTCTCAGAGGTGCCAGTGGTGGTGAAAAAGTGGCCGCTCCAAGAAGTCAGGTTGGTGAAGGCGAGAGCGGGAGCACCGGCGACAATGCCGTCAAAGTCGTCGGGATAGTCTTGGGCTTCCTTGAAGCCTTGTCTGCCGCCAGTCGAGCAACCGAGGTAGTAAGACTTGGTATGTGCCTTGCCGTAAAAGGCCTTTGTCGTCTCCTTTCCGATGACAACACCAGTGTGCAGGGAACGGTAGGCAAAGTCCTCAATGGTACCTGGGTTGTTGAGGAATGGTGCTCCGACAGTGCCATTGTGTCCGTTGTTCGCACCGACGGCGGCAAATCCACGTGAGACGGCGTAAGCGATGTCTTCATACTGAATGCAACCGCCGGTTCCTCCGTTGCCGGTACTCAGGAAACGCCCAGTCCAGTTCGACGGAAGCCAGGTCTCGAGAGAGATGTTGCTCTTAGGGCCAGTGGTTGTCAGCATCACCACGCGGCAAATGTCGACATCGACAACCTGGCCGTAGCGCGCGCAAGTCGGGTGGTTCCCAGGGAAAGTAATGTTGGTGCCGGCAGAGACGGGGGTGGAGAACCAGACCGTGGTGTTTGGCAGCTTGAGCGTTGTGGTGAGGGCGGTGCAGTCGTCGGCGAAGGCGCTCATGACGTGGTGGGCCGCTGGCGCCAGCAGCATCGCGGAGAGCGTGAGAGACTTCATGTCGAGGAATGGATGTTGAGCTGAGCAAATTCACAAGGCCATCCAGGCCGACGGCTTGGCGGTTGAGTTTACGGCTCTTATACTGCAAGTCGGGACCAAATTGCCTGCCGATCCCCTTGACCATTTGTCAGACGAACTTTTCATCTCCAAGATGGCAGGTGGTTATTTCTGCGGTCCCGGACGGCGATCCCACTGGGTGGAGGTCAGCTCGGCGATTTGAGACGGCAGTTAACGACGGCATGGTGGGCATGGAAACACGCCCTGATTCAGAAGCGCCAACCGAGGGCCGTGACATTGGCGGTGCTGCTGGTGTCCTTCCTGTTTCTCCACTGCCGAGATAGTTCGAGGGATACCCCATGTATCGGCAATAGCGAATGCGGAGAAAGCGACCAGGTCAGATAGCAGGTCCAGGGGGTGATCGTGGAGGTAGAATCTTCTCCCGGCCGGCAAGCAAGCTGACTCGATCACCTGGTGGCTTTACTTCATTTTCAGAAGACTCGTGACCTCTCTAGGACGGAAGTCGACGCCGTAGTGGTAGTGAGATGGATTGCTTTGCCCGGTGAACTCTCAAAGTATAATGACTCTAGTCTTGCAAAGTGCCGTGCTTAGCCGGGGAACCACCGGCTGGGAACACAACCTAAGTTGGGATTAGCGCGGAAACTGGGTTTTGATGGGGTACAGTTCCCCAGTGCAACCTGCAGGTGACTTCTATTTCCACGTGCGGGGAGCGATTCGGGTTTTCCGGGGCTGGTTCTCGTACCTAGTTCGACGTAGCAATGGAAAGCTCCCCGTTGTTCAGACAGTATCACTACCATCGCCAAGACCAAAAGTTCCAAACCCAACGACAGGAGAGAAGCCTGGCATGTTTCGATGGTTTGAGTATTGCCTCACCGGACGATTTCCGTAGCCCACATGGCAGCCTTGCTCATGTTACTTTGGAAAAGGTTTGATGTTTCAAGAGTCCAAACAGCATGTAACGTCCCAGCTGAGAAAACTGGGCGACTTGCGACCCATTCCACTGGCGCGAACTACGTCCTCTACGGCACTGTAACCCCTATTGATGTGACCCTTGCGGGAGTTCCTGTCGATCAGGCATTGAATGGTTTTACCAATTCGGCGGGATCTTTCGCTCACTGGGCTTTTCCTGACGTACGTGCACGGATAAGCAACTATGATTTGTTTTAAGAGATCATATCTGCAATGCTTGTGAGACAACACAGGTAGGAGGCCTGGAGACGCGAGCCTTTGCTCGGCGCCATTTGGTGACTCGGCGGTCTACGCCTGACGTCGTGGGAATGCCACCCGCCCCTCCCCCACCAGCCGACTTGCATCCGCCATTCGAACGAACCGTCGTTTCTACACGGCGTAGTGGAGCGGAAAACGGCGAGTTGCTGCGTGACTTTTCTCCACTACTAGCTAATGGGGTCCCGAGAACCAAGAGGCATCGGACCCTGACTCATATGGCATGTCCCATATCCAGTCCGAAGTGAAGCCGAGACAGCCGTTGATATTCAATAATCCATCCCGATCCGAAAAGCTGGGAACACGTGCACCTAGATTTTGCATACACTTGGCTGCAGCTTCTTAATAATAACTACAATCTATATGGCTTGCACCATTGACTTCTACATGTAAACCGGCATCGTTTGTCGTTACAAGTCCAGCCATTGGCCGGAAAGGACAATGCAATGCTACGAAATGAAGCGACTGACTCAGACAACTATCCGTGTCGGGTATCCAGCGTCGAGGCACCTTGAAGCCTAACATGCCATTGCAAAGACTTGGTGTTATCCATTCGTCCTCCGTGGGCGCATTAATTCGAACATGGACGCATCGACTCAAGAATCGATGCTCTCTCTTCGTATCGTTGCCAATGGCGCCTGCTGCGTTCGTTCAGCGGTCCGGAGTAGACTCATCTATGGGTTTTAGGACCGAGCCGGCTGCCCTCGGCGCCGATCATCCAAACCTTGACCCGCCACCAGGTACTGACTAGCAGATTGCATATCGTATATTGTCATTTAACACAGCCTCCACAGACTGGATATTGATGAACATGTTCGTTTCTGGTCCCTTTCAAATGCCGGCTCACGTATCCATTAGCCCAAGTAAGAACAGCACGCTGTCCTGGACACAATGAGACTTTCTGCAGTGATAATAGCACCAAGAATTTCCAATGATGTGCCAATAGAGAAATCTCTCCATTTGCGATTGCGTGCAAAGGAGAAGTTTCCGATTTCATCATGAATATGAACTACACGTCCTCACCCAGCTGGACTGATCTGGCGTCAGTGAAGCTGCCTACTTTCCGACTGGCAACGCCGCTCTCTGCTGGCTAGCGCTCACTGTCATCGCGTTCATTATCGCAGTACCAGTCCCCAATGGGTGTCGGCATATCTGAATCTACCCGCTTCTCAGTGAGACCAAGTGAGGGTATCTGGAGCAAGGCAAGGCACTCCTCGACAGAGGGGCCAAAGCAATTGGCGGTTACCACTTCCGAATGCACAAGGGCCAAGGGTTTCTTACGGTATTGGCGTCCACGCTTGTTCATGATGTGAAGAACGACAATGGGCTGAGCTCAACAGAGTTTCTGCGGGCGTATTGGCAGGCCGGGACTCCGTAGTTTGAGCCACACTTTAGCTCAGGCAGCGAATTGATTCGTGAGACGATCAGATCACACTTGACCCAAAGTGACGTCAGTGAGTTGGGATAGCCATGAGTTCACGAAGTTTATATCTAGCCGGTGGGTATTTGCTTGACGGTCAAGTTATTGCAGCCGCTCGCAAACGAGGTAGCGGATGCTCTCCGAGATGTCTGCACCGACAACGAAGGTAAGTCAGGCAGCCAGTATCCTACCTTGAGCATCCGAATGACTCTTTCGAGAATGGCGTGCAATTCTTTGGCCCTCGATAATCCCTCAAATTGTTGCCCGCGTCTCAGTCGTCGTACTTCTCGGCCCAAACTCTATCGTCATCCACCGTGGCTCAATCTCATCATCACTTACCCTAACAGAGCTATAACCGCCGCCAAAAGCCCATGCTACTACCCTCCGCCCCTCTGTCGGCTGGTGCATTGGTTCCTCTCCAGCTGCTGCGAGCTAAGGAAGATGCTCCGCATAGCGCGGATGGCCATTGAGCCGATTCCGTAGAAGAGGCAGGAGTAGGAGGAGTAGGAGGGCGGGTAAAAGAGCCTCAAGGTTGGTGGAACAGCTCGCCACTATACCGCACGAAGCTCATGGACAGTGTGGTTAAGGAAACGCCCCGACTGAAACCAATGACTTCAGGTCAACAATGCTGACAAGGATAGCGGACAGTTGCCGTCTGACGTCGCGTTATGGAGGATGGCGGCAGCTTAAGCAATGGCAGCTTGCTTCCGGGAACGACAGGCGTTACCGTGTCCTCGGCCAAGATATAGGCTCCTGTGAGTCGTCTTCTTCGTGTCCAGAAAGGGGTTTTGTGGCGGCAAGACAGTCTGCTAGACACCGCCATGAGCAGGAAATATACCCAAACCCCGGGAGCTAATACGACTGCTGCTCCTGCGCATGCGCATGTCTGCCGATAACGAGCACCTTGCGCAGCTCGCCGATCTGTCGCAGGAGTATCTATGCTTCGGAATCGGCGCGCGCGCGTGTTCCAGCCGGTTTTTGGGCGCGAGCTGCACGGAACTGATGATGCCGAACGTTTTGCTCGAGTCTGAGTTCAAGCTGGCCAAGGACGAAGAGACAGCGGTTCATCCCATGCGGCTTGGATTGTGGACATTGGTCGGTCCCAGGGCGAAGCTGTTTGATCAGGCGGAAGAAGAACGTTGCGTGATACTCGGAGGACGAAACTGCAAAAGCATTGGAGATGCGGCATTTTGTACAACAGCTCCCTGATCCCAAGCTATACAGAACGATAGCAATCTTCTCACGAAGGACACGTTGTGAAGCCGGCTGGGAGCAGGGTCGGAATTGTGAAACTAGTAAGAGCCTCAAGCTCGCGTGGGGCAATCAGCGAATGTGTTGTTTGAGAAGCCAGCATCCCCGGTCACCGAGGAGCTGTTTCGGTTTGGGGGACATCTCACTAAGTCTACTTCGTAGGCTTCAACTAGGTTACCGTGAACGTGAACCGGCTGAGCCATGGCTAGGTAGTCGCCCAAAAGGTCGCGGACGCTCTCCACGGCCGTCCATCCAAGGACGGGAACATCCGCCCAAGCGATTGGCGGAAGAAGATTCCGCGCGTCGACTTGCATGGCGGGGTCTCCTCGCCTATTCCTCCCAAGTGCGGAGGTGGGATCTTCGTCTGACTTCAGCTCCGTCGGGCCAATCCATCACCGCAGTCCTGTTTTGGGGGGGAAAGAAGAGGATTGGCCGTCATTCAGGGCAATGCTGCGGCACGCACATCAGAACAAGGTTGAGAGGTTGGGGAACCAAGGCCCGTTTCCCGCAACGGAAGGGAAACCCGCGTCGCCGGAATCAACTCGAGGCGGACGCCACGTGCACCATGGGGTGCCCGCCACAATGACGGCGCCCAGGAACGACGACGACGGAGGCTGGAATCCTGCAACGATGAGGCGGGACTGTAAGAGGCATGACATGGGCTCCGCAGAGAACTGGCGGAACGATATCCAATCGACACGATGTGACGGCGGACCTTGGGACGGAGGCTTGTGATCCGCATCGCCTATTGGAGACATTGAAAGTGTGCCGCTGAAGCACGCCGGCGGTGACTAGCATGTCAGCGGCCGTGTGAGTCGATATATAGATGCTTGCCGTGAAGAACAAGTCTATATCCGAAGCATTTCACCATCAGCCCTCTCACCCGCACTCGCCAGCAAGATGATGTCCCTCCTGACGCTTGCCCTGTGGGCTGTTACCCTCCTGACGCTGGTGTTCGGCGCCGAAGTGGTGCCCCGCGCGACTTTCACCGAGGTGACGGACTACGGCTCGAACCCGACTGGCACCCGCATGTGGCTCTACGTGCCGCGGAACCTAGCGGCGAAGCCGGCCGTCGTAGTCGGTATCCACTGGTGCAGCGGCAGCGCGCAAGCCTACTACCAGGGCAGCATGTGGGCGACCAACGCGGAGAAGTACGGCTACATTGTCGTCTACCCGCAGACGCCTTACACGCGCGACAACTGCTGGGATGTGGCGAGCAAGATGACGCTGACGCACGGGGGCGGCGGCGCGAGCAACTCGATTGCCAACATGGTGAGCTTCGTGATTGCGCAGTATGGCGCCGACAAGAGCCGGGTGTTTGCGACGGGGATCTCGTCGGGTGCCATGATGACGGTACGTCTGGGATCCCGTGGGCTCCTCCTTTGTGAGATGCGTGACGTTGACGGACGTGAGCAGAACGTTCTCGCGGCGACGTACCCCGACGTCTTCGCCGCCGGCATCGCGTACGCGGGCGTGCCGGCCGGGTGCTTCATGTCGGCGGACGACATTCCCGACTTCTGGAACTCGACGTGCTCGACGGGGCAGTCCATCTGGACGCAGCAGCAGTGGGCCAACGTCGTCAAGGAGATGTACCCCGGGTACACCGGGGTGCGGCCCCGGATGCAGATCTACCACGGAACGGCGGACGAGGCGCTCAACGTGCAGAACTACTACGAGACGATTAAGCAGTGGACGGGCGTGTTCGGGTACTCGACAACGCCCGTGTCCCAGACACCCAACTATCCCCGCAGTCCGTACACGAAGTACGTGTATGGGGACAAGCTGCAGGTGGGTTCAAGGCCGAGGGGTGAGGAGAAGGAGGCGGCTGATGGCGTGTAGACTTTTCTCGGCACCGGCGTGACGCACTCGATCGACGTCTTCCCAGAGGAGGATCTCAAGTGGTTCGGCTTCGAGGTAAGATGACCCGGACTGAAGTTTGTGGTCGGCACGAGGGGTCTGACCGTGATGAAGACACCAGTGAGCCCGTCGGCCTCCCCGACGACGAACCCGGCAACGACGAGCCGCGCATCCACAACGCTGGTAGTCAGTACGACCACGACCACGACGGCCGGAGCGACGACGACCTCGGCGGCCAGCGGATCGGGCACGGCGCCGCAGTGGGGCCAGTGCGGCGGCATCAACTGGACGGGGCCGACCACTGTACGTTGGGACGCGGTGGGAAAGATTGTTGAGGGTCTGGATGCTGACTTGTTGAGCAGTGCGCGAGCCCATTTACGTGTAACAAGGTCAATGAGTGTAAGTGACGACACCCCGTCTCCGACGATATGAGCATGCGCTGACCGACGATGAAGGGTACTCACAGTGCCGATAGATGGCGATGCGGAGGGCGGGGCGTGTTGAGTCGTGGTCGACGGGAGACATCAGGGTCCAAGGTTGCACACGAGGAATGTTATGGCACACAAAGCACACAATCTGTTTTCAGATGGGACATCTCAATCTTGACTTCCAGAACTTCATAGTGGATATGCAAAACGAACATGTCGCGAGCTGAGCGAACGTCACTTTCCCAGCCCAAACGCTGCTCGCGGGTGCATGGGCTGGCTGGACCGGCGCCGCGGGATGTCGAAGCTGGAATGCGACGGGCTCTGCAAGCGGTTGTGGGCCGCGACACTCGGGGTTCTTTATATTGGGGAAAAAAAGAAAAAAAAGCCGGCCGTGGACGAAACAGAGACCGAGTGCCGGTCTCGCAGTGACATGGCGTTTCTGCGAGACAGCGCGCATTCCAGCGGGAAGAAGCAAAGACGTGTCTCGGCAGAGGGACCCCGCGACCGTGTCTTGGTTTCGGGCAGTGACAATCCCAATTCCCAGATGCGGTTATGCAAGGTTGAGGTCGCATTGGTGAATGAGGGACCTGCGAAGCGGTGAAGTTATTCCCGACGATTTATCGTGCATCGTGATGATCCATTGTTAAATTCCACGTGCACCATTCAGCGCCTTGGATTTGGCCGCCCATCCTTGGTTGACGGGCCAATCACATGAACCCGGCGGCGGGCTCCGGTCGGAAAGGATCCGGTTTTGGTTTGTCGTGGGTTTCTCTTTTTGGGTCCTCGCTTCTGCAAGGTGCAGAGGACCGCCGGAGCGGACATCTTGGTTTTTCATAATTTTTTCCCCTCCATTTTTCAGGGTCCCCCGGCGGTGGCGTCATGTCCCGGGCCCCGCTTAGATGAGAAACTCGTTATGAAGAACGAGTCTCACCAACGCGTCGAGTCGTCCAGCTTGCACAACAGAGACAAAGGCGAAGCTTCCAAGGGCCCAGAAAGATTGTGTCTACTGCCCTGGTACGAGACAATTGTCTAGGACACGCCTGCCACGATGACGAGTTGAGCCAATCCACTGCAGGCCATGCCATGCCACTCGGCGGAGGGGCACCGTGATCGAATGTCTTGCCCCTGTCTTGCCCGAGCCGGGGTACATTCCATGTCCATATGTACAATGTAGGTAATGATTTCTGCTGGTGTGGGAAGAGACAACGCTCGTAACTCGGCCCGCGCCTCACCGCCACAAGAGCTGCAAGTTGACGGCGCGTTGGTTGATGCCATTACCTATTTGCCTACCTCAGCACTTTTGTTCGATGATCGCTCCTCCCGCTGCTGGCCGCGACACGTTACCTAATTACATTGCGCCGTACCTAGTATATGGTACGTGCATTTGTGCATACTTGGACGATATGTGCCTACTATGTACTTGGGCCACTGTACACATACTTAGTACAATATGTGATCAGTACATGATACTTTGTATTCGAGTCCAACCACCAAGCACTTGGACAGTCCATGCCGGTGCGAAACCTAGCCGTCCGCCTTTGCCCCATTAACAACAACACAACTCACCGCGCTTGTGCTGCAGACTGACGTAGGTATATACATGGCTTGGTACCCCAGTACCTAATGCCGGTACGTACTCTGTACTAGTATGAGTGTAGTGTAGATTGTGGTCTAGAGTCCAGACCTTGCAGCTGTAGTAGGCCCAACTCGGCCTAGCGGATGTCTTGCTGCGGGTATCCTTGTCTTGCATCTTGCGTCTTGTTTGCTCGTCGACTCTGCGTGTTCCTCTCTCTCTTGGTGCTCTTCTCCCGTTGGCTCGTCGCCGTCTCTAATGTCCTCCCTCCTGCCCACCCCCGCGATAGATCACGACTTTCCACTACTGGCAAGTTTCGCGGCGCTTCTCGTCCTCTCTCTCCCTCTTTCGCTCGGCCCTCGACCGGCCGCCCAGGTACCGTCCTATCTGGCCCTCCCCTCTCTCTCCCTCCTCTATGCATAGTACATACTATCCTCTCTCCCCCATGCATGAATCCGCAGTGGGGACCGCAAGCGGCTCGAGCCTCGTCAAGTCATGCCCCACCGACTCTCGACCTTCAAAAACAAAACGTTGAAGCTTTGCAGCTTTCTTCTAGTTTCTGCTCATCCCACGATCCCATGATCAGAGTTGCGACGGCATCTTGATCACGTAGCCTGTGAGCCATCCTCAGCCGAGGCAACTCTAGTCTCTGTCTCCTCCTCCTTCTCATCCTGTCCCCTCTCGCCCCTCTTCAATTGAGAAATTTTCGCAAGCCCAGCAGCTCGTTTCTTTTTTTTTTTTTCCCCGTTCGGACCCCCACATTTTGTTGCTGTTGTCTCCAACTTTTCCCCCAAACACCACCACCACCATTACCGTCGACGTCTCCTCTCTGTAGCATTGCGATCTCAAACCCCCGCCCACCATGTCCGACACGACGCCCTCGTCCTCGGACGAGCGATTGCGCACCGCCGTCATCGCCAACCACCTCCCGCCCGGCTACGGCACCAGCTTCGACGGTGTCCGAAGCCTCTCCAACGGCGACCTGACCCGGCAGCACTCCAACTCGACCTCGAACCTCCCCGCCACCGATACCTACGACGCCGCCGCCGACGCCGAGCAGGAGGCCTCGTCCCTCCTGCTGCCCGGCGGCGACATCCACCGCGACCTGTTCAAGATCTCGGCCCGCGACCAGGGCCTCAAGCGCGCCCAGACCTTTTCCCACCCGCGCCGCACCGAGTCGGGCCACGAGTCCGACCTCCCCGCCGCCTCCGAGATGCTCATGCCCCAGGGCTTCCGCCGCCAGTTCGTCATGCAGAAGCACAACTTCACCGCCGCCAACCTGCCCATCACGAGGAACTTTGTCGAGTTCCTCGACTTTTACGGCTCCTTCGCCGGCGAGGACCTCGCCGACTCGGACGAGGAGGCCATCGAGTCGGACGACGAGGACAATGGCGATGACGACGAGGAATCGCGCCGCCGCCGTGGTCCGGCCACCGAGACTCGCCCCCTCCTCGGGCGGCGGCGGTCCTCGCGCTTCGCACGCAAGGCCGGTGACGCCTCGACGACAAAGACATTCTTCACGACGCTCAAAGCCTTCATCGGCACGGGCATCATGTTCCTGCCCAAGGCCTTCAAGAACGGCGGCATCCTCTTCTCGTCGCTGACCATGCTCGCCATTGCCGCCGTCTCCATGCTCGCCTTCCACCTGCTGCTGCAGTGCCGCACCCGCTACGGCGGCGGCTACGGCGATCTTGGCAAGGAGATCTCGGGCCCGCGCATGCGCGCCCTCATCCTCGCCTCCATCACCCTGTCTCAGATCGGCTTCGTCTGCACCGGCCTCGTCTTCGTCGCCGACAACTGGTTCTCCTTCCTCCAGGCCGTCACCGGCGGCGCCAACCCGCTCGGCTCCACCGCCCTCATCGCCCTGCAGGCCCTCGTCATCGTGCCCCTCGCCTTCATCCGCAACATCTCCAAGCTCGGCCCCGCCGCCCTGCTCGCCGACGTCTTCATCGTCGTCGGCGTCGTCTACATCTGGTGGTACGACATCTCCGCCCTCGCCACCCGCGGCATCGACCCCTCGGTCCGCCTCTTCAACCCGAGCTCCTACACCCTCACCATCGGCGCCTCCATCTTCACCTTTGAGGGCATCGGCCTCATCATCCCCATCCAGGCGAGCATGAAGCGCCCCGAGCACTTTGAGCCCCTGCTCGCCGGCGTCATGCTGCTGATCACCTGCGTCTTCACCTCCGTCGGCGCCCTGTGCTACGCCACCTTTGGCGACCGCACAAAGATTGAAATCATCGACAACTACCCCCAGGACAGCCGCCTCGTTAACGCCGTCCAGTTCATGTACGCCCTCGCCGTCCTCGTTGGCAACCCCGTCCAGCTGTTCCCGGCCATGCGCATCCTCGAGGGCAAGATCTTTGGCCACCGCTCCGGCAAGAAGGACCTCTTGACAAAGTGGAAGAAGAACGCCTTCCGCACCGCCCTCGTCGCCGTCTGCATCGGCGTCTCCGTCGCCGGCTCCACCAACCTCGACCGCTTCGTCGCCCTCATCGGCTCCTTTGCCTGCGTGCCGCTGGTCTACATCTACCCGCCCTACTTGCACCTCAAGGGCATCGCCGAGACGAGGAGGGAAAAGATTTGCGATATAGCCCTCATGGCCCTCGGCCTCGTCGGCATGGTGTACACGACGGCCATCACATTGGCGACCAGCTTCCTGTGAAGGCGCAGTGAGAGCAGAAACACTTGTTAGAGTAGAGGCGGAATGCCCAAGCGTTCCAAGCATGTCCGTGTTCATAATTGAAGTATATATAAAAAATGTACAAATATAGCGCAGTTCTTCACAAACAACCAGTAGTCCCCAGTGTTCCCCTCCGTGATGTCCATAGCATCTCAGTCCTCGCGCCATCTTACAGCCCAGTCCCCCTTGGCAAAGCTCGGCTCGACGACCTTGCCCTGCATCACAGCCTCGCACTTTCTTCGCTCTTGCGTGCCGTCCACAAGGAGCCCAAACACGACGCCGCGCCGCGCCGCGCACCGCACCATCTCCCGCTCGTGCGCCTTGCGCTGGCCCTCGGCCCGCTTCTCGCGCATCTCGTCTGTCTCCTCGATCCGCTCGGCGCGTCCCTTCTCCCCGCCGACGCTGCCATTGACCTGGCTCTGCGCCTGCGGCGGCCGCACGCGCGTGCCGCTGCGGACAGACAGGCTCGCCTGCACGCTGGGGTCGAGCTCCGTGGACCTGGCGCGCCCCAGGCCCAGCATCTCGTCGATAATCTCCTCGCCCGGATCCTCGTCGACGTGGTGGTGTTGGTGCTCGCCCACGTCAATGGCCTCGTCCTCGTCCGACTTGTCGCCGCCGCCTCGAATCACCCGCGAGGCGCGGTTCTTTCGCCTGCCAAACACCTTGCTCGGGTCCTGCCTGTCACCAAAGACCCTGCTCTCAACCAAGTCGCAGGGCACGAGCGTGCGGGCGTCGCCCTTGACCTTCTTGACCCGAGCCCCGTCGACCTCCTCGTCGCCCTGCAGGAACCGCACAAAGGCCTGCTCAATCTCCTTGTCCAGGCGGCCGGGCTTCTGACCCCGGCACCGCGAGGAGCAGTACTTGGGCTCGGGCTTCGCCTCGGCCGGCTTGGACGACTTGGACGCCGCCGTGGACTTGCGGCTCGAGATGACGCGGCCGCATGTGCGGCAGTAAGGCGTCGCGTCGCCGTTGGGCAGGAGGTAGAACGGCGCCGGCGTGGCCTGCGACTTGGAGGGCCGCGACCAAGAGTCCATCCAGCTCATCCTGGTCGTGTGGAGGGGTCTTGTCTGGGGGAGACGGAGGCGGAGGGGAAGCTGGAGGTGGAGCTGGGCTTTTCGTGTGTTTTGGGCGAGCGGTATGACGGAACGGAGGGTAAGTGGTCGATGCAGCATCTGAAAAAGGCTGGCAATGGGACAGATGTTGGTTTTGTGCAGAGACAAAGGGAGAGTTCCGAGGTTGAGGGTTGTCGATCAATTAGGGACGAGCTACGTCATCGATGTCTTGTTTCCAATTCCTCCTTGCTGGTGTCTGTGCCAGCTGCTGGCAAGACTGCTTTAATTTTCATAAGGGTAAGCTTTAATCCCAAGCCGGCTCGATAAAGGTGCTCCGAGGGACAATCCGACAACGGTGGGTTCATGTCCTTGAATTCCTTTCTTATGTGTTGTATGAAAAGACATGGGTAGCTCTCCCAGCAGACTGAGGCCAGGTCAGGCGCCACCCATAGCAGTGAGGCCAATCTGTATATATCTGATACCCAGAGAGGATTTAATGTACAGCCGCTGAGCCATTACTGAGAAGTGCTAGTTCCAATACTCATCCTCGATATTGAATCCAGAGTCGAACTCAATGCCGAGCGAGGAGGGTTTATGTATGGGAAGAGAAGGGATGGTCCGTGCGGTATGACACGAGCCGTGATGGCATTTGGAAGTCTTGCTACTACGGCTTCGAAAATGCTTTCAGACGACTTGGCTACTTGACTAGCAGGGCTTTGTTGCTAGCTAGCGAAACAAATCATCTAGAAAATCCTACAGCTCACATCGCCCGTCTTTCCGCAACCAACGACATCAAGACCATAAAAGAGTAGCTACGGCACACTGCATGGCTACGGAAACAACATCTGCAAGTAGTTTGCTAGCCAAGACCACCCGATATGCAAGTACTCGACTCAGAAGACAAGCCAATCCTTCCGTATAACACATTTCTGCACAACCCGCCCGAAGAGGAGACATTTTGATACCTCCAAGCTTGCAGGATTGAAGTTGATAAATGCGACAAGCAGGGCACAGGCCTCCTTTTGTCGAGCTTTCACTTGAGTTGGAGCCTGGTCCATACTGCAAGTCCTACTAACGTTCCCGCCTATGCTTTTTTCTTGCGACTGGCAAAAAATTGGCTGTCTTTGAGACTTACAGCAATGCACTTGCCGATTCTACTACCTCCAGGCCATATCATCGCCCACAGCATTGGATGTCGAAGACAATGGGTCCGTTGACGGGCATGTGTTGGTGTACCGCCAGTCGCTGCAACGACGGACACAAATTAGTACAACTTACACCATGAACTAACTAATCCACACAGGCTGGATTCTAAGGATGTTAGGAATGGGATCATGCTAGCTTCATTGTCACACAAAGTTTAGTCTCTCACCAACGTACTGATTCTAAAGTGATCTAAATTTTGGTCAAATTGCGGAATGGTATCTTGGCTAGTATGTACGGCAGGGCAAGGTATGTGACAGGTTTGCTAAATACGACAGGGTTCGTCATCCCCCTTTAAAAGATTACTCATCAAACGGAACGAAGCTCGGTTCATCAGCAGCGTTTATTGGCCAAAAGTATGCTCGGGGATGTCGATGGTGGTGACGGTCCAGGTCTTGCCACCGTCACTGGTTGACATGTCGCCGGTAACGCCTTGGCCCTTGCCGAGGGTGCTGATGTAGTTGGGGTCCTCCTTGTCGAGGATGATCTTGGTGTTGATCCAGGCTGTTGTCGGGTGTCAGTCTGCTTGCTTCACAATGACAGAATCCGGGATATAGGCTTACAGTGAGCACCAATGGTACCGCAGTCCTCGGCGGCGCACTCAACAGCGCTTCCCCAGCCTTGGGCCTCACCGTCCTTGGTGGACAGGGTGGCGACGACCTTGCCGTTGATGGAGACGGTTTGGGTGTAGTTCTGGGAAGCATCATCGAACTTGTCTGTAAGTTATTTGTCAGCATAATTGGGATAAAGATACTGGTCGGCAAGAAGCCTTAAGGTCACACATACAGTGCATGGTGATTTTGTCGCCTTCCGAGGCGTCAGTGCCGTCAGTCTGGACGGGCATCTGAGAGTTGTCGCCAGTCTTCAGGAGAGTGTAGCCGAAGATGGACCACTTGTCGGTACCGGTGTTGTCGTAGTTGGAGTTGTCGGCAATGGACTGGATCAGGTCACCGTTGGAGGTGCCCATACCAACCCAGAGGGAGGCGCTGCCCTTGTTGTTGGCAGGGGCGGCAGGGAGGACCAGGGTCGAGGTCGCCTCGCGGATGAACGAGTCGGAGGCGACTGGGCCGGTGCTGAAGGCTGGCCCCATGGCGGCCTGAACGCCGGCAATAGCCGTGACGGCAAGGGCGGAGAGAATCTGGCTGGTGGAAGGCATCTTGGAGATCAATATGGGGGATGTTGAGAAAAGGCTGTTGGTAGAAATTCCTGGATCGATGGGTTGCTCTCATCATCGAAGAAGGTGATCTTCATTACTTATAACTCCCATGGCGAGGCATCCATTTTCTTTAGTTGGTGGATCAGCCAGAGCTGCTGCTGCTATTGTCGGCGATATTATGTCAAGCTGGATTACTCCGTATCGTTGGATCCAGCATGTTTCAATGAGACAGCTTTTTTGTGGGTGGTTGCAGCGACCAACACGGGGTTTCAATAACAATGATTAGTGAGCGGTTCACTTTGATTTACCCCATAAAGGAGCTCGGTCCCTGATGACAGGGCCAAGTGTGTTTCTTCATTTAGTGAGATCTACAGCCGGTGGTTCTCGGAATGTGGTGCCGGTGCTTGGTGTGAACATGTCGGTGGACATTCATCTTGCGACAAGGACCTCGTCGATTTGCAGAAACCGTTGACTCCACTAGGCTTTCAGAAGATGACGCTATCGTCTTAATATTCCGAGGCTTTCTGCAACCACACTTGGCGAAGACGCTGTTTGGCGTAGTCCTGCTCTTTATCACGGCCCACGCCTTGGAAGCTTATTGTATATGCTTGTTTTACCGTTTTTGCAAGCGCGCTACAGCAGGTTTACCGTCTTGAGACTTAGAGTTCGCAGCCGACGCCCATACTCTTAAATCAGACGCGCTTTATTTATTAGGTTAGTATCGTTTTGTACGACGGGTAGCATTGCAACTGCAATCAAGATGACGCACAAGCTTAATCAATTTGCCACGAAGCCTTACATAAAATAGGCGCCATCGGCTCTGTTGGAAGTGAGTAAAGAAAGATACCCCCTGTTCCCTACCCACCTTCCCCTTTTCGGCCCCTAGCGAAATTGCTCTGAGCTGACAAGTGGACGATGAGCCATGACATAGGACGAACAGGACAGACCCCCTTAAGAAGAGTTCGAACGACGACAGAGTAGCCAAGTGGAAATCCGACAAGGAGAAGATCTCCGCAGTCAGCCAAGGTGTGAGATCGTCCCCACAAGTTGCGAACATAGGCCCAGGGGTCAATGCCGATTTCTCCATTCATACCTTCTTGGAAACTCTCGCCAGTGTGTGTCCCAACTCGGATAGTGGATCTGGTTTCGGAACGAATGTTCCACGCTACAATCTCTTTTTCTTCATCACTCTGGACGATCGGATTGTAACGGAAGATTGCCATTGGCGGAACGAATTTATGGGACAAAGGTCTTCATGACGAACAGTACAATTTGGCGATTGCTCCAACTACCGATTGCAACATCCAAACGACCGAATTTTCCTTACCCAATGAATCCCACTCGTCCTCCATATTCATACTGTCTGGGAGGGCGCTCTTATGAGCTGCCGTTGGTGCCGTTAGTGCCGTTGAAGAGTTTCTCCTTGCGCTTCTGGATAAGGTAGTAGTACTGCTCTAGGTCAATGGGCTTATTGGGCTGGACATCCCCTTGGAAATTTCCCTTTCCGTGCCCCTCAAAGTGCACTTTCCAAGCTATTGAACTATTAGCATTGCGACCCTGTCTAGTTGAAATGCACTTACTGCTGGCATCGAAGCCGAGATATGACCAGGTGTCATTCAGGTAAGCCCGCTCGGAACCAACGCGAATTGTCTTGACTACGCCCATCTGACCCGGGGCTGGCCGCAGCTGCTTGAGATCGGCCACAAGCTTCACGAGCCCGACGATGAATGTAGGCGCAATGTCCTTCGCTAAGCACTCGTGCTGACCGTAGCTGAAAGCTGTCACAGAATCCGACTTGCGGTTCGCGTCGAACTTGTCGGCGTTGACCACATCCTTCGGATTGCGGCCAGCCTCACCCTGAAGAGTTAGGTGTCAGAAGAGTTCCCTCGTCTAAGGGATAAGCGAATGGAGGTGAAACTTACAAGAAGCATCACCACGAGGTTGCCCGGCTGGATCGACTTGCCCTCAATCTCGGCCGTAGCAGTGGCAACACGCACGTTACGTTGGGAGCTTGTAAGACGCTGCGCCTCCTTGACGTATTCGTGAAGTACAGCATCGTCCTTCTTCTGGGCAAGAGTTTGAACTTCTGCCCAAATGGACGCGTTTTCAGGACGAAGGAAAAACTCCATAACTTCATAGAACTACATACATGTTAGCTCGAAGCATGACAGAGATGAATGGACAAGAAATCTACGAGTGTACTTACCGTCGTTACAAGAACACCGATGCCGCCAAAGGCAGTGAGCCACATGTTGTCGACGACCTGCTCGGGCGAGTTGCCTTGGGCCAACAGCTCCTCGGCAAGCTTGTAGCCACAGGAGCGCAATGAGTCTTTCTTGAAGTTGGACTTGCGGCCGACGACACTGGAGATTGTCGACGCAATCCCAAAACCCAAGCCTCGTCCAGCAGCGACCTCATTGATGAGTGTGCGGGTTGAGTCGATGATGACCTTGACGCTCTCCGTTGCGCGGCGTCGGCGGTTCCAGGCCTGAGCAGGGTCATTGTTGTTGACACCCCAGATGCGGATATTGAGCAGGTGTCGGTAAAGGTCGGCGGCGCTGAGAGTACCATTGGGATTCTCATCCGTGCGCATGTCGAAGTAGAAGAGGTCTGCCAGCAGCTGGGCGTTTAGGGGAATGGCTACATCGCGGATCAGATCCATCTGACAAAGACCCTCCTTCAACTTGAACGTCTCCTTCTCAATTAACTTTGCACCAACGCGCTCGATAAAGTCATGGATAGTGTTGTGTAAATTCGGGATCTTGCCCAGCGCCTTTTGAATGTTAACGCGATGTTGGTAGTTCTTGGGTTCGTCACCCGCAAGCATGAACCAGCTGATATCTTTCTTGGAGTCCGTGAACATGGCGTTGAGAGGCTGGAGCCACGGCACCGCAAACTGCTTAGAGTTGCCTAGAACCTGCTTGATGGATGCACTAGTCATGAGTACGACTGCCTTTGGGGGTGGCTTCGGGTCATCTGACGTGTACAGATGAAGGGTACCGAGCTCCTTGGCAATGGCTTGATTTGCCTTCCTTGTGTACATGGGTTGCATGACAGCAACAGAGTTGTATGGGAACCAGTTTGGAAGACCTCGCTGGATGAGTTTGTACATCATCGAGCCTCCAAGCGTCTTGTAGTCTTGCTGAACCTCGTTGAAGCCCCAAGCCGTCAGGTTTGAGACTGTGTAGTCGAGGGTGTTGAACCTATCAGAGCGCACAAGTGTCACTGCATCAGATAGGACAGCTCGGCCGACAGAGTATGTCGGGCAAATGCCACTACCGGTGTTTCTGACGGGCTTGATGTCCTCGATCATGAGGCCGGGGTAGAGCTCAACCATGTCGGGGTCCGTGTAAAGCTTCTCGAGGAGGCTCGCAATGTCTGGGTTCGAGTTGATTTCGCTGAACTTGTCGTACTTCTTCAGACCAAAGAACTCGCGGAACTCATTCAGCGATGCGACCTGCCATTTGCGGGCCTGGTTGATGCCGAGAATCTCCACGACCTTGAGAGCTTTGGGAACCATGCGGGCACCAAAACAGCCAGCCGGATCATCCATGGCCTCCTTCAGGATGCGAGCAAGATCCTCGTCTCTGAAGGTGCCGTCCGACTGGCGCTCTAGGTTGTCAAACGTACGAACGCTAGGGTCCTTCGGGATGCTCTGTTCGAAGGTAACCAGAGCCTGACCGAGTTCGGCCATGCCGATATTCTGAAGGTCCTCTGGCTTTCGGTCTGGGAAGAGCTTCGCGAAGAAGCTGTCGATCCAGCGCTCGTCCTTCTTCGAGATACACGAGTGGAAGCGGTACAGCAGGTTGAATTCTACACTGACCTGGTTCCCAACGCCGCGCGGTACGCCCTCACCGTCGAACTGCTTGCCAATTTCGACACGAGGGTCAAGAGTCCAGTCACTCTTGGAGTGGTGCGTGTTTGTAATGGCACGCAGGTAGTCGTGAAGAGAGATGTTGACGTACAAGCCACCAACTATCAAACGCGCCGTGTTGAAAAGGTCATGATCCTGCTTAGCCATGGCCTTGGCCTTCTCTTCAGGACCGGCGTCGGGAGGGCATCTTAGAGTGAAGCGTCCGTTCTCGTTAATCTTCAGCAAAATGTCGCAGACATAGTTGTGGAAACGGTTGTAGAGAACCAGCATGACATTGACGCCGGCAGGCTGTCCGAGAAGACGTCTTTCATGGAAAGTATCGGGCTTGAGTCGACCCTCCTTCATAATACGTATTTCTAACTGGTCCTTGAGCGAGGATCCGTAGAGAGGGGCTAAATCAAGATACGACGACGTGTCGGACTTGTTCGGGTCCGTTCGGTTGGTTCGAAAAATGTCGTGGATGATGATAGACGCGTGGTAGAAGAGCATGGATGATATACCAGCAGGATTTTCCTTGAAGGAGTTTTCGTCCCGCGCCATCAATAGGTCGAAAAGCAGACCAGGGTCGGGTTTGACACCATGAAGTCTTTTGGTAGTCCTTACTGTCTTGGCATAGGGAGTCCCCGCTTTGCCTAGGTTGGGCTCGAGGATGTTGTTGTAGCTTCCATCCGGCATTCTGTAGTGATGGAGCCCATCAGGTGGTCGAGGAACCTGCTCACGTAGTATGACGTCGCTATCAGGGGCTTTGAACTCGATTGAATCCTCTGGCTGCAATGTTTCCTTAGGAGATGGCTCTTTGGAGTTGACAACTTCGTACTTGACATCGCCACCAACATAGCTCAGTGGGGGATGCTGGAGATTACCCCAAAGTGTGTCGATAAGCTTGTTGGTGAGCTGTACTCTGGTATTCGAAGTAGAAGGGAGAGATGTAAGAATCCCAATTAAGACCTCGGTCGTTCTAGCCGACATTAGAACTTGACCTCACATAGATGGCGGCATACTTACCCCTTCTTGTCATCAAGAGGCTCTCCTTTCTGCAGCAACTCCTTGATGAGGGCTGCAAGCTCTACTGGAGACGTTTGGCTTCGCAGGCCAACATAGTCTTTCAACAGATCTGTAGCAACCTTCGTCGGATCAGAAAAGAAGTTGGCTGAGCTTTTCCTTTCATCCCCATAAGTCTCCCCAGCCATGAACTTTTGATCAAAAGACATTGTTATTTGACAAGGGTGCGTTTTCAGACGTGAGAAACAGTGTAGAGTGAAGAGCTGTGGTGAATATTTTACTCTCATGAAAACGGCTGATATGTCGCTCACCTTATACAAAACACCGGCCAATCAGTTCGAAATCATTTCCTCTGACATATGAACCGAGAAACACGAATTATACCTTCGCTTCCTGGATTTCAGTATGCCCCTCACATCGCGATTTGCCAGTCGGTGGGGTTCATTGTCGCAGATGGCCGTGACATGGATCTGCCTGTGCATAGTCGCCTTTTTGACGTATCATCCTTGGTTTTCTCTCATGTCAAGGAAACCACTTTGGGGACTCTTGATGAAAGATGATGCCCGAAGCAGCTGCCAAGGCCTGAGACGGTGAACGATGCGGAGAGTACTCATGTTCCATCTCCAAAGTGATTGGCTCCTCGTATCAACCGGAGACATGCAGATCGTGGCGTCCCAAAGTGAGGGGGAGCAAACGGAGCTGGTATCATGTTGTAACGGGGCAAAGGTAGTTCTACCTCAACAAAGCTGTCGTGCCTGTGCTACTCTCAAGGCTATCAATTGGGTAAGTAGAGACGACAATCACCGTGAAACATACACCACTAATGTTGTGTAATGTAAGTCAGTGGAAAGGAGACGAGCGGGAAGTGAGGGGTAAATAATGAAGTTCCAGCCGCACATCAAAGCCAAGGAGATCGACAGGTTGAAATACTGGCCAGGGCAAAGCTCACAACGTTGCCCGAACGGGCCGCACCGTTTGCATGATTCGGATCGATGAGACTTCGGCTGCATCTCATTGGGGTCGGAGTATTCCGGCAGGGTAAATCCTTGTGTGTGTATTTCATTGGCATATTGCGCTGTGATGCGTCCAAGACATTTCATGTGAGTGAACCCATCTTCCGCGTTAGTGTGAGACACTTTGTACCTTCCCCGCAAACTTATGAGCTCAGCTCAGGCATCTATATCCAAGCTGCCGTGCTCCCTTGCGATTGTTGGATGATTATTGCCTTAGTCGATCATTCTTGGCTTTACTGAAGCGCAGGTTTAAAACATTGTGGCTGGCTGAGTGTCTTGAGTAATATGACGGAAACGGGACGAGAACTGGATGAGAACATGATGCTCACCACAACTGACCCTGCCGCTTGTCTTGCATATACGTCTTAACCAATGAGGATCCTAATCTTCGTTCATCATTGTTACTGGTTTGCATGTTTAAAACAGCAGAATGCGATGAGCGTTGGCGGAAGGTATTGTCGATAATACATTCCAACCAAGACGTTGACGTTGGGTAACATGGCAGATCAGTGTGACGTTCGATCTACCCTGATTCCACCAGTCAGTTGGCGTCACCTGTAACTCTTGTTTCGATAGGGCAGGTTCGATTTGAGAGTGAACACGAACGAGGATCAATATACGAATTGAACTAGGACACGAGGGTGCAGGTAGCCTCGGGGTGGTGATACTAGGTTGAATCCAGCACCATCAGCGCCAAAACCAGGTTGGGCACGATTAACGCCCTCCATGTCAGTGTCTTAGTTGTGAAACTAGTAAAGAGGTTTGCTTCATCAGGCCTGGTGGCATTTAGGAGACTGCCCTGCTGATGTATACGGAGGTTCGGCAAGGGCAGTCCACCCACGTCATGCGAGACTATAGATATATCAGGTTCTGTGGTCTTCAGTTAAGATGACGGTTCTGGCCCAAACGCTCGCCGAATTTGCAACAACTAAGCATTGTCCTCATCAATTGTCAATTAGAAATCTTTCCATAACCTGCGCCGCGATGCCTGCAGCTTTGAGCAACGGTACTCAGCGGTCGGGACAAACTACTGTTCCCAAAAAGCTGGTTCTCTGTTTTGATGGCACAGGAAACACTTTCACTGGCTCCAACTCCGACACCAACGTCGTGAAGATATTGAGTAAACTGGATCGCAATGATCCAAATCAGTATCATTACTACCAGAGTAAGCATCTTCATTGTTCAAGTCTTTCAAGGCGTCACTATTGACATACGTTGCTCATCAGCTGGTATCGGCACATATGATATTAATGACGAGTCTGTCAACAAAAGCTGGTTTGGTGAGATGCGAAGCTCCATCTCCCAAACTATTGATCAGGGAATTGGCACGACCTTTGATGCTCATGTTCTTGCGGGCTATCGATTTCTCATGCGTTACTACGATTCTGTAAGTGTGATCGTCACTGCAACATTTGATTGCTATTGATTGACCCGTTTTCAGGGCGACAAGATCTACATGTTCGGTTTCAGCCGCGGCGCCTTTACGGCCAAGTTCCTGGCACGTATGATCCATACTGTTGGTTTGCTCTGCAAAGGCAACGAGGAGATGGTCCCCTTTGCCTACCGTCTTTATCAGCGCTACCTGGCAGGCGAGGTCGAGGACTTTATTGTCGCGCACCCCAAGAAGTCCAAGAAAGACAATGGGAAACCTCCACAAGCTAAAGCTAATGGAAACAACCAAACCCCAATCATGGATGATGACCAGGAGCCGCTCCAGGATGGCCACCAAGAAGGCGAAGACCCAGTGGCCCATGGACACAGATATGAAGTCGCTCGAGACGAGATCGAAGCTTTCAGTGACACATTCTGCCGCAAGGAGACGGTAATGCACTGCGGACAGATGGAGGAGTCTAACATCAAGGTCTTCTTCCTGGGCATTTGGGACTGTGTCAACTCCGTTGCCGTCTTAGAACGCACCACGCCTGTGCCGGTTCCAGTCGTAGGCACAGCCCACCATGTCCGACATGCTGTTGCTGTCGACGAACGCCGCGTCAAATTCAAGGCGGCACTGCTCGCCCAAGATATCCGTGATACTGATCACACTCACGAAGATATCAAGGAGGTTTGGTTTCCAGGGTGTCACGGAGACGTGGGCGGCGGTTGGCCTGCTTCTGATGATCATCCTCTTGATAACCGAGGTGAGATGACCTTCTGGGAGCGCGTCAAGAATTTCTGGACGAGCCGCAAGAATAAGGGACCTAGTAAAGCACTAGGGTGCGACCGTTTCCAGATGAGCGACGTCCCGCTAGCGTGGATGATCCGTGAGGTCGAGCTTGTTGGCGAGCAAGAGCCGTCAGCATCTCTCAAATGGCGCGAAAGCGTACATGCATTCAAGGCTCGTTTTGCCAAGAAGAAGAAGCAAGCGCTCAAAGGAGTGATACATGACTCCCTCGCATTTGGCTGCGGTACAGCCTTCTTCAGAGTCCTGTTATGGAAGTTCATGGGTAAGGAGATCCCTGCTGCATTTCCTATCTGCTATTGCATACACTGACCTCACCCCGACAGAGTGGCTTCCTATCATCACTCGCTGGGAACTCGAGGACGATGGATGGCAAAATGTCCGCTTTCCGCTCAACAAGGGCCATACACGAGACATTCCCAAAGACGCAGTCCTCCATGAGTCCCTTCTATGGCGTTTGAAGAACGACCCTACCTATTGTCCCGGAAACAATCACGGCGGGCGGCTGCCACCTTGCTTAAAACACAAGGACGCTGTTGCCGAATGCCAAACTACAATAGGGCACGAGGAAGACGAAGAGTCTGAACATAAAACGTACAAGATTCTAAGGTCCGCGTCTGATCTTTGACAAGAGATTTCGCGCCGGCTGTGGCATCGTCAGTTGCTTCATTACTGAGGTATAGGACTAGCAGGTGGGAGACTCAGTTATGCTATTATACCCCAGAGAATGTAACTACTTATGTTCGGTGGGTCGGTCAAGCCCCTAGTTCGCTATCTCCCAGGTCTTCACAATGTACAAAAACGCCTGTCTTGTTTGTTCACCTGATTCCATTCATAGCCCTTGCCTCCAATGTGAAACCCATTACGCATATACAACTGACGCCACACAGTGTTGCTATGGACTGTCCATGCCCTCGTGTTGCAGACATAAATCACTGTTTAGTCGACTGATGCCGCATTGCATCTCTCGATCTTGTTCACAAACACCTATGTTCAACTGCCCTTACGGCTTTGTGTTGCCAATGCTGTTCGGATGAAGATTCGACCCGAATACTGCAATTTTCGTTTCCCTGTCTAACCCACAGTCATCGCGGTTCCTTTGATGGTGAAGCGATTCGAAAGCTAGGGTTATTGTCGATAAGCACGCGGCCGATGGAACAATACTGGCTTAGGTGGTGGAGCAACGCCAATGCAGACTGCTGACATTCGGTTCTCCGACATTCTTGGCCAACTCTGGAGGCCTATCAACCTGCATGCAAAATCCGTTACCTCCGTTGATGGCCAGGTTGGAGACCGCTTTGGGGCCTGTAGTGATGGCCTTCAACTATATTCTTGGACTGGTTATCGCCTTATCTATGCCCATAACGCTGTTCCTATCGAGTTGTCTTTAATAGCAGCATGAACGTGACACACAAAAATGGGACTGCATTTGTTGAATAAGACGCTTCTCGGTAATATTCAAGCTTAAATACTGAATTTCTTAAAATCAATTGGAATTGCTTGCTTCATTCGCTCGCCACCTATACCAGGCCATAAGCAATACTTTCGAAACATCAACTTAATGATGTGGTCTCTCGCCTTCCTATTAGCATCTTTGAGCATTGTTCACGCTATTTTCAGCGATCATGGGCGGGTTGTTCAGCTCAACGGTATCTTTTATTACACTAGTGGGGTCCCCGTTGGTCAGTTTGGGAATGGTACTTCCAGAAATTTCATTTTTGCTGCCGCTCAAATCCCTGGACAAGATCTTTTCCCTCTTACGATTATCGAGACATCTAGTGGAGAACTTTTTGCAGATGAGCTATTGAACATTACCGCCGCCTACGACAATGACGATGATGTCTTTCAGCCCGCGTTTTTGCGGACAATCTACCTCCGCTCCGCAAGACCAGACTCAACTGAATTTAAAGCGGCTTCTCTGGCGCGTCAACTCACTGAAGTGGGCGCGGCAGTGGTTGTGTCCTCCAGTAACATTCATGGTCTTTCCAGCAATGTGACTACTGGAGTTGCGTTCTTGAGCCTGCCCAAAGGTCCATATTTCATGTCGGCATATACCGGGAATATTTTCAAGGCCTATCGGCTTTATGATGACGACAGTTTGGCATTCGTGCAGGGTGTCGTTAGCGACGAGAATGGAGGGTTTAACCCCCTTTCGGCAGTTACCGAAAATGTCATGGCCAAGAGCATAGCGGTTCCTTCGCGACTCTACTACACTATGACTGAAGAGAAGCCCCTGGCCGGCCTTCGTTTCGGAGTCAAAGACATCTTTCACGTAAAGGGTGTCAGTACAAGCGGAGGCAATCGAGCCTACTTTTACTTGTATGGGCGCCAGAACCACACAGCACCATCAGTTCAACGTTTGATCGATCTTGGTGCTGTCCTTGTTGGCAAGATGGGTACCGTTCAGTTTGCCAACGGCGACCGCCCCACGGCAGACTGGGTAGATCTCCATGCACCCTTCAACCCTAGAGGCGACGGGTATCAGGACCCAAGTGGCTCTTCTACTGGCCCAAGTGCCGGTATCGCGGCATACGATTGGCTTGATCTGGCTGTTGGAAGTGATACGGGTGGCTCAATGCGAGGTCCAGCAGGATCTCAAGGCCTCTTTGGCAACAGACCCTCGACTGGAGCTATCTCCCTCGACCATGTCATTCCTTTGAGCCCAGTCTCGGATACAGCTGGGATATTTGCCCGCAGCGGTAGCCTTTGGGCCAAGGCCACGCAGGCTTGGTATCCTGACTTTGCTTCTAATTACACCTCTTATCCGTCCATTCTCTACCGCTCAACAGCGGAAAGAGGCGCCTGGTCAGGAAACAGTGTTGGTGAAGAAGCGATGAGCATGATCGATAATTTTGTGGGCGAGCTTGAAAGCTATTTGAAAGCCAACTCAACTCCTGCCAATTACACGCAATTATGGTACGAATCCCACGGCGATGCACTCGAGGATGTCAACAAGATGCTTTTTCTCACGTACGGCGTTTTCGTCTCCCACGACCAATGGCAGCAACTAGGTAAGCCGTTCTTCGAAGACTATGCTGCCAAGTTTAACGGCCGCCAACCGTACATCAACCCAGGGCCGCTAGCTAGATGGCAGTGGGGTCAAACCTATGCAACGGAAGACGTCTACGCCGACGCGCTTCGAAACATTTCTGTTTTCAAGAGCTGGTATGAGACGGCCGGCTACGGACGACATGACCCGGAGTCATGCTCGGAGGGCCTTTATGTCTATCCCTGGTCCGTGGGTGTACCATCATATCGTGATGTGTATCTCGAGTCCCGCACAACACCTCCTCTCGGTTTCGACGATTCTTCCGTTCCGGTCATGGCTGGCGCTCCGGAAGTTGTGGTACCAATTGGCGAGGTCTCGTACAATAGTACGAAATCCTTGCACGCGGAGTATCTTCCTGTGACGATGGCTTTTAGGATGGCCAGGGGTTGCGACTTTCATCTTGCGAGTCTGGTTCGAGATTTGGAAGCGAAGGGAATTCTTCGTCAGGTAGCCGCGGGCCATCGACTATATCCATGAACAGCTAGCACTTTGATATCATCATAATTCAGTATCGTTCCATCTTGAGAATAGAGGGACTTAACCAGGGAAAGTAGAGTCGAGATACCCCGCACCATGCATGAATGGTCGTTGTGACGTTGGTCACCACGCTGCGCTGACTACCACAGAACCAAGGTAAACGGATTACTCATCCAGCCCAAGGTAGCAGTGCTCATCGCATTGTCAGGGAAAATATATGTAGTTGCAATCTCCAAGACTATCATTTCTTGTCCTCCTGAAAAGTCATCCCCACCCCCAAGTACCACTTCCACGAGCCAAGATCACGCTTCCCTTGTGCTAAATCTCACTTTCATCATAGTACACAATGCCATTTTACCAGATCTACCACACGTATCCTCTACATCAAACACAGCGACAGTCCATCGCCCTATCCATCACAAACCTGCACTGCAAAGCTTTCAGCACGCCTGCATTTTTCGTGCATGTGAGCTTCAGCTACCAAGACTCCAAGACTGACGACGGAACCTACTTCATGGCGGGAAAGCTGCACTCCGGCAACTCTAATCGCATTGTTGCGCTGGTGCGGACGTCGGCTTCTCGAACAAAGGAGGACTTCGATAACCTTGCAGCCAGCATCGAAGACGCTTGGAACAAGGCTTTGCGAGAACCCATTGACAAGAATATCAAAGGAAACGACGAGTTTGACGAATCGAAAAGGTTACTTATGGTTGTTTTTACGCCGATATTAGCAATTAGAGAGGGCGGAATGGTCATTCCCGAGGCGGGTCATGATGATAATTGGTTAACGCGACAGCTGCCTTATGTTAAGGCCTTGGCCGAAAAGCACAATATCAATGACTTTAAGGACTTAGTGGGGGAGATTGAACAATGGAAGACTTCTCATGGTCAGATGGACTAGTTGAGAAACGATATAGACCTAGTGTCCTTTATTTGTCCTTTACTTTTGAGTTGATCAAACACTCTTTATCCTCACGCTGTTACAGAGAAGGCCCAAAATCGATCAAGACAAATGCGTGAGCCAGCTTTCTCCCATATGAAGAGAGGTATTCCTTTGCCTGACCAAGGAAAACTTTCACGCCTTTGTCCAAGCTCGAGCGACCTAAGAACTTGCGTCTGATGTATACATCTGTGCCTCGGGGTGTGTAGGACGTGCTGCTGGGTGGCCGTCAGAGGAAGATTAGATGGTTACAGCTTACGATATAGGTGTTTAGAACTTTGAATGATCTTACATTTGCGACGCAAGAGAATACACATGGAAGTTGGCGTTAGTTAGTAGGCCGACTTTCGGCCGGATCGCTCTCCTTAGATGATCATCGTCAGTGTTCCAGACACTCGCGGACGATGACAGCAACTTGTCCCGCGTCCGAATTGTATGCGCACCACTACTTGTGTTCTATAAGGCTACTATGGCGATGTAGAATCACATGCGACAACATTTTACGGAAAATACATGTCCTTAGGATACCTTTTGCGTCAACAGTTGACGAGGGGAGCTTACTGTATTCTAATTTCCCGATTATGAAATGAAAGGCCCCGAGAATAGGCCGCTAAAGTATAACGGTCGAAGCTTAACTTTTTTAACTCTTTTGAAAACCGGGGAAAAGGATGCGAGACCTATGCCTCGGTGATGCATACCCGTCGGCACAACGTGGCGGAAGCTTTGCTGTGGGCCGTAGAAGGGATGAAGTCGAAGGTGAGCACCTGAGCAGGCTTGCCAGATCGAGTACGTGGGGTCCGGCAGAACATTGAAAGATGTTAAGTCGATCCGGATCTTCGACCACTTATCTGCTCTTGAAGTCAACAGTTATGCAGCCTAATTTGATCATTACTTTTGAGGCAACCATCCGTAATGACAGAGCGGAAACTGACCAAAATTCTATTTTGTCGCACCAAGTGCGAATGGACCTCTTTTTGCCAAGGGAGGTGTAGACCAATTGAAACCATTGACTAGCACTTTCAATCCAATGAAGACCTCAGAAAAGAAGACTTTTGAAGTAAGACTGCGTAGGACATTCTTAGTCTTGGCAAGAATGAGGTCCATCCGCACTCGATGGGATAGTCTGCGGGTCAAAATGTAGTTTGAAGTACAACTTGTACGAATTCCATTGACCGCTGAGCTATTGCAATTTCTTTGGCTCATTGCTATGACCGCTGTCTGACCTAGATTACAATTTCCCCAGCTAACCCATGTAAAGCGAGCCCAATGACAGAAGGTCTTCATGGATTTCAGTATGTTCGATAATGCGAAACTATCCAACCATCGCGCATGGCACTCATAGCTCCTATGCTTTCATGCCTAAGTCGCCAGTTCTCCGCCGGATCTCAAGCTTAGCCTTGGGATCAACCTCGATGGTGAAGCCAAAATTAATGGACTTAGGCTGAGCCTCTGCTGCCAATCTCCAGTCGTACTTGAGGAGGAGGTGGCAGAGAACAATCTTGACCTCATTGGCGGCGAAGAATCGACCAGGACAGGCATGCTGGCCATGGCCGAACCCAAGGTGTTCAGGCGAGGTGCTAACAAAATGGGCGGCTCCATCGTTGCCGGCGCCAAGAGACTCACGCATTCGGAGATAACGGTGTCCATCGAAGCGGCTGGGGTCCAAGTAGACAGAGGAATCGCGCATTCGCTGGCAGCTGACGGCGATGCGACTGCCCTCCGGAAGTTCTAGGCCGTTGGAAAGGGTAATAGGCTTGGTAGCCTCACGGTGCATCGCGACTATAAAATCTCTACATTAGCACAAGCCAGCAGACACATCGAGAGGATGAAACCTACCGATACCAATGGGATGGAGGCGTTGAGTCTCTTTACAGAAAGAGTCGAGGAGACGCATCTTGTAGAGACCCATACGAGACCAGCCGTCGGTGCGAATAACGTCAGTGATTTCCTTGCGAAGGGGCTCAAAGTAATCGGGGTACTTGGCAAGGTCGAGCATGACTTGTGTGATCAGGTCAGACGTAGTGTGAAGAGCGGCAAAAGAGAGTCCCAGCTGCATCATCGCAGGATCAGAGCTGGCGTCGTCAGAGGACTCCTCGCACCACTCGAGACAATCGTTGTATTCGGGTTCTTCTTCGTCCCGGTCCAGTGCTGCCTTCTTCTCCTTCCGACGCTCCTCGACAATGGGGTTGATTATATCCCTGGCCTCCTTCACCTGGGCTTGGAGTCTCCGGCTGAAAGGGTTGATTTGGTGGACGAGGCTGCGGAGAGGTTTGGGGAAGATCCTGAGGAGTTCGGAGGCGAGGAAGCTGGTTCTGGCATACTCGGAAGTGATCTTTAACCAGGCCTGGTTGCGGCAAAGCTTCTCACCGCCAAAAACGCGAGTGGAAACTCGGGCTACGATTTTGAGCATTTCCTCCCTAATTACAACAGTCTGCCATTCTAGGGGCTGTCAGCAGAGTTTGCTAAAGCAGTCATGCAATCTACCCACCTGTTTCTTCTCCAAAAGTGTCGGTTAGAGAAAGTGTCGTCTCGTCAGAAACAGGAGCCGTTAGCTTCGCTGGGAAGTTATCAGCAGTCACGTAGCGCCAAATAGAGATATTGAATACATACACAAGAACTGGGTCAATCTTGTCCGGATGACGTATTTAAGAACCGCCTTTTGCGGGTTGGCTTCCTTGAGTGGCTCAAAACCAGGTAGCTGAGCGTGAAAGTTCTGCAGTTCGCGCAATCGTTAGCAATATACTCGTTTTACATCTCACATACCGTGAGGAACGCTTGCCTTATCCAAAACGCGGTCGAAGCTAAGATCTTCATGGTTGCGAATTTCGTTGGCGAAGGGTACTGCAGGGAGAATCGTCATATCCCCAGCATCCGTGAGAACTTGATATGGCTCATCGGGACTGGTCTTCGTCCTCTCTTCCACAATGTGCCGGACATTGAAGATAAAATCCCATTTGACTTTCACCCAGGCGAAATCCCACTTGTGCCGCGGGTTGAGAATGGGTAAATCTGTGTGAGGTGTCTGCTCCGCCTGCTGGATGGAGAAATAAAAGACAAACAACAAGAAAGCAGTAATGAAATAAGGGACCGGCTTTTCCAGAGGGCTGGGGAAGGCCTGCAGTGTGTCAAGAGGCCCCCAAGAAGATTGGTTGGAATAAGAATCGTTGGCGGTGGCCATGGTCGATCAGGTTGCGCTATTCACGCTAGAGACAGGTTCTGGGTAACGAGTTGATTTGTTGCAGCTGGAGCAATTTGGAGACAAAACAAGTGTGAAAGAATTAATGAAGGGGAAGCTGGAAGAAAAGGGAAGCTGGCAAGTGGACAACCCATTGCTGCGGGCAGACTGGACGGACTCATCTTGGCTATGCCCGCGAAACGCCTATCGAGACAGAAAGACGAGCTCAAGAGGTTGGGGCGCTGTGCTCACACCCGCTGGCGTGACAGCTGATGGGCGGTGTTTGGTTTCAAGGGACATGCAGCCGCACAGCCCACCAGAGTTTGTCGTTGTTGGCTCGGCGCATGGACCGCATCCTCGGACGATCTCAGCGCCGATCTGGGGCCTCAAGTGCCAGGAAGCACGGTAGAAGGAGACGATTTAGATATGGGTGTAATGATTTAATATGTGGGAGCTTTGTTGAGTAGCACATACGGGGGCCTTTGTGGCAGATGCGGCCGGACTGTGTTGCTTATTCGAAGCTTGGGACAGAATATCGGTGCTTTGCCGCAGAAAGTCTGCAAGGGGGCAACCACCAGTGGGGCCGAGCTCTATCTGCCACGAATGGTACCAGGCCAGATTTGGAATGGTGTCGCGGAGAATTAATCAAAGAAGGACTCTGATGTGGCTTCCGGAGCCTGCGGGGTCATTCCGTAGCGGAGGACTATTCAGCTTCGGTGCCGGAAATGGGGTCGATATTCGGTGTGCAAGGGTTTACAATGTGTGCATCTGCCACTTCTTCCCGTTGTTCATCTAGCAATATGAGAATATGAGATCTCCATGGCGTTTGCTTGCTCCGTTCTGGTACAAATTTATGCTAGATTTTAACCAAATCCTGCGGCACTGAAATTTCGGAGCTTTCTTGTAGTTACTTGTTGTGGAAGGCTGAGTGAAGTTTCATGTCAAAAATGTGGTGTCGTGGTCGCAGCCTTGAATGAGAAGTACATCTGAATAGCCATGAATGCTACGTAACCCAGTTGCAGGTGTTGTTCAAACTATTATTTCCATGCTACTAATATTATCGTTACAGTCGGCAAGAGTCCTCACCAGCATATGGTCGTTCGCGCGATCAGATTCGATTTGAATGGAGAAGCTGTGCGTGCTGGACTCGAATAGTCCCTGCAAAGTGCAAAGACGAACAAGAAGGTAATTACACCCATGACCGACGTTACAAGGCTACTTGGTGTTGTCTCCAATGAGAAGTAATAACACAGAACGAATCTCGCTGGTAAGGAAGTCCAAGCCACAATCGGATGGCAAAAATACTCATATGCTGTCGTTCGAATGAGCGGTTTCGCATGTAGACACGCTTGCCGTTAATTATTTGTCCGAGAATGAAAAGCCGTTCAACGTCTATTTGAAACTGTTCTTGTTTTATTTTTCGGGAAGTGAAGATCAACGCGCCGCGCCGGGCGCGGAACCGTGCGAGTGCTGCTTTCTAGAACCAAAGAACTTTGGCCAGCCAATCGCCACAACAACTTGGCTACATTCTGCGGTTTATTATTAGATTTAGGAGTCTAAGAACTTTCTCACTAATTAAGATATACCGGTATTACTCGATGGTAAAGCTGCTCAGTTCTTGAGTAACGCCCCTTAGCTTGCTATTGTGCTTTGAAAGTATGTGCATCAGGACTGCGTTGCCACAAGGACCATGTTAAGAGATTAAAGCAATTTTAAGACGTGTAGAATATCAAAATCATTTCAATTGGCAACAATCAGTTCTATCGTAGGATTTGTTAAAAATCGTTCAACTGTAAGAACTTTCACCCGTACTCAATACCGATATCGATACTTCGGCGCAGACAGCTTTAGGGATGAAAAATATTAGCTTGAGATCCAAACACTCGCAAAGAGGTAGCTCTTCAAAGCATTTGTGAAAACACCAGTAAGTCCTATTCGACTGAGTAACGGAGAAAGTTGCCGGTTAGGGCTGAGTCCAGTGAAGAATCTTGTCAATTTGTAGTGAACACGTTTGATGGTACCCGAGTTCTTCGCTTCGGCCTCGAATGAGGAATTCTTATCCGATGAACAAGGATTCGGTGTCATCATTAGGTTTAATTCTAGGCGCATCTGTTGAATTCCGCTGGCAATGTGCCCCTAGATATCCTTGTTCGAATTAGCATTCATCAGACTTGGCGCCGTGCTCCCAAAGACTCTACTAGATGACTCGCTACAACATGAAAGAGGTAAATCTTACATCTATACTATGACCGCGCACACTGAGTTTAGATAAGTTGCACTTCATTTAATCTCGGATGAACCGGATATACCGCCAAGTCCTGGCTTTGCATGTTTTTTGATACTGGGGCTCTGAGTTCTTCAAGCTTACCTATGTTGAAGATATCACGAGGTCCTGGGTTTCTAGGAAGGCAATTGGGTTTGTTGATGCGACTTCGGGCGTTGAGACGGGGCCATTTGACGGCCTGGTTCGATTTCATCAGCGTTTCTATAAGACTGGAGAAGCGGGCGATATTTACTTTTCGATGGTGACTCGCACATGGTAATCCCCGCAACTAAACTGCGAACTTAAACTGGCCTCGTACCTTTCAGAAAGAGGAGAGACTTGCTTGGCAAAGACGCTGCGTAGAATATTAAATAGCGCGTGTTCAACCTTTCGAAAGGTTGGCGGCTGGGCTGTTTTGTTTTCCATTTTCAGGCGTGCAGAGACAGCTGTCTCGGATGCTGCGTCACAATTACCTTGATTACATGTCGTCATATCTCGTTCATCATGCAGTATTCAACTCTTACATCAATCTTTTTGGCCTCACTAGCCTTTCAGCAGGCCATTGCTCTTCCCGCGCCTCAAAATAGCCTTGCCATCAACGTTGCCGATGTAGTGCAATCTGATCACCCAGAGGCTTACGCCGCGTTCTTAAGAGCACCAAAGATCACTCTTGGTGGTACCGCCCAGAAGCGTCAGGCAGTACCTGGGGATGGCAGCCCCGACCCGGATCGACCCGCGGTGACGCCCGAAAATATCTTCGTTTTGCAGTGTTCCGACGCCGGGTTCTTGAGAAACTGTCTTTCCTTCGGCGCACCCCCGGGGCGATGCGGTGAGAACACACTACTTCGGCCATGCAGGGTGGCGCCTACTCACCTTGGAAGATGCACATGGCTGACAAATGGTTTTGATAGTGAGCTATTCCAGCTTTAACAATAACCAAACATTCATCGATAAGTACGACAACCAAACGACTTCCTTGAGCACAAATACCGGTGGCCTCTGCCAGTTCTATAAGTAGGTATATCGAGATCAAACATGAGGATTTATTAAGCTAACAAAAGGCATAAAAGATTTATCGGCTGCAACGACAAGGGCGACGATCGTGGTGTCTCTCTTAGTTACAACTATAATCTTGCAGAGGCTGATGATGAGGGGTATTCTGGCGACTACGATAATCAAATTAGCTCTTGTAAGTCCCCCTTCTTCAGTTGGTGCAGACCGTAGCGAACATCTGACTCTTATCTTGTTGACAGGGAGATGTTGAATGCATGGCCACCACCAATTGATCTTACAGTCTGGCAAGAATTGTTAGGCCGTCGTCACTCGTCGAGGTTTCAACGCCTACTCTACCCCCTTAGATAGCGACTGCATTAAAGATAACGCATTGTTTGAAGATTCATTCTAAAGAGTATTGAATTTCAGCCCATAACGGGTCGTTTTCATTTTGTTGAAAGTTGAACAACTTTAGTGATACCGAGAGAACTGTCTAACGCGTCTCTTCTTGAACTTGGTGTCTTCCGTCGTGCTATTGATGCCAGCCGCTAAAGCCGCATCCAACTCGGTAACAATGCCCTCATCAGCCGGCTTCCCTAAGTTCTCCGACATGGGTCTCACAACATCGCAGCGCAGGGCCTGGGAAGTGCTCATCCTCTCCATATGGGTGTTGTTAGTCTGCACAAACAGTCTCTCGCGGCCCTGAAGGCCTGTAAAGAGATTCCACTCGGAGGCACCCCTCTCACGATCGGTGTTGGGGTCCAGGTTGCGGATGAAAGAAACCCAGTACTTGCGGAACTGAGAGATGATTGGTTTGTTAATGTCGAAGTACGATGTGGGAGCTGAGCCATCGGTGCGGTTGGGACCCCAGAATGCGTACGTGTTCACGGTATGGTAAGCACCGAAACCCTCAGCCTCAGACTTAGGATCTCGTACAGCGTACATATAGTTGTATGTAGGCACCTTATCGCGGGCAAGGTAGTTCTGGATGTTGCGAATGATGCAATGGTTGCCAATGTCACCGATGGCGTTAGCCGTCTGGCGCCATTTGACTCCGGAGTCGGGAAATACCGATTGAGACACGTCGATATACAGCTCATCAAGAATGGTGAGGGAGGCGTTAGACAGAGAGGGATCTTGGCCGTGCAGCCAAGTGTTTGCCTCCTCGGTAGAGTTGGTGGACTGCGGAGCAGAGTACATGGTGCCTTCCTGGGCGCAAGAGCCCCATATGGTAGGGACCTTGGTGTATTTGCCCTGCTTGAATAGGTTCACCATGCTGTCGGTAAAGAGTTCTCCGTCAATACCGGGATTGAACCAGCAGCTTGAAGAACGGACTGCGGACTGGTTTAGAGCACGCAGGCAGGACAGCGAGTCGGGGGAGTCGGAGCAGCCCTTTTCTTTGACAAGGCAGTCGTATTGGCCCTGGCCCTGCTCCATAGTTCGCATGGTCACCCAGCCGCCAGACTCGGCAATTCCACCAGCAAAGAGTTGTTTTCCACCGGTGTCGGCAGCCATCAAGAGACCGACAGCCGAACCGCCAGCGCTTACACCGTCAAGGACAACCTGCTCAGGGTTTCCGCCGAATTTCGCAATGTTTTCTTGAACCCAATCAAGAGCCTTGATCATATCCTTAATACCAGCATTGAGGCTACCGCCCGCGCGAACCTCATCGCTCTGCAAGAAGCCGTACATGCCGACACGGTAGTTCATCTGCACCACAATGACGTTGCCATCCGATGCGATTTCGCTGGCATCCCAGTTGGCATTGGAATTGGAGCCGAATCCTCCACCCTGGAGAAAGAAGGCAACGGGAAGCTTGGAATCGGTCTTGGCATTGGATGGAGCTGTGACACTCAGATAGAGGCAGTCTTCGTCGACAGTGAAGCGGGAGTTAATGCTAGACACAGTCCAGTCGTTTGGCTGCTGAGGAGGGCAGATGGGACCGTGGACAGTAGCGTTGACCAAGCCGGTTTGAACGGGATCGACTGGTGCGGCAAATCGGAGATCTCCAATGGGAGGAGCGGCATACTGGATGCCCTTCCAAGTTGTCACTCCCAGCTTGGCATCAGTCACAGCCCCTTGGAATTGAGCGTATCCCAAGTCCACAAGGCTGTTGACGGCCTGGACATTAGGAGTGAAAATAGTCGCTGCAGCGAGCAAAAGGGCTAAGTGTGATCCCTGCCACATGTTGTATGAAGAATCCGGATTTTTTGAACGAAAGTGTTTATCTAAGAAACCCTCAAGGAACGATAGAAACTGTCTGTAAAGACACTAGGCGAAAGAATGGAAGTAGTGCTAGCAGCACTTCAAACAAAAGGGTGAAGGGTGACAGCGAACATCATTCTCTCTTCATCATTGTTATATACTTGAATTCTTGTAAGCTCTTCAACCTAATAATGTATCTCCTTTCTTTCCAAGTCCGTAGGTCCCGCTGGCGACAGCGTTCCACACTATGCTATTGAGTCAGCTTGCCTGTTTTAATTGAAACAATACGGACGATAGTGCCCCTTGGGGCTAAGTGGAACGCGGGTCACTCCGGTGAATGTCACCCCACCCAAGCGGAAGTTTAATAAACGGGACGAACGTCAAGCTCCTTGTGGAGGCAGTTTGGTACAAGTGATATTACCCGAAGCCAAATTTAATTAGCGGTGATGCCACAAGCAAATGACTAGACTTCTTGCTTAGCAACAGGTGATTAGATCCACTACCTGGATTAAATGAACAGAAATGCATTGATTGGACAACAAGACATTCACAAGTATGACCGTCTCTGTCTGCAAGGCTGGTCTGATCACACACCTGAATAATGAGCCAACCGTTCCAGTTGTGGTGGATGATTGTCTTTAGCCGGAACCTTAAACGTGGGTGCAAATGCGAACCCGAAATATTGGGACAGGCACGGACACAGTCGTCAGGGCTAATCTGAGATGTAAAATGCCAAGATATCTAGGTGACTTAAATGAAACATAGTCGCTCTCAATCAGATTCGTACAACGGTATTCGCACTTTATTAAACTCCGGCACTCAGCTTCTAGAGTATGATATCAGCCTGAGGACCAAATTTCTCATAAGCTTAATGGAGTTCAGTGTTTTTCTGTGCTGCTCTTTGCCTCGACCTTAACTATCTTCACTGGAATGGTGGCACAGCCGACGAGTAATTGAGTCGTCGAGCAGACTCTGGTGAAGGGCTAGATCTTATGAATCAATATCGCATCTGATGGTGTCATTTTCTGGGGCACAGGTTTGGCGTCTAAAATGCACATTAGATGATAAACATCCGTAACAGATGATTTCCAGCACCCCTTGGTAGCAAACATCCCGTTAGCTACAGAAACACATCACATTTTGCCAAGGTGCGAAGAAAGTCAGTATGGTTTACTGCCAACATATTTTGTCCAACAGAAAATCAAACAACAACAGTATTTGCAGAAATAATGGAGCAAATCAAAATGATGTGAGTCTGCACCCGGTGGGATACATCAGAAGCTCAAAATCTTAGCGTAGATCTGGACGGCTCGGTGTTTTACTGTGTCATCGATTTGAATGGGTTACCGCACCTGGTGCTTGATATCGTTAGATGCTGGAACTATTGCAGGGGAATCGGACGGGCCATGGTTCTTATAAACTGTTTGCTCATTCATAGTCCCAGCAGGGTTTGGGAAAGAACTGCTTAGAGTCTGGATCGGCTTCAAGTTCTATATCAGCCGACTGCATGCGATCCTGGCACGTTATTTTCTCTGGCGATAGACGATTCATCTGCTCCATACCAGATAAGACAAGAAATAAAATTGATATTGGTGCTTTGGGCAGTGTTTGATAGCGTCTATGCAGTTTCGTATTTCACACAATGCGTGTGGCAGCCATGTTGATCTAGGAGCCTCATGTTCCATTTCTCTGGTAAGATAAATACCCTTATGCATCGTCTCCTTGACAATCTTAGATTCTCGGCCTGTAATATACCACAAAAGCTTGGCTCAAACAATAGAGAAGTTGTGCAGTGAGATTGACCATCTCTTTTAGGCAATCATCATGCATGAAAGGAACTCACCCCTGGAAATTGAACTGCCAAGTTTGTGCCGACTGCAATTGTTCCATCTCACGCGGAATTCGCTTGTTTCTCTTCATGGTTTGCGGCGGCACCGGACATATGTTAGAGGCTGACTGATGTCAATGCAGTGTCTAGGTATGATCACTTAGCCCAAGCGTCTTGAACAAACGGGAGAGTCGTTTCCGCTTTGTCCGTTTTTCGTATAGAGCAGGCTTTTCAGGCCTGTATCTCATGCAATATCTAGAGAGACGCCTAAGCATACAGGTTCTGTCAATCCTTGACCTCCGAAGAGTAGGGCAAACTCACTAATCTCAAGGCTAAACCTCACCAAGCAAGGTACAGCCTATTCCTAAACCAGTGGACGCGTTTTTGGGATTGGTGCCTCTCTTCCTCTCGCAAGTATCTTCAACTGTGTTCTTTTTTGGAAACCATGGAGGATGTAGGCCCAGACATAGATGCTTGGTAAATATCCGTGAATTCGAACATCATTCAACCCTAACACAGCGGCGAAGAAAAAGGCTCTTGTTAGGTATATACGTTATTACTAGACTCAAGCTCATGTCGTGTTGTCGGCCCCGAGATAAAGCTTGGTTTACAGCAACAACCGGAGTCGAACAAGCCACAAACCATGTAAATTCGCAAACCATCTTCCAGTACGTCAGGTTTGGATATAGTTAATATTCTAATAGTAGCACAAACTTTCTGGCTAGGTTGATTCAAACATCGTCTCTGACGCTACGTTGGACCAAACTACGGGACCCAAGCATGCGATTTGTAAATGCAGGTTACAACCTCGTATTCAAGACCACTATTTGTTGAATCGGGCGTACATAAAATCCAACCACCGTTCCAATTGTTTCGTGTAGTATTTCCAACGACCTTCGTATTTTTGATTCGGGTTCCCTCCAAGCAACAACTAGTAGCCGTCGCAATGGTTAGCTATCACCTTTTTGCTCATTTCCTAACTGCAGCTCCTGCGGCGCCGCCTAGACCGACAAACTCGAATTCATCTTATGCAGCCACAGATATGGCGGACATCATTGCTTACAAAGACTACCGTGCCGGAATCGCCAGCGGTGGAACTGGGCAAGTTCAATCACTCAGAAAGGAGCGCATCTGCGATCTCACTCTCTGCACTGGCGTCAACTTTTCTGGTCATTGCTCCTTGTGGTGTTACTACAAGGACTCGCACCAACGGATCCCAAGTGCTCAAAGAACTAGCACAGCTTCTTTCCGGTACCAACAAGCCAGTGAATGCTGGTTCTATACGTACGTACAATTCTTGTTGGTCCTGACGCCTTGGTCTGACTTGCACCGTATACAGCGCTCCGGTCTGTGACCTACATTTTATCATTCATGGACCTCTGCAGAGGATAGTCCACCCTTGGGGGAATCTCCAGGATAACTCGAGAGGAAGGCTGGCTGTGTCATATGTCCTACAGTGCCATGAATGTGACAAAACACCTTGGCCGCCGTCTTTTCCGGATTCCCTGGAAGATCAGAGCACAGGGGAGGAATTGGGTCAATTATGGCTGACCATTTGAACATTTTCTCAATCACTGAGCAATTGTAATTACCATAGTTCTTTCCTGCAGAATTCCATTTCCAGCCTGTGCTAGCTCACATTCATCTATTCGAGTGATCCATATGATATAACTCCACTTTAAGGTGTAATCCTTGGTGTATTTACCCGGATAAAGCTTGTGCACAGTTTGGCACTTACTTCCGGTGTGGTTTTGGAGATTTGCATCAACATCACTGACATATTTCCCATATCCCTACTGCCCACATGAAGGGTTGAGAGTATTGTACTTCAGTAGACGAGCGCTCCAGCAAAGTGTTTTATAATCTAGAATCAGGACACTGATCAGAAAACGTTTCGCTACAAGTCGTCGACAACCAAGTCATGATGATGAGCATGGGCCGAGCTGCGGAGTGTCTGTTATCGATGTTGTTCATGTTGAGAGACCATATGAGCATCTGTTGCAGATCGGCACCTGCATCATCAATCAAGTACACCCACTCGACAACCATCCTACGCCTTTGGGGTAAGGCTCTAATAGGGTCTCTGGGTAGTTGGTGAAAGGCGGGGGAAACGACACACACAGCTATTTCCAATTTTCTTCATGGAGCTGTTTCCAAGTTTGAAGCGTGAGTTAAGTAGCCTATATCAGTAAGAAGACGCCGAGACCGCAACCACCGGTAAATCGATCGCGGTACCGGGGCCGTCTCTATGGACCACAAGGCTGGCGCCGATAGCCCCCGCCCGGTCCACCTCATTGCGGAGACCGGCCGAGTTTGATTTCTAATGCTTGCGTCATTATTGAAGGACCCAGACCCGGCCGAGGGGTCTCGTTTCGAACGAGTTTTCGAGGTTAAAGAAGTTGACTCTTGCTGGAAAACCACAACAGCTTCAACGAACACTGATCTCACTGACGCTAAGCACATTATCACATTCATCATGAGCAACAACGAAGTGCAGCGTTGGCAGACCCGCCAGGACGGGCTTGACAAGCTCTTCCTTGCTTCGGGGCCTATTCCGCAACCCGGACCCGGCGAGGTCCTCGTTAAGATCAACGCCGTTTCGCTCAACTATCGTGACACGGAGGTGGCCATGGGCCTGTACAACCACCACAAGACCATCAATCCGGGGGAGACGGAGGCCCTGGTCCCGGCTTCGGATATGTGCGGTTCCGTCGAGGCCGTGGGCGACGGCGTCGAGAGATGGAAGACTGGCGACCGCGTTGTATCAATTTTCAACCAATCGCACATCAAGGGCCAGATCAAGGCGGCGGATATGAAGTCAGGACTCGGTTTCCCGTTGGAAGGCGTGCTGCAGTCCTACCGCGTATTCCCTGCTGAGGGGTTGGTCAAGGCGCCGAAGCACTTGAGCGATGAGCAGGCAGCCTGTCTGCCGATTGCGGCGGTGACGGCGTGGATGTCAATCAACCAGTTCCGGCCACTGGGCCAGCCTGGCGGCAAGGGAGAGGTTGTTGTTTGCCAGGGCACCGGCGGTGTTGCGATTTCGGGACTGCAGATTGCAAAGGCTGCCGGCGCGACGGGTAAGTGAAGATGCTTCGCCGGACTACTCAAGGACGGATAGTGACTAATCATCGCGATAGTTATCATCACATCATCATCAGACGAGAAGCTGGAGAAGGCCAAGGCACTCGGCGCAGACTACACAGTCAATTACCGCACCAACCCCAACTGGGATAAAAAGGTCAACGAGGTCACCAAGGGCGAGGGCGCCGACATCATCCTCGAGACGGGCGGTGCCAAGACGCTACGCCATTCTTTCGAGGCCATCGGCTTCGGCGGCGTGATTGCGTGCATCGGGTACTTGTCGGGCAAGGTGGACGGGGAGGAGGACCGGACAAACGTGAACTTGTTGGCGCTGCGCAAGACGGTGACGCTCAAGGGCATCATCAATGGGCCGCGTGAGAGGTTTGAGGAGATGATAGACTTTTACGAGGACAAGGGTATCAAGCCGATTGTTGACCGCGTATTTGACTTCAAAGAGGCTGACAAGGCGTACCAGTACCTGTACAGCGGAGGTCACTTTGGCAAGGTTGTCGTCAGAGTCCAGTAAATGTTGCCCGATTCGGCCTTGATCACATTAGATATGAATGGGATGAACTCTTGAGAAGACAATGGATTATGGTCGATGAAAATAGTACGAGGTGACAGCTAGCCGAGGCACATGTTCAAGCGATGCGCCCGCCCGGGGTCCTCGGATAATGACACCCCGCACGAGGGGGAGCAACGTGCATGGGGAAAACAGGGACTCTGAGCTGACTCGAGACACTAGGTTTCCCTGCAGCAGCTCGGTCGCGTTTGCGTGTCTTGAGCTCTGTGTGTTTCCGGTTGCGTTTCTGATGCTGTGCAGCCAAGCAGCTTACCTACATGTCAGCTGCAATAACGTTCGCTTCCACAAGCTCGATCTCACGGTCAGCTTACATCACTCATCCTTCTCTCAACTTCATCATCTTCTCAACTCGCATTGAATTCGGATCACATCTGTCTACGAATACAAGACTAAATAGCCTTCGCTGAGCCTCGAGCTCCAGTCCCCAAGCTCATCCCTGCGCCGGAACTGACGGAGTCGCATATCGGCCTTCCGCGGACCTCTGTCTCCCTAAGCTCTAATTCCCCCGTCGGGACCCGGAGCTGTGAGCACTAAATTCTAAGCAGGATTCCATTCCCCGCACATCCACGACCTTTTCGTCCTCCTCAAGCAGGCCGTAAGCAGAACTACTCGGACGTTACATCTGTTTTAGTCTCCGAGGCCGAGAGAACCAGGCAATTCGTCCGTCTAGCCGCGTAGCCAAGATACCAATCAGCCTGCCCAGCATCCATACCACCCCCGTTGGGTCTGATCAGCTAAATAGTTAAAGGCAGGCAGCTTTTCCAACAACCGTCAAGCGCTGCTATGGCACCCCACATGCAGGACGTACGCGACATTTTCCCTCTTCCCCAGACGCCCACCCAGACCCTTGCCGCGCTCGCTGGCATCGGCGCCTCGGCCTGGCTACTAAAGCTCATCGTCCGACATATCCTCCTCCGCAGCCCCGCCAAACGCTCCCACGCCTCGCCCTCATCGTCCGGTCCGACATTCGCAGCAATGAGCGCCGACAAGAAGAAGGAGCTTCTCGAGCGGCCCGCCATCGTTGTCGGCGGAGGACTGGCAGGCCTGGTAGCGGCGTTCGAGCTGTCCGAGCGCGGCGTGCCCACCATCATTATCGACCAGGAGAATGAGAAGAACCTCGGCGGGCAGGCGTTTTGGTCGCTGGGTGGGATATTCTGTGTGGACTCAAAGGAGCAGAGGAGGATGGGCATCAAGGATTCCAGGGAGCTTGCAATGAGGGACTGGTTCGGCTCTGCGCAATTCGATCGCGAGGAGGATGCCTGGCCGCGACGCTGGGCAGAGGCGTTCGTCAACTTCGCCACCGACGAGATGGAGGACTACGTCAAAGCCAGAGGTATGGGGTTTTTGTTCAATGTCGGCTGGGCTGAACGAGGTGCCGGCATGGCCGAGGGCCACGGCAATTCGGTACCGCGATTCCACGTTACCTGGGGTACAGGACCCGAGGTTGTGAGGGTGTTCGCAGAGCCCGTGAAGCGCGCCGCCAAGAACGGCGTTATTCAATTTCGATTCCGCCACCGCGTTGACGAGATCATCACGGACGAGACGGGTCGCGCCATTGGTGTTCGCGGCAAGGTCCTCGCACCTGACGACTCCCCCCGCGGCATAAAGTCCAACCGAGACATTGCCGGCGACTTTGAAATCTATGGGTCCGCTGTCGCAGTCACCTCTGGCGGCATCGGCGGCAACGTCGAGGCCGTGAAGGCCGTATGGCCCGTCGACCGCCTGGGCCCCAAGGTCCCCGAGAACTTCGTCGTTGGCGTTCCTGCTCACGTCGATGGCCGCATGATCAACATCTCCGAGGCCGCTGGTGCACACGTCATCAACCGCGACCGCATGTGGCACTACACCGAGGGCCTGCAAAACTGGAACTCCATCTGGCCGAACCACGGCATCCGCGTACTCCCCGCGCCGAGCTCGCTGTGGCTGGATGCGACTGGCAAGCGACTTCCTCCTTTTCTCTTCCCGGGCACCGACACCATGGGCACTCTGAAGCACATCTGCAGCACAGGGTACGACTACACGTGGTTCATCCTCGACCAAAGCATCATTGCCCGCGAGTTTGCGCTATCAGGGTCGGAGCAGAACCCCGACGTGACGGGCAAGAGCGTGTGGCAGCTTCTCACGCGCGTCTTCGGCAAGAAGGGAACCGTTCCAGTTCAGAACTTCCAAAAGTACGGGAAAGACTTTGTCGTGCGGGAAAACCTCGCCGACCTGGTGCAGGGAATGAATGAGCTGCAGCGCGAGCGCGGCGGGCCAGTACTCGAGTTGGAGGACATCAAGGAGACGATTGAGATCCGCGATGGCCAGTTTGACAACGCGTACTCCAAGGACGCGCAGGCGATGCTTATCAACAACGGACGGACGTATTGGGCTGACAAGAGAAGCCGCATCGCGCCGCCACATAAGCTGTTGGACCCGAAGCATGGCCCACTGATCGCGGTGCGGATGAACCTGTTGACGAGGAAGACGCTGGGGGGCATCGAGACCAATCTGGACAGCAATGTCATGAAGGCTGACGGGGAGAAGTTCCCGGGGTTGTACGCAGCGGGTGAGGCGGCAGGTTTCGGTGGTGGCGGTGTTCACGGGTACAACAGCTTGGAGGGAACTTTCCTGGGAGGCTGCATCTTCTCTGGAAGAGCAGCAGGTCGCGGTATCGCGAACGAGTTGCTTGGGCCGGCGGAAGCCAAGGGTCCGAAGTCGTACTTGTAATGTCCAACAAGAGCCAACATTGTAGAGCAAATGACAATCGAGCGCTGTTACATATTAGCCAGCCATTCATGTCCATGACTTGTTGCAGGGATAGCCAGTCGTAGCCACGGCGGCGGAATCCTGGCCGGTTGCATGCCGGATGCTTGAGACGTCGACTTCTACGGAACTGACTCTCAGAGCCTCTAAGACAACGACATGAACCAAAACGTAGAGCGTCGACCGGGTCATGGAAGTCAAAATCCAATCTCGGATTGGATGAACATTGTTATTATCATTCGTTATTAGGCTTATGAATTTGAGTCACTAAGAAAGGCCGACGTACGCACTCGCTCCAGCTTGACTACTGTCGTGACTCGAATCTTCCCCTCCTGAGCCTCCCAGTCTCCTTTGACCATGTCGTCCGACTTGCGCACCTCGACGGTCATTCCGGATGACGGCGATCGTCTTCCACCTGAGTATCCGCGCTCTTCGTCTGCGGCCATATCGCTTTCGATGTCGACAGTCTGCTTCTTGGATCGCGCTGTGAGTTCCACCTCATCATCGCTGCGGCCGTTTTTGGAGCTGGCCCCTTTGGACACAGAGTTGCTGGCTTTTGTTATGGTCTTGCGCACCATAGTCTTGACCCAAGAGGGCGTGTAGTGGGAGATCATGGGTCGAAAATGAGGGAGGCATGCAGCGATGATGTAAGTTCCAGTCTCAATGATGCTCCAACCAACGAGGCCGACAGATGCCCCTGCGTCAGTCAGTAATGGTTAGGGTGGCTTCCGCTGCGACGTGACTTACATGTGCGATCCGTAAAGGCAGATGTCTGAAAGAATATGTAGGCACGGATGATCGAAGCGACAACGCCACTGTATAGCTATTAGTCCTGATCCTCCAAGGTAAGAAGACGGATACTCACAAACTGCCAACCATGAAGATTCCGACCAGCGCAATCCTCTTGTGCATAGGGAGCTTCAAACCCCAGATGGTTTTGAGAGGCAGCGCCATGATGATTAAATCAAGCATGAAGCCCGGAATGGCCTGTGCGTGGAAAAAGGCCTGGACGTCGATACACTTGCCGCCGGGGATCGTCCGATCCCACCAGAACTCTAGGGGTTGGCACTGGAAACATGCCGTGACGACGAAAGACACGCTCGTCGCGGCGAGGGTTGCGAGGAGCACGTAGGCTGTAGTGCGCATCATGCCCTTCCAGTTGAATACGCGCAGGTACAGACACACGATGCCCATCTTTGGCAACGCAACCGACGTGAAGTAGACGATCTCGAATGCGATGAGGGACTTGGCCCATCCGGTCAACAGTTCAGGGTGAAAGTCTTCGACGAATTCAACATGTCGTCCGACGCCGCCGACTTTAACCATAACTACGAACACAGGTGTTAGAGAGTCACACCATAGATGACCTGTGCAGAAAAACCTTACCTATGCCCACAGCGCACATACCCAGGTCGACAACGTATGCCGCCGCCAAGAAGTAATCGTCGACCCCATAGCCGCCCGCAGTAAACCGTTTTGCGAACAGCCGCAGGCCGAGGAAGAAGGTTGTCAGGATGGCGAAGGCGATGGAAATTCCAATGAGCTGGTCGCCAGAGTCCTCCGCCAGGTACTCTGGCGTCAAAGTGCGAGTTGTTCCGTTTTCGGCGGCAATGAGTAGAGCCGTGGCCATTGTGCGCGAGAGTTATCGAAGGTAGGCTGAGCCGATCGGCGGCCAATATACAAAGTAAGCATGAATCCGTGTAAGATGGGTCCCTCCGTCTTCTGCTGCGGTAGAAACAAGAGAAAAGACCAAGAAACGCAATTTCTATTTTCTCTCCCTCAGCGCTCTCTTCCTCTCTCTTCATCAGCAGCAGCCTTATCTTGGCGAGCGGCACCCCTCTTTCTTTAATATCCCGACTTGGCACGTTCCCCAGAGGCTCCATCTGCGATGGCAAAGGGGCGAGCCAGCGAACGCAAGGACTTGGCCATGGCCGGGGTGTTGCACATTGGCATGTCCACCACCATGGTCAGACCACATCCAAGACGAAGTGTCATTTGTTGCCGTTGGGCGGAAAAGGATGGTAGACCTATATTTGCGCCTCCCACTCACACCATTTCGTCGCCTTGCGCAGGTTTAGTCCGCGGTTCTCTGTAGTGGGTTCCACAACAAGATCCTTGATTGCGGAGCATCGCTCTCGGGCTCCCAATTGCCGTGCGTAGCGTCGGCGGACGCTATGCTTAACGTGGTTGGTTGGTTGGGTTGAGTTGCACCGCGGAGCTGATCCATCGAGGCCGGGGAGATGGAGAAAAAGCCAGCTTTGGAAAGAAAGCCACGGAGCAGTCAGCCCCTTCCCCTACTTCAGCTCGTATGAAACGCTGCATTCTAGAATGATCGTGGAAGGAGGGTTTGAGATGCGCCTGGGATAACCCAGTCGTTATGCTCGCTATGAGAGATCTAGCCCTGGCTTCTATTCCTATTCGTCGTAGCAGGGATCGGCTCGCGACCATGATAATATCGAGGATCTCCACTAAGGAATTTCATCCCAGGCCACTGAGTCCTGGTTGCCTTGGTTCTAGCCTCTAGCCGAGGGGTGGAAAAGTAGGCCGTTTCTAAATCGTATCGATGAGACGCGGAATATTGAAGGAGGCGGCACAGCAGGAGTTCCTGTTTGTCAGTTATTCGTGTAAGTTCCTCTTCGACTCCTTGGTGCTGCGAAACTACAGCAGCCGTCGGATCATCGTGTAGGTACATGGCAGTGAACAAACACACACACACACACACACACAACCGCTTTAAGTATCGCCTCTCTTCTCATGGTCCTGAACGGTGGCACATGTCTGTCCAAGCTTAAACTCTCTTTGCCGCCGCCCCCCTCCAACTCCCATTCAGTCTTCCTGAACAACACATCTGGACAGTGAAAGCAACCAAGCAGTGGCGACGTCAATGACTCTCGTCTTGCAAACTTTTTATGACCCTGCCGTTAGCTGTCTTTTCAGCTTCGTGCTGCAGCGAACAACTGACCCATGCGCTCCACTGGCGTCATTGAGCCACGGTGGAAAGAAATCCGGGTCTGCAGCATTCATGCCATACCTGTTGTTGACAAAGGGCTGAATAAGAGCCCTGGTTACCGAACAATAAGGTGGGCGAGAGCTCCACGGCGATCCTTCGGGTTGTGGATGCAAAGTGGACAGATACCCATTGCGGGCGATCCCCGATCTCATTCCTAATGCCTTGTCATGCCGCCTGCGACCTTGGGGATCATGCAATTCTCATGCCCTGATTTACCGACGCGTCAACCTCCGAAGTATTTCAGATTTGCCCTGGCAGATGCTCAAGAGGCTGACCATGGGCGTTTTATTGGGGATTGCTATCAAGTTCGTCCCTTGTGAAGAGGCCGGGTTCCCGGTGCACTTGCAAAAAATCTTCTCCAGCATCTCGAGTCAGTGATTGATCTGCGTCCTCATCGTCTTGATCGACGGATCCATTCCTCAAAGCTGGGTGCAAATGCTAAGATTCACCCAGAGCCCCGGTTCATACGCGGCATCACGATTTTTTGCAAGATCAAGAGTCAACGCCTTGGTTTGACTGTGATCAGCAATCAGGATACCAGCCATACGCCTCGGCTGCAAACATCACCGATGTAACCATACCGGCCCTAGAGTCGTTTCAGACCTTCGTGGAGATGCTTCTGCAATTCTATCGAATACCCAACCAGGTCACCCCGCACCTCGATCTCGACCACCTTGTTGCCTATCACTGTCGGCAACGGATCATCGACATGTACGGTGTAGAAGTTAGTTATATTTGACGCAGACCATCTTATCACTTGTGAGGACCGCACTCCGCGGTAGCCCGTTGCCAATATGTGGCTTGCTCAGTGGTAGGATATCACGGACCACGCTTCCGTGGTTGATGGCCTTCAACCAACGTAGCGTCGGGCTTTGAACTAGGCTTCATCAGCAATAAGCCGCACGCCCCTTCGCTCGTAACGAGGTAACCTGATAGAAGACTACATGTGCACGGCGGGAAACTGGATGTGCTCGACGATGCACGCGGCGAGGGACTCCATAAGACGGCCAATTTACCATGATGCAGCCGTCCTCCAGCTCCGCTTCGCAGACACGAGACCCAACCGGGTTACGGAAGATGGAGCGGTAAGCATTCGGGCCGGGTAACATGTGCATTACTGGCATGACAGAACCCTGGTCTCTGCGACCCAGGTGATACTAGACCTCCAATGCCTGGGTCGTAACCCCGTGCCAGTTGTCGAATTTGCAGGTGATGGCCTTGGCCATTCCAAACGCAGTTTCGTTGCTTTCGTCGCCGATGCTGAGAAATAAAACCTTGTAGAGGCCAGGCGGGAGCAGGGTGTAGAGGCGCTCACTGAGAGAAAGGGAAATGACAGGAGGGGGGACCATGCCCAAACCAGATCGTCTAGTTCTCTGGCGTGGTCATGGATGACCTTGACAACTTTGGGATATCCGAATCCCTGAATAGACACCTCCGAGCGGAATAACGCCAGAACGTGAAAATGCAAACGAAGCCACCAGCAGCTCCAACACCGCAAGACTCACGCCGATGATTTTTTTCCCTCCTGAAAAACAGACTTGAGCTGTTTTCCTCCCGCGAATGATTTCCTTGTTGGAACTCGGTACCCTAGCGTAGGGGTGTATTCCTCGCACCTTGGCTCCAAATTAATTGGTTGGCATCCTGGCAATTAATTGGAGTTACATCGCGGGGCTACAGACTTTCGGGCCGCCGTGCTGGCCCCGTTGCCATTGGTTATCTGTAGCCTGATCAAGGATGGAAGAGGGCACGTTGCTTGCTGTGGTTCGATCTGTCTTCAACAGAGATGGATGGAGCAAAAGTTGAGGAGCAGCCCTTCCCTCGTGAGCTTAAGGGATATCCTTTTATTAAGACTCTCTTCCGCACCGAGCGAAAAGTTAAGTTTAGGTATCACAGTTCCCCGCGAGATCATCCCTTCGGATCGCAAAGGGTTTAAGCTCCACCGTATGGCTGCAGGTGTAATCCAGGAGGATTGCCGTCAACCCATATGCTGCAGTTGTTTTTTTAAACAAGCTATGGTTATTGGAAGTAATGGCTAGCGAGATATCTACTGATGGCCGTGAATGCTGATACCTTGTTGGAACCCAAGGATCCAAAGACATGAGATTGTTGGGAGAGGGAGCCACAACCGACTTGCTTAGGTGCGTTATCTTTATCCAGTGTTCCCGATTAGAGATTAGTCAGTTGTTGCCAGTACACCAGATAAGCTCCATGCACGTTCTCCTCGGAAAACTTTCCCGCGGAGAGCCTCGTCCTGCATCGAGAACCCTTCAAGATAAGTGCGAATATGCACGATGTCCATAGCCAAGTCAAAGGAGTGGTGCAATGTGTTCTGTGTTGATCTGATAAAAGAACGGAATAGCAGTGCCAAAACATGGCGCCCGAGGCTGACATCGACGCCTTTCCCTCGAAGCGCCCCTACCGCTCTCACCTCCGTCCAGCTTGTTTGGCTTGTCGCAAGCGCAAGTCGCGGTGTAATGTCGATCGAAACGGAGGAACATGCTTAACTTGCCGAGCCCACGGGACCTCGTGTGAGTTTCCCCCGACCCCAGCCGGCACCTCTCCGCGGCCGAAGGGTGCTTGGAGAAACGCCCAAGGCCGCAAGTCAAAGGACCTCGGACATCGCCCTTCGTCTCCATCCCGAACACAGAGCTTGGCAGAGCTTCATCTCAATCCCCAAACGATTGGTTTACCTACCGTTGACGCTGGCTTGGCGACTAGGAGGCAGTCGAGGTCCTCCGACGTTCAATTTCGTCCAATCTCACCACATGACACTCGCTACCCTGAACCCATCGGCGGAGGGGGGGAAGATGAGGCACACATTGTGGGACCAGCCGATATTGAGGACACCCAGGTGCTTTCTACCTACCTTTCAAATGACTCGTCCGTCCTCAATAGAAGCATCCGGACTAGGATCTCGGGGACGAGCCCGAGACAGGACCATGGGGGTAACAGCACGCGCAAACCGGTCGTGTTCACGACAGTAAGAAAGCAGCCGCTGGGTGTTCCCGACGACCGCAATCCAGCATTCTTGAAATGCCAGATTATAGAGATGCTTCTAGAGCCGATGCTGCCTGATGTCGTCGAGCTGTAAGTCTTTTGCAGGGCTATTTCTGAGTTGGATTTTGGTTAGGTCTGACTTTGATGACGCAGGTTCTTCGAAAAACCCAACCGGTGTTTCCCTCTGTTGGACAGACACTCCTTCGAGAAACGCTTCGTCGAGGACCGTCGTCACATTTCCCCTGCCTTGCTATCATGCCTATATGCGCACACAATGACCTACTGGGCCCAGTCGCCAAGTCTCGTGACTCAGCATCGCCCAGACACAAGGTTCATTTGGAACCAGGCCAACGATGCGCTGTACTCGGAGATACACCTTTCTCCTGGTATCTCTACGCTACTCGGCATCCTGCTCAATATTTCTGGCAGACCCTTGACCTCCATCATTGGCAATGGTCTGCTGCTTGGGTCAGCCATCTCGCTGTGCCACTCGCTTGGCCTGAACCGAGATTCGTCTGACTGGGACGTGCCCGAGGCTGAGAAGCTCCTACGCACCAAAATCTGGTGGGCAATATTTGTGTATGACAAATGGTGAGCAACCTCCTTCATGATCAGCGAGCTTGTGTCTAACCACGTGGTAGGTCGAGCCTGGCATATGGCACTCCGCCGCAGCTGCGAAGCGGCCAGTATGATGTGTTAATCCCAACAGTACAGCAGCTCTGCGGCCCCGCGGCTAACCCGGTTGACTACGAAGCAACGTCGGTGTACCTAGCTTTCGTCTCTTTGTCTCGGTTCCTCGACCGGTACTTGGAGCATATTTACGACCTTGAGAAGACGTTGTCAACCGGCCCATGTGACTTGGAAGTTTTACTGACACAGTGGGAAGACTCGCTCGATCTCAACCTCAGGCGAAGGATCATCCGCGGCGGTGACAGTCTTGACATTCCTGGTTCAGCGAATCTCCGCTTGGCATACCTTTACATCAAGCTGCTCCTCCGCAAGTGGGATTTGGACGCAGAAAAAGCAGTCAACGCCGACCGCCCGTCCTCAATCCCCATGAGATGCTACCTCGAAGTCCGACGGGCCGCTGAAGAGATTGTGCTCCTGGCCCAGGAGCTGAAAGACCCTCAGCTAGGGGACTACTGGCTTCCTCTTCTCACGTTCGCATTCACCTCCACCATCAAGTTCCTTATTCGATGCGCGCTGGAGACGGAGAACACCATGAGCGGAATAGCTCAGAGCATGTCGCTCAAGCTGGCGGGCGACCTCATCAGCGCGCTGCAGTCACATCGTCAGAAAGCCTGGGATTTGGGGGATCTGTGTATCGCTCAGTACTCTGAGGTCATCGAAAAGCTGGCCTTGTCCACCTCCAGCGCCAACCTTGCGGAGCAGCCGGTCGACATGCCCGATTTGCAAGAGTATGTGTCAACGAGCGTGCCGGACATCGATGAGCTGTTTCCGAGTTTATGGGACATGTTCGGCACTACTTAAGGCATCGTCCCGGTAGGAACGTCGCGCGTTTCAGCACTTCACATCGCGTTCTTTCGTCGCTGTTGGGTAACTTTGCAATAGCCACCATCTTGATCCGAAAACCGTTCGTAATGTCTTCCTGATTGGACCAGAAGCTATCAGTGCTCCGACGCTCGGTCGGACATAAATCGGATGGATCCGACGGATAGCTCCGTCTCATCATAGTACATGAATGCCATTGCTTCGGCCTCACCGAACAGCGACTTTACATTGCATCATTTTCACAGTTTGCCTCATTGGGCGAGATATAAGAATGAATGGACTTCAAAAATTGCGGCGCATTGTATCCCCATTGGTATCGGCGACTTTTCAAGTGCGCTCGTTCCACCACGCCGGTTCTACTCTACTACTTAGCTCGGAAGCATCCGAGAATTCAGCGCAGATTTCAATCATGTCAACTCGGGAGAAGGTCGCGGTAATCTACCAGGCGATCAAGCCACCACTCATTAATGGCATGCGCAAGCCTATGAAGCCTGGTGGTCAGTACTTTCAACACTTGTTACTTCACGTCAAAGAAACTTTTTTGACAGGCTGTAGGATACCGCGACTCTGGCGCCGACATCGCCTATAACCTTCACACCAGCAAGTCCATCGAGACGGTTTGTCCGGTGTCTGTTCCGTCTCCAGAGAATGATTCAGAGTGGTGTTTCCCAGACACAGAAGAGGGGATATTGGACGCGGTCAGAAAGGGAGCTACTCATATTTGGGCCAACACCATTCTATTTGCTTCTCATCCGCTGCAAACCTCCACAGCACTTGGCAAGCTCCAGGATACGCTCAAGGTCGTCGGCCACGGCCCCCTTGTGGTCGAAAAATACGATGACAAGGAGCTCGTCAACAGCCTGCTGCGCCGCACCGGCGACTTCACCATGCCCCGCTCCTGGACAATTCACCACAGCCCCGACTTCTCCACCAAGCTCAGCCAGAATGACTTACCCTTTCCTGTCGTGGCTAAACCAATACGAGGACGAGGAAGCCATGGCGTACGAGTGTGTCGAACTCTTGATGACCTCACTTCTCACGCCGAAGCCCTCTTTGGGGAGTCCCCAAGCATTATGCTGGAGGAGTACCTTGCCGGCGAAGAAGCCACGGTCACCGTGATGCCCCCCAATAGCGAGAAGAACGAGTACTGGTCCCTTCCCATCGTTACCCGCTTTAACCACCAAGACGGAATAGCCCCGTACAATGGTGTGGTGGCGGTCACTGCCAACTCAAGGGTCATCACTAAGGAAGAGGAGAAGGATCCGGCTTACGGACTGATTGCGAGGGAATGTGAGAAAGCGGCTGAGGTATTGGGTGTCACTGCTCCTATCCGTATCGATGTGCGACGCTTTGAAAACTCCCCCGGGTCAAAATTTGCTTTGTTCGACGTGAACATGAAGCCGGTAAGCAGTGACAAGGATCTCAAAAGGCATTATAGTTGTGTTATTAACAAAAAATGGCAGAACATGACCGGCCCTGGTAGGCCCGGACGAGATGATCAAGCCAGCCTTACTCTCATGGCGGCTGAGGCTTTGGGCTGGGATTACCCAGAGCTATTGAGGCAGATTCTGCATACTGCGTCCACGTTGAGGGCCCTCAGGGAACTAAAGCCCAAGAATTGCCAATCATCAGGATGATACAAAGTACAAGTACTATAGACCATGAAGCATCTCAACGATGGGCTTGCCTAGCTTTCAACCTAGGTAAGTCACCATGAGTTATGGTGTCATTGGGTCAAGGCACGACATTTACTTTTGGGAATGACGTGGGATGACAGATGAACACCACGTTATTCTTGACAGTCACTAAAGAAAAGGGAGGAAATGGTGCATGTAATGCTAGTTGAAAGCATTTCTCGTATGCATCATTGCTGCGAAAGTGTGCAGCCTCCTACAGCTGGTCATCGAAGCCTAATGCTTCCATACCAACACTGAATGAAATCCCATGTTTGATTCCTCCTTGACGCCTTGCTCAGAATTCATTTGTTCAGCCTTTCATAGATGATGGATCCTTTCCGTAAGTCAAGTTTAACTCCGGTTTCCTCCACAAAAATGACCAAAAAGCGAAACTATGAAGGTGGGAAAGCGAAAGACTCAGCCACTACCGGTTGCAACGGGCGCGGAGTCGATCTTGGTGAAAGTGTAGTCCGTCTCGGGGTGGTTGGTCTGAGCAACAATCGAGATGGTGGTAGTTGACATGACATCCTTGTCTGTAAGGGTGGGGTCCATGAGACTGGTGATGGTGGTCAAGACCATGAAGAGTTCGCTGGTAGTGGAAGTGTCCTTGTTGAAAGGAATAGATGTGATCATGCTGCTGATGGTAGTCAACTCCATCCAGGCCTCGGTGGATGTGGTGTCCTTGTTGATGGGAGTAGGGAGGATCATGCTGCTGATCGTAGTCAACTCCAGGGTGGGCTCAGGACCAGTAGCGAAGGGAGAAGGGGTCATGATAGCGCACTCCGCAGGGCGGGCGCCAATCGAGAACTGTCCACAGAGTATCCACCAGTACTTGTCGTATCCTATGCGGGTAGAGCTCGTGATGGTGGGTGAAGCCGTGGAGATGATGGTCGGAATAGGCGTGTTAGTCGTCTGGGTGTGCTTCGTGTTCGAAATTTCAGAGCCTTGACCGAGGCACTCATTGACGCGGGTGGAATTGGGATCGTAGCGGAGGATGCAGACAGTGGGGGTCATCTTGGCCTTGCGCTCGGTGATCATGGTCTCGAAGGTCGCGGGAGCCGCCTCGGTACCGGTCGTGTGAATGGTGTAGGGACCAGTGAAAGTGCCAGTGGCAGTGTGAGTAGGCCAGAAGGTGCCGAACTTGATCTCAGTGGGGATAGGAGCATCCAGGGAAGACGAGTGGATGCCGACGATGGAGCCAGGCAACTTGCCATCAGGGCCTTGAATGTTGTCGAAACGGTGAGGACCAAGACCGTAGACGACGCCGTTGGAAGCAGTGCCGGTCTGGGCGGTCTTGGTGCCAGCCACGTTGGCGTTGTCAATGATGGGGATACCATTGATAGTAGCGGCAAGAGTGCCAATGAGAGTGACGATGAGGTAGCTCTGTGAAGCAAAATGTGTGAGCTCCACAATTTCATCACGCCCAGTAGGGGAAGGAGAATCAGATAAAGCCGTAACTTACCTTCATCTTGGCAGGTGGCGAGCGATGGGTTATTTACTTGCTTGAGTTGGCTTTTTTGTTGGAAGATTAGAAATACTGCTTTGCTTGCGCGTTTGAATTCCGATCTTGGGTTTCTTGTACGCTTGTGTGTGTGTGTGAAAGGAAGTAAAAGGTGAAGGTGAGATATTTTGTTTGTGAGAGAGGGAGAGAAGACAAAATTGGAACGTCAGGCGAGGAAGGGCAGGAGAGAAACCTCAAAGTTAGTCTCTCTTTCCGTTTCTCTCTATCAGAGAAGTACAAACCAAGAAGGCAGGCACGGTTCGAATACATGAGCTGGTATTCAATTGGATCGCACGCTTTGTGTAAGGTGAGGTCGTTCAGGGAAACACGGCATTGGACCAGGCGAGAATCAGGAACTTCCACATGGCCTCATGAGCGAGGCTAGCCTTTTCCTGGGGTCACCGTTATGTTAATTTGGCCCTGAGATACTGAAAGAACCTTGTTAGTTGGCTTGTTGTTGCAAAGATCACGTGGCCTAGGTTTGTCTTGAAGAAGATGAGCACGTTTTCACAACCGACAAGCCTTTCCTTGTGACTATTTGGGCCGCAGGACAGGTTTTAATCAAGATTGACGTACATACCCAACTGGTGAGGTCTGATTTTGCTCTCATAGAAAGATGCTGCTTCTTTTTTTTTCTTTCTTCTTTTTTTACAGGGTAACGCTTGGGGTTTGGTTTTGGGGATGGTTTTACGTCCCAACAACACTATAAGACTACGTCGGGAAGAGACGACTGAATCCAGAGACGAAGTGATGTTGGAAGACTACTGCTACATCACGTCAGAGAGAATGTTCCTCCATCAAAGTTATGCCTACTGCACAAGATGATAGGGCAAGCTATGACCCTGGTATGCCTTCCCAAGACGCCTTTGTGAAGCAACAGCATGGCAACTTAGTAGCTGACATTTTTGAAGAAAAAGATGCCATGACGAGGAAATTGCGCGTTGCGAGGAGCAAACATTTATACCTTGGTGGTCGGCGCTTGCCGGCCAGTCGTCAGACAGCATCGGTCACTTGAACCAGAGTGCCGCAAACAGACTCGGCCGAGTCGCTGTAATAGCGTTTCGGATGGTCCGGGCTCTTGTCATGAATTTGTCTGTTCTGCGTGAAATGAGGTCAGCAGGGTCCTCAAATTTGTTGTTGAGCTTTCCGGACTTTTGGTTGTTGACCCAGTTTTAAGGCCAAACCCTCCGTGGATGCTGGGTTATGGACCCGAACGGTTGGACTGGCATCCTCCGCTTACAAGCACTCGCCCTCAGTGCAGATGTCTCCGCTGATCATCTCGGTGTGCGCCCGGCAAGGCTGCTGATTGTGTGCCTGTCATGTCTGGCCAGTAGGACCGCAAGCCTTGTCCAGCGAAAGAGAAGCTCAGCCGTTTATTTGCGGCTTTTTTCGACGAATCCAAACCCTGGTGTTTGACCGATGCCAAGTGTTTGCGGCGTGTCGATCTGTCCGGCATCCTTGAGATGCGTTTGATCAATCGAGTTTAATTCCTCCCGTCGGCACTTGACCTTCATGTCTGACCTTGGAAGCTGAGACAACGACTCGGCAGAACTGGTGCTAAGGAGCGAGCCAAGAAAAACACATGCTATGTATAAACAACGAGATCCACTGCTCTCTGAGAGTAGAGTCATGTAGTCTTCGTCGCCCCGTCTCGGCCCTTCTTCGTTTTGGGTGTCGTTCAACCCCCTTGTTTTACTTCTCACTGACAGCGGCCAAACAAGGCGGATCTGGCAGATCGCAACCTTCTGATCGGACCTTTCCGCGACCGGGTGGCCGTCACGACATCAGAGCGGGCGACCTTGTGAAGAGTTGCGATGACATGGCCCAGCCCTAATTCATCGTGTGCCGACTTGATCAAAGCTTAGGTCTGCTCAGGAGACTTTGGATGAACGAACCAAATGTTCTAGAACCAAGGTTATGCTTTGCCCATGAGACTCGGCTTTGCTCAACTGTCAATTATCCAGTGTCGAGTGAGAGATGATGGGGGCCTGTCAAAGAGCTTGTTTATGGGGTTTAAAGTTGCATCAGCTCCGCACTTGCCCAAGATCGGCCCTACCAGCCCCTAAGCGACGACCATAGTATTGTTGCTGTGAAAACCCGCTCTTTGTCTGCGCATAGCATGAATCTTCAACTTTGGCTTCCCCATTCTTCAATTACTGCACCACTATTCCAAGGGTGTGTTTTGCTTGAAAGTTGGGTCCGCTAGGTTGGAAAGGTTCGCATTGTACATATAGTAGTCGCAGTAGTGAATGGACTCAATGGCAGAAGGTTGAAAATGACCGGCAAGTGTCCACACCAAGATGCAGACAAACCGGAAGCCGCAGAGGAGGCCATCGTGGACGGTCGGCGACTCGTGGAGCTCCACCTAGTCCGAAGCCGGACTTCTTCCCGCCGTGTGTTTGGGCCTCCTTCCAAGGGATACTAAGCCAGGGATGCCCCGGGTCTGCGGGGTAAGCGTCCATTTCGCCAAGAGAGAGGAAACAAATGTTTTGATTTCAGAATTTCCCTCCCACGCCTCGTCTCACCGGTTTTGCTCCGCACCGTCTCCTCGCCCATCTACCGGCTTCCGCTAGTGTGAGGACCGAACGGATTAGTCCTTGGATCGACCGTGACGTCCCATCCTTTCAGCGTCATAGCTGGTTCTTGTGGATTCCCACGTCCCCTCCCGCCGGATTAGGAGTTGCAGATTATGAACCAGAGCTGCCAAGCCTCATGGCTGGTGAAGAACTGAACCGGGACGGGCAGCAGCATAAAGAAGCTACCCGTCCAACCTCCCCTGCTGCCGACGCCGAGCCATCATCACCCACCGGCGCTCGTTACGGCTTCTCCCAATTCTTTGACGGCATAGGTCTCCCCGGCGGCAGCTTCAACATCCCATCTCTCCAGCAGGTTGTCCTCTGGTTCCAAGCTGCAAGCATGTCTCTCGTCAATGTTGACCTCCACGCCTTGGCCACGGGCGGCGCTGGTTACCTCGCCTCCATCAACGCTGCCAACCTCAGCACTCCCGAGATCTCACTGCTGTCCTACCATTCCTCTTTCGTGGACGTTATCGGCACCAACGCCACAGCTCGCAAGATCGCAGACTTGGACTGGCAGGCTTTCCACGAGGGTGGTGTCTACAACAAGAAGGACAACACCATGTACATCTCGTCCAACTATCAGTCTCTTGCCGACAACATCAACATCACGGTACTTTCCCTCGACGACCTGTCCATCCACAGCACCCAGTTCCCAGACCTCGCCGAGGCCAACGGCGGCTCGTCGTACTACCCGCCTGGTGCCGACCAGTCCACCACACCTCCCATGCAGGTCTGGTGCGACCAGGGTGACTTCCAGGCCTATTCCAAGCTTCTCGCAGTGGACGTCAACACGAACAAGTCTGAGCCGCTACTCATCAGCTTCAACGGCCGCAACTTCAGCGCCATCAACGATGTGAGGCAGCACCCCATGACGGGCGACCTCTGGTTCACGGACGCCGAGTATGGGTTTTTTCAGCACTTTCGTGTAGAGTCTCAGCTTCCAAGACATGTTTACCGCTTCGAGCCTTCCACCGGTCTCGTCCAGGTCGTCGCCGACGGGATCCAGCAGCCTAACGGCATCGAGTTCTCCCCGGACTACAAGACGGCGTACATCTCCGATACGGGTGCGCAGCGCTTCGAGGCGAACCTCACGGGCCCGGCCACCATTTACGCGTACGACATTGTCGACAACAAGAGACTCGTCAACAAGCGCATGTTCGCCTTCGCAGATTCTGGGTTCCCCGACGGCGTGCACACCGACACCGACGGCAATGTCTGGGCTGGTTGCGGAGACGGCGTGCACATCTGGAACCCCGACGGCATCCTCCTGGGCAAGATCCACCTCGGTGAGACCTCCAACAACTTTGCGTTCGCGCCGGGCAAGGTCTTTGTGTTTTCCAACTACAGACTGTGGGTGGTTGAAGGAATCAAGGCTCTCGGTCGGGAGGTCTGCAAGGACTTTGGCGTTGACAGCGACCCGAGATGCCCCAAGTACTTGGGGCTTGGTGACCCATATGCATAGCATTTAGATGAGTTTTTCATGGATACCAATTTCAGCGTTCTAAAACATTTAGCATGGAGACCAAGCATGGTTATGAATACCCTCATCAGTTTTGTGTCAAGTGATGCTGTCATACCAGAAAATGACGATGACTTTGTCCCGACCAAGGTATGGCTGCGACGTTGGCGGTGTCCCTGATGTTACCGACGTCTCGATCCTTCCAAGACCACCTTCTCCAACATTAAACTTGGTGTCACCAAGCCCCCTTCTTCCTGTCTCTAGTCCTGTGAGACCTTCTGAAAGACCGTGGAGAAGTGGTAGTACAGTCGCCAGTAAAACCACCGCCGGCCGAATCGTCTTCGCAACCCATTTCCCATGAATTGAGGGTATCACGGCGGCGTCAACATTGCTTTTGGAAAGAGCTATGGCGAGTTCGGGCGACGTTTTGAGAAGCGGTTTGATGTTCCATTCGGAGCCTGGATCATGCTTTCGATCTTGCAGTTCGTGGCCCTTTGGAGAGAACGAATTAGACCAGCAATCCAAAACGAATCGTGATTTTGGAACTCACAATCAAATCTGGTCAAGACGAAGCTTACCCTCCTTGAAATTCTTATCATCATCTTCCATATCAAGCTTTGGACTTGTATATGAGAACCCTACCGGACCTGTGCCACCAACACAACACACCCTGGAAAGTACTGATAAAATGACGACACAAGATTGTCTGGCATTGGCTGAGGAAATTCAGGTTGACTTTTGGTCTTTGAGCCGCGCTTTCTCAACACAGGTTGGTGTCACAAGTTACAGCACGCAGCTAGGCATAGGATAGCAAAGTGTGGAAGTGCTTGACTTCGAGAAAGGGGTGGGGGAAGGTTGTGACCCATAAGAATAGCTCTTCAATAGGCCGTTACGTAGCAAATCTTATGACGAGGCTAGAGTCGTTAGCCACAGTATCACGAACCTCCTGCGATAGTTGGAATCTCCACGAATTTGAAGTGAGGGGATTTGCGAGGACTTGGAGCGCAGTCGCTGGAAGACCGTATTGCAACAAGAATGTCATGGCCGTTCCTCTCTTTGGATTTTCTTGTTGAGTGGAATGACTAGGGGCTTGTGGGAATGAGGTGAAGCGACTGGCTCTGGGTGATATGCTGGGACGTTTTGAGAATCGTGAAGCAGCAAACGCGGGGCTTTTTCACCAGTTTCTTCTGCGCAGTGAACTCAGGCCGTCTGGAATGGAATCATCATCTGAGGGATTCGGGACCTACTTCTTTTACATGGGCTTGTGTAAGCCGAATCAGTCCTTTACGAAAGGAGTTCCCTTTGAACATGATGGCCCTATATTCGTCCAATGACAGGGACGTTGCAGAATTCATAATAACATGATAGAAGCAGTCGAGCTCCCAGTACTAAGTGATCGTCTCCTTAGGTTGTGTAATCCGAACTACTTGATCCTCAACATCAACGATATAGTGACTCAAAGCTAGAGGAACGCAAGGACAGAGGCATCAAGAAAACCACACTCCCGTTTACATCTTTGAAAAAGGCGTAAGAAGTATACTTTGAGCATAGCATAGCCAAAGCACTTCCAGCGGTCAAGATGTGGAACGTCGCAACATCATTTGTCTATAGAACCTCTTGCAGCAATTGGCATGCTCTCCTTTCCTTCCGCATGCATCGGTTCGATTAGTGGCAGCTAGGGCGTCATAGCCAATATGGTACTGGATGGCATCAGACTGACAGCAAAACACCCGGGTATCATCCAAATAGGCGCATTGCCGCATGCCAAGCACGACTAGACACAGTTTGGCATGTTCAAAACACCAGACTACCTGCTCTGCTGAGCAGCGAGACAGCAAATCGGGCGACAGCCTAATCAAACCCTTCTCCTTTTCCACTATCGACTCCGCCGACTGATAGCTTTCCGTTACTCAAAGACGAAATTCAACCCAGGTGAACATGTACATGCAGAGCTGTCCACAGACCCGTCACTAGAAGGGTCCATCGAACGAACCCTCGAACCATTACTACTGAGCTAAACAGGCTGTCTTATAGATTCTACCAACTGCGTTGAATCCCTCAGTGATGGACGTGCGCATCCAATGATGATGCAGCACAGGACATCATGCAGGGTGGCCATCAACCGCCCGCCTCAAGTTTGAAGAGCAAGACCCTGAGTGGCACTTGCCGTCTCTCTTCCTGACATGCCTTACGCTAGGAGATCTCATAAAGCACGAAGCGATGGTCTTAATAATGACTATTATTATCACCTACCACTCTCACCTAGGGCGTCCATCCAGATCATGCCAAACAGGGACGACTACGACGACGGGCGACGCGACAAAGAAGGTAAGCCGTTATGCGTGCAATACAAGTTCTCTAAGACGGTACCAGCCTTTCAGGGCATACCAACGCAAAGCAGGCTCCTGGGCACATCAAACGATACCCTCGCGACTGTTCACGGTGACTGTGACGTGCTCATCTGGAACTTGATTCACAAGGTGCCGCCTCGGCGCATAGACATCGACGTCATGATAGACTATGTTACCGGGCATTGCCTTCTCCCCTACTAGGAACAATGTAATCGCGCTCGCGTTTCGGCTCGGGACGATGCGCCAGCTATGGACGTTCGACTGGTTAAACCGGACCGCCGAAGCCGTGTTGACTACGGGGTCAGATTTCCAATCCGTTCAGATTTCACCTGATGGCGGACTTTTGGCATGGATATCGGCGGGGTGCGTCGTTGACTAGGAGAAAATACTCAACTCGCATGCTATGATGATCCGCGAAAGCGAGCAACGGATGCATGGGCTGCCAACAGCCAGAGTTGCATTCACGCCGGACTCAATTGGCATCGCAAATGTCAACCGGTCGGGGCGGTTAACTACCTGGGACGTTGCGACGTGGTCTCATATCAGCGAATCGAAGGCCAAGAAGGCATGGGGTGATGGCAGGCGAGAAGTGGTGCAGCTCATTGCCAGCCAAGGACGCGTCATGGTGGTCTCTTGCGAGGGCGAAGGGTCTCGGATGTGGAGTTTGGCGACGTGGTAGCCGGAGAACGGCAGCAGAATTGAGCTCGAGATGAACGGTTGCGCATACGGATGTGTCCCAAGAGATGGCAGATTCGTCGCAACGGTGCAGTTGGACCAGGGGAAGCTTCGGATTCGCGACTTGAAAAGCGGTGTCTGTTTCGACCAGTCGACGCAGAACATAGCCAAAGTCGGTAAATCGCCGTCGGTGGTGACAGGGGCAATCGGATCGAATGGCAAAATCATGATGACGCAAATTGTTAACGGAGAGATAACGATGTGGCAGTTGGTGGCCGCTGAGTAGGGCTCGAAGCGCGCTTGGCTTGGAAGACGCGACTCGCGATACCCCAATTAGCAAACCGATGCCGACAAGACGAATGCACCAAAGCGAGAAGCCGATAACAAAGATGACGGGGCAAAGCTATCGAGAATCGACACTCACCAAAGGAGTGTAAACCCGGTAGCGAATAGAGTCCGGACTCGGGAGATCGACATCGTCGGCGTTGTCACGATTGCAAAAAGTCAATCAGGGTCCGATCTGCAACAAGCCAACCACAGCAACTCAGCTATGGATGATCGAGGCACAGCCCGGCTAGTTCCTCAATATAAATGTGAATCTCCCAACTAATCCAACATCAAGAGCAAGCCTCTTTATTGGAAGGGTGGCCGAGTTGGTTATGGCGCCAGGTTAAGGTCAGCTTAACTTCTGTTTCCTGGTGGGGCAACCCGCGCGAGTTCGAGTCTCGTCCCTTTCATTGTTATTTTGCTCTCTGCGCCAGAGACACCTAAAATCATTTTTGACCGTCGATGCCAATGTTTTGGTTGATGCTTGCCGATGCGTCTTTTTCCCTGTGATCGGTCTGGTAAAAAAAAGTGTTAGGGCGGCCGGACCGTCCAGTAGATGGGGCAGAAACGGTCCAGGGCGGGTCCCTCGGATACGAGGGACCTGTGAGAAGTTTGCACGGGTGGGGCCGATACGGTCAAGGAGCCGCTGGCCAACCAGGAACGGTGTTTCTCAGTGCACGAGCCACGTCCTCGCCCGACTCATTCCCGACCGTGGGTCCGGCCCTGTGGTTCATCTATGCCCCATTCCGGACGTCCTCCGACCGATCACTGTCGCTGTCGAAGTGGTTAAGAGACGCTAGTGACCCACGCATGTGTTACACTCGCTGAAATTGTTGGAAACGCGCCATCATTAAACGAAAATTGCGCTGCTGCACCCTTAGCTTTTGGGAGGGCGGGGGGGGGGGGGGGGGGGGGGGGGGGGCGTGTCAACGGGGGGACTAAAGGGACCTGCAACCAGGTGCAATGTACCGAGGTGAAACGCGGTATTTTGCACTGAGAGCCGGAACGGCTACAAAAGATGGGGGAGGTGCCGCGGGCCGTTGGTTACTTGTGGTTCTCAGCCTCTGTAATGGACCTTGGCTTTCCGATTGTTGGCGAATCGGTGGAGCTAGGCTTCCTGAACAACAAGGCTCTCTCTTTTCTCTTCAAAGCGGATTTGCCCTGCTCTGCAAAGACCGATGCATTGTATCCTCTTCCTGCGAGCCTTTGATTCCCTTTCGTAATCATTTGTTGGATAGCATCGGATGCTGCAGCCTGGACTGGTCATGGCTTGACCGCGCGTTTCCGATGGAGCTCCGAGGCTCGTTGCTCGCTTGCCACGGCAATTGTCATTGGGTTTGGATCACTCTTCAGCCTCCGTCCACGTGAGCGGAGAACACTGTATCGACTCCGAAGAGGCATCGCTTAGAGGATGCGTGTGTCATTGGTCTTTTTGATAGGAGTCGATTTATGAGACCTTCTTTTGCCGATATCTTGTGCTGACGACTTTGCGGCGTGTTTGCATCGGCGCCTTATCATCGGCGATAGGCGTCTGCTATTCCGCTGACGGCTACTAGTTAGTATGTAATCATTGGCGCAAGGACTTGAGATAAGCAGCAATATTCACCCTGGTTCGTTCCTTCCCCCCACGCTGTAAGCCCCCAGTCGTCTTCGCTGAGTGGGCATCTCGACGGGCCACGGTCCTCAATAGTCCCAGTGAACTAGGCTGGTGCGGAACAGGATATTGTGCTTCCCCGAGTCTTAGTCTTCTCGGCCCCGTTGAAGAGGCCTGTGCCCGTATCAGCCGGCGAAAGCCCTATCTTGTACAGCAGACCGAAGGCCCCTGACGCAGTGTAGCCGGGAGACGCTCACAGCCTCGCAGGTCATGTCGGTTTCACGGCGTTCACTTCCGTGTCCACAGATATCGGAAGTGATGTGTGGTCTCGCGGGGGACTCTGCTGGACAGTCTTGCTGGATCTGGAAAACCGTCGCGTGATCTGCACAGGATTATTGTTCTTGGTGCTTGAAGCCATTGGCAGTTGGCCATGCTCCCAGGTTCGAGTGTCACTGGGACGCTTATCGTAGTGTCTCGCTCATACTCCGACGCTGGCCAAAGTGAAGTACCTGCTCCCCTGCCTGTGTGGGCATCCTCTTGGTGTACCCGCGATGTCAAGTGTACCTGCACTTGCGCAGTCCATCAGGCCAAGTCTCGGGGCTCGGTCCCATGCTGCAGGCCCGTTCACTAATCTGGCATCCTCTCCAATGCTGCTTCCTGGAAGTAGCAAATGCTTGAACATGGCACTGACATCGCCATCAACGGTCACTGTACGTGGCTGGGGTTGGTTCAAAGAAGTGCGGTGTGTTGCTATTACTTCGGATTGCGGGGGGCTTTTGGCTGGGAAGTCTGACATCCATCCATGTATGAAAGCTGGCCAGGACTTTAGGGATCTCTGCAAAGTTGTCGGGGCATCTGTGGAGAGGAAAGGGGATGCTGTTTGTTTGAGGAGGGGATGCCTGGGAGAAGGCTACGAATGTCTAAGAGACAGAAAGATTTCAGCGACGACGACGACGACGACGACGACAAGGTACGTATCGACGATGCTTCCAGAATGTCATCAGCATCCGCTTATTGGCCGCCGCGAGGAAGGGGCAATGCCCGCGATGAATCGACGACAAGAGCATCTGAGGGAAGCAAGGTGCGACGTGCCCTCCTTCCGGCGTTCCTCCCTTCCAAGACTACCTACCACCACGCTCTTTCCACACTGAACGACGAGGCCAACACGTGCCTTCCCGTGATGGCCAGTCGTGGGCGACCGTCGGACTGATTCCTGAGGCTTGTTCCTCCGACATCATACCCAATCCTATATTCCTTTCCTCCTCCTTTAGCATCATCGGCATCCTCTTGCAACGCGCATTGTACAAGCACATGGTCGACCCTCTCTTCTCCCCGTTCTCGGCAGTCCCTCTCTCTAACTTCACGTCGCATCCCGTCCTGACCGACAACTGTCCCAGTCTTGGCGCCTCTATCAACCTTTCTTGCTCGAGGAGCCGCGGCGGGGTACCTTACATATCGTTCGGCCCCTTGTACCTTGCCCTGCCTTGCCCGGCCTGGCTGGCTGCACGGTACTGCACTGCACTGCAAGAGAGAAGATCGAAGCGCAGATCTTGCTCTCTACGGTCGACTGTCCCTTGACATCGTTGGTTGTTGGCACGCGAACACGCACTCGCTAGTTTGTTCCCAGCTGCGGCTCGGTGGCGCTAATCATTTGACAAGACGGGAACGAAGGATGGGAAACACGGATCCTTGCGGGCGTTGACGGGCGCAAAGCCAGCCTTACGCAGTGCAAACCAACAAGAACGAATACCTGGGTTCCAAATCCCCGTCGCCTGATTTGTACCGACTTCTGCACCACCATCTCGGATTTTTGAACGGGTCGCGGCATTCCAGATCGAATCTTGTCATCGACGACACCAGCTCGGTCTCGCCGCCACATCTCCCCTCGGTCTGCCCTCGGTGTGTCTTACTGTGGTATTGTTGTTTTCCGCCATCCCCACTTCGCCCAGGACCATCAACACAGCGTCGCGCCACACCCGCTCGCTATGATCGCGGTTGTGGTGCAAAGTGCACCATCCAACAAACACTGGAGCGCCACATGATTGATCACGATGCAAGGCTATCTAGTATATTCATCCTCCCACCATCTCAGCCTTTCCCCGGATTCGATACGTATCTACGTATCGTGAGTGTGCCCCTCCCGTCCAGCGCGGCACACGACAGGGTCTTCAGGGTCTCAGGGTACAATTGCGCCATCCGCAAGCCTTCAGCACAGTTGGCTGACCCAGAGTGGTGGGACAACGTCAATGTACCTGTCGCGTGCGCTGCGATCGGGAGCCGTCCCCCGGCCTTCCCTCCCTCCACCACTGAGCCGGGTTAGGCGCTGTGCTGGCTTGTCAGTCGCTTCTACGGGATACAATTTTGGCCTGCAGTCTCGTCTCGCTTTCCAATCAGGGAATCGACAGCTCTTTTCCTTGACCGAGCTCGATCGTGACTGGCCAGCAGATGGCCACCGACAAATGTCGACCGCAAGTACCTCACCCGCGTCAAGCCGCACAGGCGATACTCTTACGTACGACTTGTCTTGGCTCTAACTGCGTGCGGCAGGTGGGCGGGCCATCACTGGAGTCTCCTCTGTGACATCAGTGCCTTTTCAGGCCCCTTCAGAGCCACTTCCTTCGGGAACTTGCAGGCCTCACGATCCTAGCGGGCTTGGTCTTGTCGCTGGTCAGGGTGTAACATCCCCCGGCCCATGTTCGGGGACAGAAAACAGCCTTGGGATTCCTTGTGCAGCACTGGGGAGCCCCTGTCATGCACCTCCATCTGCTCCAACTCCCTCCATTCTCTCCATTTCCCTCCGTTCGCTCTCCATCCAGACGTGCCCACTTCGCTCTGCCCCAAACGCTCACTCGCTACCTTTGCGACCGCCAATTGTGGCAGCCTCCACCATCGTCGGGTTCAAGACGGCAAGACGGAAGATTGAGAGACCCCACGACTCGCGTTGGGCGAACCAACGGTTCACATTCGCGTGGAGAGCCCGGTGCGTTAGTCGGGCAACTTGGACCACACTACGTCATAATGCATTGCGCGCATCGAGCAGGTTGAGGGCAGATGAAGAAATGGATCCTTTTTCACTGTTCAAGAGGTCAACGATTTTTTCTGCTGCTTCGCGGTCCCTGTCTCCCTTTCATCAGAGCGTGGAGCGCAAGGCCGCACAGGCGCCTGTACGTGGAGCCATGGAGCCTCACCCGACGCCTTGCCGCTTCACGGCTTCTCGGGGTCGTCCTACTCGGCCCCGACGGGGAGAGGGAAGGAATAACAGGTTTTAGAGAAGGCATCCTAGACTCGAAAGAAGACGTCTTGAATACATAGTACTGCGGCGTACCGGTTGTCAACAGGTCACTGCTCGATGGATCTCATCGCCCCAAAACCCACTCGGGCGGGACATTACACATGCGAACGAAGCCTCGAAGAACGCATGAAGAACCACTCCTCCATGAGATGTTAGCTTCTCCTAGCGGACAACCGACAGCCGGCAGCCAAATCTTGACCACTGTTGGCAAGCTTACAACCAAGCCTCAGGCGCTTGTCACCCCCCATGCGCCTGTATCCTCAGCCTAATTCAAGTCGTGCGACAGACAGACAGACGCGGACCAAGGTCACTATAGCGCGCGATCCTAATCGGCCGACGACTGCCAGGCGGAGGAAATGCAAATGCAAATACAAGACAGGCCACTCTGCCGGCCTAGGGCCAGAGTAAGAGTACTAACGCCGGTCTACCTTGGATCGTGGGAATGATGGGCTCAATATGCTTTAGACCTGCGGTCGATAGCGCGGGATAAATTACCGCAACCAGGGCCCTGAGCCGACACCGTCTGACCATACACGCGCTCTTACAGGTCGGGGGAGTAGACCTGGTCTTGGCACCACACTCGATACGGCTGTTGCAATGCTGCTGCAAGTTTTCGAGACAGATACCGATGGCACATGCCCGACTTTCCAGCTGCTTTTCGGCCTTGTCGTGTGCTGCCGCGGCGTTGCGTTGTCTCTGCTGTGCCGCAGGACGTTGTCCATAAGCGAGAAGAGCCACCACATCGCGCAGGCCGTTATTAGCAGCAGAGGTGTGGGCAGGAAAGATTGCTGTGGCACCAGGCGAATCCACCGGGGACTCCGAGTCAGACAGAGGACCGAGATAAACAGTATGCAAGTTGAGGGAACCTACGCTAAAAACCCGTCAACATTGTGCGAGCCGTCAACCCACCGCACCCACGCCGCCCAGCAACTAGGCAGCACACTGCACAACCCAGATACAGGGGACAGCACTGATAGGACAAGACACGCGAATACTGACGACAGGGGTTGCAATGGGGGGCAAAGAGCATGGGCATGGGCATGGGGGGGGGGGAGTGTCGAAGACTTTGAAAGTACTCTTTGGAGGTGGCCCCGCAGTCCACGTCCGCATCCAATAAGGTGGACGTCATTCTGGCCATCCCGGCGAACGCGACACCAAGAAGAGAGAGGAAGTTGGACTGGAGCGACTGATAGCCCAGTACGGCACTGGCTGCAAGTGTACAGTGAGGACTGCCTCAACTCAATTGAGTCCTTCCCTGCCGCCGTCTGTCTGGCTGCTTGTCTGGCTGTCTCTCATTTTTCGACCCTTGCCAGTTTTTGCCTCTTTTTCTTTTCTTCCTTTCTTTAAATCCTTCGTCCTCCCGTCTCCTCGGCCCTGGAACACCTTAGTCGAAATCACACCAGATCGACTCTCTCCTACAATAAACTTCCTCTCTTTCCTTGGCTCTCCATACATAAGGCATCACCGTCCCTATGTCACTTGGATTTGTCGTCTCATCCTTTTAACCTTCCCCTCTCCTGTCTCTACTGTCGTCTCCAAGTGCCTAGTGGCTTTTCTCTCCGACAACAGCCAAGAAGTCAACGACACTCCAGAGCTTCGCTCCACCCAGCCTTTCACAATGGCGCACGTGTTATCCCAAGATCCGGGTGCCCGCGAGCACGACGTCGGCTTGGGCGTCAAGGGCGACATCAAGGATGGCTACACCACCCGTCCCTCCCGATCCGACGATGGCGGCGCCGACAACATGCTGGAGCAGCTTGGTTACAAGCCCGAGCTTGAGCGCAACCGGTCGACGCTGCAGGTCGCCTTCATGTCCTTCGTCCTCGCTTCTATTCCGTACGGTCTGGCCACGACTATGATCTACCCCTTAGCTGGTGGTGGTCCTGTAAACATTATTTGGGGCTGGCTTGGCGTGTCTCTGATCATCATCTGTGTCGCTGCTTCGCTTGGTGAAATCACCAGTGTCTACCCTACTGCCGGAGGTACTTATTGCCTTTTTTATTTCTCCATTTTTTTCTCTCCCTTGTCCGTCACGCTCGCCTCATGGCACCCAGCCGGCTCTCGATATCCAGGCACGCTCGGGCGGACCCATCCCGGACTTCACGCTGACCGCTCATATAGGTGTTTACTACCAGGCCTTCATGCTCGCCTCTCCCAAGTACCGCCGCGTGGCCAGTTGGATTTGTGGCTGGCTCTACGTTGTGGGAAATATTACCATCACTCTGGCTGTGAACTTTGGAACTGCCCTCTTCTTCGTTGCGTGCATCAACGTTTTCGAGTCGGAGCCTGGTGTCGGCGTCCTCGCCGGCGAGCCATACCAGGTTTTCCTAATCTTCCTGGGCCTGACCTTCCTCTGCAACCTGGTGTCCTCGCTCGGCAACAAGTGGCTGCCCCTGCTTGATGTAAGAATGACTTGGTTTCGTCTCCTGTTGGGCAATGTGAACGATGGTGCTAAATCTTCATGTGACCTAGACCGCCGCTATATTCTGGACTTTCGCTGGTGTCCTGGCTATTGTCATCGCCGTCCTCGTCGTCGCCAAGAATGGCCGCCATGATGCTGCGTACGTCTTCGGACACTTTGAGGCCAACTCCGGATGGACTGATGGATGGTCGTTCATGGTTGGTCTGCTCCACGCCGGATATGCCACCTCGTCCACGGGCATGGTTATCTCGTAAGCTTGACCCAACACCATAAATGGATATTGCACAGGGATGTTAACTCTGCGATGTAGCATGTGTGAAGAGGTGAAGAAGCCCGCCACCCAGGTTCCTAAGGCGCTGGTCCTGACCGTCTGCCTCAACACTCTGGCCGGTCTGCTCTTCCTGATTCCTCTCGTCTTTGTCCTCCCGGATATCACCTACCTCATCAACTTGGCCAACGGCCAGCCCACCCCCGCCATTATCAAGGATGCCATGGGCACTTCTGGCGGTGCCTTTGGCCTTCTTGTCCCGCTCATGGTTCTCGCCATCCTCTGCGGCATCGGCTGCACTACCGCTGCATCTCGGTGCACCTGGGCCTTTGCCCGTGATGGTGCTATCCCCGGTTCCCGTTGGTGGAAGGAGGTCAACCACAAGCTGGACGTGCCGCTGAACGCTATGATGCTCAGCATGGCTGTTCAGATCATTCTCGGTCTCATCTACTTCGGTTCCAGCGCCGCCTTCAATGCCTTCTCTGGTGTTGGTGTCATCTCTCTGACCGCTTCCTACGCCATACCCATCGCCATCAGCCTTTTCGAAGGCCGGAGCCATTTGGTCGGTAGCCCCTTCAACCTGGGCAAGTTTGGTGTCGCTGCCAACATTATTGCTCTCGGTAAGTAGTCACTACGTGTTGTTTCCTCCTGATTCAAAGCTAATGCTCTGGCAGCTTGGTCCGCTCTCGCCATGCCTCTATTCTGCATGCCCACTTTCGTTCCCGCCACCCCCGAGACCATCAACTACGCTCCCGCCGTCTTCGTCGCCGCTTGCCTCATTTCGGGTGGCTGGTACCTTGCCTGGGGCAGGAAGAACTACGCCGGTCCCCCGACCCAAGAGGACCCTGCTTTTTAATAAGCTATGCCGCAACGAAACTCAAAGCAACCCGATTACAAGGTTTAGAGGTTGAAACGCTTTTTGAGCAATTCGGCTCTCGGGTCGCCCAGACTCGGAGTATCAAGAACAATCGACATACACACAGACACATACTCATACAACTACATGGGCCTCTTTTCACGCTTGAAAACAGTGACATAAGAGCACCTAATGGGTTGTCTTGTTTTGCAGGATGGCGCTCGTGGACTTAAGGGCGCATCAGGCATGGATCCTTACAAAAAAAAAGAAGAGGAGAGTGAGAGGCGATTTTGTACATAGGAATGATACCCCCGTGCTTAAATTCAACTGTTTAAACAAAACACCCGTTTGCATTGCGCTAAATCCAAGCCAATATTTCCAGATAAAGGGCAACAAGACGCGCGGTTCTGGGTCAACCCCGCTCAGCTGTATGTACCGCATCTATTGCAGAGTATTCTCGATGGGACAATTGAAGCCATTCCCACAATTCCCCTCACCTTTTAAGCCAGCTTCTGCGGCACATTCGGGTGGTCAAAACTTCCAAAGCCCTTGTGTTCCCGAGGTAAACCCGCTGAAGAAAAGCGACCTCTAGCTCCGTCCCATCATTTAGGAAGAATTTGCAGCTGGCAATGGATACGCAGTGACACTGCCACACTGTCTAATGCATGGAGTATCCTCCCGCTTCTCTACCTACATTCTCTGATGGAGTAATTACTGGAGGCCAATGAGATGCTTCGTGTCCTGCCAAGACCTTCCACTCCGTCCTGCACACCCGCCCCCGTGGGGGACAGGACCAGGATATCGTGGCCGCGCTCTGATGGAGGGAGGGGATCAGCGCGGTCCGGGTTTCGATACAACAAACATGACAAAAGGAGTGTAGAAAATTTTGAAGTTGGAGATAGCTGGATGATGCAATTGGTCGTGAAACCAGCACGGGACGGGGGGTTCGATGCGTCCAGGGACGAAGACACGGCGGTGTTGTTCGTTGGACCTTGAGCCGGCCCCGCCTGCGACCGACCGCCTCAAACGGGGTGGGGCATTCGGTGAACGGAACTTGTCCGGCGGAGATTCAAGTTTTTTTTGTGTCTTTTTTCTTCCTTTCTTCCTTGTCGTTCTCCTTCCCCCCTTTTCCCATGCTTGTGCTCAAGCTCGAGCCTCAGCTCGGCCGGCTCCTCGAGTTCCACTCACACTGACTGACTTGACGGAATCTAACTGATCGGAGACCCTTCATTCTTACCAGTGCCCACTCACACAGAGACACTGACTGTGCGGTGCCACGCCAAAAGCCTTGTTTTCTGTGTCCTGCCGCCTCAGGGCTGGTCCCTGGAAATCCGGACTAGAGAAACTGATGGGATGTAATGCGTCCGTAATCCGCCCACCCGACGCGCCCCAAAATATTCGAACTAGGTACCTTAGCCCCTCCAAACGTGACGATTCTGAAGGGGGGTGCCGAAGTCAGGCGGCGGGTGCCGAGACAAGGAACGAGTGATGACGTCTTCCATTGTCCTTCTGGAAGGTTTCCTTTCTTGAACGTCATCGGGAGCCAAGTTGACTGGCTCGGTAAGGCTATGTGTGCCGCGTCTCCACTTGTTCTTCCAACAGCAAGGCGATGCGCTCACCGAGAGTGGTGAGAGGGATTTTGTCGGTAAGACTCGGTAAGGAAAATGTATTGCCGGGCTGATCCGGGGTGGTCTGCACACCAAACCGCTGGGTGCTGGTTGTCGAGGGATCTGGTAGCCCTCTTGTCAATAGTAGTCTGCTGCTCTATTCATTCCATTCACTGGCTTTGGGGGGCTGGATTTTGATTGGTTTCATGCACATTGATTAATGGAGAGATCTGAAGCCATTCGTGCGATCCCGCCAGCTCGGGCTTCGCCAGCTTCGGCAACAACGTCGCAACCGCATCACTGAACAATTTTTGCAGGTCTCGAAATAATCAAGCACAATCCATGCGTTCCGTTCCTGGCACCCAAAACCATTGCAGGTGAGATCACCAAAGCCATCAAGCTGCCGTAAAAGATTCCACCTTGACCGACCCGCCCAACTGCTTGGTCGCAAAGTTGAAGATTCCAAATCGGTACGCGATGAAGAACGCCCAGCCAGAGTACAACTCGTACGTTTCTCCGAGCTGCGTGAACTGCGTCCCGTCAAAGCTGTAGAAGAAATTGGCGTCCTTTGTCCCCGTCGGCCGCGCATCCAGCTCCGCCCGGAACCAAACTTTCTTCGCACCACTCGGGACCGGGGCCGACGCCACCTCCTGGCCCGGACTGACCGGGGTCCCGGACCACTCGTCGATGATGATACCGTGGACGGCTTTGAGAGTGTATTCGCTGCCGCTGCGGTGGATCCCGATGTACGCGCTCTGATCGCGGAACGCGGCAAGCCCGAACCGATCTCCGTCGGCCAAATTGCTGAAGTCGATCTCCACGGTGCCCTTGGGGAACTCGCCGTGGATCCGGTGAGTGAGGGTGTTGCGCGCCTGGTACAAGTCCTCTGTGACGCTGGCGGCGCGGAGGGTCACGCCGTTGTTGACCGTGTAGCTCGCGACGTCGGGGTTGTGGTTCCACTCCCACGTCGGGCCCAGCTCGCTCTCAAAGTTGTATGTTCGCGTCCAGTTATACAGAGGCTGGGCCGGTAAGGGCAAGGGGTACGATGAGCCCCAGCCGCCGTTGGAGCCCTTGACGAGCTCGGGGAACCCGTCCTCGCCCCAGACGATCGGGGCCAGCACCGGCATGCGGCCGGCGGGGTACGCCCAGGTGAAGGAAACAAAGTACCAATCTCCCTTTGCCGTTTTGATGAGACTGCCTTGGTGAGGCGAATTGCCGCCATCGAGCGGCGGCGTAACGTTCTGGCCGAGGATCTTGGCTTCGTAGGGACCCCAGGGGCTGCTGGACTTCCAGATGTATGTCGTGGTGCCGGGCTGGTCGTTGAGGATATAGTAGGTGCCATTGATCTTGTACATCCTGTTGCCTTCGACGGTCTCTGTGTTGACGTCCGAGGCTTGGAGGACTTGCTCGGTGCGGACGACGCTGAGACCGTCGGCGGCCAGTTGCGAGACCTTGACCTGGCCGTTGCCGTAGACGACGTACATCGTATCGTCGTCGTCGATCAGCAGACCGTTATCGTACATGCAGTTCCCGCCGCCAAAATTGGCGCGGTTATACCACGGGCCGTCGACAGACTGCGCCGTAAACACCCAGGTAATCCAGAAGTTGGTGCATCCGATCCAGTACCACAGCCCATCACTCTTGCGATACCGCAGCGTCGAGGCCCACGTCCCGCCGCGGTAGGCCCGCTCGCCGCTGGGGGGGAGATCGTAACCGTCGCCAAAGTTCATCCGCGGGATCGAGTGCCCGACGGGCTCCCAGTTGACGAGGTCCAAGGACCGCAGGATGGGCGCGCCGGGGCTGTAGTGGAAATTGGAGGCCGAGAAATAGAAGGCGCCGTCGGGGCCGACGGAGACGTCATTGTCGGGGTAGTCCTCGTAAAGAACCGGGTTCTGGAAGGTTTCGTCGCGGCACTTCTTGACTGAGGAGGCGGAAGAGGTGGCGAGCATGAGGCTCACCAGGAGCGGGAGAAAATGAGCTGCATGCATTTCGTGGAGGGCACCCCGGCGGCAAACTTGAGATGTAATCGACGATACAGCTATGCGCAAGGGCTCCGATACCAACAAAAACACTAGGTCAAGTATTTAAACTTCATTTATCTTGCGGACGCTGCCATTGCCCCCCTAATAACATCGTTACATCTAGAGAGGGGCAAGTCAGCCGGTTACACGCAACGCTCGGTGGATTGACGTCCGTCGTCCCCAAATTGCCTATTACGATGCGTGGCCTGCAGCGGCCAAGGGGGAATTTAACCATACTTTTAACCGTGTCACTTTCGCGATCGGCAGGGATTGATGGGAAACCACAGCTTGTTCTTGTAGTAACGCCCTAGGTCTAACTCTTTTTTTCTGAGCTACAGATGATTCCCCTTTGGGAAATTTGAGGAATATAGTTTTGTCAGTTTCCCAGTCTGGCAAGCACTTCGCTCCATGTCGTACTACCTCACGCCAACTGCGGGATATATCCTCGCTCATTGGACTATATAAAGTCTTCCGGCAGAAAGGTAGCAACATTGTTGTCAGCTAAAAAAAATCTATTCAAAGGTCGCACCCCAGTTCCATCAGCTGTTGGGCAAGGGTTTTGACTTCGTGTCTGTATAGTGGTGATTTGCATCAACTTCAAAGTCGCGCACCATCGCCAGTACAGTATGAAATATTATCATTTTCTACCTGCAGACAAACATGGTCATCGGTTTTGCTAAAATCAGCCGAGGGCATGTCGAGAGCACTTCACAACATGCCCGTTTGCAGTGGTCAACTAGAGAATTTGTGAAGGTGAACACTAGAAAAGTGGCCAACTTAGTGACTGCACTTGATCTAAGTTGTGGAACCATGGTGTGGTCTTCCCTGGATCCCGAATCTTGCGGAAAAGATTGTCTAATTGAGGGAGTCGTGAATGTGATTAATCGGCAAAACCTTCATAATTTGATTGATTGCCCTTCACGCCTTGCATATCTAGTTTATGCCTCAAAGACTCTCATTGATATGAGAAGACTCTATGAGGCCAATATTGATGTAACAATCTGGGGGCTTTCGAATAGTTTAGTCAACCAACCCATCTTTGTCATCGCAACCTTTCTTTGGGATCTTGAACTTAGGGAAGCGCTTGCTGTTACGCTTGGTCCAAACCAGGGCGTAGCTACACAAGTCTGTCGTATAATTAACATCACCATCCCTCGCATTGAGATGAAAGAAGAAAGACTGAGAGCTGAATAGAGTTCTGTTTAAACATGATGCAGAATATGGCTGAGAACACAAAGCTTAGGAAACAAAGAATGGGGTGATGTTTACTATCACCAAGGTCCCCCTACAAACCCCTAAGCCACTGAATGACGACACAAAGTCCAGCCCCATGAGCCTGTGGGCGGACATGGTTGAATGAGGCGCAATCCAGATAGTCCCTCAAGGGGTGCCCGGGACTCCTAAGTGATGGCGACAAAGTCTGTGTGGGCTCCCTTGCTGAATATTTTTGCGAGCCAATGGCCACCCTCGTCTTCCTGGTTTCATGTATACTAGGCGGTGTTGATGGGCGATGGTGGGATGCAGAAAAGAAGAGATGAGAAATCAACGTACAACGGAACACTGGAGCAGACTAATGGCATTGTTTGAGTGTTCCTTGGGATGTTGTTGGAGAACAGGGCCGACGATCCGATTCCCAGGTGCTGAATACCTTGACGGAATGAGCCGGGCGAAAGACGACTTGAAGCAAAGACGCGGCCTTGAATGATATTTAGAGTGCTTTTTAAGTTTCTAAAGTATTGTAGTCGTTTTTGTACAAGCAAAGGACCACGGGATTGTTCAACGACAAAAGCAGGGGCGCAAAGACAGACGAATGTAAGGAGTCTTTCGATTCGTCTCACATGCTAAAGAATCCAACAAAGACGGAAGATATGACAGGCATGGATATTAAGAGGGAAGATTTCAGTAAAGAAAAAAAGATGAGGGAACAGCCAGACGTCCTCTAAGGCATTTACTTAGTGAATGGACCCTGTTAGGTGAGGCTATCTTGTGCTGTGGCCTCTGGGATTTTCGGGTCGAGACGCCAGAGACAGCCACTTGCTTGCCGAAGATGGAATTGTGATTGAAGATGAGATAAATACGAAAGACCCGGGTGAAGGAGGAAAAGGAAAGTGGTGACGGAAAGTTTGAGCACGTGATGACAACATAAGTGAAGCTATCATCAATCCAAGCTCATATGAGCCGGGATAAATATAAAGACATTCTGAATCTTTATCATTTCCAAACAAAGCTGGATATCAATCAGAAATCGCTGGATATAGTGGATGCTGCGTTGGGAGACATACGACTCACTCCATGTAAACATTTCCCCAGATTCCTAAAACAAGACGTCACCATCTAAGATCTGTACAGCTCATGGCTCCCAAGCCGTTCGTCAAAGAATCAATATCGAATTTCTTAGCCGATGAAAAAGACCCGTCTTTCCCCTGAGGCGTACTGAGACGTGCAATCTTGTGGATAGCGCCCAGTGTGATGTTGCCTGGCCCTGGCCAGACAGAGAACAACATTCACGTCCATCTAAACAGCCCCCAGATTTGCTGTTGCAAGAACCACGCAGCATTCAGACGCGCTCACAAACACCCGTTGTGGCAATGATGACGAGCTCTTAAGGGCCAACGCTGAGCCTGACAGGCGGCAAACATTGCATCCTTAGGCTGGTCATTGCCAGGGCGCCCGAGCTAGCCACAAGGACAGGTCGTAGGAGTTGGCATCGCTCTCGGACATACAATGCGTGTTCTTCTTGTTTCTATGACCTCGGCAAATTTGGCGGTGTGGATCCTCCCGCTGACCGATGCACGTGCACATGCGGCGGGAAAGCAGCCGTCAACATCCCTGGAGATTGGTAAAGCTCTAAAGTATAGCTGACGGGCAAGAAGTCGGCCGTTCCACTGTTCGTTCTCTTTCACGCAGCGCAGAAAGATTGAGAAGCTAATCGCCACGGTCTTGAAGGTGTGCCGGGACTCTGTGGTCTACCTACTAGGAAATAACACAGGAATATGACGGACTATACGACGAGCCCTTCGACTGCCGAACAATCCTGAACAAAAGAAAGAAGCACGACCTCACCCGAGGCACCCCATCAAAGGTCTTTGTCAACGCTAGTAGAGTATTCGACTATTACGTGAGCCAAACCGAACCTTATGATTATTTAAGTGCCAGGTCTGAGATAGCAAGTTTTAGGCGAAAACGGGCGGAAGACTGATCATATCTTCAGGCATTTGGAACGGGTTATGCAAGTGGGAGCCTCGAGGTGACTGAATTCCAACACTATGCGAACCTGAAATATCTGAGCTTAAGGTAAGGTGTTGAGCAAATGGGCGCAGGGTGTTCAAGAGAGAATCATCATGGGCCCAGCTAATAACCCAGAATAGGTCAGCACGTTGCCCGGTCGCTACTTTTCGTATTGGGCCGCCCCGTTATATCGAGTCATGCTCTAGAGCTTGCGTCAGCACTGAGTGGCATATCTCAAGAACACTCACCTGTCAAAAGATGTGGAGTTTTTTGTGAATATTGAAGAAGTGGGGTTACGTGGCTCTCGTATCGCTGCCAAGGTGGTATTTACAGTTGTGCATTAGAGAAAATCGACAGCTCTCGGTGGATCGCAGTCGCCTCTGGGAATCACTAGAGTAAGTTGTCGTCCACCAGGGTTGAGAACATTTTGATGGCAAGTTTTGCTAGCGGCGACTTTCTAGGTAGCAACATGGAAAAGGGCTTTCAGCAAAGTGCGCAGCGGGAGATGTTAAACTGGCTTATTTGCCGCAGCTGAGGTTCCGGGATCCTGCACTCTGTTAGTGATGAAATGGTTGGGTTTGGTACACTAGTACCCTTGCTGCTAATAACTTTACATGTGGAGGTTCAAATCGTTAGCGGTGGATTTCAGCGTCGATCCTCTAGGGTGTGACTGATGACTGATTGCCCAATGACTCGCTACTGTACGTGTGAGGTATATCAAAGATGGTTTTCGTCAACACTGTCCATACAACGCTAAGCTACTACTTCTGTCAACAAACCTGAGTAAGTAAGAATATTAGAATTCGGCGAAGCGCAATAGTCCAACTAGTTTGTATGCAGTCCAAGGCTTGTTGTCATATCAGAGTATAGCCCCAAGAACTAACAGCGTGCATGGAGAGCGGTAGCGTTCATCACAATTGGTGCAGCATACTAATACAAGGAGAGACACTGGCGCCGATGTCCCCATGTCGAGTGCAAGGGCAGTGTCAAGGGTACCGCCAGTCATGGCACGGCCATAAACTCTGCTTGCTGCTTCCAGGTCTTGTCTCCAGTATGGACACCTACATAGCTGTTCTCATCCGCATTATAAATACTGTCAGTTGCGGTCACTGGCAGGAAAGACTTTCCCCGTGTATGTCTCACTTTACCTACCGTCAGCTCATCCTTACTTCACAATGAAAGCCTCTACAGTTTTTTTCCCGCTCGCTTTCCTACTAGGCAGTGCTCTAGGGGTGGATATGAGCAAATATGAAGCGGAAGAGGGCGTTGACGCCTCGTTCCAGCCATTCCTTGAAGCGTAAGTCGGATTTTGGCTTATGCTTGTCAGCCCCAAGTCACAAGGCCTGCCCACAAGCTACCCGGTAGTCACACGAAGCTAACGATGAGACTTTGATGGTAGTTTGTACGCATCCGCGGAGGACTACAAGGCCACGGACACGTTCACAGACTTTTTTGTCCCTGAGACGGGCCGCCTCGTTGTGCTCGAGAACGATGCGCAGGGACCCGACGCAATTGTCAGGCTCAAGCAAGCGCTGCTCCCAACGACTGGCGTGAAACACTGGAACCACTTGCCCAACATTACATCAGTGTATTCCGAAACTGCCGCAGAGAAGGTTTACAAGGTGCTTGGTCTTATTCAGACAAGATTCGACGATGGCAACTGTTCTGCCGCATAGTAAGCACGCCCAACACACTGTAATGTAAAGTGCAAGACCTTCGCAGATAACTAACAACTATATGTAACGCAAAGCTACTCTAGCCGTTTCACTGTTCTTAAAGACAGCAAGGGAAATGTTCGTAATCTGCCTCACAACGGCAGTCTCGTGTTGTACGATGATTACATCGTGAGCCCTTCTGAGTCGCCGACAAACATTCCTTGCTAAATTGAAGCAAGAAGTTTTTTATTGGTATACACATGGAGCGAGTATCGTGTCTGCAAAATATTCTGCATCAGACTCGGTATTGAGTATATAATTTTTGGTATATCAAGAAGATGCTCTATATGAGATCCCTTTTGTTATTCCTTTGGGTTTCTACCAAAATAAGTCAGTTGCCGAGCAGATGCCTGTAGAATTTGACGTTGATGCTGAAAATTTTCCTATCAAGCGGCGGTAAAAGCAGGCCTTGATATTGTCCGTAACCGCTTGCAAGACATGGAACAAGGAAGGAGCAAGCGAGTCCACAGACGCTTTGCGCCCTGGGCCATGATGTTAACTCTACGAGGGTTAATACTACTAATTTCCTGCCATCTCTGCAATCTTCGAGCGACTGAATCTTGTCATCAGTGGCAGACCTGATACAATAGGCTTGACCCTATACGAGTGGTCAACAGTAGCTGTAAATCGTAATTAAGTTCAAGGAGTTTAACCCGCTCGAACCCGTTAGGTAAGCATTATGCGCGCATATCTTTGAAACGGTGAATAATGGGCGCAAGGACACGATATAGGCGCTTATGGGAAGTGTTTGAATATGATTGCAGATGTATCAATATTTGAGCAGTTAGCAAAGAATTTAATTGAACTCGCTATGTCGGTTGAGTTCAGAGATTGAACATGAGTGCGGAGCATTAGATACACCGTGATGAAATGGAAATTGTCGAAACACCCCTACTGCTACAATGCATCTGGTGAGTGCTTCGCCAGATCTTGTTGTTATTATACCAGCAGCTGAATAACGCTTTGGCATGTGCACTGATGAATACTGGGTTACAAAGCTCCCTACCGCGCTTGTAAAACCATACAGAATACTGCAAATCTCAGCAAAGAAGATGTTAATAATTCTGCCATTCCACTTATTTGTGCATGCTACTGTTGTGAAACATGAGTCGCCATTGGGAGGTTCATTTGTTAGATTGGAATAGACACTGGACATTCTTCTGGCCTGTGCGCTCTGCGAGGAATATCTACGTCAAAGATCCAAATACCTAGCGGCTTGGCTGTCCATTCGTCGAGGGGAAATCGATTGACTCTTTATTGTCAGAATGGGCCATCCAGGAACCGTCAGCTTTGGACTTTGAGGGATATGCTAGCATCTATGCCATAACAGTATTGGCTGCTCCGAAATGCATCATTGTTATAAATACAGAAATATACTAGTGGGAAAGGCAGAGCTACGTTCATTGCTTTCGCCTAATTTCGAGATCTTCTCCTGAGCCTCATTTTGGCATTGTTTGGCAAGAGAACTATAATATGTCTGAAGACAAAAGATTTATAGCTTACAAGTCAACAGCTCTCGTGAGGCTGCTTCCAACAGACCATTCAACATATTCTCTTTCATATGATGACCGTGGAGTAGGACTTGGGGACTGGTTAGACAAATCTCCCACACGTGGAAGTGAGCCAAGATTAGTGCGCTGTTGCGACAAGACACGGAAATCCGCGACAGAAGTAAAAGCATATGGACAACAGTTGTCGGTTTGACACTTTCCGTCGTGCGGACTTCCGTAAAATAGCAAGGTTAAGGCTGGGACGGTCGTGACACGAGCCCAATCGGGGTCTGCACTTCATTTGGTCGAACCCTCCCGCCATCAGCCAAAAAAGGTTTAGATCGCGGCAACAGCATAGGCAAGATTGCCTGCTGGGTTGACTCGAAACCTTCTCCAGGTGCAGGGCAAATACAGCAGCGAGATGATCTGTGATGCTCAAGCTGATTTCTGTGTCGAAACATGTTTCCATACAGACTTCAATTTGCGTATACGGCTGCCCCCCATTGCTAGTGGCACGGCCTTACACCACCGCTTAATTAATCACCACAATGTCCCTAAACCATCTGTCCGGTGCGGTAAAGCGCTTCAAACTTTCGGACGGCTTTCCTGGGGACATATCGTATTTCACAATCAAAGTTCACTGAAGATGGGTGGCCGACAGTGCAAGAGTTTAAAAGTCAGACTTGGTTCCTGTATAAACCAGCAGTCCTACCGATATGTCCACCTAGACCTTGTCCATCCAGACACTGACAACTTCTTCCGCCATGGAGCTTTTCCGAGACACAGCATTTGGACATATTTTACGGTTCGTGACGGGAGGAAAGTTTCATCAGTTGCAGTACTGCGAGGAGCAGAGCCCCGACTCATGGCGCAGGTATATCAGCGAGCAGAAATGTGCAAACACGGTGCGATACGGCCAGGTCAAAAGGACCAAAAAGAACGCCAATAGAAATGAACAAGCAGAGGAAGACAAAAAAACGAATCAAAGCGCCAGTAGTTTAGATTCAGCCCGGACTGTAGTGCCATGTGAGGAGGAAGAGCTTGGCAATGCCAGCAGTACCAGCATCGGCTCCAAAAAAGAGAGGAGCACCCAAATCGTCGAGTTTCTACCAAATGACCCAGAGGTAGGTATCTTCAAATCCCAAAGGCGTCGTTCGCAGCCTAATTTTCAATTAGAACCCACAGAACTGGTCGTTGGTGAAGAAGGTATTCGTGACGTTTCAAGTCTGCCTCTTGACAGCCGGCGTCTACATCGGCTCGGCCATTTACACAGCTGGATTGACGGACGTGATGCAAGTTTTCGGAGTCAGCCAGGTATTCGCATTACTGGGTCTCACGCTCTTCATTGCTGGATACGGTCTTGGCCCAGTAAGTTCGTTTGAAAGTCTTTGACCAGAACAATGTCACTGACTGGCCATACAGATGATCTGGAGCCCCCTCTCTGAGATCCCTCAAATCGGCCGTAACCCTATCTATATTGGTACCCTTTTCCTATTCATTTTACTTCAAATACCTACAGCCATGTCAGTCAACTTCGGTATGCTTCTTGCCTTTCGCTTCATCACGGGATTCGTCGGCTCTCCTGTCCTTGCTACTGGCGGCGCAACGTTGGCAGATATTTGGTCGCCGAAGAAGAGAGCTTATCCAATCGCGTGCTGGGGTATCGCTGCTGTAGCAGGCCCCACATTGGGACCAGTTGTTGGCGGGTTCGCAGCCATGGCGAAAGGCTGGAGGTGGCCCATCTGGGAGTTGATGTGGTTAGGCGGGTTCATTTTCGTCTTACTCTTTTTCTGTCTCCCTGAAACAAGCTCCACAAACATTCTATATCGCCGGGCCAAACGTCTCCGAAAGATCACAGGAAACAACAGTCTTAAGAGCGAACCCGAGGTGATGGCCGAGGGGATGACAGGTAGGGACATTGTCATGATGTGCTTGGTTCGTCCTTTTACGCTTAACTTTACGGAGCCTATGGTTTTCCTTCTCAATCTCTATATCGCCTTGATTTATGGTTTGTTATACATCTGGTTCGAGTCATTTCCAATCGTCTTCACCGGTATTTATGGCTTCAGTGCCGGGTTACAAGGAATTGCCTTCTTGGGCATCTTGGCCGGCGTCTTCGTCGCAATCCCACCCTTCTTCTGGTACCTATATAATTATCTCGAGCCACAATTTGATGGAAATGGGGACATCCAGCCTGAAAAGCGACTTCCGCCCGCATTCGTCGGCGCATTCGCGATTCCAGTCTGTCTCTTCTGGTTCGGCTGGTCAGCAAGACCAGATATTCACTGGATTATGCCTGTTATTGGCTCAGCTTGGTTTAGCATTGGCTCCACGTTTCTGTTCAATTCAGTTCTCAACTATCTGCCCGATGCATACCCGGCTTATGCCGCTTCGGTCCTCGCAGGAAATGACCTATTCAGGAGTGCTTTTGGCGCCGCTTTTCCTTTATTCGCGACTGGTATGTACGAAAAGTTGGGTGTGAGCTGGGCTAGCTCGTTGTTGGGATTCTTGGCTATTATTTTCATCCCCATTCCGTTTGTGTTATACAAGGTAATCTACAGTCTGCCCCAATCATTTTGACTACAAGCGGCTAAAGTCAACAGGTGGGATCAAATCTGCGGAGGAATTACAGCAAGCACGCAAGAAGAGATATTTAACGAGGGATAGTCTGATTATGAGTGTTGGGTGCTTTGGGAAACTCCAACACTCGATAGAGTTATACGGGACGATGATCCATCACTTTCATTCGCTCTTTTTTTCTCTATTTTCCCCCCCATATTCTTCTCCAGCTTGAACAACCATATACTCAGCCTTCGAAACCCGCCCGAGTCCGTTGACAAACAGAGTACCCAAGAATGGCAAATCGATTCGCCTGTCACGTATGGCCGGTAGTATATTTTGAACTTACGTTTTAATGTTGTTTTCTAACATTCTCGCTAAGTGTCGTTTATAGTAACATCTTCTCATCACAGTTGAAGTCATGGATTCATAGAATTATTTCATCTATTGCAAAACAGGCCTTCCTCACTTGAGAAACTTGCTAACTTTTTATTCGGGGTTCCCTCATGGCAGCGAGTCATGGCTCTTCAAGCTTACCTCCTATGCCCAGGGACTTGTGTTTCCGTTTCTTTGGCATCGCCTTGTCTCTTGAGAAATATATCCTGCTGGGACTCTCAATCAATTTTGGTGTAGCGTTGTCATCTCGCACAAATGTAGACGCGCCAAACATTTCTAATTAGTGCGCCAGCTTAGCCTTGAACACGCTATTTGGGCATATTCTGGGACTAAGTAAGTCATGTATTTATCAAGATTCGCAACTAGCGTAAGATGCAACCTGTTTAATTGGCGAGGCAAATTGGGCGTTGAAGACGCTTCGTGAAGGGAATAAGGAGGCAGAGCAAATATTGGTGATTCAACAAACAAAGCGCACTTCCTAGTAGAGAAAGCAGCTTTACAATGTTGATTATTGCTTCGATACTCGCCTGACAAGGATTTACCTGCTTCGTGACGGCTCTGGTCTTAACTGCGAAACTACATTTTTGACTTTGCCTAGTCCGTGGTTCAACACCTGATAATGCAATAAGAGTGATAGAAACAAAAGTGAGACGTTGCGAGGCAAAGCTCTAATGGCATAAAGTAACAGCGCTTTTCAGAGATACGCCAGGAGCCTACTCATCACATAATTAAACGAAACATTCTAAACATCAGGTTGTGGGAAAATAATATGCCCAGATTCCGTAGGATAATTAATATCTAGATCTTTTTCTCTTTTTGGCACTGGGTCATCCATTGCTAGATGATCCGTATACTTGTAACATGTGGAACCGAGTCCTTAAATCTATCCCAACATTCATCTGAGCTGTTTTGTTGCCCTGGAAGACATCAATTGTGCCCAATGTCCAGGGCTCTTCGGAAGCAGTGCCAAAGAAGTTACCTCTTTACTGTTGTTAGCCTTATGTGCATTTTCGGTTTGGACCAAAAAACAACGGAAGTAAGGCTGGGTCTCTGATCCCAGTTACAATCCTCTGCTTTGAGTTCCAAGTCGAAATGCCATATAAGCTTTGCCAAGAACATGCGCATCATGGACCCTGAGCCCTCTCAAAGATAGGAATTTTGTCTGTGACACTCTGGTGTTTATGGTCAGTCGGTTCTTTCAAATGAGAGACGACTATCTCAACCTTAACCCTCGCGAGTATAGCACTCAGAAGGGTTGGTGCGAAGATTTGGACGAGGGCAAGTTTTCCTACCTTATCATCCACTGCCTTCAAAACAGCCCTAAGTTCCGCGATCGCATCATGGGCTTCTTCCGGCAAAGAACTGGCTGCATAGGGCCGATGCCAGCTATTGGGAAAGTTCAGATCATTGAGTACCTGCAAGAGACTGGCAGTTTCACCGCTTGCTGGGAGTTGTTGAACTCACTAGAGGATGACATTGAGAACGAAATCAAGAGGCTAGAAGAGAATACAGGAGAGAAAAACCCGCTGATGCATCTTTTGTTGAAACTGCTTAGTGTCAAGACAGAGAAGCCAGATGGAAAGGCGGTCGTCGCGCCTGCCGGACTTTAATAACGGTTCCAAGCAGGGACAACAATGGGATTAGACACAATGGAAATATAAGCAATGGTTGTTGGTTGCATGGCGTTATAGAAGACAAACGTTCGTCATATTAAGAATATTCTTGGCTGTGAAGGAGCATTTGCCGGTAGGTACTTACATGGGGCGTATACTTGTTACAATTGGAGAGTCTAAGTTGGGGTAACAGGGGTTGCCAAACTATCACTTACGTAGCATCCTTCATAATCCATCAGCTTAGCTTAGCCTAGCTGGGCAATAATCCCACTAATGTAGTGTCTGCCGATATCTTATCAGCAGCACCGTCCGAAATGCGGAGAACCTGGAACGTCTTCCCTCGGGCAACTCGGCCTCGATTGTATGAAGCTTTCCTTTACAACACTTGCCTAGAGACTAACAAGAACGAGGAATCACGCCGCCTGCTTCTCATTGCTGATATGTAGACAGGTTATGGGTCCGTTGCACTCATCAGTGGAGTCCCCTGCCGAGCGTCGGCGTCGACGCCGCAGAGTTCCGGAGGCAGTCCGAAAGAGAGCACAGCGCGCGTGCGATCGCTGCAAGACACGCAAGAACAAATGCGTCGAGACCGATTCAGGCATATGCGTAAGATGTATCCAAGGTTCACATCCGTGTCGATTTGATCGTGAGCGAAGTGTCCAAGAGCAAGTCACCGCAAGGTGCGGGCCACCGACGACGACTCCGAATGAGTCGACAACCTTGACAAGACTAGACAATGCTGCCGCGAATCGTAGCGAGGATCTAAGTTACAATGTCAGGGACGAGTTTTCGCCACCAACTAGTGCACCCTCCGAGGCTTTCATGTGGCCACGATTCCTCTCCCGTCTCCGAGACGCCTTCTGTCTTGACTCTCACCCGATACCAGAAGAGCGGGATACAACAGGACTGCAAATTGGACATCAAGATTCATCATCATCTGACCCTACGGAAATTTCACGGGTTAAAAATGCCATCAAGAGGTTTCCTCCCCGGGCCGTTGCTGACTTCTTGGTCTCCGTATGCATTGCTTACGGAACGGATCTCTTTTTCTACTTTGATCAGGCCTATTTCGCAGCAGAACTGGATCAGTTTTATGATGATCCTGCCTCAGCACTTCGATTTGACACCAGCTTTATTTGCCTTAGCTTGGCGATATTCGCTTTGGGGAGCCAATGGACGGCTCTGGCCCGGCCAGAAGACTCGCGCGATACCAGCCACAGGGATAACCAAAAGTCTGATCCTGGCCACATCTTCTACAACCAGGCTCGCATTTTGACATCATATATGATAGAACGGTCGTGTATAAGGTCCGTCCAGGCGATGTTTATCCTCGGCGTATATCTCATGCCAGCGAGCGCTATCAACGCCTCATATGTCTACATGGGACTGGCGTTGCGTAAAGCGCTTGCCATTGGACTGCATCAAGAACCTGACGACCTAGCCTTGAGCTCGGAAGAAAAAGAGATCCGGAGAAGACTGTGGTGGTCTATATATTCACTGGAGAGGTTAGTCTCACTTCAATATTATATGAAATCTCAATCTGATCATTCCAGGACTGTGACAATAAAAGTCAACCGGCCACGATCTATCAGCCAGGACATCATTTCTGTTCGCCTACCTCGGCCCGTACCCCGAGACTCTACCCAACGGTTCGACAATGTTCAACATCAAATAGCGAACGCAAATTTTGTTCTGATCATTGACAAGCTCTCACAGCCTGCGTAAGTCAACACTTATCGTGTTAAACTACAATTTGTCTCTGACACGCCCGTCAGCGCATGGTCACGAACTAACCAAGTTCACTCGGATTCGGATCATCCCAAGTCTATGGAAAACGCCCAGCTATCTCTCAAACAGTGGAAAAAAGATTTACCACCCCTTATCAGCTTTTCAAACGTCGACTCCAAGTCCCCCGGCTACCGGGCAGTCTTCCATCTTCACCTTAACTACCATTTTGCCTGGATAGATATGGGCAAAGTTTCTGTTGTTACCGTTGTAAGAGCACGGCTTCGCACGGTCTTTCGCCCCAGCGACGAGCCTCAACATCTCAGCAAGGACGTCAGACAAGCGTCCGATAACTGCATAAAAGCAGCCAAGAAGATGATCTCGCTCTTTGAAGGCTTGTCTCGCAGTGGCAATATGGCGCGTTTCTCATTTACGGACTTCCAGGGCTGCAGCATTGCCACGATCATCGTTTTGCTTGCCGGCATCCTGCACCGTGACTCAGGATATGAGGGCCGCGTGGCATTTGGACTGGATTGTCTCCGCCAAATGGCATGCGGTAGAAATCCCACAGCGCGAACGGGAGTCCGATTTGTCGAGGCTTTGCAGTCTATCACAAACGAAGCGAGGTCCAAGCTGTTGGCCACGGATCTGGGGCCAGAAAACAGGCCTGGCGCTTCAGCAGGAGAAGCAGACGAATACGGGCGTTGGGCTGAATGGCTTGCCAACGCTGAAACAATCCACGACTTATCGAGTGATGAATCCGATTTGGAGCAGGCTGAAGAATCGACATGCAACGCTGTGAATGCCCCCACTATGCAACAGACCCCATGGGACGAGGCGGCAGCGTTCCAGCTTCAAGATATATCGGCTTCGGGATTCGATCTAGTAATGGATCAATCAGCGGCCCCAAATGGCCAGAACATGATGGCCAGTCTGTCTGCAGAGGATACCTGGTTGCCCTCATTTACTTGGAACGACGACCATATGCAATTAATGGGGTTGGCCGGCATGGACATTTTGGACTTCACGGACCTATTCTAGGCGTCGATAACGAAGCAAATAGAATTGAAGTCAATCAACTCTACTGTTTTATTTGCCTGACTATCAGGGTTCTTGTCGTGAACTACTTTTGTCCGGCAATTCATAGCGCTGGCTTAATCCTAACCGGCACTGCAGCATCCTCTACTATGCCATTCCAGCGACTCTTGTAAATCCTTCCTTCCTTGATCACTCCAAGAACGTGTGCTTCAGGGTCATCAAAGATGGATACATTCTCAGCTGGGTTGGCGTCGGTGATGACAAGATCCGCCTCAAATCCCACCTTGATTTGTCCCAGTGAGTTTTCCCTACCAACCATCTTGGCAGGATTGATAGTTGCACTTTGCAACACAGCCAATGATGGGAGAGCTTTCCCGCGCAAACTAAACTCAAAGGACTGCGCTGCGCTAAGTGGACCGAGGAGATCAGTACCGAAGCAGATCGTAACGCCCGCGTCGTATGCCGTTTTGAGTGCAATGAGGCCTGCATGAAGCACTTCCTCGTTTTTTGACATCGACTCCGGCGGCAAATACCCTTTCCATTTCGGCGACGCCATCTGTGCGTATGTTATGAGTGTCGGTGTCAGATAAACCCCCTTTTGCGCCATAATCTTCGCCGTGGAAGCGTCAACGAAGTTTCCATGCTCAATACCTCGCACTCCGTTGTCGATACAGTGCCTGATAGCTTTCGCCGTGTATGCATGTGCCGTGACATATGTGCCGGCGTTTTCAGCGCATTCGACCATTGCTTGAATCTCAGCATCAGTGAATTGGAGGTGGTCTATCCGATCAGTTGGTGTTGAAACGCCACCAGAGCCCATGATCTTGATGAAGTCCGCGCCGCCGCGAATCTCCTCGCGCACAGCGGTCATGCACTCCGGAACACCATTGCAGAGCCTTCCGAGGCCATTCGTCGAGCCCCCGCAACACTCGCCATGGTCATGCACGCCACGAATGTCGCCGTGACCGCCTGCTTGCGACAGCGCATGTCCCGCAATGAAGACTCTTGGGCCATGAAAGACGCCATCGTCAATGGCCTCCTTCAAAGCCTGTTGCGCACCCCCGCAGTCACGTACGCTCGTGAAGCCTCTGTGCAGCATTTGTGCGCAAACATATGGTTGGCGGAGAAGCGAGACATCGTTTGAGTTCCCAAAAGCCTTGGAGAGGTCGCCAAAACCTGGGACAGCTACAAGATGGACATGGGCGTCGATGAGACCTGGACAGATAAACTTGTCCGTGCAGTCAATTGCCTCAAAGCCTTGTTTCTCGGCGGCGGCAATGACTGGATCTGTGGACTCTCGTATGGCATCGATGAGACCATCTTTGAGTTGCACTGCCACGTTGGGACGGAGAGAGCCGTCTGTAACATCGACAATGGTAGCGTTTGTTAGGATGTATCGCCGGATGGGAGCGCGCAGCCAGGGTTTGAGGTCTGCTTCGGTCACCATGTTTAATGTTGAGCTGGCTTGAACCGTGCCAAGATGCGGGAGAAGGAATGAACTAGGGAGAACCAAAGATCTGGCAATTCAGGCGACGCCAACATCGTTTATTGGATTGGTGAAAAGAATCATCCAGCCTTTCCAAAGCTGTTTATTTATCCGATTGGCTTTGTTCTCGGAGGAAACGTCACCCTGAGACTTGTAAGCCACTAAAGCTACTCAGACGTGACGATATCGGATACATGTACCTCTATCATCGGAAAACCGACCGCACAGAGCCATGTTGCCGATGCCGGCATCGGGTATCTGTCCTAACGCAACTCCGCCATCGGGAATTTGGCCTGCCCCACCTTCATATCATCGCTATCATTGACAGTTAGGGCCTATCGCAGGATTTTGGAGGCAATGTTGATAATGCATCTTTGGTGCGGGGAACAGGAATGCAATCCCGGGTTGATAGGTGACCACAGCGCGTGGCTTGTGGATACGTTTTAAAGCCGGCACTTCTGCTCTTCTTCAATGTTGTGAAGGGCAGTCCCCTCTATGGGAACTTGGAAGAATATCAGTCAACTACAGCTTAGAATTCAACGATACAATGAGTTCTTCCGGCGATGCTGATGCGATGAGCAAACGACGAGACGACAACCCCCACAAGAGAGTGTAGAAGAGAAGAGTGGACAAGTCGTCGACTTAGAAGACGGGTATACCCCCGAAGAGGAAAAGGAAGTGTTGCGCAAGATCGACCTTGCGATCATGCCCATGGTACGAAAAAGGATTACTCTTGGCAATCATCAATCCTCAGTTAGACTAACAAGAAAGAAAGATGTGCTTTGTTTTCTTCTTGCAGTATTTGGATAAGCAAAGTCTCAGTTACGCTAGTGTGGGTTCCTCTGTTCCCGAGCAAGCTGCAATTGAAGAACTGTATTCACAAGGACCATAGGTATTCGGCCTGATCACGGACCTCAATTTGACCAGCACCCAATACTCTTGGTGTTCGTCCATCTTTTACGTTGGTAAGTAACTTTGTAGTAGACCCTGTCGAGTTCAACCCCCGACACTTACCTGTGTTAAGGTCAATTGGTATCCGAGTACCCATTCATCTACCTGATGAGCAGGTTTCACCTAACGAAGTTTGTCGGAATAACAATGTAAGCAGCAGCAACTTTACCACACTACCAGAGTCTAGCAAATCTGACTGACAAATTCCTTTGGGCTTCAGTGTGATCTGGGGCATCATTTGCATGTGCCTCGCTGCGCCGACCAACTACGCCGGCTTCGCCGCCGTCCGATTTCTCCTCGGATTTGCCGAAGGGGCTGTATCCCCAGCGTTCATCACGATCACCAGTATTTGGTACCGAAGTAATGAGCACGCTCTCCGAACAGCGTAAGCACCTCGCTTATATATAGCGGGTTTCATGCGCTGCAGACTGACACGGCGTTAGACTGTGGATCACCATGAATGGCGTTGCCCAGATATGTGGTTCCCTGCTTATGTACGGCATCGCCAAAAACACCTCGCTCACTCTCGCCCCGTGGCGAACACTCTTCCTTGTCTGCGGTGCCATCACCTCTGCGGCGGGCGTCATGTTCTATCTCTTCATGCCTAACGGCCCTAAAGATGCCTGGTTCTTGACAGTCCGCCAGAAGCAGGTTCTCTCCTTGCGTATGGCCAAGGACCGTGAAGGAGGCGACAAGACGTCGTTCTCAATGACACAACTTAAAGAGGCAGCTCTGGATATCAAGACATGGTTCGTATTCTGGTTTGGAGTCTTGGTGACAATGCAGTCCCCAGTTCTTACAGTGAGTACATCTTTCGCGGGATGTGCGGACCGGTCTAACAGTTCCAGTTCGCATCACTTGTCATCAACAACATTGGATACGACAAATACGAAACCATGTTATATACTGCTCCTTCAGGTGAGTAATGTTTCCAATCTGCCATCCAGAGTTTCCACTGATTCAGCCGCATGGAAGGTGCTGTCCAAATTGGAATGCTATGGATTGGCGTCTGTGGCTGCATGCTGTTCCCTCGAAATCGAACTCTTGTGGCCTTGGTTCTAATCTTCCCACCGCTTGCGGGAAACGTGCTTCTGATGAAGCTCTCTACTGATTCAGGATGGGGCATGATAGCTGCCTCCTGGATTGTGAGTCTCTCTGCTCCAACAACCGCCATCAGTACTGACAAGGTTTAGTCATCATGTATCACTGCGGTTTGGTCCATCCTTCTCTCTCTGACCGCTTCCAATGTCAAGGGCAATACCAAGCGCGCCATAGTCAATGCCATGTTCTTCGTTGGCTACTGCGCTGGTTGCATTGGTGCCCCACAACTCTGGACTAAGAAACCACGATACTTCAACGGTGTCGTCACAGCTATCGTCACTTGGTGCCTTTTGTTTGTTGAAATCGTGTTATATCGGTACCTTTGCGCAAGGGATAACTCAAGAAGAAATGCCGATCTTTCTGAAGGACAGTCCACCCAACAAGCCCACGGGGAGATCATCTTGGATGCTGGGGGTGCCCCTGATAGTGATCTAACAGACAAGCAAGACAAGGCGTTCAGATACAGCATATGAGCAAGGGCAAGATAGCGGCCCGATTTTAGAGCCTTGGGAAGATTGAAGAAATCTTGAATACTGGTTACGCAAATTTGGAGATCAGACCGATACAAGTGCCATGGATCAGTTAGGAGGGCCTTGAACTAAGGAACAATCAGTAATCTGCTGCTTGTAGTTCCGCGTTCTATGCCTGTCATTCGTAATGGAGGATTTTGGTTCAGGCAGCAAATATGGGTAGGCTCTAATCATCAGGACAGTTGGAAAGCGTATTCAACACGGGGGGAAATAGATTCGATGAAAAGCTGTCTATATATGCTGGTACAACCGAATGCCTTATTCATCCACACAGCTAAGAAAATGAACCTGTTGACTGCGGCTTCCTGCTCAATTGCATCCGTAGATTATATCTACAGTTCAATGAAACTATGCCATCTTAGAAATGTACGAAACCCTGTGATGGTCCACAGTACACGATTTCAGTGTAAAACGGACTTCACACTTTGTTTGTTGATACTATACAAACCAGGGCATTTTCAAGGACTTGAAGGCCTCCTTCTGGTAAGCTCTTGCTCATCGACATCTTCTTTTAAAGGAATTCTCCCGTTTCTCCTCGCAAATCCACTCCTTATCGTCGAGAAGAGCCCTGGCATGTCCGATCCCGGGCCATTCATGACTGCTGCGGGATGCATTGAATTGAACACCGCGATAGCAAGGAACATTGGTAGAGCTTCCAGAACGTAAAAATACGCTTCGTGGGTAATAAGGGCGTTGTCAATGCCGTGTCCAGATGAAAACTCGATCAGACGGTAGACAATTCTGACGGTGATCATGCTGAGGGAGAAGTATAACGCCCACATGAGCGGCTTCCAGGGTTGGGGTGACGTCCCAACAAGTTTCTCCATCCTCTGAAGCTCGAGTTGAAATTTCATAGTCAAACCAACAAAGAGGAGGATGAAGAACTCCTGGAGGCCAATGCCGCCCATGTATATGTGAATCGCCTTCATCTGTTCTGCAGGCGGGGCCGTCGGCCCAGCCAACGAGCCACCCGCCAGTTGCACGGCAAAGGAGACGATGTCGAGGCCAATAAATATAGCAGCGAAGGTCGAGGCCGGAATATGAAGAAGAGAACGCGATGGATGGAAGAAATAGATCATTCGACCGAGAGTCATGTATGCAAAGGCGTTAACCCCTGTAGCATGTTAGTTCCGGTCCAGAACAGCGGGAACTGTCAACATTCAACTCACAAATGGGCGCAAGCAAGACAAATATCTGGAAGACAAGGTAGATGCCATTACTTTGTTGTTGTTTGCTGCTTGCAGCTCGAAAGACGAATGCTATAGTCTCCCAGATGCTCGCCATGATAATAACCCAGCACCATCTCTGATTTCTCGTCAGCCTGTACATTGCGCTAGTAGAAGCTGTCGAGACATACGGACCTTCTTGTGCTTGGCAGCCTGCCAGATATGAACGGCAGTCAAAAGCCCAAAAAGCACCGCAAACACCAAGGCCGCCACAAAGCTGGGATAGTAGTTCCAAATGGCACCGCATTCGCCGGGTGGGACGTAGCCGTTGGCGTCTGGCTCAATGGTTTGGATGCACGTTGGGATGGCAATTTCGATGGTTTTGGCGGGGATGTTGACATACCCATTTGTCACACCGGGAATTGTGATGTGTTTTGTTGTGATGAAGTCGCCGGTTGGTGATGCCGATAGTGTGGAAGAAACTAATGCGTCTTGTCGTTCGTTCACAAACCCCGGCAGAGTTGGCGTGGGTGAAGGACCTGAAGGTAAGACGAGGGCAAAGGTTGGGATGGCTGCAACCAAGATGGTACAAGAGAATCGCATGGTGACGAAAGTAAAATAATTGAGATGCGTAACAAGGTTGGTTTAAATAGCTTCAGATAGTACTCGATGCTCCAAATTCTAGTTCCACGTCTGATCTGCTCGTTCTTATAAGTGAAGTTTTCGAGACTCTGCCCATATCGTTTATCACGCTGCCTGGCGATGCACAGCCCCTAGTTTCGCTTCTTTACATAAAGATGCGATCTGACCAATGGCAGCTCGACATGGGAACAGCGCTAGTTGATGGTAGCAACACGGAATGACCTGCACACAGCAATCAGAATTGGCAAGACATATGGGCTTGTGGTCAAAAATAGTAATCAGGGCTTGCGCCTCAATTGCACCGAAAACCATTCTTCTCTGACCGTGACAGGCCCTTCTGGTTCTCTCAGTAGGAGAGCGACCTTCTTCCACACCGTAACTACGCCATCGCTACCAGTTATTACGCGTGTCTCATGTTGGACCGCGGAGTCCTTGATACGCCGCTCCTCTGGAGGCAGCGTTCCGTCGTCAATTACATCCGCGGTATCCCCATCCAGATCAAATTGCAAGCCGTGCTCGAACTTGATCATCTGGCCAACGAAAGCCGTGACAGTACGAAGCTCCCACAGATTTTCCTTTCCATGGGCGAGCGCCTTCATCAATTGCATTGCTTTCGCCCGCAGACTCAGTGAGCGGCATTTGATGAGAATGAACGCCAGTAGGGGGGTGAAGCCCATCTCAAACGTGAACTTGGCGCGAGGATACTTGTTCCACATTGATCGCAATATGGCTTCAGCCTGTCCCGCAAGTTCTAAGATGTCGCGGAACTTCTCCATATGTAGGTCATACACTGTCTCTCCGCGAGAGAAGCATGTGTCGATCCATATTTTGCCGAGAAGGTATTTTGATTCATGCAGGCGCTCGACGATAGCTTCTCGCATGGCACCAAACTTGCATTTCTGAGTCGTCTTTCTCTTCTTGAATACTTGGAAACCAGTTAACCAGGCGTCGAGTGCGGCGTCAATATCGTTTCGCTCTTGCAGTGCAGATGCGTCCGGTTCAGGAGAGTTCTCGTCCCCAAGCCTGTACTCATCCGCCGTTCGGATGAAGCGGATGGTCCGTACGATTAACGGGTCCAGCGCTGCCTGAACTTCCAGCAGACTACAGAATGGCGGGTTCGGGGCAGGGCACGGCGTCGCAATGGCTGGGAAGGTTTCTGGACTGACCCCAAAAAAGAAAGGGAAAACACCAAGGCGGCAGAATGCTGGTTCCAGGTAATTTTTTGTGAAAGTCGACTTTAATTTGACGCCATTGAGGATGTTGATGCCGTGTCGGCAGTGATCAATGGCCCCTTGGCACTGACCGCGAAGCATATCAATGCAAACGAAGAGAATGCACACGAAAAGCACCGTCTCCTGATTACTCGTAGTCCTTAGATGTTTGATGGCTTTGTTGTAGTGGGCGACTGCAAAGGCATCATTCTCGCTAGACAGATCCATGCCCTCATTGAACTTTTCGTAAAGTGAGCTGATGGCCAATGCAGCATGTTTCGCGGCGGGCTCTTGATGAGAGATCTGGGGAACAAGGTGCGTCCAGAAGTAACTATCAAGAAGCCCCGCCAAAGCGGGAGCAACGTCGCTGCGGAAGAAGGCCAGACCCCGAAGCTCGGTATCCGGTGCCGTCTGGGTCGGCGGCGGACGTACGTGGAGCAGCTGAGGCCATGAATACGTTCCCGTCGGCGGTGTTACATAGCCATCGCATTTTCTGCCTGTGCTGACACACCTGTTGCAGGCTGGACGCGCTTCATCGCACTTGACTCTACGGATTCTGGGGCCAATAAGCCACTGCTTGAGGAGAAAAAGCGAAGCAGATCGCCGTGGCGTAATCCAAGGGGAAGAGCGGGCGATCACTTACTTGCATGTAATGCACCCCGTTTTCACCTTTGCTACACCAAGTCGTGCCATCTGGGGTGGAGGAGCTGTTACGGGCAGGGCTAGAGTCCGCGTTGCTGATCAGCCCTAACAGGCGTGTTTCTCCTATCTCGTAAGAATGCGAGGTAGGCTTTCGACGGGCTCAAGGACACGAAGGGTGGCCGTTAGGTTTTACAAGTATCAGGAAACGAGAGCCTCAAGTATGAGCTTGGGCACTATCAACGAACACGTTGAACATGAACTCCGAGCAAATTACATGACGTGCCGTTTGACGGTCTTTGTTTCAGACCGGCGTGGAGGAAGATGAGAGGCAGCAATAGCATCCTGGGTAGAAGCGACCGCTACCACTTGGACATCGGGGCGCAAAGACAAACTACTGCGTAAGCCCCGAATCCCTTAGGCATAGACCCGCTTCGAGTGGGGCAAATGCGACCTGGCCAATCGGCTGCCGCGACTGTGAAATAAGGTGTGGTAAGAAAGTGCTTATGTAAGTCTTCCCCCTCTTTCTCCTACGCGTCAATGTCATCTCAAGATCTCAGCACAGCCCCTAGCGTTGACGCCTCATCAACTATGGGTACATCAGTGTCAGGATTGACAACTTCCAGTTCTAGGAGCATACCCATATTGCAGTTGCGTTTGTATCAGTAGAGACTCATCATAGATGAAGTGCCTGGAACTTAATGGCATCAACTACGAAGTTGACAACTATAACTGTATTTATTAGGTACCATCAACAAACCGGACAGCGGCTGATGGACTTCGGGAACAAGTCCTAGATTGAGTTGCAGCTGGCTGTGCTATAACCTTCGTTAGCGCCCGTTTGTGAAGACGCCACTAAGACTGCGGCCTACGATCGGCACCACCGGAATCGCGAACTCCAAGAGGCCAAAGCACGAACCTGCATGAGCTAGGCTTGACTATGTCATCGGATGGAACGAATGACAAGTCTTCAACGCGATTCTACGACAAAATTTTGGCTCCTATGCCAAAGTTTACTTCTACCTATCTGAAAGGAGGTATCGAGCGGTGCTAAGTTCAAATTTCATGCACGGCGGTTTTACTTGCAGCCAGGCATGCTCGAGTCGTAATCACCCTTCATATTCAGCCGCTCGACCAACGTATCTTATGGAGACCGTATACCCATAAGTTACTATTCTCCTAGTTGTTTTGCTCAACAGAGAGGTGGTCTACTTCTGCGGTTTCATTCACTAAATGTACGGCAAATTATGGGATACTGCCAGGCTTCTGAGGACACCGAGCCCTTGCTTTCCACGCTCCACTCTTGTCAAAGCAAGTCAACTTGAGTCGGCACATCGTTAAGATTTCTGCCAGAGTCTCACATGAACTGGCATACCATCGTTGATGTGTGGAGTGCCCTTGTCAAGTTGGTAGCACCGATCGCCCTCGACAACAACCTTGGATCCGGGCTGGTTCCTTTTACAACGGTAAAGACGGTCAGCAAGTGCTTAAGAGCCGCGACGGAACATGGAGATTTGCGGGTGGGAGCTCACTTCTTTGTATCCCACTCGTCCCAAGCACAGTCGACTTCAATCTCTCTTGCCATGAACACCAAGACCAATTTCATTTCCGTCATAGCGAGCTCCTGCCCGATGCAATTGCGGCTGCCGATACCGAACATCCTCCATGAATGTTTCTTCGGATGCAATGGATCGTCCTCACTTGTGGTCATCCACCGTTCCGGTATAACCTCCTTGGCACGGGGCCACAGCTCATTGGAGCGGGATCGCGAGCGGATGCCATCCCAGAGTACGAATCCATCAGTTGGGTAGCGATCTCCAGTATCCCTGTCGACTATATGATAATGCGATTGACCGTCTCGCAGAGACGTCGGACCAGGGTATAGACGCAGCGCTTCTTTGATGATTCCGCCCGTGTAAATAAGAGAGTTGAGCAGGTGCGGTGACTGTTTAAGCACTTCAATCGTCTCCGCAGTGTCTTTACCAAGAATCTCGTCGTGTTCAGCGCGTAGCTTGCGCCCGACTTCTGGGTTTTTAGCTATACAATGTAGCACCCAGCAAAGAGCCGTCGCCGTGGTATCATGACCGGCGAACATGAATAGCTTGAGTTGGGATACAACGGTGTCGACAAATAGTTGGTCCGTAAGAGGCGCCCTCTCGTCACCAGCCACGCCAGTTAATACTGGTTTCAATGCTAGGTCTATAACGGTTTTGCAAGAGATCTTCCGAGTTTTTGTCTCGCTCAAACACCGTTCGATGGAAGGCAGCAGTTCGCTGTGCATGACACGTCTATTCCTAGCAATGGCTGACAGTCGCCAAGGACTATACCATTTCCACACCATAACGATGTTGAGCAAAAGAATAAACCGCGAGATCTGGTCCATAAAGTGGCTCTTGAATCTGCTCGGCCCGGCAGTCTGCTCGTTGAGCTCAATTCCAAGGACTGCTCGGCCAATGACGTCGATGGTCAAATTTGTCGTCAGACCCTCGAGGGGGAAAACGCTGCCCCAGACTCCATCGATACCAGCTCGCTTTCGCACGATGTCGGTGAATACTTGGACGTCCTTGATCATGCCGGGGACGAGAGATAATACGTTCTTATTGCTAAAGCTCGGATTGAATCTTGCACGCCACGTCTTCCACTCGTCGCCTTCCAAACTGACCAAGTCTAGGTTATCGGTAAGCGGTGCGATGGTTGACTTGATGAGGTGGCTACGTGGGAGGCTCGGATCGGATACAAACATGCCTGCGGTTTCTGGATCTGTGGCAAGGATGCTAGGCGGTCCCATCGGCCACATATCAACGTAGAACACAGGAGGGCAGGACGTCCGTTCGGGGAACAGTATTTGCCAATTCTCAAAGATGGCTTGGACAAAGTAGTTGGGATGACTGTCTCTCGGGAGATAAGAAGTGAGCTTGGCTAGGATTCGAAGATGGCCGAACAGAAATGAGTGAGGCATCATCGGCTTGTGGTGAGTTAGCAAATCCTGGGTAACATTGCCCTGATTCAAGATGTCCTACTAATCCTTGCTGTTGAAGCCTTTTAAACATCATTCGCACTTGGAACATTCGAGCCAGGGTAAAGCCTAACCCAACAACCGCCGCCAGAGCGCAGACACGGAGCGCTGTCCCCACAAGGTTCTTTGCCATGCCAGTGATGAGGATTTCCATTTCGTATGGATGCTGCCACTTAGACCTCTGAAAAAATTTGCGCGGCTGTAAAGATTCGTGGGGGTTTCCGTGCACAAATGTTTGGCCGAGAACTTTGGTCCCAGTCGGTTCTTATCCATCCGCCAAGATTCCTGGCAATCAGAAGACCAAGAGGATCGCCATTGATTCCAGGAAAGATTGACCGGCTGCAGCAGCAAAAACACGTTACCCAGGCGAAGAGAACGCTGGTCGGCGCTTTGTACATACTCAATCATCCTCTAGCCCCGCGTTGCGGTGTTTCATTGGAACGCTTGGCTTGATGGATGATAGGAGGGAATGATTGCTGATCGTAGGGACGTTGCATTGCCCAAGACGAATCGAGCAACAGCTGCATGACACGGTGAACAAGGGTCGCGTACGATTCCATGTCTTACGACATACCAAATTTGGTGAGGCACTGATGTTGAGTTGCTGAGTGGTTAACGACAACCCAAACTTGGCCACTCACTTCACGTGTGTGAGATCTCTATGTTATCTTATTGAGCTATTCATCGCAATAGCAAGGAACACAACCATGTCAGCCTTACTTCTAAACTAGTGCGCCAAAGTTGATTGCACTTTCGACATTTCTCATGCGTTGTTCTCTTTCGTGCTTGTCTGAACCATGCCTCTTCGGCACCAAGTGTGTTACACTGAGCCAAGTCGTCGTAACATTCCAGATGGGTATGAATAAGCCGCCAGCCGCGCTACATGAATGTCGTACACAGCGCTTTAAGCTGCTATGGCATGCAGGGGTGAGTCATCCAGCCGGTCAACTAGCGCATCAACCATCATCAACTTGGAGCTTCAACTGGAGCTCGTATGGTGAAGAAGATACCTAAAACCTCGCTCAAATGCCTGTGTGCTCGTTTTCGGCGGGCATCAATAGTTGCTACAAATCGCGTTCTTGATGACTACTGCAGTAACTCAACACCAAAAGCGGCTTTATCTCCTCCGTCGTCAGCATCAAACATCCGCCCCTAGGTATTGACTTTTCTATCAAGATACCTAAGTGCATGGCAGACTAAAGCAAGCAAAGGAATGTCAGAAACTGATCCCAGTCACCCTAATATCGTCGCCTCCATGTCACAAGTTTCGACAGAGCTTGGCATAGAGCTTCTACCACCAAAAGACGTCTGCGGCTTTGGTGATAACGCTTCTCTTAACGAAAAAATGCTCGGTCTCTTGCTATAAGGCAAGAATACATCAACAACAAACTAACCGATTTGGACCCGACCCACTGTGTAGTTTATGACTTCTCTGTGATGGCAGAGGAGATCCACGAGCCGTCATCAAGACGACTACGTTCGAAAGACGCAAATCCAGAGATTTAGAAGATAGTTTTGCGCTAGCCGAAGGAGAAGGTGATCACCAGTCACGGAGGAAGAGGGGTCATCTAAAGTATTCCCGGCGGAGCCGGAATGCAAAAAAGTTTAACGAAGATGTTGAAGGTCTCTACGAAACGTTTGAGGTTGTCTTTCTGAAACTGGACCACAAGAAAGATATAAACAAGCACCCTTTCGTTGAAATTGTCCGGCTGCGGTTTCGTCGGGAGCCATGAGTCAACTTACGTGAACGAGGTGCAGCTGCAAGCAGAGAAAAAAAGATTAAAAAAAAAACTCAAAGGTAGTATCAAAACACAAAGCATTTACCGAGAAAAGATGAGCAAAACAGTTGGGCCCTAACCAGGGATCGAACCTGGGACCTCTCCCAAATTGGGCTATCGTGGATACCCTAAGGGAGAATCATACCGCTAGACCATCAGGGCTACTAAGTTTAATGATTCTACTGACAGTCACATGTCTCAATTGGACTGCTCATCCTTGGATGGGCCAAAGCGATCCGGTGGGTTTCCCCCATTGTCTGGGGGCGACTGGGGTACCATCTCGCGGGCCTGGCCCAAACATAGTTTACAAAGGTCAGAGGGGTCCGCGTTTGTGATGCCGGGATGCCGGTGAGAAGCTGGGTTCTGCAATCTGAAAACCGGGTGTTAGGAAAAAGCATGTAATGAAACAAAATGATGATTGTATTCCAGAAGGAATGCTTGCATCGTTCTGTGAGACAACTGGCTAGCAGCCGCACCATTCATTGGTCCTTGTGCTTTATCACAACAGCGAACATAAAGTACTGGCGTGGTAATTAATCAAAGATGTTTTCTGAGACAGCCTACACAAGTAACCGTTTGAAACCTTCCAGTCTCGATGCTAAGATATTGTTGCTACTCATACTATCGATAGCGAACTCCGCTTGCTGACGCTTTCTCTCCATGTTTGAGGTGGTTTACTTCCGACATACGAATTGCTGAATATCTTTACAATGCCTTGTCCTACCTCACAGCGTAGCGCCGAGCTCGGGGCGGTCTGGCCCAGGTGTGAGAATGTCTCAAAGGATGCACTGTTCTGGTTAGTAGGAAAGACCAATGGAATGACACCGTAGTGCATGCTGACCTCTGCATTCCGGGACCTACGGCTCAAACGTGCAGCTATGCGGTCAGCGGCAGTCAGCAATCCTGCTGACGAAACTAGAAGACGAACTATGGTTTATTGCCATCAAATTCTGGTGCGACCGGCATGCACAAGGCTGTCCGCATAAACAACTCAGTAATATATACCGTGCACTCCAAGTCTGAAGAGGTTCGTAACTTTGGCAACTTCTCCCAATAATGACGGCTAGCGGCATTGGATCCAACAGACCCTAGCTCAGAACGTCAACGAAGATGGCCCGCACTTCTAGAGTCTGGTGTGCCCTTTTTGCAACCGTCCATGCGGTTACTCCGCACCTGCAATATCGGGCCATGGCCCCAGCGTTTTCCGGCATGGTGGTATTTGGTGATTCTTTTAGCGACAACGGTGAGTGTTTGATGTTCCGTGGTTTCGACCGCAGGAGTGGTGACTGGAGGGCTAATCTATACACATAGGAAACGGATCGGCTCGAATATCGAACTCTACATGGCCTACAGACAAATAGTTAGCCAGACCATCTTATCTCCGACCATTCGCTGCTTACTACTTTAGCTATAACGGTCGCTTCTCTGACGGCATCGTCTGGCCCGAATACGTGGCCGGCAACTTGTCGATCCCACTCTACGACTACGCAGTGGGGGGCGCTACTACGTCCAACGGCTTGATTCAAGGATACACCGGAGCGGGCGGAACAATTGCAGTGCCTTCGGTGGTTGACCAAGTCGCCACCTTTCTCGGCCAGATAACCCCCCAAGGCGCATCGTTCACAGCCTCAGAATCGACGGCTTTGTCTACGCCTTTGTTCGTTCTCTTCGCTGGGGCCAACGACATTATATTCAATCCCAATACCAGTGCTTCACAGACATACCAAGTTCTCCTCCAAGCACAGACCGAGCTGCGGACTGCATATCCTACTGCTGAGGTGCTTACTATATCGCCCCCAGATCTATCGAAACTCCCTTACGGCTTCTACGTGGATACCCTTGCAAAGCAACAACTGCAGAGTTTCGCAAACCTTTTGGGAGAACTGCTGAGTCGCTCTAAAATGAGAGTAGTCAATGTCGATCTCCGACCGCTTTTCGAAGAGTTCGAATATTACGCTGCACCTCGAACATATGGCTTTCACCCTCTGGGCAAGTACGGAAGTTGCTTGGAAGGGGCATACGGAGAGACACCGAACGTCACCGTTTGTGAAGACGGCGAGAAAAAGGTTTACTGGGACGAGTACCAGTACGTTTCCTCGCGCTTCTTTCCCGAATTTTTCTAGCAGCCGTGCTGCCTTTTACTCTGTATGACTCTATCTCTGACGTCTCCACAGCCCAACTACCCAAGCACATTCGTGGATTGCAAAAGAAGTTCTTGACGTGCTGGGCGGTCCGTTCTAGTGATGGAGTGTGCATGTTCTCCGAGGCTGTCGGACTCGGCCCAGCATGAAGTGAAGAATGCAAGTTGGCGGGGCTGCTGATGGAGGCTATGAAAGTTTCCTTGGAAGCAGTAATACATAAACAGCAATGAGCCAAAGCGAGACATTCAATCAGCCGGGAGCAATTTCAGTGGCCGAATTCCAAGTTCCGGACTGAACCCGCGTCTGAGACATATCGACAGGGAACCCCTTGCAGGGCCTATCCTGAAGAGGCAATAGCGGCCCCTCACTCCAACCGTCCTCCGGCTGCAGTTGCAAGCTGAGTACAGGGTATTTGTTCCAAACAGGGCACCGACAAATTGTTTCTCAGCTTCCCTACTACTCCGGCGACCGCTGACACAGCCATCGACATAGCAAGGGGCAGCTTTTGGCTGATACATCACACGCCTTCAGTCTTGGCCATGGCAGCTCGGAGCACAGGCTAGATAAGCTCTATGTGCCAGGATAGAAGGAATAACAAACTCACAATATTGGCCTAAATTTGGATCTGTCGTCTCTGGACACTCATGCGACGAGTTGCGCGACGGATCTGCAAATATCTGAATTAATGGCAGATTTCAAGTAAAATAATCACAATGATGAACAGTGCCAGTGCTGACTTGTTCCGCAGAGGCATATCAAGGAATCCAGCTCACCGGCCGCGCCGGGCACCCTGTCTGATTTGTGGAAATGTGACAAACGACGTGCAACACTTTGGGTTTAACCGTTTATGTGGCTCCAAAGCCGCTCTTTCGGACGGTGTGGACGAATTTATAATTAGCACATTATTTGATGATGCGGTATGACGGCGAATGAAAAGGGAAGCGGCCTCCACGGTAGTTCAGAGATCAGTGCCGCAGCCCATGAGAGCGCAACAGAGCAATTCGTCAGATTGGCGGCTGGGGTTTCTTGATACTGATCTATTCCTACAAAGCACTTACCGTACCTGTTCCCCAATGCCGCAAAGCCGATCGATGGTTAAGGCTGGCCGTGATGCATGCATGTCCCCTGGCCTCATTTAAGCGCTACGTCCGCCATCCGATGACGCGTAATAAGACATGGTTCCTCCACCGTGGCGATGGCACTAAAGATTGAAAGCGAGGCAGGGTGCCATGTCTGAAAAAAGGAAGAAGAAGAAAAGGTGACATTCCCCGAGCAAGGAACAACGGTGCCGCCTCCCTCACTCTAACATATCAAGGTGAAACGAAAACGACTGCGTCCCCTCATTTACAACAAACGTGGTATGGCCGGAAAATAAAGGAGCGGTGGAGACTCTGGGCCCGTTTCCCTTGAAACACTCGGTCGTGATGGGCTGGAGTCCTACATCTACCCAACCAGACACTCGCATCATTCAAGTCCAATTCTGGAGAAGTGGTAAGGTCTAGAACTTTTGAGCTCTTTGAGCACTACTCCGGTTGAGCATAGCATCCACCATCCACAGCGTTCACCCATGTCGCATCCATCATCCCGCCGCGGAACCATAAATTAATGATGGTGCAAGTCCTTTACCCCTGAGAATCCACCGGTTGGATATTGACGACAATTTGACACCCATGCACCTCATGATCGTTCTGTCTCTGGACGAGAGTAGGAGCATCGGACCACTAATTCTGTCCAATGTTGATTTGAGCCGCAGACAACTACCGAGCAGTGACAACTCGACCCGGGCCAAACATGGTTTTGGACTGCTAAACGCCCACATCCCGCTGTGCCGGGTCGATCCATACGGTGCCCTTGTCGATCAGTCTCGTCCGATGGCGGAACAATTCACAATGCCTCCCTAGTGCCGTTCAACCGTGTTGACGCCATCCTGGAAGGCCATGAGGTACATTGGTAGGCGACTGCTATGGCGGCCAGGTTGATATAAGTTGATGATTTCTCCTTCCAAGTTGGCTATTTTCTCCATCCCATCCCATTCCATCTCCATCACTTTCATTCAGCACTGAAGCTAGTCTTCTGTTCCGTTCTCAAATCAGGCATTTCGGTCATTCTTTCGAAGCTCTTCTTTTTCAAATCTCACTCAGCCACCAAGCCCTCAAGCCATTCCCAAACCTCAATCAACATGAAGGCCAACGTTATCGCCGCTACGATCCTCGCCGCCTTCTCGGCTGGCGCATTCGCTCAAGACCAGGACTTCCAGTTCCCTACCGGCCTCCCTACCGGCCTCCCTACCGGCTTTCCTACCGGCTTTCCTACCGGCTTTCCTACTGGCTTCCCTACCGGCGAGCGCCCCACTCAGGTTCCCGGTGCTGCCAAACCCTCCGGCGGTTTCCATGGTGGCTTCCCCGGCTTTGGCCACCACTCTGGCTTCAAGACCCGCACCCGCGGCTCTACCGAGAAAGCTGCTGGCTTCGGTGCTCAGGCCGCCGAGACACCCTTCCCGACCGGCACCCATTCCGCTGGTGCCCACCATACCGGCAAGGGCAAGCACCACAGCAAGCACCACGGCACCGGTGCTCTTCCTTCCGGTGTCCGCCCTACCCAAGTTCCCGGCGCTGCTCAACCTTCCGGCGGCTTCGGCGGCGGTTTCCCTGGCTTCGGCGGAGGGCGTCCCTCTGGTGCTCCCTCCGGCTTCCCGGAGGCCAAGCCCACCAATGTATAAGCGACATTGACGATGACAGTTCGACTTGTGGCTTTGGCATGGATCACTTGGTCCAACAAACAGCTTTCCTTGGAGCGATGCTTGGATGATTCTTTGTGATGGAATACTTTTCTCATTCTTACTACCCCCATGTGGAGCTTTCTCTGTATAAATACAAAAGCCGCTTGGAGTAGCTGGCTGGTACATTGCATAGGCGTTTGCTCTTGTTGCAATATCAATAAGAGTACTCGTCATTTTTACACTTCTGAAGACCTGACCAACGCCTTAGATGCCATTGCTACCGAACATGCAACGTTCGCTGATGCTTGAAGTGTGATCCAATGACATCCCGTCGCACTATGCTTGATACATTCCTTCACTTTCAGCCATGGATTACAACTACAAATGCGGTCTCTGACCAAGCACCTTGGGTAGCCCGTTACTGCGATGCGAAGAGTAAAGGAAAAAGCCAAGTGTAGGCCAGGCTTTCCAGGAACAACGACCAGTGGCACAACTACCAGACCAAAAAGGGTTCATGCACATATTAAAAGATTAGACTTGGGGGCCGTTAATTGATTGGATGTTGTGATATTATCAAATTATCTGATATCGATATCCGCTCTTGCTACCTTTTACAGCCTGTTGCGCGCCTGAGGTTGGCTTCGTGGCTCGAATGCCTACTTCTCAGGCTCTGAGGCCGAATCTCGTAAGACTCTCCGCCCACACAACTGGGTCCATTCCCGTCCAACGGATCACAACCACCGAACAGAGAACCGGCCAAGCCGCATCACAGCAAACAGAGTTGGGTTGGGCACGAACAGGCACGTTTTTCGTGAGTTCCCGTGGGTACCCTAGTCCAATACTCCATCCTGACAGTGGAGTATTTTCTCTTCGAGTCTTGCGGTGTGGTTTTGATGCCCCTGTCAAATTCGCACCCAACCCCGTTGATGATTGCGCTGTCCAATCATCTCCCTAACCTACAGACCAGGGACGCATCGCCCTCGCGAGATCCGGTTCGTCACAGGAAACTTGCAGCGGATCCTCTGCAAACAACCCTAGATGTTCCGTTCCCAATACTAGTCTTCAGACGAACCACGCGAAGCTTTACCGCCAAAACCTACGAGAAACCCAGTCAACAGGTGCATGGCCAACTCAGATACGCTAGTCCTATACCGGCCGTTCTTTAACTAAACAGCCAGCTAAGTCGATGATGTTCTGGCAGGGGATTATGAAAAAAGACAGCGAAAACCGAGTGGCTGACCGAATGACCATGTCCACCGCTTCTTGCACAAACCCGGCTCGGTGCGCCGTTGGCCGGGTGCTCGACAACGCCATCTATTAAAGAGGCGTCCGTGTCCGCAATGCTTAGGAAAGTTTCTTTCTTGGAGCCCATCCTCTTTCGAGGCCCCCCTCGACCAACACCCTAACCATCATCCATACAACATGGCCCAAGCCTCGCCTTCGTGGCCGAGGCTGATGGGGCTGCTGTCGGTGCTTCTGGCACTGATTCTCGGCGTCTCGGCTGGGTCACACGGTGCTGCTGCCACCGGCTGTCTCACCGACCTTGCGTCAGTTTCGGAAAGCACTTGGTCCGTCGACTTTGACAACAGGACCGGCGTTGCTGAGAGTGAGTCAACCTTTGTCTGCTCACCTGTTCCAATTATTCTGACAACTTTGGTAGCCCAAGAAGAGAGCTCGCATGCCGGAAACGTAAACGATAAGGTCAAGAAGCTTGAGACGACCAGCTTGCACAGCAAGGGTACGTTGCGCCGCATCACCCCTTCACAGAACCTCAAAATATTAACAACCCACTCACAGTCGTCCGATCCGGTTTCGAGTCTTTCACTGTCGAGATTCCGGCCTCGTGCCGGACCCTCGGCATCAAGAGCTCACTCATTGAGCTGCCCATCAGCTTCGCTAGCCTGCACATGCACCTGCAGAATATTCGCACCAAATAACCTTGATGGCGGTTTGTTCACCTTGTCAAACCGCCGACACGAGACTTCAAAACCGTGTTGGAACGACCCAAATGACCTCCGACACAACCCAAAATCTTATATGGGGGTGTGTTTAGTGTACAATGGTATACGCACTAAGCAAGTCCCGAACTGGCTGCCCATCGACATGGAGCGGTCTTTCTATACGAAAAATACGACATGACTTAACGAAACGAAACGAAAAGAACAAAAAATGACGGGAAATGAAACGATGTCACGGAAAGATTCCCTCGAACCACACAAACCTGGTCGAGAAGTACGATGAATGACTTTCTCATTATGTCTCTGATACCAAACTTCTTCCTCTTCACTGAGGCTACAGCCATTTGGCTCTTCAAATACATTCCATTTGTCTATTAAGGCTGCTGCAACAATCCCGTGATGCATGTGATTTCCGTTCAGTCTCGTTCGTCCAAGATTGCCTCCTTGAGGAACCTGGGCCCTATTAAACGCAAGTCTCGTACCATCAGAACCCGGAAACTGACGATAGTTAAATACGTGAGGAGAAGTGGGCTGAGCACTGTCGAGCGCAGTCAAGCAAACGGGTAAATAAGCGGTCAGTGTCTCCAACGACAACATGTCAGCTTACACAAGCCTTGTCAGGTGTTCTGGAATCCTAAAACAAGGTCGATACTGCGTTCTTTTGTAGCCTGAAAATGATAACTGGTTGAGCCTACCGAAGGACAACTTGCTGAATTAAAGGATTTACGAACAGTTGATTATCTGGTGGACTTGATACATAAACTTGGGCCAAGCAGCCTGGACGCTGTGGTCTTTTCGATTCCGAGCTTTCCAGAAACCACATTACCGCACGCATGGTAGCCACTAGGAGCCAAATACTAGGTTCGAAGTTCTGGTCATGAAACTGGTCAAAATTACCTAATGATAACGGTCACGGAACGCGGGTCTAGAGGCACTTGTGACTGTGACAAATCGCCGAGCTTTAATTCAATCCAGTCCGATCAACTGCGGTATACGCCACTACAATCTAACATAAAGAACCCGGTGTTTGTTTCGAGCTCCACCATACCCGGTCGATAATATTTGACCATGAACCCTCAGAGGATAACAAACCTTTGGTATCCTCCCTCTCACTTCACTTTCCTGACATGCCTTCCCTTCTTGGTGAAGAGTTTGCTCCACGATGCCTAACAACCACTGCCAATTTTGCCAGCTTCGAAGGACCAGCACTTTCATGTAACGCCATAAGTGAAGCTGCAGGCGACTCGGCACCTTGCTTGGCATTTTATAGCTCTACTACATGCCAACAGCATTTAGATCTAACACAGCTGGGTATATGGTAGTTAATGTGGATACTTTCTGAGAAACACATCATCTAGGTCAAGGTTTGCACCAACAGCACGGTAAGGAGGCGGTCGTTGTTTTAGGCAAGCGGCCCAGACGACTATTTCCTGCTATTTAGACTTTGTATGTCTGGTTGCTAGCGTCTTTGGCTGGTGAAAGAGACCAAATCATAAAACCCGCTGGTGCATTGTATCTGTGATCCATTCCTGTTCCCCATGCCAAGCAGATCCATGATATCGTTACTGCTCAATTGCATACCCCCAAAGTCCATTGTCCCTCAGCTTTCGACACCGGTGTCCGTCCATGAGTGGCAAGCCGAGATGCGAAATTGAGGAAAGATCACCAAGCAGTGCCTATCTCGTCACCGCACCAGGTGTGACCACCTTCGTTGCGAATGCCATCGTCTATAGAAAGCCGAGTCAGATTGCGGACAAAATTTCGCCAGAAAGCATGATAACTTACTGAGATTGATTTCGGCGAGGCGCACAGTCTCACCATAAGCAGGGTGGCACCAGCAGCGCATCTTGACTTCCTTTTTACTGACATTACGAATGGTGCAGCTCTCGCAGGACTTGTCGAAGTTGCCACTAGTGGAAGGTTGATGGTCAGTTGGAGTTTAAAGAAGATTGAAAAAAGCAGATGAGCGCGTACCGCTTGGACCACTTCAGGACACCAGCATCGTTCGACAGACAAAGACCAAGCTGAAGCCGGGTGTTGAGCTCGCCGTCACTGATGGTGGCACACTTGGCTTCAATATCGAAGTAAGTGCCAGTGCTGAACTCGCGTCTGGTAATAGCGAAGTCTTTGCAAGAGGAAGCGAAGCCACCCTCGGCGGCGGCGGCCATAGTCTCGGACTGGCCGTTGATGACAACCGCCTTCGTGACTGAGCCGTTCGCCAAGAGGGCAGCGATGGTAGTGATATAAGTAGTAGTGAACTTCATGGCTAATAGCTAGTAGCGAAGTGTGAAAGTGAGTTTGTCGATGACGTTTAAGGTAGAGTTGAAAATGGGTAGCTTGGTTGGCTTGTGAGATGGGTTGTCGCGGTCATGGGGGAAGGGGAAGAAGTAGGTAATGGAAATAACGAGGCAGGAACTTATACGACTTGATGCTGAGGGCATGCAACTAATTAAAGGCAGGAGGATCCTCTTGAACAGTCTTCTGGGCCCTTCCAAGGGCGTTCCTTCCTCTTCAGGGAATTTGTAGGCGGTGGGACTGATCTGTGAGCTGGAGGTGAAGTGATAGTGACCAAACATGAAGCGAAGTATCTGAGTATAATTATGTTTCTTCGGCCAATCAAGATTTAAAGACGCAGCAGACGGATTGCCGAGGTTTGACAGCAAGGTCCAGATTGAGGAGATGACGGACAGGGCCTATGTTTGCACACTGGATTAGAGTTATTAAATCCTTGAAGACACCGACGGGGTACAGAACGGCAACACACACGTATTGTGGCTGCGAGGTGTAAACAGAACTGCCCACAGAGTAACGCAGTGATACATAAGCGCTCTCTGTTCACTGCCATGTTTGCACGACTGGATTTTGAAGAAGTTTGTTTTAGTTGCACGTAGCCGACCAAGGTAAAGACGCATTTTCTCTTGTCATGATACAATACTTTGCCAGCCACGTTTGACCTTGCTCCTCGTTCCACGACATCACCCTTCCACACTTGCTTCCCTTGGTTGGAGTTGAGTCCGATGACCTGACTTCCCACATAGCCCGAAACCTCGGACACAGGTCTTTCTCGCCAGAGTGAAAAAGAATACCCCTATCATCGGCCTGGTTTTCTGAGACAGCGACAGATCATTGTTCTTATCCTACATACTTAGCATTAGTATTGTTCAGAATCGTAGCAGCCGTTCCATGACAAAGTTTGCAACCTGATTCATAATAGGAAAGGGTACTGCTCCATGAGAAGACTAACTGTGTGTAGGTGTAACAAGGGGGCACATGGATGGTCAGGTGGGTAGGTGATGGTGTTGGGTTTTGAAAGAAAAGAGAAAAAGGTGGCTTTTTGAAGGACGAAGGTTGCCTAGTCGGTTTCTTGGAGAAAGCTGGCAGTCCTCATCGGTTAGGTCAAGATTGGCTCTTTAGTTTTAGGCGAGGACAATTATGAACGTTGGAGGCAAGAGATGCAGTAACTAGCTTGGGATGTTTCCGCATTTACCAAGAGTGTGTGTCTCTTTGTGAAAAGCCAAGCATCGGGGAATGCGACAACAACCAAGAAACGTTTCATTCATAAGGAGTTCATGTTCAATTATCGTTAATTTACCCTAGAGCCACACGGCCAATGATCTCAATTCCACCTATATCATCCATCTCAGTAAGGGTATAATCACTTTTATCAGTATCCACCGTCAGAAGGGACGCTCGCGGCCCTTAGAAAGACACAAAGCAGGCAGCGATCATTGCAGCGAGCCCAAGTCCAAACGAAGGGGCAAAACCGCTGGCCGCATCAGGCTTGGCAGTGGGGGTGACGATGGTGCCAGGGGTTGTCGATGTGGGCGTGGTGTCGTTCTGACGCAGAACATAGATCTCTCCTGTCGAGTCGGAAGTCATGAATAAGCGGTTCTGAGAGTCCCACGCCAAACCGACGGGACGGAAGCACTGGCCAGGGCACGCGCTCAAGTCCTTGTTGTACATGATATTCTTGAGTGCATTGGTCGAGTCGCTGCTGGCGACGGGCTCGCCGTTTGAGAACTCGACGGCTGTGAGGGCGTAGCCGACGGGGTCGGGGCGGTTGACTATGCCAAGTTAGTTGCGTGTCAAGCACAGGAGACGACGCTACTTACAACTACCGCGGAACGACATGAAAGCGTGCGAGCCGTCGTTGCTGAACTGTAGAAAGACTGGAGAGGTATGCGGCTGGAAGGTCAACCGCGGGGCAATGTAGTCGTTGTGGCAGCGAGTGTCGTTCATGGTGCTGTTTTGCTCCATGGAGAATTGGTCGCCGACATTGAGCGAGGCGTTGAGTGGGATGCCAGTGTCCCAGACGGCGAAGCATCGCGGGTAGCCGTAGTTGCCGGCCTCAGTCTCGTTGGCAACCGCGCCGAGAAGGTTCAGTTCCTCACCGGGGTTGTTGTCGTGGATGTCAACGCCGTTGCGCGTGATGTCGTCAATGGAGTTGTCCATGGCCCATACGTTGCCGGTGGAAGGGTCCTCGGCGACGGCGACGGCGTTACGGATACCCCAACCGAGAAGCTTGCCGTCCGTGTTAAAGTCGAAAGGGTTGTTGCCAGACTTGCCAAGGTCAAACGCCTTGACCTGGGCGTGACCGGTGGACACATCGAGGGCGTCAATGTCGAAGTTCTCGTCTACGCCCCGGGAGACGACAAGCCAGTCACGACTCGCCTTGGACATGACCAGCGTGCGTGTGGTCTGGTCGTTGTTGGCCATATTGTCGATTACTACGGCGGGCTCGGCGTTGACAGCGCCCGCCTTTGCGTCGTAGCCCCAGGCGAGGACTTGGTCAACTGAGGAGGCGTAGAGAGTCTTGCCATCTTCCGAGAAGGCCATACCATGGGTGAGCTGACAGCGGATATGTTAGCCATCTGAACACAAATGCGATGCGTCAAATGAAGCTCTTACTCTAGTATTGTTGACCAAGAGCTTGCTCTCCATGACCTTGAGACACGTTCCGCCATTGTCTTTGAACGTCACGCGGTAGACGCCAACGGCGGCGTCCAGAATCAACAGCGCGCCCTCGCTGTCGACGTGGATTGTCCGTGGCTTCTTGTAGCCTGTCGCGACAAGCTGTGCCTGCCAACCCGGGGCGACTTGGGGAGAATTGTAGCTGGGGGCGAGGACATCAGCGCATTCCTGCGCGAGGATCGTCGTGGTGGCTGCTACCGCAAGAGCGGCTGTTCTGAGACCCTTCATGTTGAGATCAATGGGCACAATAGTGCAGATGACGATGACAGAGCTTCAATTAGGGGACTTCGGTTCCTATTATGCAGCCGCCGATAAGAGGGAAAGCGACAGTCTCAAAGCTCGGTGGCAAGGTGATGGAAGATGTCGTGAGATTGGCTGAGGCAAGCTTCGGAGCAGACAGGAAAGCGTCCCGCGAGACGGGTAGCGATGCATCAGTCAACCTTCAGGGTCGCAATGTCAACCCCACTTGGACACGAGAGACATGCTCCCAGGCTCCCCCGTAGAAGTGCCCCTCCATCCCCCCTCGCGTGTGGCGAGTGGTCGAGATGGAGGCGAGCGGGCGATCCTCTGTCCCTTTTTTGGATTTTGGAGCTTCTCTAGCGCAATCGGGGGACGGCGGCTGGGTAGTGGCCCCACGAAGGTGCTGGGCTTTGTTGGTCAATGGTTGTTGGAAGGATGGGCGAGACTGCGAGATGGCTGCAATCATAGGATGACTGATGGGCGATGCCTCGCATGGGCGCATCTGCCCACGTTGAGCCCCCCTCGCGTCGGCTCAATGCACTAACATTGCTTCTGCTGCCAGCCGCTTTAGAAAGGCTGGTTGCCACAAGACTTCGGCAGGCAGGTGATGAGGGCATCGAGAGTCACAGCGAGGGGATGAGGGAACCGGAACCGAGAATCATATTGCAAGGTGCGCCAGTGGATGCAAGCCCGCAGTCAGGGGTCCCAGCGAGCCCAGCGCCGTGGGAGCAACACCCAGAACGGAGGCATTGGGCTGAGCTGACAGGTATTCTGCATCAATACTGTTGTGCTTGGTGCATCCAGATGCAAAAGGGCTGGCCCGATTCCGACGTGGTCGCGTTGAACGTGGAGGGCGACTGGACTGAACCGCTGTGTGAGAACGGTGTGGCTATTGTAGCACCCATAGGAAGAATTGCGTTTCTCTGCATGTTATCGGACGGTTCTTGTCTGATGTGGGGGAAATAAGCATGCAAGACAACCTTAGCTGCAGCTCCGTCGGTGGACATCGGAGGGGGATTCATGGCTCATTTAATGGCCGAACGAGGCAGGTCGATAGTCCCTAGGGGTCCTTTTGGAGTATGTCCCGATGGATCAGATGGAGGGGCAAGCTGGATAGCCAGGGCCGGGCCAAAGTCTGACAGGGTCGGGTCCGCCGAGGCATAGTCTGTGACATTCGGCGGGGGTGTTTTGAGGACGCCACGACCTGATGGCCTCGAAAACCATAGACTGCTCAATTGATGGATTTGATGTCCTTGACAGAAGTGATAAACCCAGCCCTACGGCAGCCAGCATTTGGTACGTTCCGAGCAAGAGCTGCGATACGTGTTGGCTCTATGAGGGTTACTGTTCCTTGGTCCTCGCCCGAACCCCCGCGCAGTCGCCGGAGCGCTGGCTCCTACATACCTTCAGTCACAAATTGATGACAATATGTGTTGAGGCTTCATCTAACTGGGGTATCTCCCTCGGCCAGAGGTGTTCCTGGGCGACTCGAGCAACAGGTCATCTGGAAGAGCTCCAGGCCCTCATATCAAACCCATTGTGAAGCCCGTACATGAAGTCGAAAGCGGGCCGGCTAATGTGAGGAGGTAGGATTGAATCTGATGGTTGACTCCACCAGCCGAGGCCCTATCGAAGGCTCTGTGTGGTGTTGAACACCAACCGAGCACTGCCGCTGCATCATCTACCGGTCGCTGAGTCCGTGATAACGGGTAGATCATTATGTCGCAAGTTGCTAAGAGCGCGATACTTCTAGTGCTCAACTAACAAGCGATGAGGAAATGATGCGTCATATTCCCTCATGTGCCTGGCGACTGGTTCAACTGCGACAGCTGTAGGCTGACTCAGGAGAGGATCCTGAGCTTCACCGCCGCTAGTCGGACATGCGACGGGCGGAAAAGCACGCATCGAGAAATTTTGGCGCTAACATGCTTGACAGAACCAGTCTAGCCAGGCCAATGAAGAACTTCCAATACCTAGGACCGAAGCTGATAGTCCACTCGCGCCGACTTCCTTCTCGGCGCATCTTCTGGCCTCTTCGTTCATCCACAGATCATCGCACAGCATGTGGCCTTCGCTAAAGACGAAGAGCCCTATCAGTATGGGCCTGACGGACTGTGAACAGAGAGGGTAAACATGATTGTTACCGAAAGCCAAGGCCTCGGCGGAGGTCTCTTCGTCTCTGAAGTTCGCCTGGTCCTCCTGTCGACCAACCACATTTGTGTCCGACCTCACACTTCGCGGCCGCAACCATCCTACCACTTCGAGCCAATATTTCCTTCTGCCTCTGACACAAGGGCGCCTAGGCCAAGAGCGTTGTGGGGGTGGCCAACCCTTTCTGGTGCTACACACGGTACAACCATGCAGCGGCAATTACAAAGTAGTGAATCAATTGAAATGCAACCAGCTCGCTTCTGAATACCACCAAACTTGCGTAATTCAGTGGCCGCGGGCAGCGTCAAGGTTCAGTCATATAGTGGCAGGACAACACAGCACGAACGGAGTTGGCCATTCGCACCCCGAGGACAGCGGCGATGGCTGGACCATTACGGGACGGACCTTCGCAACCACCGCCTAGTCGTCGTCTGTCTGTCACCCCTAGACACACCTTGAGAAACTAGTTAGCCGCAGGGCAGGTTTAGCTATCCAGTGGTGCTGACTTGGCTGGCCATCCCCGCATCAACCCGGACCTTGGCCGTATCGCCATGTTCCCTGTCGGCCCCGAGTCGTATTGCCCCTCATCCTGGAAAACCCCGTTCCTTGGCTCGCGCAGCTTTCGCTTCAGAAAGGTTCAGCCCAGTGTCAGGGCCTGAAAAACGACAGAGAGGCAAGCGACGTAGGGCAGCGTGTACCATGTGCTGTGCCGTGCCGTGCAGGCGCTGCAAGCAATGTGTTCATCTGCCTTTGCCTGGGCTAAACTGCCCAGCTAGCACGGTCAATCCGCCCCTAGTGTTTGCCTGTCAGACGTCAAAGTCGGAACCCCTCCTTCACGTCAAGAACAGAGCAGACAAGACCGGACGAGATGGACTTCCGCATCAAGACTGACCGAACGAACGAACCGTTGAACCATCCCAAGAGAAATTGGCAGCGTTAAATAAAGGTCGAGAAGGCACTAGGTACGGCTTTCCGGCACCATGTGGATTGGGTTCCTCCGCAAATACACCCGTCAAACCATAGACCGTGATATGCCGTGAGACACGCGCCGAGCACGCCAATGCCGCATCGACAGGGGCGCTGCGAGTTCTCTCAGTTTGAATTGGCAGGAATCTGGAGCGTGCCGAGACGCCAACGTTTGCTAATTGCTCGCCGACTCGACTCGTCCAAGCTTCCACTCCCACTTTGCAAAGTTCGTGTGTGAGTGCCCATCTTGGCTCATGCCCGCAACCTATCACTAACCTCCTTGGCGTTCTCCGCCCATTATCAACCGCTTGCCACGGTGCCGTGCCATGCCCGCGATTGTCTCTTGCCAAGCATTCGCCCTCACGCCCAGCATCCTGCTCATTGGTGCCGATGGGAGCGCCGTGCGTCGCCAAAGGCCCTGGTGAGCGGGACATGCGGAGCACAAGAAGACATGCCATTCCACCTGATTTCATCCCATTCCCTTTTCCCACTGGCCTGGCCTTGATTTCTGGTCTGTCATCCGTTCCCCTTGGAGTATTTCCCAAGCTTTGCAGCTCCTCTGCCAGCCACCCACCAACGGCCGAGCTTTTGTTACTGCTTCCGACGCCGCCTAGGTCACCATTGTCACCAAAAGGCCAAAACGCCTACACTCGTCTTGGGCTGCGCTGCTCCCCGTCCTCCCTCCGCTATTCGCAACGTCGGCGCGACCCGAACTTCTGGGCCTGGACGGATACCCTCGCAAGTTCTCCGTCTTGCTCATGCTGCCGATGCCCCTCCATCTTATGTTCGTATGACGCGTTGCAACACCACCCAGCCGGCAGACATCCGCTTCTTCTGGGTCTCCTTTCTTCTTTTCCCGCCTCTTCTCCCTTGCCCAGCGCTGCCGCCTGTCAATTGAGGTCTAGCAAGGTGCGGCACGCTGAGCTGTAGGACGTTGGCAAAAGTGGTCCACCATCAGGTCATCTTTTACCAATTTCTTCGACCCATGTCGGAGCGTCTCTGAGCATCTGTATTTTTGCGATCAGGCTTCCTCTCGAGGTTTCCCTCGGGCATCCTTTCCTCTCACGGAGCGCATCGAGACGGAGGAGGAACACCACGACAGATTTCATCGGAGGCGAAACCCCCCATGCCTCAATAGCGATAACGCCTGCGCCCCCTCGACATTTGAAGCATCTCCATTCGCAAGACGCTCAAGACAATGTTCGCAGCCACTCAACGATTCTGGTTGTCAGCCCTTGCGGCGACAACCCTCCTCTTCACCACGTCAACGTCCGCCGCCGCCGTTGTCCAGCCCCGGCAGGGCGATATTCCCGTCAACGACTGGATCACCATCGACCCCAACGGCAATGCTCGAACCATCACGCCCTCCGTCGTCACCAGCAACGGTGCACTAGCAACCATTAGCCCGCCGCCGTACTCGCTGACAGGGTCCGTTTACACCGTCACTGCAACCACCGGCGGACTCACAACGAGCACCGGCGCACCGCCGCCACCCAAGGCGAGCAACACCTTGGGTTACGGCGGTGTTTTCCCAGTCTGCAACAATAAAGTGGGCAATGACTCTCCATTTTGTTTTCCGAGACGGGAGAGCACTCTGCACGTGGAGTCGACGTATTACAGTAAGCTTAATTCTACCCGTACAGTATCTACCTGAGTCGCTGGACCCCTTACCAAATGTTCCCCAACTGACCCTTAGTTCAAAAAGTTACTTGGGATACAACCTTCTTCGCAGACGCCGCCACGCCCATTGTCATTGTCGGCTTCGATGTCGACAACGGCATTACCGCCAGTGCACCCGCCTTCTCCGTGACGAACCTCAGCGGCGGCGATGGTTGGGTCCCCTGGACCCCTCGCGTTACCGACCTCGAGGAGAGAGACTCTAACAACATGACCATTATTCTCATATACAGCGACCCCGAAACTGGCGAGGAGATGAACAGAACCGGGCCTGTCTTCACTCTCCGGGCCGCGCTCGACACTGACCCTCAAGCTCGAGACCGAACCTTCTTGCTATTCTCTTGCCCGTTATTCTCATCTCCCTCGCCATCGCCGCCGTCATGCTGTGGCTGTACGTTAGGCGTCGCAGGCGTCATGCTGCTATCGCTGCCGCAGCGGAACGAGAAAATGCATCCTACGCCACGGGTCAGACCCGCGGCATGCATGGGCATAAAGGTAGCGCAGACATCCGGCTTGGGCCAACAAGCCCTCCTCCCGGCGATTCGCCTGGAAGAAATGTATTTCAGGACGAGGTCCGTAGACAGGAGCGCGAGAGGAAGTAATGATGGTTGACACGAAGAAAAAGCTTTTGGTTAATGAAAGACGTGCCCGGCGACAAAGAGATGTCGCGACCGGGCATCAGGGCGATTCGCTTGGTAACGATCTTCCGGCGCTAATCAGTCCCACGATGAAGGAACGGGCTATATGACTATATTTGATGAATCAATATTGATGAAATACTTTCCGATTTTCAATTGTACCCTCCCTTTTGTCACCTGATGTGGTTGATGTCATGATTGGAAAGCACCCAGGATTGCTCACAGCCTCCTCAACACGTCAACTGTGGACAGTCTTTTGAGAGACTGGAGGCTATTTCCACTTAGCCATGCCGCGTGCCGTCAGTGCCAGTGCGTCAATGTCGACTAGCCCAATGATTGAAGTGATATGGACATACGTCACGAGCGCTGTCGTTGACCCTAATCCAGACCATTCATCATCTTCTCGCTTGCTCGCGCGTGTGTAGGTGAGCAGAATGGTCACTCTTAGTGACGAAAAGAGCCGAGGCCACGCTCCTAAATCTCGCAGGTCACGGACGGCCGCGGAGTGCCGTCCGTACTATGAATGTTCGTATACGAGACGGAGATTCGAGTCATCTTTGGCTTCTTAGCTTCGGGCCCGCGCAAACCCGGCTACTGATGAATGGCTCTATAGCGTGATATGCAGAAGACCCATTTCAATCTGTGTAGCGTGCCCGGTGATTGCGCTACTGCAAGTCGACGCAGTGTGATTAATAAATCATGATAGGGACGAAGACTAAGCATCATGACAAAGTCTGCCTGTCGTGATGAGTTATGATGCGTCCCTTTGGAACGATGAATAGTGCTTCTGTTACGCTGGATTCTGAGAAAGCTACCTGAGGCATAATGGGAAACCCACTTTCAGGGTATAATCAAAGGTCTGGCTCCGTGGCAACCATACGTCAATTGCTTAGCTACACAGTTCCTCTCACTTTCTCAGAGTAAGCATCTCAGAGCTTCGCAACCACTCCCCTGAGCCCTTCCAATGAACATAGACCATCTGTCCTGTGAACTAGATCTTGTCTGAGAATCTTACCAGTCGCGTTCCTCGGGAGTTTGTCGATAGCCCAAACACCGCCTCTGAGCTTCTTATAGCCGCTAACCTGCATGTCCACGACCCTCTGAATGTCCCTTAGCTTGCCAAGGACCACTTCTCTACTAGCCTCCCCATTGTCCTTCAACACAACCCATGCGGTAGGTACCTCTGTCAATTGGCTCTCATCCCAAAGAGCTCCAACACTCGCCTCTCTGACGTGAGGATGGGAGTTGATGATCTGCTCCAGCTCGCTGGGACTGACCTGGAATCCTTTGTATTTGATCAACTCCTTTGTTCGGCCGACAACCGAGACTCGACCATGCTCGTCTATACGACATACGTCTCCGGTATTGTACCATCTTCTCATAGGGAATGCAGCTTGGTTCGCATCCGAGTTGAAAGCGTATCCAGGCGTAACGTTCGGCCCACGTAGCCACAGCTCCCCTGGACCGCCGGGCGGTGCATCTTCCGCGGTCCCCTCCTTCTTCAAAGCAGCTTCGATACCGGGCAACAGCTTCCCAGTACAGCCATCCGGCACAGTTTCCTGAAATTCTTGATAAGCCACATAACCCGCGGCCTCCGTCATGCCATATGCCTGCACAAGCCTCCATGGAGCCCGACTCAAAAGCCTTGACAGCTGCTCTGGTTTCAGGGGTGTGCCCCCAACAGTGATAATCCGTGCCTTGGAAAAATCAAAACGCTCCGTGATATCAGAATTGGCGAGAGTCAGGACTACGCTTGGAACACCCTGGAACATAGTGGCCTGAGTCGATTCGACGAGCCTCCCAAAGTCCTCCAGGTTGTACTGGGGCATGGCATGGTGGAACATGCCCGTGTATGGTCCGAGGAAAATGGGTGCCGTTGTCATGGCGATGTGAGCCCAGGGCGTGAAGGCCACTGTCCGTGATGACGGGTTAAACATGTGATGATTATGGTCCAGAGCAACGAGTTGCATCACGTTGGAGACGAAGTTGTGATGCGTGAGCCGGACCCCTTTTGGTTTTCCTGTCGTCCCGGAAGAGAGGTGTATCGATGCTAGGCGCATAGAAGTATCCGGCCAGTGAGGGATGGGAAGCCCAGTCGAAGCTGTGAAATCGTCTGGGATACGCTTCGTACCTCGAGCTGGCTTTACGATTGACAATATCAGCGGTCGCTCCCATCTGATCCCTTTTTGACGAAGCTCCGTTGTAGCCGCGTCCACAGCCTCTCGGGTAGCCGCCATCATTGGCCCATATGCCACCACAAAATGCGGTCTCGAGACGGCGAAACCATGACCAATCTCCGATGCCTTGAGAGCGTGGTTTATCGGGCAAACGACTCCTCCTGTCCATAATATGGCATGAAATGCTTCGAGAAACTCTACGCTATTTGGCAGTACGATAGCCCAACGGGCTTGGTCTGGTGGGCTAAGTGCATCTTTCAGTCCTTTTGCGATCCTTCCTGCGCGATCCCTGAGCTCGCCGAGGGTGATATTCCGGTACGTAAGACTATCTCCGGCGACGACGTGAGATTCTGGCAACGAAACTGTGCTGGTGTGAAGCAACTCGGTAAGGTTCAAATCTCGAGGTATATCGATGGGACGTGATGTGTATATCCTCATTGTCGCAATAACCCGTGCATCTCGTTCTCGTTTTTTGAATTCAGATCTCAGGTGTTAGCCGGATGAAGAAGATCAATCTCTGACTATGGTGGGGCCCTAGGAAGAAGAGTAAACGCGAGAATACCGTATTTATGTCAGTTGGTGCGAATCGGCGTAGGGATGGGAAGGCCTTACTCACTTGAGCTGCGGCTGTCGTCTGAGATGCGCACGCTGAGTCGCTCGAGCAACAGAGGTGTGGCTGTCATACTTGTTCTTGTTATCCGAAGGCGAATCCGGTCCGTAGAGAAAGGAATGACTTTGGGATGACGGGGTGGTGTGATGGCGGCTGAGTAGCAGGAGCTTCGTGGTGTGCCTCGGGGAGACAGAGCAACGCAAGCGCAGGCAAGGCAAGTGCGGGGAGAAGGGCTCTTCGCATGAAACAGATGAAGCAAGTGTTTTCATCGCGCTCGGGGAGCTTCCGGTGGCCTGATATTGGAACGTAGCTCCGACGATCATCCTTGTGTTCAGAGAATAATCCTCAGTGTATGGTCAAGGCGGCGGTTCGGGCAGCGGCGGTTTCGGCACGGATTGATTTGTTGGGGGGTGAGAGGGGGTCATGCGATGGCTTCAACGTCGGAACAACGTTTCTGTCAGCGAGTTCACATTTTCGCGGTTCATGGAATCGAGCCAAGCAAAGGGAGTGACCCTCACAAGTGATGACACCTCGAAGACCAATACGAATCGGCAACTGCTCTGGTGCCATTAATGATGGAATCGATCAGATATACCGCCTCGCCAAATACGGCAACGTAGACGCCATTACAGCGGACTACCTCGCTGAGTTCAATATCGCATGGAAGGCCATCCAGATCCAAACCCAGCCGGACCTTGGTTACGAGCCCAACTTTCTCGATCAGCTCGCCTGGCACGACGGCGATGCAGCGCGCCTTGTAGCGCAGAAGCGCATCAAAATCGTCCATGACGGCGGAGCACTCAACCCGCAGGGTCTGGCTGAGAGGACAGACGCGCAGTTCAGGAGTCTAGGCATTCATGATATCAAAGTGGCCTGGGTAAGCGGCGACAACGTGACGGAGGCGGTCAAACGCGGTGCGTTCGGGCGAATCATGCACCTCGACCAGCCAGGCGTCGAGCTTGATACGGCATGTCAAGGTGGCGATCTTCTTGCGGCCAACGCCTACACTGGCATGGCGGGCATTGTGCGCGCATTGGAGTGCGGTGCCGATGTTGTGGTGTGCGGGAGATGCACCGATGCGAGCCCCGTCATGGGCCTTGCAGCCTGGTGGCATGGATGGAAGGGGACGGAATACGACGCCCTTGCAGCGAGTCTCATGGCGGGGCATTTGATTGAGTGTGGGCCGTACGTGACGGGCGGGAACTACTGCGGCCAGCGTGAAGTGCCGGCCCTCCACCATGCCGGGTTCCCCATTGCGGAGATCGGAGTGGCCGGCGAGGTGCTCATCACGAAACCGGGGGGTTCTAATGGGCTGGTCTCTGTTGATACCTGCAAGGCACAATTGTTATATGAGATACAAGGCGCATACTACCTCAACCCGGATGTCATCGCCGACATCGAGGGCGCGATACTCACCCAGTTGGGCAACGATTGTGTTCAGCTCTCAGGCGTCAAGGGTTTGCCGCCACCGCCGACCGTCAAGCTGGCCATCTGTCTATTAGGTGGTTACCAAGCCGAGATATCAGCATATGCAGTCGGGCTGGACATGGATTTCAAGTTGGAAGTACTGAAGAGTCAGGTTCTGGGACAGGTTAACCAGTCTGACTTTACAACGTTTAGCATTGAGAAATACGGCTCCTCAGCTACGGATCCGCGATCTCAAAAAGAATGCACCACACAGTTCCGGATGTTTGCCCAGTCGCGTAAGAAAGAAGCCTTTGAGCAATTCGAAAGGGCAGTATTTTACAACGGCTTGCAGGGCTATTGTGGTCTTCATCTGGGCATGGACTGGAGGACTATGGTGCCACGGCCGTATGTACGGTATTTTCCAGCCCTGATACCTCAGTCAACGATCTCTCTGGCTATTAATTTCATCAATTGCAAGCAGGGTCTTGTTATCGAGCCTCGTCAACAGAGGGTGAACGGTACAAGTCCCCGGCAACGCGATTATGATCCTCTGGTTTCAGTGTCTGACGTTCCGACTTTCAGAACGGTGGAGAGACCACTGGGCGATCTCGTTTTCGCACGCAGTGGCGACAAGGGCGGCAATGCGAACGTTGGATTCTGGGTACGGCACGCTTCAGCGTGGCCATGGCTGCGAGCCTTTCTAACGAAGCAACGACTCATAAAACTATTGGGAGATGACTGGCATAATCGGTACGTTGTGGAAAGATGTGAGTTTCCTAGGCTTTGGGCGGTTCATTTTGTTATCAAAGGCATCCTACAAGAGGGTGTCAGTAGCAGCAGTGTCCTGGATGGTTTTGGGAAGAGCCTGGGTGAGTTTTTGCGTGCGAGGCTGGTTGGATTGCCTGCGGACTTGGTCATGATGGAAGATGAGCGCCGCCCACAAGAGTTCGAGAGCAGGGCTCGGTGATCCAAGTTATAAACAGAGGCCCGGGTTCTCACGGAGCAAATTTTAGAAAGTTGCAAACTGGGGATTTGTATCCAACACCATCAGGTTAACTTCACTAGCATTTCGCTGTTCCCTGTTGATGCTGAGGAAAATCGCCAGTCGCTGCGGGGGGCCTCGGTCCATGTTTCAGGGCCAGTTCGCCTACCTCTGAGTACGGCTGCCAGTGCAACACTGCTGCCGACCGTCGTGTTCAGCGGCCAGTTCCCCCTGTCTTGGTTACCTTTGGCTGTTGAGAAGTTATCCATGGCCGACTTGTTCACTCTCAAGCTCAAACTCCAACACTTCTCACAAGTATATCACACAAAGCAGCAATGGGTATCATTGATAGACCGGTGAGGAATGCGTCAGGTCGCTATGACAATGTTGACTTCCGCAAGGCTGCTGGATACGAACATTTGCCCATCAAGTGCAGCTACAACCGCCGAGATGTTCTCCTTTTTGTAAGTCTCGGTCATCTTGTCGTTCGCTGGCCTGAGCCGAGATACCCCTCTCAATGCTATGCCAATGGCCAAGTATGGCTAACTAACAGCTTCAGGCCAATGCGATCGGGTGCAAGAAGGAAGAACTGCACTTTCTTTACGAATTGCACCCCAACTTTGCGGCCTTCCCGACCTTTCCCATCAACCTCGCCTTCAAGCAGACGGATCAGGATGTCTTTGACTTCATCGCACGCACAGTGACCGGTCACATCCCAGGTTGCCCGCCTTTTAATGCGCAACGGTCGGTGGACGGTGAGAGAGGCATCGAGATCTTGCGGCCTATCCCTGTTTCCTCTGATGGCTTAGATTTGGAGGTTAGGAACAAAGTCATCGGAGTATACGACAAGGGTGAGCGTGCCGTGGAGAAGGAAGAACGTTATGAGAACGGGGCTAACCAGTTATCGCACACAGCGGGCGCTATGATTCTGGAGGCAGAACAGCTTCTTGTCGACAGGAAGACAAACACAGTGTACACCAAGATGACGTCGACCGCGTTTGGTATTGGACAAGGAGGCTACGATGGCCCCCGTGGCCCGTCGAAGCCGGCCGTGAAGCCACCAAATCGTCGTCCAGACGCCATGCACATCATCAAAACAACACCGGAGGCGGCGCTTCTATACCGGCTCTGCGGCGATTACAACCCCCTGCACGCAGACGAAGCTTTCGGTCAGCGCGCCGGGTTCAAGAGATCTATTCTTCAGGGCCTGGGCACCTGGAATATGGTAGCACATGGCCTACTGCAGGAGTTGGGCGGCAGCGATCCCTATCGATTCAAAGCGTACGGCGCTAGGTTCAAGAACGTCGTCTACCCAGGAGATACTCTTGAGACGCGCTTGTGGGTTGTTAAGAGCGAGCGAGGGGTGGACGATATCGTTTTCGAGACGGCTGTCAGAGAGGACGGGAGGATTGTGCTGTAAGTCTTCCTCGCATGCCGGAGTGCACAGTATGATGTCTTGCAGTTTGGTGGTTTATGTTTGACCATCGTACAGATCCAACGGTCATGCCAAGATTCTAGGCGCAAAAGCACGGCTGTCACGGCTGTGATCCGCAACGCTGCGTTCGACAAGTTCAGGTAGGATACGGTTGCTATCCCGGAGAGCAAAGCCTGCAACTAATGTGAGTTTTGCACCATGTATCACCTTCGTCTGATCTTGGATGAAATGCCTTGGCCAACAAACAGATGTATCTGTGACAGGTCACTCCGAGGAACATGGCTTTCCTGTTCTCGATCTTGGATCATCAATCGGATAACAGGAAGCCCAAGATGTCAGACAATGGCTCCGGAGTGATCAATTCGTCCAAGAGTTATTATAATAGAAAAAGAAATGGGCAAAAAGATGAGTGCGCCGAGGGGGAATCGAACCCCGGCTCCCCGACGCTGCTGTATGGCAACGGAGAATTTTACCACTAAACCATCGGCGCTGAATGAATTGATGTTTCCCTTGGTGACCCGGCTCATAATTGTTGACACACTGAAAGCGGCGCCAGTCCTCCTCCATCTATCTCCTTTGGTCACTGTTGGAAGTCGTTTTGGGCCGTCCTACAGGTGGGATGGAAACCACCTAGGGTTTCTCTTTTCACGATACGCAGCGAGACCCTCAGTCGCGTTCTTACTTTTCAACATCGCCTCCCGCCACAGCTCTTGGCCGCGCATCGTCGCCCTGCTCACGCCCGTCTCCCAAGCTTCCCGTGCCGCTAATCGTGAAATGATAACGCTGTCCGGGCTCAATGCCGCGATTTGATCGGCATAGTCAAGCGTCCTTTCGATAAGCTTCTCTTGCGGCACGATCTCCTTTACCAAGCCCCACTTATGCGCCTCTTCCACAGACATCTCCCGGCCGGTGAGAATCAAGTCCATCGTTCGGTGGTTGCCAAAAAGCATCATGCACCGAGGCAACGCGCCAGCGAGGGCAGAGACGCCTCGTAGCACCTCGGGAAGACGGAAAGTGGCGTTTGGCGAGGCAAATATTACGTCCGCGTTGAGAATGGCTTCGAAACCGCCACCTATAGCCAACCCAGTCAACTTTGAACGACATCACACACCTCAACCACCTGCAAGAAACGTACCATGTGCGTGACCGTTACACGCTACGATGATAGGTTTCCTTCCTGTTCGATTGCTCATGCCCGCAAACTGGCCCGAAGGGTACTCGAAGGCAACGTCATTCGTCTTGATGATATCCAACCTTTGTTTCATGTCCATGCCGGCGCAGAAAGCCTTAGTTCCCGCCCCTGTGAAGACAGCGCATCGCAGCTCAGTTTCAGCATCGTACCACTTCCACAGCGCCCCGAGTTCGATGGTTGCTTCGACTGGGAGGCAGTTCATGTGCTCGGGTCGATTGATTGTCACGAGAAGGAGATGTCTTCGAGGAAATGTTATTAGACTGTGCTCGACGTGCGGGTACGGGTTCTCAATCCATGGAGGAACCGGGTTTTTGGTTCTGGGTGTAGCCATTGCTGCGGACTTGACCGTTGTTTGCTGTTTGAACTGCGTTGGATTCCTGGAATGCCATACATCTTCAAGGAGTCAACCACGCAAACTGCATCAGCGGAGTAGCTCCTTGTTTGCTCGGCTTCATAAGAAACTGGCACTTCCCAGACTGACCGACAGAGCCTCTCAACAAGGTTAAACTGATGCCGAGGCGCGTCGTCATTGTGCTACACCGGCTGGCGCACAGTTGCGAGGCCACGTACAAGGAGGAGCACTTCGGCGCAGCTCAGAGGCTTGTGACTGCGGGGGAGCACACATTCCCTGTGCTTCACATTCCTCCACCCGCGGAGACACTGGAAACTTGTCAAGAAGCGAGCATGATTGGACAAGCGTGCCGAAGAGCGAGTCATTGCTTATGCACGGCCTACAACAATGACCGTTAAGTGCACCTGAGGCTCCAAGTACACTGCTGGACGGACATGAGTTTTATAATGACTGACAGCGCGGAAAAGGGCCAGTGTTGAAATGGGTGCCCAGACCAACTCGCCAGGAACTGTTAGCCACGGTGCTTCCTCGGACGATGCTGTACAAATGGCGGCTGAAAATTAAACCATATAGCCCTTACGAGCTGCCAATGTCGTAACACCGCCGCCAGCCGCGCAATTTGCGAAGCATTTCAAGAAAACCTCCTAGTCAAGTAATTCGATCATTCACAATGGGACTACCGCCGACAGAAACGCCGGCGCCAGCGACACCGGTCTTCCTCAAACTCTCATATCCAGCACCTCGCGTGCTTCTTGTGAGAATGGACCGACCAAAAGATCTCAACGCCATGTCAACAGCAGCACAATGGGAGATGGACTCAGTATGGAAGTGGTTTGACCGAGAACCAAGCCTAAGTGTCGCAATCATCACTGGAACAGGGCGAGCGTTCTCGGCTGGGGCAGATCTGAAGGAGTGGAGTAAGAGCATGGCAGCCGACGCCGACCAGAGTAAACGTATGGGCAACGCTTCCACGTTCAAGCCCTTGAGTCGGCGGCTGGGCAAGAAACCCATCATCGCGGCTGTCAATGGCCTTGCGTTGGGCGGTGGATGCGAGTTTGCCGTTAACTGCGACCTCGTCGTGGCCGCTCATGATGCGTATTTCGGACTACCAGAGGTCAAGAGGGGAATTGCAGCAATTGGCGGTGCACTACCGCGGCTCATTCGAACGGTCGGCCTCCAGAGAGCGAGCGAATTCGCGTTAACAGGGCGAAACGTTTCTGCACAAGAGATGGCAGGGTGGGGGATTGTAAACAAAGTGGTGCCGAAAGAAAATGTCGTCGAGGAGGCGGTGCGTTATGCGAAGATGATCGCGGCCAACTCCCCAGATGCCATCATATGCACGAGGGCAGGTCTAAGACAGGGCTGGGAGACGGCATCGGTTGAAGCAGCAGTTGAGTCGACTCTGGAAAAGGAGTTTGCGGAACTGCAAAAGGGTGAGAACATCATCGAGGGCCTTAACGCGTTTTCTGAGAAAAGGGAACCCAGGTGGAAGGGTAGCCGGCTATAACGGTCGGATTCCAGACCCAAATTCTAGGCATGCGGAATGTCATATTTTGGATTGACGACCCAGACGAGCTGATTCCGTGTGCATCTTCATGCTCTAATTAGCCGGCGAAAAGGCTTTCGCATAGAGCAAGTTGATAAATTACACTAACCAGAACCCCTCTGATCCTTACAACTGGTTCTTGTGGGTTCATGAAATCGGACAAAACTAGTTATGACCATATTGCCATTATTCCAGATAGACCAAGTAATGTAGGCGGAGGGTTCGTCGTCGCCAGTGTGGCGTTCTGTCGGACCGACCCCGGGAATAGTTTCAACAGTCCAAGACGCTTCGTACCTCAGCGTCCTGTTGTACCAATCATACCGTTGAGCCAGCACTGAGCTAACGGTTCTGCCACTGTCGCAACCAGAAGTGGGCAGCTGGGCACCGGGGAAAGTCGAGGTACTCAGGTCATCTGGTGATCTTTCCCGGAGCGAGTGCAGGGAGGAACCCTCCACTGCCTTACAAGACTCCATTCAAAGAGTTTCGGAGAGGTTCGAGTTTTCTGGGGGATACCTTGCTTGCGTACACCTTGGACAACGAAGAACGGGTAAGAAGGAAGGGACAGCAGAGATCACAGGCCGAACCAAGGCTGTATGTCTTGCGGTTCATCTCACTCCTGCCGGACATCCATCATTTTGACCTCGCCGCACATACATTTCTCCAAAGTCATCTTGTTCGCCAACGGGAGTACACACCTGGGCGTGAATAAGACTAGGGCACGGCGTCGTTCTCGTGCGCAGACCCTTTTAGGCTGGCGGGCATACTCGTACTTCTTTAGCAACAACTGACATCGCGTCAGCTGGTTCTCGGAAATCGGGTTTCTAGCTGTCCATCATGGATATCAACAAGTCTGAGTCCTATCGCGAGTTCCGCAGGGCGTCAGTGGACAAGTATCGCGACCCCAACCTCAATCACGACCGAGATGACGCATCTTCGGTCTGCTCAGAGGCGCTAGGAGACGACCTCCCTCCCGGATATTATTACTCTCCTCAGTTCCTTGGTGCCATGGCGGTTGGTTAATTACCTATGTTGTGCAATCTTTCCGTTGTGACTGACACCACAACAGGGATTTTGTCTCTCAGCAATATCAGCCTACATCTTTTTGATATTGCCAACCAACGTATTGACGTTCATTAACGCAGACATTGGTATGAAAACCCGTGATACCTATTCCACGAGCCTTCGAGTTGAATCCAATCAGGTCCAAGCCCATATATCTCCTGGGTGAACATCGCAAGAACACTGTCGTTGTCGTTTATGTACACGATCCTCGGCCGCTTGTCAGATCTCTTTGGCAGACGCTGGTTCTTTATTGGAGGCAACGTCGTTGCCATCATCGGTATCATCCTTTGTGCTGTCGCGAGTAACGTTGAGACCCTCATTGTCGGCGCCGCGGTGTATGGTTTGGGCGAGACAGTTCAGCTCAGCTTCAACGTTGCAGTCGGAGAACTGGTTCCCAACAAACATCGGCCCGTCGCATTATCTCTCATCTTCTTGACTAATGCACCCGTTTCAGCTTTTGGCCCTTTCATTGGTAGGCATCTCCCACATACCATAACTGCTTCTCTTAACTAACACCACCCAGCACGGAAGTTTGTTGAAAACCCCAAGCTAAGCTGGAGATGGTGCTTTTACATCAATATAATTGCTGTTGGTCTTGCTATTGTTCTGTTGTACTTGTTCTATCACCCACCTACTTTTGAACTACTTCACGACCGAAAGACAAAACGTCAGCTACTGAAAGAACTCGACTGTGAGTCCAATCTCTACGAACTTACGTGTCTTGACGCTAACAAGAGACAAAGATCTTGGCATCTTTCTGTGGACTGCAGGGCTGACTCTCCTTTTGTTGGGCGTTTCTTGGGGAGGAGTGATGTTCCCATGGGACTCGGCGGCCACCATCTCGAGCTTGGTTATCGGCACTGCCCTCCTCGCGGCACTCTTTTGCTGGGAAGCCTTCGCAAACCTTAAATATCCAGCTATACCAGTCAAATTCTTTACCAATCGAGGCTTCATGTCGCTTGTATGCTGCGCAACGGTTGCCACTGTAAGTAAATCCATCGTCAATCTCTCTCCACTTAGACTGAAGAAGCGGTAGATGTCCTACTACTCTGCCGTTCTTCTCTGGCCGCAGCAGGTTCAGGCGCTTTATACGACAGACATCACACATGGCGGCTGGCTTTCGGTAAGCGAATATCCAAGACAATGGTGCATATGTCCATCAAACTGACCTTTAGAAGTCGACTGTGGCAAGTGCAACAGCGCTCGGCCAAGTTTGCGCTGGAGGAATCGTCAGGTGGGGAGGGAATGTCCGATATTGGATCATCTTTGCGACATTTGCTATGGTTAGCTTTGTCGGCGCCTTAGCATCCTTGACACCCGAGACGCTGAATGCTGGAATAGCCTTCACAATCTTGGGGCCTTTTTTCGTTGGCTTCATTGAGCTGACATCTCTCGCTCTGGCCCCGTTGTTTTGCAAGCCCTCAGATATTGGGCTCGCGTCAGGTCTCTTAGCGTCGATCCGTTCTGCTGGTGGTTCGATCGCAGTTGCCGTCTACACTACTATTCTGTCCAACCGTCTCGCCACCGAAATTCCTGCAGCTATCAGGGGTCCAGCTGTTGCCGCAGGCCTGCCCGAAAGTCAACTTCCAGGTCTTATCAAGGCTGCGCAAGTAGGAAAACTGGCATCTTTCCCCGGCTTGACTAGCGCCGTAAAAGCGGCCGTGACGAAAGTATTGCCAAACGCCTATAGCAAAGCTTTTGAGACTGTATATTTAGCCAGTCTTGGCTTTGGAGCTATAGCTATAGTTGGATGTCTATTCGCCAAAGACTCGCAAAAGCACATGACGGATAGAGTTGAACGTAGAATGGCCAATCGAAAGAGATCATGAGAACTATGTTCGAAAACGATAACTTTGGTCAATGTACGAAAGACTGTTGGATACGAATGGTAACATCTGAGCAGATGTCCTAGAACACAGATAATCTTTACCAAAAGAACAAAATCAAGCACAATATACGGTCAGATCTTGGTCGATGTTGTCTTAAACTGCCGGAAGAAGGCTCATGCAAGAGGGGAAAACAAAGCCGCTCTAAACTCATAGAGCTACGTCTCTCGGGCAGTGTTTCTTGAATGCCTTGACCTGTTTCGGCAGGTGAAGCTATGTTTAATAGTTTGTAATCGAACTTCGGCATTGATATCTTTATTCAAATGTCCGCATTGTGGATCATTTGGCGCGAGAAAGAAAATAGAGTTCAGCCGGAGATTTGGGGAAATGCATGGCCGTGGGACTGTGCCACTTACCATCAACAGCTAACGGTCAGATTGTTACGCCGATAGCTACTGATATGCTTTGTAAGATACTGTGTATCCGACATCTTTCAACGGCGATTTCATCTCAATGTTGGATATTATTTGACATGGAAAGAAAAAGATTGTTTGTAATCACGTACGGTTCATTGGGAAATTCACTTGTCGACCAGAAACTGCAACAATCAGGCTGCTGGAGTGTTTTACCTGTGACAAGGCTGCCTGCACGCGTATATAACAAATGGCAAGATCGTCTTTGTTTTCGGAATTTTTACAACAACACCACCCATCTCTCCTCCAATCGATTCCACCAACCTCGCACTCTCAACATGACTCCCCCAATATTCTGGATATCTGCCCTCGTCGGGTCTCTGGTTTCGACGACATTTGCGCTCACCCTCCCTGAATATAGAGGGTTGAAGACTGCCCAGAATGGCAGTGTACTCGAAGTCACTCTACACAATCCTACCTCTGAGATCAACCTCTGGGGGCAAGACTTTCAAGATGGATTGACAGATATGGTCCAGAGGCTTCAGACTGACAACGAAACCAAGGTTGTTATCTTCAAGAGCGACGTTCCAAGGTTTTTCTGCGCCCACGTGGACCTCCTTATCCCTGATATTCGTAGGCAGCCCTTAAGTCGAGAACTTCCATGTGCAAATCTAACGCTCAAGACAGAAACAATTGGAGATAGATTCTCCGCACTTATGTGGAACATCACGAATCTCCCACAGGTTACTATAGGTGCCGTTGAAGGCAGAGCTCGCGGCGCTGGAAACGAGTTCCTTCTAGCATTGGACATGCGATTCGCTACCAAAAAGGAGACTCAATTTGGCCAGATCGAGGTGGCTACAGGTCTGGTTCCCGGAGGCGGAGGGGGCCAGATGCTGTCCCAAATCATTGGCAGGGGACTCGCGATGGAGTACGTTCTGAGCGGCAAGGATATCAATGCAAAAGACGCAGAGAAGATCGGCTGGATTAACAAAGCGTTCGACCACTCTGCCGACATGTACGCCCATATCGACGACCTTACATCTCGCTACCGTCTGTTCCCTCGTGGGGCACTTGTAGCTGCCAAGAAATCTATCAACCTTTGGGCCCGGCCTCCGCAAGACAACTTCCTGAGAGATGCCGCAGCCTTCAGTGGTCGTCTGGCTGATCCTGTTGTTATGCAGCTCGTGGGTCGAGCCTTGTCTCTTACACAAAATTTGTCATTGGGCGACGTAGAGCTTAACTTGGGAAGGGACCTGCCTCTGCTCTACACCTAATCTAAGGGACAACACGGGACTGATGATTGCCGCGAACGGCCCACGAAATCACTTAATGGCGAACATGGGATGAACTTGGCACTGGCCGAAATGATCGTTCGTGTTAACCTTTGTCTCCGCAAATTTGCTTTTTATGGGTTAGTTGCGTAATGATGGGGACAACGAGAGTTTTTCGGATGGAATGTTGATCTTCAAGAACACAGGAGCTTTGTCAGGGATCCAAGAGGCATACCGGGGGGTTTGCCGGTGGGCCTTGTTAGTCACCTGGATGAGGGATAGAATACAATATTATACCTACCCGTCCGTCAAGTGGCCCTATCGTTGACTTCTTCACGCTGACGCCAGCAGCCTCTGACAAGTGTATTGTTGCCGAAACGTTCTAGCATGTAAAGACGATACAACAGGAGGCTTAAAATATTTCAAATCATCTTTGGAACTTTTTTCAAATTGGAAATCAGAGCTTTTTAAAACTCAGGAGCACACATCAAAACTTGCCCATAACCACTACCATTATGCGTGGATTATTACAAATTGGAAGGATACAATTAGAGATCTTGATATGAGGCCTGCTAGCAAGATTAAATGCTTCCTAAAGATATGTATAACAATATAAGAATGGTTTGGCAGTGTGAATATTGATTTAATATATATATGGAAGCACATGGTCAACCGTGTTTTATTGAAAAACAACTATAATATCATCCTCCCGGCGGCTGATGATGTCAAGGTCAATGGTGATGTACAATGCAAAATAAAAACATTATCTTTCATTCGGTGCTTGGATAACTACTGTTTTAGGGCATCCAAGTGTATTCGGGAGGCCTGCATTTAACCTGATTAAGTCATCGTTAAGGTTTGGCGCCATGCTATTTTCGCTGTGGTGCATGCAGTTCGCATTGTACACGCAGGCAGCATCTGACAAACTTGGTTACTGATCATAATCGATTAAATGTTACAAATCATGCCGAGAGCCGAATCATGGTATCAATTTGACTAGCGAGTTAGAATACGGGGTATATAACTTATTGGCTCGATCATCCCATGAACAACAGAATGGCAATCCGGTGACAGTCTGCATCACGTTCTGAAAATGTCTCAACAACTCCTTGCTGTAAGTCACCATAGCCTTTTGTACACGACGTGACTATCCCACTTAAATATCTCCATTTCCAGACTCTTAACAATTAATTCCAGATCACTGGCGTCTCAGGCCACGTGGGCTTCCGCGTACTTGTGGAGGCTCTCACTCGTGGGCACTCTGTCCGCGCAATTATACGGAAAGCCGAGCAAGCTGAGCTCATCAAGAGCACCAAGTCTATTCAACCGTACTTAGATCATTTAGAGACTGTTGTGATTCCTGATCTGCTCGTCACGGGAGCATTTGATGGGGTTCTAGATAGCGTCAACGGAGTGATCCATGTCGCTTCTCCTTTAGCCATAACCGTAAGTGACAATCCATATCTGATTGCTGGTGTTTAGCGTCCTCAGGCACTGACGCCAAAGCCTATGTAGAGTGATAACCTTAGGCGTGATGTCGTTGAACCAGCGATTACGGCGACCTTGAGAGTACTAGAGTCAGCTATTAAAGTACCGTCAGTCAAGCGAGTCGTCATTACGTCCTCTATCGCAGCACTTCTGTCTTGGGAATATATCAACTCGGATGACGTGACTAAGGTATTCACTGGTATGCACCCACTAGGATGATAGAATCTCCGATACAAGCTGATGACAGTCTCCTTGACAGCTCGAGACACCTACGATCCTCCGGGACCGGAAACGCAGTTCCAGTCGCCGCTTCACGCGTATGGTGCCGCAAAAGCTCTGGCACTCCAAGCAACAGAACGTTTCATCAAAGATGAGAACCCTTCCTTTGACGTCATCAATATTATGCCAAGTATGGTGATCGGCAGGAATGAATTGAACACCACGAAGGAGGAGGTTGCAAGTGGCACGAACAACAATGTCATGGGCCTTCTCCTGGAAGCCAAGATCCCGATGCCTGTGCTCGGGGTTTCTGTCCACGTCAACGATGTCGCGAAGGCACACATCGACGCCCTGAATCCTGCCATACCAGGAAATAAGAACTTCATATGTTCCTCAGGGGGGCTGAACGGCACTAGATGGGATAACGCCAAAGACACCGCCAAACGCTATTTCAGTAAGGCCGTCTCTGATGGGTTTCTGTCTCTGGACGGAACCACTGCCACAAGGCCCATTCAACTCGATGCATCGGACACGGAGCAAACCTTTGGTTGGAAATTCTTGGGGTTCGAGGACCAGGTCAAAAGTGTGCTCGAGCACTATCTGGAGTTTTTGGAAGCCGATGGACAAATATTTCCGTAATCCAAATGCAAAATCCAGTCAAAGTTCTGCAACGCCGGTTTTCAGGTACTTTCTTAGTTTTTTGCTAGTGCAGGCTAAGCACAAACACCACATCTGTTTCTCGCAATCTTTACTTTCGTGACCAGGTAAGAAATGGAATTGCCGATGGCTGCAGCTTGAGGAGGGGCTATTTGCACATCATACCCAGCTCTCGCTAGTTCCAGGCTCAGTACCACGCCATCAACGCTTTGTTTTGGAAAATAGCGGCGTGTGCTTGGTCATTTTAGGTACAACCACCAGTTAGTGACAACTAAACTGGTGTGGCCACATCAGTAACAGCATGACCACAGAGACTGCAAATTCGAATTGTTAGCCGATGTTGTCCTGAGGCGCTTGGTCCACAAAATTGCTCTTCTTTTTCTTTTTCGACTGGGGTCTCTAGGCAAAGCCGGTGGAATTCATAGCCCGTTATCAGTAACCATATAACCATGACGTAAAGCGTTAGTAACGGGCAGATAGCTCCTAAAGACAAGCACGTCGTGCGACGACCAGGAGACACTCGGTTCTTCCAAGCCTAGTAGTATTATGGCATCTTAATTCGTGGGAAATCGGTGCAGACATGTTGTTTTGGCCTGGTGCAGCCCCGTTATACAGTGATTGGCAAAGGAACATGACAAAATCTTGAATATGTGGGCATCACATGCATCGTCATACCTGAACAGGCGATTATGGCAGAATGTTTCATGACATGATCGGTGAAATTATTGCCTACTTTAACAATCGTCAACCCTCAAAGATGATATCCCGTGCGTCTGGCGGCACCTTTGTAGCTATTTCTCGGCAAACAGGCTCCATCCACAATTACCCCTCTCCGAGTCCTGGACAAAAGGCGTTGACATTATTAATACCCTATGGGCTTTCCCACTACAATAGTTGAGTATCTTTGATTGAGCCATTCAACCAAGAGTCCACAACCTTTTCCAACCGGTCGTTTCTCCATCTTGGACCATCGCCCAAGCAAACGCTACTCCTGATCATCTTGTCAACAAGCTGGCGAACTCTCAACAACCCCTCCGACGTTCCTTGACCTTGGAGCCCCTGCTCGATAACATGATAGCCCGCTCCGAGTCTTAGCCTGATAAAGTCCTCCGCCCCGTCAGGTCGCAGATACGTCTCTATAGGCGTTCCATTGCTGGCACATGCATGAGCCATCATATCTCGGATTCTTATCCCGCCTTCAGGATCATATCCGGGGTGGTCAGACTCGACATATCCCAAGTTTCGAAACTTCAGCCTGGCATGAATACCATTAAGAATTGTACGATCAGGTTTCATTGGACCGATCTCGCCGAAGATTTTTTGTGCAGTTGCTGCAGCCTGTCTATTCCCTCCAAGCGCGGCCTGAAGAAGCCTGAAGCCCCATACTAGCCCAGTCCAAAACACGACGCTGGACAGCGTAGTATTGGATTCCAAAAATGGCATGATGTCGAGGGGAGGACTAGTGAGCCTGAAAAGCGGACGCTCGAGAAAGAGACCATAACTGAGGCGTGGAGACATCCTCCCGCTCTGGTAGCCCAGTTGTCCATTCGCTCCGCTTTTATCATTTTGCGTCGACAGACTCTTGTCAAGTCTGTATGAAAGAGGCGTTTGGTGGGTCACGGAAAATGACGGGACGTCTGCAGCGGGTGTGTGATCCAGAAGGTTCGCTTTTCCTGTCATTCTTGAACGATATGAAGTTGATGATGCCTGGGGCTGCGAAAGTGAAGAGTCGCCGTGTCTCATGCATTCATCGTCATAGTCGTCTTCTTCGTCGGGATTCTCCATGCCAGCGGCGTTTTGAGCGTGGCGCATTGCCTCTTTCAGCTCCGTACTTCCAAGACGCGCTGCGACACGTGCCAGTGAAGTAATGGCATTCTGCATGGCTTGGTTCTGCTCTCGTAGTTCATTGATTGCAGTGATTTGTCTCTGCCTAAACGCTCGTTGGGCCTTTCGACCCTTTTCTCTCCTAGCCTACGCTGTCTTAGTAGGACCCGTCACGATGTATTTCACGTCCCGTTGACTTACTGCTAGGTCATCATCAGTCTGTGAGGTATCTTCTATGGTGCGCTTCATTTTGAAATCCGGAAAGGCAGTGAACCACTGCGCAGCGTGGGTATAGGGAATGTCAATAAGGCGAAATGGAGAGACAAGGGCTAGAAACGATTCTTGGCTAAAGATTGTAGTTGTAAGTTGATTTATCAGCTTCGTTAGGTTTTGGAGTTACACAATTTTTGAGCTGATTGGGCCGGTGTTTGGGTCGCCGATTCTGACTTTAACCCCGAAACTTTCCGTTGGTCTGTTACTCGGACAATCAGACGCAGTTGAGGTCACAGGCTGGTCCTGGGGCTTGCTTAGCGCTTTGGCATCGCAGCTATCCCCCCTAGATCAGTTCTGGCTCTTTGTCTCTCGATTCAAGACCGACGCAAGCTATTCATAAATCGGAATTATGCGGACAACGCTTACAACGAGGTAAATGTCGTATGAAAGTTATTCAAACTATAGATCAATCAATATCCACACTAACTGAGTCAATGACATCACAGCAGCGGACTCAGAATCCTGTTACACACTAATGCTTTATACCGATGAGACTAGATGTATCATGCTAATAACTACATCTTACTACCTAGAGAAGGTTATGCAAAGCTACAGGATTGCAAGCATGGTATACCGCTGCATCAATTCTTAGGAACTAGAACCCCCCTGTAGCGCATTTGTCCATTGGTTAGCTTTGCAAAGGCTTCCGTGATGCCTTCTCGAGACATGGGAAACTTCTCAACCACCGGTTTGACGTTGTTGCGAGCGGCGAACTCGAGCATTTGCTTTTGTACGACACGAGACGCGACCATGGCACCCTGGATGCGAAGACCCATCGAAACAAGTGCCTGGTAGGGAATGCTGAAATCACCCATAGCGATAGTGAGGGGGAAAACGGTCGCGCCTGGGCTCAAAAGTGGGATGTAAAGGTTCCACTCTGGCGGCATGCTCGAGGTAACGAGCAAAATATCGAGCTTCTTGCTGCCAATTTCAAGCGCCGCCTTGTCTTTTGTGGCGTAAAAGCTCCTTGCGCCGAGTTTCATAGCTTCGCTTTTCTTGGAGTCGGTGCCACTAAAGACAGCAACGTCACAGCCCAACTTGGCCGCGAACTGGATTGCAAGATGCCCCAGGCCGCCGATTCCAATCACGCCAACACGGGCAACTGAAGTATCTTCGAGCATGGTGAGGGCGCTGAAAACGGTTGCTCCGGCACACATTAGCGGCGCAGCATCCGCGTCTGTGAGACCGTCTGGAATCTTGAAGAGGAACGACTCTTTCCAGACGGCACCTGAAGCGAAGGAACCCTGGTCGTGGTTGGCGAATCCATACATGCTACGACCAGGGCAGAAAGTCTCGCGCCCGGACTGACAGAGCTCGCAGAGGCCACAACTATCATGTTCATACCCCCATCCCACACGATCTCCCTTCTTTAATTGGCGGACTCCAGGGCCAATTGCTTCTACAACACCGATGCCTTCGTGCCCAAGTACCATGTCTTGGGCGCGGTAGTGGACATCGGTGCCGCAAAGGCCGGAAGCAGTGATTTTGACGAGTACTTGATCGCCCGTAAGCTCCGGTTTCCTTGTGACGTCTTTCTTGATGTGACCATCCGAGCTGCCTTTGTAAACGGTGAAGGAATACATTTTGGTAAAGCGGCAAAAGCTCACACCTTTGGTCATGAGAGTGGCTGTTGCTAGTTTCGTAGGGGACTGTAAAGTGGAACAGGACTAAGAATTTGATAATGTGATGATGATGATAATGACGATGAGGAAAAGAATGGGCTCCCGTTTTTGTTTTGGCTTTAGAAGTTTTATACCTTCTCGCCTTCTTGAGAGAGCTGCTGTTCCGGTCACATCTTTAGACTTATCTAGGAAACAGAAAGGCCGCTAAACTTATGCCAAATATCTTCAAAGCTGAAACACATCAGGTAGCAATAAGCTTTGGGCAAAACATGTTGGTAAGCAATCAGTACGGCTTAAGCACCATGGTAGAAGAAACTGTCCGCCAAGATCGCTGCTTCGTCATGTTGTTTGCCGTATCACCCCCAAACTTGGTAATCATCAGTAACTCGCAACGCTTCTAAATAGTGCACTGCCAACCAATCGGTCATCTATATTCTCTAGGTTGCGAGCATTGCAGCGCTCGGTCACCGACCTGGCCTTACCCTACGGTAGGTACGGACGGCCAGCGTTGCGAACATTGTTCCGATGACTGATATATTTGACCGCCTTATCAAACTTTAATGTGGATACGTAGAACCATTCCTGTCTGTGCTTAGATTCTAAACGAATACGACGACAATTAGCATGTACCTGCAGACTGCATTAGAATTCCCCACAGCACCCCCCCCCCCCCCCTGTGAGCTTTGCTGACCTACAGTAACCTTTGGCCGAGAATTAGCATGCCTTGAGGTACGTTAATTTTCTCGAAGTGCCTATTGGTGTATTAGAAAAAGGTTCTAACTCTACCTGCCTATCCCTTCTTCTTCTTCTACGATTTGTTATGACATCTAACCGATCCTAACATTGTTCTGCGCCGCAAAAAAAAAAATCTAAAAAAATCTGGGTGGTCTGGCCCCCGCTTGACCCACAAGGAATCAGGTGAATTATATTTGCAGTGCAGCAGATGATGATTAATTTCTGGAGCATGAGGCACGACTTGAGAGGGTTTCGCACTCTCTTACGAATGCACAGTCTACCAGCCAGCTTGGTTTGTGAAAAGATTTTGACCACAAAAGTGAGTATTGTATATGTCTAAATTCCCTCTATATAGGCTTTGCGCAATTCACGAGGTGCTCACTGCTTTGCTTCACCACGGAATAATGGTGCCATCGTGTGTTCGGAAAGTTCCACTGAGATCTTTTGGCTCGATGCTCCAAGTAGTTTTAATCATATCCGCCACGCTGGTCTCCACGGATATGGCGCCCAACGCCTTCAGGTCCATGCTGCCGCCTGAGGTGAGGTCCGTCTCTACAAGTCCAGGGTGGAAAACCCAGCTGGTCAACCAGGGCTCCTCAAAGGAAAGAAGGCGAATGAACCAGTTCAGAGCCGCCTTGGAGGCTCCGTAAGGACTAGACGACCCAGGGAAATTGGCGAGGATCTCCTGAGAACCAATGGAGCCAATGAGGGTCGAGACGGCAACGAACTTGGGGCTGCCAGTATTGCTAGCCTTGAGAAGGTCGACGGTAGCCTGGAAGAGGGTCAAGGGGCCGATAGCATTGACGTTGAAATGCTTCTGCGCATTGGCAACCGAAGTGTTGCGGACGCTAGTACCACCCTGAGCGATGCCCGCGTTCGCAATGACAATGTCCAAAGACGTGATACCCTGCTCACGCAGTTGACCCACAGCAGTGGCGGCATCAGTTTCCACGGCAGAGTCCAGCTTGACGACGATAAGCTTGGTATCAGGACCCTTTGGAAGATCGGCGAGGGCTTTGGACGTAGGGTGCAAGGGGTCGCGAACAGCAGCGATCACAGTGGCTGAAGGCTTCTGAAGAATGCGCTGAACGAAGCCACGGCCGATGCCGCGGTTCGCACCAGTGATTAGGTAGGTTTGAGGGGAGCTCATTGTAAAGAACTGTGTTTTGTATTAGGTGAGTTGATTGACTTTGAAGATAAGGATAATGTGTGAGGTTCAAGACAGAACTTGCTGATTCGTTGCGGATTATATATCGCACTCTTCTTTGGTAAGGGATTTGACCACACGAGCCCGACCCGTTATTTATGATGATTGGAAGTTGAGCGTCTCTTCTCACGGCGTACTTTGATTCAGAACAGCACCTGATACTACGTCTGTCCACCGCTTGTGTCATTTGGGTCTAGATAGTGGAGTGACTGATACGGTCGAACAACAATCCGAAAATGTTGTGGCCCAGTTCAGGCTTCTCCTAGCTGCTTAGAAACACATTCTCTAGAGCTGACAAATCTTCTCATAGGGGTTGGGGGCCCGGGGTGTTCAGTCATAGTACGCTATAATATATCCGAATGCAAGATCAGTCACGATAAGCCATTACACAGGGAAGCCACAGGAGCACGTTGCCGATGCCGTCGAATACAGCAGTCCAGTTTGTAAGCGAATCGGGCTTGGAGGCAGGCGTGATGTAACCGAGAGTTGAGTACCGAGGCCGAAAGTTAAATGATTATTATTCAGCATGACCGCCAACTCAACCCCTAACATACATTGATAGCTCCCACCACAGCCCAGACAAAGCTTCAAGCATAGTCTCTCATGCATTTCATATACAGCGTGTTATTGGTTTCTTATAATCTACTGGTTCGTTCCACGCTATGGGGTATTTCGTACTGTACTGATATATCGAGACCTGGCACAGGCCAGGGGTGCTACTGTATTGAGTTATACGTCCTGTGACATTTTTCTGTACAGGTGAACTGTACTATACTGCTTATGGGAGGCTAGAACAACAACTTGCACTAAATATTATACTGGTAAGGTTTTGTGCTCGAACTGCATGCAGAATACCTGGGAGTTGTGCGAGGTTGAGCATTGTACGAGTTCGAATTGGTAGCAGGTGTCAGTTGGAATACGAACTAGGGATTGCTTCAGTCGAGCGCGCCAAAGCCTTCCGTTTCATGATCAATGCCAACTCGATGTTTCAAGCAACGAATTTGAATTCTGTTCAAGCTTCCATCAATGCTTTTTACGAACCCTTTAGCCATTTTACTATTGTAACTAGGATTACGTCGCTACTTCTTTTAGACCGCTGTTTCGACCACCTTGTCAAGCAAAAAGCACTCTGTTTTCTTTTTGGATTGCAACAAAACCATGATGCGAGGAATATCTTTTGGATCATTGATTGAAGTACTAGGACATTTCCGGGGATTTGAAGCTTCTCCATGATCGCATTTGCTGCCTAGTATTGTTCTGGCAAGATCCTTATTAGTTCAGAAAAAATTCCTATATCACGGTCAGTACAATCAACGTGATACATGTGTTTTTGATACAAAGCAGTTTCGACCCAATATCATTTGGCCATATCGTCATATTAGAAACATGACGAATCATCTCCCTGACCGTCGTCAAGCTAACCGAACCTGACCTTTGCCCAGTTTCTTCTCAAGAAGTCTGTTTTCAAGACTAATCACTATCTGCAGTAGGGTTCATGAGACCATTTCTTATTACCAATTTTTTGTTTTCAAGTTGCCGCCAAGCGTCACGAGGGAGGTCAAGCAGTTACTGGGACTAAGGGAGGAACGAGAACCTTTGAAGCTTGGTGATATCTGATTGTGTGTTGGAATAACAGCACCAGCTGGTTGTATGATGTCAGGCGCCCAGAGGGGGGGGGCACCGGCGCGGCACTAGTGGGGTCGTCGGCGGGGTAGCTGGTGCCGCACCGGCACATAGTCAAGGGATTATAAAGGGATTCTAGCCAAGCGGCCAACGCAGACTTCGACAACAAAGGTTAGCCATTGAGACCAACGTTAGAGAAAGGCGGTAGCACAACGCCGCGGAATTAGTGTTATAGCCAGGGGAACTGGGCTCGGTCAAGGGGGGGGGACCTGGGGGGCATATAAGGAGCAGCTGCGGCGGACCTAGGGGAAAAGGCAGATTGGAATAACAGTCAACACCCACCCCTACCTGTGCCCATCGCCGACCTCGTTACTCTGTACGACTCCAGCCTCTGACATATGACACGCACGACTCAAGGACACCCACCATAGCAGAGGGCGCAGACTGGATACTCGGCCCTCGGTTATCCATTGAGGGGATCAAAGTATATTCATGCCGAACTGACTCAGGGACGTACGAGATCATATATCTCGTGTACGAAAGCCAAGTCTGTAGTTAGAAGATAATCACGGAAATACATCTTTGGCTGACCCCTACATTTTACCCCGCGTACGATCGTACATCTGGGGTTCTCTGAAGAAGAGAGAATTCATTCAACATTGTGTCTTAATAGCAATGATACTTTTCGCCAATGGCCTGCAACGTTCAAGTCTGCCAACCTGCCAAATGCAGAAAAGAAGAGAACAGTTCACAAGAAGCATTTGAGTTAATCCTTAACTTCACCACCTAAAACCAAAACACCCTGACCTACTTATTCGCTGAATTATAGTTTGATGAGGTTTAGCAGCTCATTTGCAGGCCGGTAACTACCTTCGTAGCAGTAACCAGACCTCCATTCCGGTTTCTGTGAGCTTGTCAGAAGTGTCTCCACACACGAAAGGATGACCATTTCCTACTCATCACCATAAAAGGCTGGTTCGTTATGCCTACGACCTTTATTGCTTGTCTCACCGGTAGATAATTCTTTGGGTTCAAGTTGGGAGAAAGCACCGATGCAACTCGACTGATACATTCCTGACATTTTTTGATCGATGTGTCTTATGTGTGCAAGGTTGAGCTTGAAGTAACTATGTGAGATTTGAGCTAAGCCACATTGTTCTAATTAGTATCCATAGCCGGGCGGTGGTCAGAAAAATTCGGCCGACAACTTGCCCACTACTAATAACCTTGATTGATTCATTGAAATCAGGTTGTATGACATGAGATAAGTCTCGATGAATGGGATTCGTCCGCTAGACTATGGTTTGAACATCTTGCGGATCAAAGGCACTCCCGTCATGGTGTTGTCGTATCGAAGATCCCGCGGTAAAGCCTCCACCAAGGCACTGTGCCGAAAATCTTCAGATAGTTATATACGACAGAACTGCTGCGAATAATGTTGTCCATCAGACGCCCCCCAAAGGACCGTGGTGGCCATGTAATTGGAATGGATACGAGTTATCAGGCCATACACCAAGTCTACTGCTCGTATGCCTTGAGTCTTCTCCATTGCCTGGCTCATGACAGATGCAATCTTGGTCGAGCCAGATATTTACAACTCTTGGTGACTTGAATTTACTGATAAATCCGTTCGAAGATTGCATCCGGAATTCCGATGCTTCAAGCATGCCTTCTGAACTGACCAGGTAATAGCCGGAACATAAATATACTCATGACTTTACAAACTCCATGTGTGTGAATTGGCCACATAATTAGCGCAAGAGAACGGATTGAAATCGCTTCTTCAAAGCCAGATAAAATGTGATCTTTCAGACTCCGACTCTCCGCCCAGAGAAATGTTTCCTCAGCATTTATCGAAGTACGAACAATCCGATTGCTAAACAACCAGGAGCAGCGTTGACTGCGCCCCTGTAATAAGTAGGACACCATGCAGCTGGATCACAAGGCTCTATCCGTAATTTCACGCAACTAAGAGACATATTTTGTCCTGCGTATTGTGGACTGCTCGCAAGGTTAATATGGCTGTTGCCAGAATACGAAAGTCCGTAGGTGTCGTCCAGCCGTGGTTCAGCCAAGTGAGATGAGCAGGGTAGTGTTACGCGTCAAAAATTAAGTGCCGGCTGATCTGGGTACTACATGACGATGTGGCTTAGGCTCGGGAACGTAGTGATCCCACTTCCCATCGGCCCTGGGATCCCTGTGTTGAATGATTTCCAGGGCGGTGCAACCAACTAGACACGCTCATGAAAATCCCCGAAGATGCTTAATTAGGAGTCTAAGATCTACTGGAGAGTTGCCAACTTCTTTGCACAGTCGACCGATTATTGTCCTGCGGTCTAATGAGGAAGTCAGTTATGATCGTCGCATTAAGCATCAGCACAGGAGTGCCATTCGCCCTTCTGGAATGCAAAACGGAGCCCAAACAAGCAATTGAGTGAAAAATGACGAGAAGATGTTGGAACATGCTCTCAATAAGCGTGTATACTGCGTGAGGCGATCAATGACCGGTGATAAGCACCTGGTTTGCATGGAAATGATTTGTAAAACAAACGCGCAATCAGGGATTGCGATCGTGTGTTCCAGACCTTATAGTGGGAATTAACCTGTCTAAGCTGGGGTAGGAGGGATTGCTCTAATCTCTACCAATTAGCTGTTCAGACACGTTTTTGGATGCAGAGGACCAAAATCGCGTGGGAAGCTGACGATTAGGGGCCACCTCATTCAGCGTCAGAGCAATGGAATGCTCTCAGCTAGCCGTACACGATTTGTGGTGTTGTTGTGAGACTAGTGGCCAGCCGCAACTACTCAACATTGAAATGCGCCGCCGTCTCAGTTATTGCACACCCGAGTAACAGAGGACCCATTGAATTGACATACTTAGACAGCTGACAGTGATCATCCCTGAGGCTTAAGGTGGACAGGAAAACCTTGGCCCAGGTGCCTTTGGTGAGAAAATATCACGACGCGCGTAGGCATAGAATAGAAACCTCTGGAGGCAGGGCATTGCTTTCACGGATTTGTTGATTGGACAACTTTGGCCTAACCCCGCAAGCTAGAAGCTATTTGGCTTGGCAAAATATCCCGAAGCGCAAACGCCACTCCTTCCTTCAGAGACTATTTTTACAGCATCCGTCAAACAATGTGTTGAAGATGATTGGACAATGAACATGAGAAACGCGCCTGGGCGGCGGGCTGATCCAAGCGCGGGTGGAATTGACACCGGCATGTGGGAGCGTCCCCGGAGGAAAAGGAGGCTTATACAACGGTGCCGACTCCACCTTGAACGGAAGAGCTTGCGTGTAAGTCCACGACTGAATGCTCGGTTTGGCCCACGGCGCAGTCCGGTCGGCATGGTGCTGGGATATGAGAGGAGAAAATTACTGTATGTGGAGCCTGCATCCGGGACTGATTTGTTATGCTTGAGCCGTCAGTGGCTACGGACCCTCAAAGACATGTCAAACCCCTGCCAAGGTGCTGGATCTAGAAGGACTTGGCAATGGTCTTTGTGCCAGAGAGAGTAAGGGGCAAAAGGGGGAGCATCGTCGTCGTCCTCCCGATTCACTGTGTCCCACCTACCGGTGAGAGTACTGAGGCCCTGGTCTCCACAGAGGAAGGACGTTGACGTTGAATGTTTTGGTAGCTAGGGTGTTTGCTTTACGCTGCCTCTGACGCTTTGAGAGCCCACGCAATCGAAAGCCTCCCGGAGCCACCATCCACGTCTTCCAAGTCAATGAGGCTTGTCATGATGGCGATGATGAGCTGGTCCCCACACTTCGAGTCTAGCGACATACTTGTGTTGAAGTGCTTACGCGGTTCGTAGGGGATGTCGTCCCTGATGAGAACCCGTATATGACTCCATCAAGTATAATATCTGGAGATCGAAGCCACCAAAGATGAGGTAGAAGCTCTTCACCAACATCACATTCACTCTTCAGCAACACATCTTTCACCTTCACTTCCACAACACTATATCCTTCACTTCGAAAAACAGTGTCGATTCATTCTTTGTGGCCTCCACTCATAACTCTCATAACCACCGCCAAAATGCGTTTCTCCTCCGTCGCCACCGGCTTAGCCCTCCTCTCCAGCGCTGTGGCCCACCCAGGCCATGATCTTACCGAAGAGATTGCTGAGCGCCGCGCTTTCTTGAGCACTGTCAAGCGCGCCAACCTCGGACACTGTGCAGACAAGCTCGCGGCCCGCGGTGTCACGGCCCGCAACATTGCCCGTCGCGCTGCTCAGGTTGAGCAGGCCCGCCAGAAGCGCAACATCAAGAAGCGTGATGCCACTTCCGTCCTTGCTGCTAGCCACAACCAGACCGATCTTGGCTACACCCTGAACACCGACGCCGCCACCCTGTTTTCTGGCAACAACTCTTGCGTCCTAACCCCTGAAGTCACCCAGGGACCTTACTGTAAGCCACCATAGCCTTCTGATAAGCAATCATCCATCTTTCGTGGACTGACAACCGTCTATAGACGTCTCTGGCGAGTTGGTCCGCCGTAACATCATCGAGGAGCAGGAGGGTGTCGATATCGTTCTTGACTACCAGGTCATTGACGTTGAGACCTGCGAGCCCGTTCCCAATGTCTACCTCGAGATGTGGCACTGCAACTCTACCGGCGTATACAGCGGCATTGTCGCTAATGGCAACGGTGACTCCTCTGACGAGTCCAACATTGACAACACTTTCCTCCGCGGCATCCAGTCCACTGACGAGGATGGTGTCGCCCAATTCGAGTCCATCTTCCCTGGTCATTACACTTCCCGCGCTACCCATATCCACCTGTTGGTCCACACCAACGCCACGCTCTACTCCAACAACACCCTCGGCAACGAGATTAGCGCCAGCCACGTCGGCCAGACCTTCTTCGACCAGGACCTCATCTCTGCTGTCGAGGCCTTTGCCCCTACAACACCAACACCCAGGAGCTTACCACCAACGCCGATGACGGCATCTTGAGCGAAGAGGCCGCTACCGAAGGAGTTGATCCCGTCATGGAGTACACCCTGCTCGGCGACAGCATCACGGACGGTCTCTTCGCTTGGATGGCCTTTGGCATCAACACTACCCTGTCCAACTCTGTCACCCCCGCTGCCTTCCACTACGCCGAGGGTGGTGTTGCCAACGCCAACTCCGGTGCTGGCGGTGCCGGCGGCTCTCCCCCTAATGGCACTGCTCCCGGTGGCTCTGCTCCCGACGCCGCTTCGTCCAGCGCTGCCGCCTCCAGTGCTGCCTCCACCGATGCCGCCTCGTCTTGTTAAGCGCCTCGTTGCCTTCCTGTCCAAATTGTGATCGACCGATCACCAAGCATACCTAAGCCCTGCACTGTAGTTAGACATTGAGATTTTTTATATCGTATCGCTTTCTTGTTCTCACTTAGATGTTCTTATCACATAATCCAAATCAATTTCTTTGATGGTATACAGCTTTTCATAGAGCAGACTCCAATGCATTTGTCTGAAACGTATGCACTCATCTGCACGTGATCGTGACTCATGATCTGCTGAAGACTCCTTCGTCCATCAGCACACATCGCTTGTTGAATACCACGCTAACACAACCAAAGAGGTGTAATAACTCTGTTTTATTTGGATTCTAGGGATATTCTTATCGGCTTACTGTACAGAGGTTGTCGACTACTCTGGTTAAATCCACAGAATCTAGCATGCTCTGGCAAGCTTACGCAGTCGGAGTTGGTAAGCAAGAGCAAGCCGAGCTCACCCTCGAGATGACATTGGTCGCGCACGCCTCTGTGGCATACCCAGGGACAACTGCAATATCTGCGACAAATGTCTTGGTGAACTCACCGCAGAACTTATGGCTCTCCTCAAGCCGGCCCGGAACGCTGGAGGCTCTCAGAGCACGCAGGCAGTTGTCCGCGCTGCAGCTCTTGGGCTTGCACGCCTCTTTCTTTGTCATTTTGACCAAATAGCCACCTCGCTCAATTGTGTTGACGAAAATGAAGCCCGACTTGAAATAAGCGTATGAAGACCACGAGCCAGAAAACTGGATTGCACCGCCTCCAGGAAGAGAGTCGTCCTCAGGGTAAATGTCGAAGTATGCAATCTCGCAAACTGAATTACCCGTGGGATCTTCGGGCACTGATGAGATGTCCCAAACACGAACGCCGGCACCGTAGTTGGATTGAAAGAGCAGATCTCCGACAACGTATTGGTTGTGGTCAATACCCTTGACGCTGCCCTTGAAGATTCCGGTTTGGCGAGGGTTTTCCAAGGACCGAATGTCCCAGATGTAAGTTACTGGGTACCCGTCGGCAGCAGGACCCGCCAAGTCATCCTCATCGTACTCGTCGTCCATGAATAGCCATTCTATCATAAAGTCAGCTTAGCTCTTTACACTGCTTCGAGCAGTTTTACCTTGCCAGTTCAAGTCATTGACCCAGCCTTGATGGGTAAATGTGGCGCCTTCATAACTTGTGCGAGAAATTATCTTGGAGTTCTTCTTGTCAGAAACATCGTAGATAGTCAACGTGTCTTCGTTGTAGCCGTAGCAAATGTCGCGACCGTTATACTTGGCATCGGGTCCCCGGTAAATGAGACATTGCGCCTGAAAGAACACCTCTGTTAGACAGCTCCCACAGAGAATGTGGCAAGAAGTCTTGTTCTGAAGACTTACATCGTGGACATATCCATCCTGGCCATCGCAACCCAGGAAGACAGGGTTGCTGGGGTCCTCGAGACTGAAGAAGTGTAGACCGCCCATACAGCCTTCATTGCGGGGCTGGACGCCAACGGCTACGGCATACTTGGCCTCCTCGTTGACGACAACATTGTGGCTGCGGCCCAGCGGAAGGGACTCGCTGAAGTGGCCGGTAAGGTCATTCTCATTTGTAAAGAGAACTGGTGCTTCGGCAGGTTTGATATTTAGCAGCTTTTATCTTAGTTAGCGAGTTATAATGCCTAAGACAAAGAAGATAACTGACCTTCTTCATATCAAAAATCTGGATGCCGTGGCCCTCAAGCTCAGATCCAATCAACATGTAGTGATGATAAGGCCGAATTTCATGCCAGTAAGCTCTGTCGCCCACAGGTGAATAGGTCGGCCTGGAGAACGGTTAGCGAAAATCGAAAGCATCGTCGTCGACGATCTGCAGCACGTGGGTTTTCTCACAAGAATCCAAGGTTCAGCATTTTCCCCTCAGGCAAGACCTCGATGAAAGCACATCCATCGAACATGCCGCTAACTGTATTTACAGGTTACCATGAATTCCTGCTATTGATAGATGGAGAAGTGGATTACCGATAAATTCGCGACCGGAAACAGGATCAGTCCAGCCCCAAGAAGAGCTCCCGCTCTTTCCACGATAATCGGTGTTTGGGGAACCTAGTGTGGCGTGGTTGATGAAATCATAGAGATCCATCTGTCACAGAAGACCATATTAACATCATGGAAGGTGTGCATCTTAAGCACCCAGGAACACTCACGTTCTTGCACCTGAATTTGTGCAGAGGGCTGTCTGGGATCGCCTCGGCATATCCGTCGATGCACTCGGTATAGCCGAGTCTGGGCCATTGAGACGAGTTCATAAGGCCGACAGCTTCTTCGGCCTCCCAGTGTGTCTTGAACAAGAATTAGCTTTGGAAATTTATTAGCCTAAGATGAACACCTACAATTTTCATAGACATGAGTCTGTCGTGAATCACACCCGAGTCATAAAGCTCTAATATCACACATCAGTACGCTAGTCCGCACCATCAAAACAATTCACGGTTCTCACCGGCCGCACGAGCCTCATCCTTCGGCAGCTCCCTAGCTTGGACACTGGTGGCAGCCAAAGCGACGGCGCCAATCACCAATTTGAAATGCATGTTGACCAAACCAGATGAAAGAAGACCAGAGGATGTGTTCGTGAGATGGACTGAGGCTCCTCTGAGCCTCAATACTCTGGACCACGTGAAGCTGCGTTGAATCGAAACTGGGTTAATCAAACCGGGTCAAAGTGAATGCGCGACGTAGCCAACGTCTTTAAATGCCTTCCTATTTCCTCGTGTGACATCATGCTGGGGAATGCGAGGTCTCCATGGGTTCCCAAAAAGGCAGGAAACGAATCTCTTGGTAGACAGCAGTATCTACCAAATTTCGGGAGTAGAGCTGTTGAGACCCTTGATGACCCATTGTCTGAGCTCCCGACTGCTCATCAGGAACCATTTTGCCTCAGTCAGAATCCCTACCCCGCGTTCGGACAATTCAATGGGTTCGGGTCCAGTATGGATTCGGAAGGAGGTAAGAGATTTGGTCCAGTGAGCCAAGACAGCCAAGCTTTGTCCAGATAAGCACAAGTTCTGTCCGCTGGAAACCGAATGCTACGCTCCGGTTAATTGAGTAGCAAACGTTCCATTCAAAGCCAATACCAAGACAACCTGCAGATGATCGGTTCTTTTGCGGCTCGGCGCTGCGCTAGCAAAGACTTGGCACCACGTTCATAGGCGCGGAGGTTGTTAACGGCCTCGTGTCTTGACAAGGATACAGGAACTAGAAATTGTCAAAGAATGCAAAATCGCTATCAGTAAAATGAAGAGACGTAAAATTTTTCCCAGAGGCAAAAAAAGGAGACAAATGAGGAGTTCCCAGATCCCCTTTCCCACCGCGATAGGGCTTGCTTTGTGCCACCAGAACTGATGATGTGGGTGCACGATGATTTCTAGCATAAAGTAGAAATTTAAATGTTACAGAGTGACTGAGTTTACATACAGTAAATTAGATTGTTCTCGTTCAATTGAAATTAATCCATGCTTGCACGAGGGTAGGCAATAAGACACAAGTGCCCAGGCTTGATGGCAAGTTATAGACAGCCGTTTCTGGACATTTTAGACAGTTAGTTTCTTGGCCAGATAGGGAGTTTGGCAATTCACACATCTGATTGTGACACAGTCGCCCCAAAAGGTACCTATAATGCCGGGCGCCAAACGTTATAATATATTTGGTGTTCAAGGGCTTCTGCAAAGTCAGCCACCGACGGATTTAGGCAGCCTTTCAACTTTTTCCCACTCAGCAGGCCCATCAACTTGGATATCTCTGTTTACCCTTCTATTTAAGGTGTTATTGGATCCATGTAGGACTTTTTCGCAAGTAACTTAATGGCAAAAATCGACAGGACCTGCTGTATTGTCCGAGACAGAAACCCCATTTGCAACGATATCTGATGAAAACGAGCCAATCACTGCGACTGAGGCTTTCTCCCCTCAAGCTACAGAACGTAACTGCAAGGAAACTCACAGATTTTGCTGCAGTGGACTTGCGAACCTTGAAACGTTGATCTCGTGGCTACTTCACAGACTGTTGTTGATCCGAACACTACAAGGGACGAGTCAGATAGGAACATGGCCCAGATTCTTGCAGATTATTGGGGTATGTCTTTGCCGCGCACCTTCACTATCACCAATATATTCAGATAGTCAAAATTGTCGAGGGGCCCCATTAGTGCTTTCTGGAAGATCTTGCTTCGTATTCACGACTTCGTGATCACCTATTCGGGCAAGGCCCAGCCAGAACTTGTTTCTTTCTCAGGTCTTTGAACATGGAACAATTAGAGACTCGAGATGTTTTGGTGTTACTTCAACTAAGTTGATATTTATTGTACTGTTGATACCCAAACGGTGCTTGAGCGCCAGATACGCTTCACATTGCTTGCGCATAGTTGTTGCTCTTGGTCTGATGGACGAGATAGAGCCTGTTGACAAAAAGTGGTACACTAGAAGCAACCCCCACCGACAAGTGCCAAGCAGATAGGAGCACACCCGGTTGGTCACCATGAGCGCCTCGCACTCTTGGCTCGCGGAGATCCGGACGTGAGCGAGGGGAACCCCGTTGGGTGTCACACAATCACGCAAGATGATAAAGACTACTGCATACCCGTCAGATTGACTGACTTTGTATCAGTTGTTGGTGGCCTATGCCTACTATCTATATCTAAATGCTTTGGACATCAACCATCCACGTTGGCGGCCGCTATTGGTTGCTGCCCACTACCGATGATGCACCTTTGATAGCGCGTACAGTCCTTGAATCATGCATTTGTAGATGCAGCCCAGCCAGCAAGAGTGCCGGCCGGTATCATGAATGGCGATTGCCCAATCTTCCTCGCCGGGAGCTGTGGGCCCGGTTGTATGGGGAATACTTCCGCGGACCCGGAGCAGGCGCCACAGCCAAACGTCGCTCCCCTCTCTCTATATAAACTTTCGTTTCACAGCCCAGCTAATTTCTTTCACCCATCACACCACCTTCTTCAAAACTAAACCAACCTGCACGGTTCTCGCTGCGAAGAATACAATGACCGACGCAAGCATCGTGAACCCGCAGAACAGCTGCAGGCCCAGGTAGCTCCCGCCCTGCGACGCGACAATGGCGCCGGCTATGGGGCTACCAGTCAACGCGCCGAATGACTGTACGGCGAACGCAGTTCCCGTGCGGACGCCAATCTGCCTGATGTCGGAGATCTGGGCGATGCAAGCCGGCCCCAGTGAGATGAAGCCGCCAGAGGAGAAGCCGAAAATGATGAGGAAGACGATGATGGCCGCGTTGCCCTTGCCGGGGATCCAAAGGCCGAGACAAAAGATGGCGCTGATGAAGGTAATGCAGATCATGACATTATACCGGCCGACCTTGTCAGCAAGGATACCAGGGACGATGCGGCCGAGGATGCTATAACTCGTTAGCACTACTGGCCGATGAGTTGTGATGGCACCGAGGGTTCATGCGCTTACCTGACGGCGTTCATGATGGGAAGCAGGTAAATGACCAGGTTCTCATCCATACCCTGAGCCTGCGCCTGCAAGATGACAAAATTGAAAGGCAGGAACATGCCCCAAAAGAACAGAAACAGGGCGCACACAGTGATTGCCATTCGTGGCTCCCGCAGGCTGTCGACATACTCCTTGAACACAAATGGACGGGGTCGCGGCGGTAACCGTGACTTGACCGTCAGGCACGCAATGCCCAACAAGAACAGGAACAAGAAGGCGACGGCGCGCATAGCCCACGGGAAGCCGACTTGGGAAATCATCTTGCTCATCATGATGGGCAGAACCACACCACCAACCGACGAGCCGGACACCATGACGCCAAATGCGGCGGCGCGTCGCTTGAAGAACCAAGAAGTCACCGATGCCATCGCGGCGTTGAAGCAAGCGCTCGAGCCAACGGACGAGACGATGCTCTGGGCCAGGATGAATTGGTAGTACTGGGTCGACAGGCTCGTCATCATGAGGCCAAACACGTACACGACGGTGCCGCCGTAGAGGAGGTACTTGGGGCCATACGTGTCGTATAGTCGACCGAACTGTGGGCGGTCAGCCAACGGACAGATTTCGGGATGCACTACAACTCACCACAACCCCCATGAAGGTCATGGTCCACACCTGCAGACTGGTGATCCACGCGACCGACGACGATGGATACTGGCTCAGCGGACCCTGCAAATAATACGCCTGAAAGACGCCGACGCAGTTGATGAGCCCAAACGTGCAGAACAGCGCGCACCAGCCCCCGAAGACGACAAGCCATGCCTGAGCGCCGCCGTCGGGGAAGTCGGCCGGGTTCATGCCCGGCGGGGCGGCGGGAGTGGGTGGCGCCTCTTCCCCGGCCGTTGCAGCGACGTTGCCGCCATGGCTCTTGGCATCTATGGAATTTTGCGCGGCCGCCAAGCCGCCCTTTTCAAGATCGGCTTCGACAACGTTGGACGGGTCCGGGTAGACGTTGGCGTCGGTCTCGCGCTGCTGGGAGGGAATGCGGTCTAGGGACTGACGGGCAGACGAGGAGGACTCGTACGGTATCCGATCCGCCTTTTCAGGGTCTGCCGTCGTCGTCGTCGCCGCGTGCGATCTGTCCATGATGGTCGACGAGGCGGACGACGTTGAGCGGGCGTCGTTGGAGCGTGGCATTTCCGCTGGTGCTGGCCTGCCGTTTTCCTCGCCGTTTGGTTCTTTTTCTCGTTGTCCTCCTGTCGTCGTCTTCTTTTCTCCCGTTCTCTAATCAGAGCCCCTTCCAGCGAAGGCAATCTCTCCAAATACCCACTTAGCTGGTTGATATTTATCTGTTTATCTTTTAGGTGAAAAATTCTGGACGAAGATCCCTTGCAGAGAACGTAGGTGGAACGAATTGGTTGAATCGTTTTCGTCGTCCAGATTGATATTGAACAGCTGCAATTTCTTGCTTCTCGTCGGCTAGTGTTTGGACTGGACTATCGAGTGGCAGCTAGTCTTCTTCTTATTCCCTGTTGGCCGATGGATACAGCAACGTTCATTCTGCGGCTCAAACCCGGGAGGAATTACTAATGCCAGCCAAGGCAGAAGTTGACAGCCAACGACAAAGATACCTCGCGTTCTGTTCGCTCTCGGGGCAATAGTCTGGACAGGGTTCGGAGAAGACAAACTCCATGCTACCCCATGCTCGGTTTTAAAGGACATGCCACTCCGGATCGACCAAATACTGGAACCCATATCTTGGGGAGGGGGAGGGGTAGCCAGGGCCCCGAAGAGGTCGGGGGTCAGCAAGCGGCAGGCTACTGTTGACCGACCATCTTTACTGGAGACTCCTGAGGAATTGGGAGACTCAACCATCTTTGCGCGCGGCTCGGCTAAAGCACGGTCAGCTGGCGGGAGTGACGAACAACCTCGCTGTTAGTCCCAAGCTTGAGCAGTGTCAGTAACTTTGGTGCGCTGTCAGTTTTCTTCTCCTGCGACCAGGACGTGCGGAAGCGGATCACGGGGGCGGATACCGGAAGCTGGGTTGTCTAGCCTTTTGTTTTACTCCCAATTAGTGCAGTCGCAAGTGACTACGAGTTGCGTTGCTCGGCTCGGCTTAGCGCCCAGCAAGGCGGTATGCAAATCATCAAGCAAGTGTGTGAGTTGCTCAAGGTCTCAATCGTCTCTGCGGTGCCACTGTCTCCGGCCGAGAGACTCGAATGGCGTAATTTACAGAGTACCCCGAAGACTGAATACCCTGAGGTCCCAGGATTCCATCCTTTGGTGGGCCACGTGAGGCGTCCTGCATCGAGCAACCGAGGGCATTAGAAATCAGCGTCGATGAGCAACTCCATTAGTTAGGGGTATTGCGTGCCCGCCCCAGCAGCCGTGTTCCGATTTGACAACCGGTTGGTCCTTTGGATTCGGCTTTGAGATGAAAAGGCGAGTCCCGAAGACTCTGGAATGAGATGCCGTCCATATGCGTGGCCAATCATGCAGATCCATTGTCTCGGGAGGGTGTGCTCGGCGCTCGGTTCGGTGCTCCAACTGACGTTTACAGCACTAGCCATGCCAACACCAGCCCCCTGTGGCTTGTACTAACTGGCCAAACTCCATGCTGACCACGTGGTGGCAGAAATACTCCTTGCCAGCCAAGCTGGTTCCGACAGAGCGGAAGCTGGCTGTGGGTTGCTAGTAAGCCCGAGGACGATGTTCATCTCATTTCCGAGCCCGATTTGCGCCATCAGAACGCATCCGTAAAGCGTCTGCATACGGAGTCGCGCGGCTGAGCTGACACGTCTCGAGGCCCTCCTATAACAAGAGTCTGCCTTAGATGCCGCGTTACTGGTTAATGTTGGCGGTGGTAAGATCCATCCTTGTTGTCTATTACACAGTAGATTTACATATGACAGCCCTGTAACTGCCTGGTCGATTGTAACGACAATCCTGCTTTCCAGCGCGGGCTGATTCCGCCTCTACCTCACGAACTCCTTGAGGTCCTTTGCATCCTCAAAACTAACTTTTCCATCGCGCGTGACGTTCGCAACGTGAATGGCTGAAGGGGGCTGCTCCGTATATGCTGGCGTCGCCTCGAGCTTGGGCTTCGTGGTCAGCTCGACCGCCTGCGGAGCCACACCAGCTGGCGCATCCGCAATCTCGTTGACCTCCTCGTTGGTGAGAGAGTCGGCGACTCTGACGCCCCGGCTAGACATGAGAAGGGTAGTCGGACCTCGGAACTGAAGGAACAGTCGGTCACCCCAGATGGTGCGTCTCAGTGAGGTGCGCAGGGCGAACATCCATCTCGAGAGGTTCTTGTAGGTGCTCGTGTCGCGCATCGCCTTCACAAAGTTTGTGTCAGAGAAGAGGCCGGTGATGCTCGGGACTTGAAAACGGAGAATGTTCGACTTCAAGCGCATCGGCAGAGGCGGGTTGCGCGAGATGGAGTAGGCAACCACGTGCGACGGGTGTGCGACGAACTCCTCGCCCTCAGCGAGCGTCACTTGGTAGACCTGGCCTGGGGATGACAGGGCGGCCAATCCACGGCCGGTGAGCTGAGTGCTTCCCCAATGAGCCAGCGAGAGACCACGGCTTATACGAGGAGACACAGAAAGAGTGTGGCCTGTCCATGCCAGAAGCGCGTTGCGCTGCGACACCATGTAGTCGGTAGTACCATCCAGGTGGAGGACGGAGAATGTGGTGGTGGGCGACTTGGTCGATATCAGGGCTGTCAGAGGCGTTGATGATGAAATGCGTTGATACAAGAACGGCACGCCCAGGAAAGCTCGTACGAAAGGAGAGAGAATCGAGAGGGTGGATTGAGCCTATCCGTATCATTAGCACCGTCCCTCATGTATGTCACCGGCATCGCGCCTTACATTCTCGGTCTTGCCCGCAACTCCAACCAATGTCCCTCTTCTCGTGTAAAGCTGCTGTGACGGCGACAACGTGACAGAAAGGAGCGAGTATGGAGACCCGAGAACCTCGAACCGAGCATCTGGATTCACTTGAGTCAGCATTGACCCAACAATAATACCATGACGAGGCGAGAGAGTCCGTACCGGCGACGTCCCGCGATGTGCCTCGAGCGCCAAAAACATCCCCGCCAACCCGCGGAGCTTCAGTCGTCGGCGCAGCACTGATCTGGATGCCCCTACATTGCCAGCAGACGTAAGAAAGTGTTTGACTCCGTCGCACACCTCGGCTCGGCCGCAACAAGCGCAATTGGGCGCGCATGGCGGACATCTGGGGAGTTGATGACGTCGGTAGTTCGGATCGTGATCTCCAAGCTCCAGCACCTCAGCTTCTCAATCAGGAATTAAGAAACTGGACCGGAACCCAGGACCCGTCACGGCAAAAGCCCGGCGATTGCGTAGGCCGGGTTAATCCGGCTCCGTCCGTGAACGGTACGTATTTCTGGTCTCATCACAGCAGCACGGATCTCAGTGGCTCGCGTGCAAGGGGGAAAGGGAGCCACGATCTCGCTTAGCGCCATTAGCGCTTGTTACCCGGACGACGAACCCATGACGCGACCCCTGTTGACAAGGTCTGGGAACAATCCTTCGTCGTTCCTTGCACAACATTGCACATCGAATTGAACAACCTTAGGCCACACAGTTCAAACACGTCGAAGCCTTTCTAGGATCTCGTCGAGCCTTCAACTTATCGCGTCCGAGATTTTCATCGCGTCCGCCCGAGACCGACGAATCCTCGCCCTGTTCCGTCCGTCTCTGCTTGCCCAGGCTGCTGCCATCTCCCACCGAATCAATTCCCATACTAGCCCACGATGTCGGTTCGTGTGGTCGCGCGCATCCGCCCACTTCTTGACAAGGAGCTGGACAAGGACACCATTGTTCGCGCGGACGGTGCCGAGGAAGGCAAGCCAGCCACATTGGTCAAGATTCCGAATCCAAAGAACGAGAGCGAAGAGTTCTCCTTTGCCTTCAACAGCGTCTACGACCAAACGACGACACAGGACGAACTCTTCACGTCAGAGGGTACGGATGTGCTACGCGAGACGCGAATCAAGATTTCAATATGACTAACTTAATTGTCCCAGTCGCACCTCACATCAAGGCGCTCTTCCAAGGCCTCGATGTCACCATCTTCGCGTACGGAGTCACGGGAACGGGCAAGACACACACAATGCGGGGTGGCCTGAAACTGGCGGACCGAGGCGTGATTCCGCGACTCCTGAGCAGCGTATACCGACGCGGTAAGAAGATTGCCAAGGACACGGGTGGCAAGACGACCGTAGATGTTGCCCTATCGTACTACGAGATCTATAACGACAAGGTATTCGACCTATTTGAGCCGCCAGAGAAGCGCCAGCCTGCGGGCCTCCCTCTCCGCGAGAAGGACGGCAAGACTATGGTGGTGGGCCTATCAGAGCGCGCCTGTGAGGACCTCCAAGACTTCTCGCGTCTCTACATCGAGGCGAACAACAACCGTGTGACGGCCGCGACAAAGCTCAACGCTCACAGCAGTCGAAGCCACGCGATCATGAGGGTCAAGGTGACCCAAACGACAGGTGACCAGATTCGAGAGAGCACTGCGTCAGCCATAGACTTGGCTGGCTCTGAAGACAATCGCCGTACCGATAACGGAAAGGAGAGACTGGTCGAGTCGGCTGCCATCAACAAGAGTCTTTTTGTGCTGTCACAGTGTATCGACGCCATCTCTCGGGGAGACAAGCGGATCCCCTACCGCGAGTCCAAAATGACGCGTATCCTCAGCCTCGGTCAGAACAACGGTATCACAATCATGATCTTGAACCTGGCGCCCATTCGCAGCTACCACCTTGACACTCTGAGCAGCTTGAATGTCAGCTCCCGGGCCAAGCGCATCGAGGTTCGCGAGATCGAGAACGAAGTCGTCTTCAAGCAGGTCCCGCGTACGAACTCGGGCAATTCTACGACCACGCAGCGGCAGCCCCTGCGTCCTCTGGCAAACGCCCACAACATCCACAGTGGTGCCATTGCAGCGAAAGCAAACGAAAAGGCCGATGCCACCCGTCCGGTCAAGCTATTCAACGTTTACACCGATCGTAGCAAGCCGTCAGCTCCCGCTCGCCCGGCTGCCAACACCACTCAGCTGCGAAAGCCACTTGCCGACCGTGAATCGGCGCTCAAGCTCTCTAAGGTTGCCCGTCCCACTCAACCTGCGCAACAAAAGCTCTCGATTTCTGCCGAACAACTGGAGGCCATCGTTGAGAAAAAGGTCAGCGAGATTCTTGCGTCCAGGGAGAACAAGACGACCGAGCCGGCTCCAGCACCTGCTCACCCCGATATCAACGACGCTGTCCAGCGTCGGCTAGAGGCACTTGAACGTCGCATTGAGAGTGAAGAGCGGGAACGCGATGATACTCGGTCGGAGGGGCTTCGTTTCTTGTTGGCGGCTAGGCAGGCGAAGGAGAGTGGCAACGATGTTGTGGCACTGCAGATGTACGAGCAAGCTCTGCCATTCTTCCCAGGCCAGGCGAAGCTACTCAGCAAGATCGAGAAGCTGCGGTCGAAACTTGGAAATAAGCTCCCCGCTGAAACAGCCTGGGCCCCCGCATCATCCCGTGACAAGCATGAGAAGAAGCGCAGGAGGATCGCTGACGAAAGCGACGATGAGAACCACCATCAAGCCAATGCTGATGAAGATATGAGCTTTGTGGACGTCGCTGCGAAGACGAAGAGCCGAAAGGCCAAGCCAACGAAGGCTCACAAGATGGGTTTCTCCGATGTGACTGGGCCAGCTTCCCCTCAGACCCGGAATCTTTTGAACATTGTCAACTCCCGGGACCTCGCCCAGATCAAGGGCTTGCACGGATTTGGGTCCAAGAAGGCCCAAGACCTGGTTGATTACCTAGGCACGATGTCAGAGGAAGGTGGCGCCCAGATCGAATCATTGGCGCAACTGAAGACTATCCCTGGAATGGGTGGTCGAACGGTTGAACGTGCGTACGACGGGCTCGTCGGTGCTGTTTAGAGCGATTGATATCCTAGCATGGCGCATCAGGCTACTTACGGTGCATTGGACATGGTGTTTTCGGAGTTTAGCATACAGGCAGCCGTGGCCTCGGAAGAGGCTCTGCTTTGAGGATGTGGCATATTGTGCGAGCATCTGCTTTAATACAACACTCGAACCTGGCACTTTGTTAAATCGGCGCTCATTGTGTGACAACGCGAAATCGATTAGAGTTGGCCATCTCAACGCAGACCGTTGGCATCGATAATAGCCTAAGTTGGAACTCCCCCTGGTGAATTTTGTCGTGATACCATAATAGCCAATCTCGCCACTTCATTTGAGTCACAGTCACTACCAGCTGGCAAATCGACCAGAACAAGTTGCTGTACAGGCTGATTGCCTCATCACTGAAGTGTTGACAACGCTCATCTCGTCAGGTGCGGGATGGTACATTGGGATGCGGACTTTAAAAAGTCCGTCTAGTTGTATCGATAAGGGCTACCAGTTCCATCGTTGGCCATTTGTCGATAGACCAGCGGGCGAAGATTAAGACATTATCTTTCCTAGGAATATGCACGTTGGAGTTGAGCTGTAGCGACATTGTCGAAATTACAATATGAAGCCGTGGGCGTTGACTGATGTTAGTAGCCTGACTTCTATTCGACTCCGCCGGTTGTAGGCGGCATTGAACACGAGCATCATTGAGTTTCCAGTTTCAGACTAACAAAGTCAACAACAAACGTCCATCCCAGTCAGGTATTCGGGATCCATTCGACTAGGGCTTAAAAAGTCCCTGGTGACTACCTTACACAATGTACGCCACGTACCAGCAAGTAGGCGTAGTTAGACAAGACCCGATCCCGCCATCCCTGAATTTCGACGTAGACGAGATGTTGGATCGCCACTATTAAGAGATATTTCATTCCGGAAATCCTGATTATGCCGCTATTAGTTACTTGCTGCCGCCCTTATTGAAAGGCGCGGGATCTTTTGGGACCTACCAGTCCGAAAAGCAACAGCCCCAGCTGTGAGTATTTCGAAGTCAAGACTTCGGATGCGACGACCACTAAGCTGCAATCATGCATTCACTCCACTTCAATTTCTTCCTCGGCATCAGTGAATCTCCATTTTAAGCGGTCGGGTGCATGTTGTACTTCATTGCTTGATTACCAAATCCACCAGACTCGCATACCAAACAGTGACGGTAGTCGGTGAAAGTAAAGTTGAATTTGTTTGCTCGAAAAAACTCTCTTGTAGTATTTCACGACTATAGACGCAAAGCCTGGTTCTGAGGCCTGACTTCTTTACACTGTTTCTTATCTCGTTCAGAGACTGCGCGAGGTACCATTGGCTGCTGTTGGGCTGCTATACAAGCAATGGAATCATGTGCGGGGAGCAGCCAACCAGAAAGCGATTCGTAGAGTTTCCCACCAATCGATTGTGTTATGTTCTGGCTGGATAGCCTTCCCCCTTACTTGGTAGAATTTATTCACGAAAGTATAGTTGAGCCGGTGTTTCAATGACTCAACCAAAGACTTTTCCTCACACAAGCTGTCTCACAAACTCTTGCAACGGCTTCAGAAACCTAACGAAGTATAATCCATCCCAACTAATGTCGTCCTGCTGATTGCACCGGCTCAACGCTTTTATCAAAATCAATACTTTGGACGTGTTCTACGCTCATCGGGCCTTGTCAAAGGATTTGCGACCAGTTACAATCACAAGTACGCAAGGTCCTGGTGGTGGAATGATCCTAAGTTGAAGCTTGCCCATGGAGCAGGGATCGCTCACCCTCCTTGCCTGTGAAGTACGAGCGTCACTGATTCGTTGCTTATGCTCATTAAGATTTGTCCTAAACGCAGGTGAAGACCGCAAACTTCGATACCCATGCAGTTTACGAGTCGTGGGCGTCTATGCCTGACTTGCCTGCGCCGAGATGGGCCTCTTTCCTTTCTTTTCTTTTTGGTCAGCGTCATGTGATGTGCTTTCAGGGCTGTCTTCAAGGTTCGAACTCTCTTCAGTTGGGATTTTCCATGTCGAACTGGATTTGTTAGGCCTTGGCCTTGTGCTGGTCCTCGACCGACTCGTTACGAGACTGAGAGAATTTCAGCGGGGATGCACCTTCCACGGGCGTCCTGCATTCTGAACGATTACTGAGCCATACTCCGATGAGTCCCATCGTTGTAGAGCCATCGCACTGGAGCCAACATTCTATTAGCTGATCATCGCTATCAAGATCATGAACCAAAACTTGGACCGAGACCTCGCAATGACCGCGACAAGGAGGAGAAGCATTGTCACGATGACAGAGAAACAGATGCTGGCGATAAATCCTGAACTCATGTCTACTGACATGTTCCCATCCACGGTTACGGAGCAACGTTCTAGCACGGAGGCAACCTCAACAAGGAAGAAGCCCAGCTCGGTTACGGGAAATAACGAAGAAAACGACACGCCCCCGGATACGAGTTTGCTACCTCCAGCTCCGAACTATCTATCAGGCTTCAGTCTGTTTATTGTGATCACCAGCGTGATCTTGGTCATATGGTTGCTGTTCCTCGATGGCTCTATCATAGTTACCGTAAGCGAAGATGTCGTCCACATGTTCCAGGCCTCGTCAGTGGTTAACAGTCCTATAGGCTATACCATCAATCACGGACGAATTTCATTCAATACAAGACATTGGTTGGTATGGTAGCGCCTACCAGGTCACCAATGCAGCGCTCCAACCGCTTACAGGAAAAATATACCGCTATTTCAGCTCGAAGGTAAGATGGCGTTGACAGCCCGCGCAGTAGATTGTGAAGCTGATCTACAACAGTGGTGTTTTTTTGCCTTCTTGGTCTTGTTTGAAATTGGGTCCTTAATCTGCGGGGCAGCCCCTTCGTCCATGGTGTTGATCCTCGGCAGAGTAGTGACTGGAACAGGAAGCTCGGGTCTTTTGACCGGCGGCCTGACAATAATTGCTGGATCCGTGCCCCTAGAGAAAAGACCCGGTACGAGCATCTTTATGATTCATGTATAAAAGTTTTCTAACATCATACGTTTCCAGCCCTGATGGGACTAGTTATTGGTCGTAAGTATCATTTCCAGTACGAACGACCGAGGGGGTTTCTGTAAAGCTGACAGCCCAATCAAGTTGCCAACAGGTAACTTAGCCTTCAAAATCCACAGATTATCGAGTTCTAATAGTCATTGATAGTGGAAGCGTTTTCGGCCCTCTCCTCGGGGGAGTTATAACTCAGTTCAGTTCTTGGAGATGGGGTAAGCAATTTTGACTGATATTGACTATAAGTCGGGACCAAACTAACCAGAGGCGGGTGCCGAAAGTTTTCTACATCAACCTCCCATTGGGAGGCCTGGTACTCATCTTCGTGGCCTGGTGCAATATCCCCGACCAGGTCCCGAAACCCAATCCAATGGAGGTCATTCCAAAACTGCATATATACCTCGACTTTGTTGGTTTCTTATTGAGTGCCGCAGCCGCCGTGATGTTTCTTACGGCATTGGAGCTCGGAGGAAACCAGTATTCTTTCAGCAATCCTATCGTGATGGGAATTTTCTGCGGTTCTGCAGTAGCATTGTGCGCATTTCTGGTTTGGAATTATCGCATGGGGGACGACGGGCTGATCCCGCCATCGATGGCTGGGAAAAGGCCTGTCTGGTGCGCTGCTGCAACTATATTCACTTTTATTGGTTCCGCGATGGTTCATGTGTACTTGCTTCCGTTATACTTCCAGGCGATTCTGGGGCGGTCGCCAGCCCAGAGTGGCATTGACATTTTGCCAGGCGTCGTGTCACAACTAGCTTTTGCCTATGGCGGAGGCATACTAGGTATGAAAGTTTCGCAAAATTTATCTAGGTGGGATAGATTGACATCAAGTTTCCGCTAACATTGGTTTCCTTCACAGTCGGTAAAACTGGATATTACTTACCGTGGGCGGTAGGCGGAACAGCTGTGATGGTCATCGCAAGCGGGCTTCTCACAACACTAACAACGACAACTCCGGTTGCGCAGTGGATAGGATATCAGATTCTGGTTGGCGCCGGGCGGGGTGTAGTGTTGCAATTGGTAAGGCGCTAGACAATCCTTTCTGGCTTGATGCCGTTCCACTAACACTGCCCAGCCATCCATCGCCACCCAGGCTAATCTGCCACCAGAACAAATCTCTATGGGATTATCTTTTGTGACATTTTCGCAATTCATGGGATCTGCTGTTGCTTTGGCCATAGGCAACGTGGTATTCATCAGCGCCTTGAAACAGGATCTTCCACGATACTCACCAAATGTCAATGTAACAGCGGTGCTTGAAGCAGGAGCCACAGCGTTCCGCAAAGTTGTTTCCGAAGACGAACTTCCAGGGGTGCTCAGAGCATTCGTTTCGAGTATCGACAAGGAGTTTTACTTCGCTTTGGGGCTTGCGGTTGCATGTTTTTGCTTTTCGTGGGGCATTGGATGGAAGGACGTTCGGTCTAAAAAACCAGTACAGCCTGACTCGGGCCCGTGATTACTAGCCAGTCCGAAGGACAATGTGGAAAGTAAATTGGCGGCCAAGAGAAAGTCCTAGCTGCGGCCCAGAGCCGTAATCAACGGAGCCCTGCTGTTTGTGTCAGATGAAGAGTCATAAGTAATTACTATGGTGAAAAGGGTAGCACTCCTGGGATTAGAGTTTGCAACAGGACGACTCGGTGTCGGACCTACGTACAGCACAGAGTAAACAGTGGGCCTCTGGTTGAAATGAGGCTTGACCTACCCACATAGACATGTACAGTGCCGGGTCATTAGTCTGGCCACACCAATAAGGGCAACCAATCAACTAGCTGCGATTCCTCTTTTTGACCCACTTTTAGCCTAAGGCCATAACTATTATCACACTTCTATCTTACGCGTATACGCGTGCGCGTACAGTATTACACATCAGAATACCTTAACTGCCTATCGTTTTATTTCCTCACTATAGTATTTTAATAACGTTAATTTAGCCTTAAATTGACTTAAAATTGGAGAGTAAATTAAGAGCTTTCTACTAATACCCGTTCTGCGATCCTTATACTTTATGCTAAAGGCAAAAATAAAAGCAAAATTATACACTAATTTAGTATTAACTGTATAACTATATATTGAATAGTCTAATAATAAGAAGTAACCTCCTTAAATATATTATGCCTATAGGCTAGCTAGCTTTAATAGCTAACTTCCCGTTAAAAGCATCAATTTATTAAGATGCTCTTATGCTTCCTAAAGACCTTATGGAAAACCTTGCTTGCTGAGTCTGAACTTTATGCTTTAAAGAGTACTTTACAGCATATTCTTTGTTACTATTATTTCCGGAAATGACGCTCAGCTTAGCGCCCAGTATTAACTGCCTAGGACGCTAAAGCAAGATTATGGTATTACTGTGTATAGCAAAAGAGAGAGGAGATCCTTGTAAGGGGTATTATGAGTGATAAGTACTTTATCTATAGTTCTCCTAATAGAACTATTTAAATATAGCAATATGCCTATATGAAGTTTTACAAAAAGAACATTAACTTTATTGTTTATAGCAAAGATCTTAAAGTCATAGTCTAGGCAAGAATAACCTAAGAAGGCCTAAGCCCTTTAGTCTTTTTAGAGCGTAACGATGACGCTAAGAGGAACGGCTTCTCTTTAAAGAGCTATTATGCTGCTTTAAAAAAAGGACTTTTACTTTTTTATAAAGCTAAACAAGTCTTTTAATAAGATAATGCCCCTATTCATATATCTTACTATACTTAAGAGTAGCTTAAAGCAAAAGGTATATAAGTTATTAACTAGCTAGTATATAGCCTAGATCTTAACCCTATTAAGTACATATAAAAGGCTCTAAAGGCTAAACTTTATAAGCTATATCTTATAGTTAATAAGCTACTAAAAAGCAAAGTAAGCTATAAAGAGCTTTAAAGGCGATTATAGGAGGCGTATAATATACTTTTATCTATTTTTATTGTACGATTAATAGACTTAATATAGGATAGGATTACTCTAAAAAGCGAGAAGTCGCTGCTGCTGCCGCCAAATGCGGTGGGAAGTGCCGCTGTTTTTAGTGGCATTAGCAGTGTGGGGAAACAAGCTTTGGATGACAAAGCTGAGTACTAAGTACTTTGATGCACTTGGAGAGCGCCGCGCAACCTATTTATGAAGGTGGGCCCGCGCCGCCATTTGGCTCCTAGCGCCTCCCGCTTGCCCGTCGGTCTGTTAACTGCTCAGGGTCGGTGATCCTGCTCGTGTTTGTTTCCTCTGACCAACTACCTGGTTTTTGCCGTGCTCAGAGCCGGTTCATGCTTCGCAAGATGACCATGGCTTTTTTCGCCAGAATGACGCATGCCCGCTATAAAGCGCGGCTTCGCGTCCAGTTCTTTGTATCATCCTGCAGCGAATCGCATTCCATCCTCATCCATCAGTTTTTTGACGAACCCCCGCCTTCGAACGATGTCGAGACTCAGGCGTCTAGGTTGCCAGCCTGTGCAAGATAACGCTAGCACAGACTTTGTCAAGCGGTTCACCAACCATGAGGCGGAGGAACGACGGAAAAAGCGCGCGCCGTCGTTTACTGCCGAGGAGCACGATGCTCTCCGCAAAAAGTTGAAGACCGTCCACTACATCAGTCCGAATTATGCGGACGAGACCAAGACCAATATATCGGTCGTTCGCAGGAAATGGAAACGGTTTGACTTTAGTGTCTCATGACCAATCATCTTGTTGCTGATGTGTCAAGCAGCTACTGCGAAGAGCAACACAAGTTCGAATGCGAGAAGCAGAGAAGTGGCGAGTGCGAAGAGCTGCTGTGGGGCGACTGGCAAGCGGCATTGAAAAATGTGACCAGAGAGACGATGATGGACTTTTTCTTGCGAGTTTGCGAGTGGTCGAAGGGCAGAATCAAGTCCTGGGGCACCACGCAGGTATACATCCGTCATTTTCGGCAACTGTACACTTGCGTGGTCGAAAGTGGCGTAAACCCGATAGACTTTAAGGAGCTTTACATCGTAGGTGCCCCGTCTGCTGGAGACGGTTTTCTGCATCACTCTGCTAACGTGAGCTCTGCTAGTTTCATCACCGAGTTTTGGTTCCCCGCTTCGACTTACGTGCACCCAACATCAACGGAAAGCCGGTCGTTGCCGCGGACAGTCTTTACGCACTTTTGGTTTTCAACATTGCCTATGATTTTGGTGTTTTCCGGTCGGAAGGGCATCGAATCCAGCTAGCTGGTTGCTATCAATTGCTTTGCTACACTGGCGCACGACCTGCAGAGCTGGTCTCTTCCGAAAGAAATAACCCTCAAGAAGATACGAAGTATGCCGAACGCGATGAGGCCGCGCAGGACGACAGGCCTTCTTCTCTTGACAAACTGTTGCTACAGGAAACTGTTGGGAGAGGGCGTCCCAAAGCCTTGTGCTACGAGGACATACAGATGATGATTGTTCGCCATCCAGTAACCGGACGGGCTTTGCCGGCCATGGCGATTAAATTCATTCATCATAAGGGAGCCGATAACAAGCCCAAGCCGTGAGTAATCGCGGTGTGCCGCATCTTCTACTGGCGCCGCATCCCATCACCCGGATTTCCCTTCCTTTTACTTCAGTTCGCTTCTAAACAAATGCTCCTGGGCTAATTATGTTAAGAACTGTATTTTACTTCACGCCTGCAAAAAAGCTAATATTTTGTGCTGTGAGCACTATCATCGCCCTAGCACTTCGCGACCGGGCTTTCGAAGCGGCGGGCCTGACAGATGCGGCGGCAGTTCTTGGGGTGAAGGTCCCGGACCGGGTTGAGTCTATAGCTCTGAGATGGAAGGAATCGATGCTGAAAACCCCGCTGTTTCGAACGTTTGACGGCATCAATCTATCGACGGACGAGGCCATGACCTATGCTAAGCTAAGAGCTGACATGCGCAGACAAAGCCTCGATGCTGGTTTCGAGGAAGCGTGGACGCCCAGGTTCACTCGGAGAGGGGCGGCGAACGCGGCCAACGGTGAGTGGGCTGAGACAAGCGGCCGCCACCACGGACGGATGCTGACAGCTTGGACTCTAGGAAATGCCCCTGATTCCGTCCGCGATCAGATGATGCGTCACGATCCTAAATTCGCCACCTTTCACGGTGCGTACCTCAACGAAAAGGTCAACTTCGATCTGCAGAACACTTTTCTTGAAGAAACCACCGAGAAGCAGCTGTACAAATTGTTCTCACATGTCAGTCTCACACGCGATCCTCGCGCAACGAGAGATATGGTACCTGAAGAAGTTTGGAAGAACCTGCCGGCCGATCCGGAAATTATGGACTTGGAGCGAGAGCGACAAGAGTTGAAGGGAGGTCAATATCGCGTACAAGGTATGGAGAACGAAGCCAAAATTCGAGAGTTGACCAAGAAAATCCACACCAAGCGAGACCAGCGCGATAAGAAAGTCGTCAAAGCGTACCGCAGTTATTATTTCTACAATCGTTCAACTTGGGACATCGAGAGGCAAGCAAGTGGCATCGAAGACGAGGAGTACGTTGAACCGGCCATCAGTTTGACAATCCCTGAGCGGGCGAGACTGGCCGAGATTTTATGCTATCAACCCGCCGATTGTACTCATGATGAACTGATGAAGCTTTGGGTTGGCGCAATTGACCTAATGGTTATACTGTTCGACAAAAGAGAGACGGTTAGACGGGATCGTATTCGCGCCGACTATCAGCCTCAGCCTCACATCGAACGACAACCTCAACCTAAGCCCTTCCCTCTCATCCTTGACCCCAACCAGTGCCCTGATTGTGTCGGCGACGAGAGGCTCAACATGGAGGAACGAACATTCAAGTACTGCCGACCCACAGTCAGGAACGACCATTTCGATGACCAACATCTCGGACAGCGAGAGCGCGCTGTCCTGCATGGCGATGTTATACGGTGCAACCACCCTCAGTGCCAAGATGACCCAGAATTACAAAGAATGGAGACGCTGGACGCGTTCAGAAACCATGTGCAAATCATACATGGGGTTTCGCTGAGGACTTCAGATAGGGCCAAGCAGAGGAAGGCTAAGAAAGTAAAGCGGAGACGAGTGGTTAGAGAAGTGTCTGCCTGAGGGCAGTCCCAATGGATGGTGCATTGTAGACTAGAAAATCTCACAAAACCGTTTTGAATCCTAGCTCACCAACGTAAATCCCAGCAAGAGAACTCAGGGAACAGTCATATATAGAATGCTTCATACAGCAATGAACACGGCTTTGGGTCTTTCACATGGCAAGCCTCGTACTCCTTCAGATTCTTCCACTATTAGTGCTCCCACTGGAGATACTGGCCTCAACTTTGAGAGGCCTTGGTCGGGAATAATTATTCCATTTGCCGGCTCGCATATTCAGGAACACTAAGCCATCGGCAGAATGATAGTTGATTATACTTTTGAACCTATAATTTGCCATAGTTACGATTACAACAGTTCCGCACGTCCGAAACCTACGTCTCTACAGCAAAAGTGTATAGTCACAGGAATCCACATACTATCACTGGCCTCAAGAGCTTGCCCAGGCGGATAATTGCAAATGGTGGCTCCTCCGTGCCGCACTTTTTCTGCCGTCTCCATATTAATTCTGCCACACTTAGCGACACTGGGGGATCCATAGTATTTCTGCCGTCTCCAATGACGTACCAACTCGACTAACTTTCTGCCACTTCCAGGGGTCATTTTGCACATCCTAATGCCCCATGCCCCCCCATCTTTTTGTTCTGCCAGGAGCGTCAGTCTCCGCATTGCCTTTCTGCCGTCTCCACTCCCTTTTCTGCCAGCTCTTTAGAAGTTTCTGCCGTTCCCACTCTGGTTTCTGCCGCGCCTCTGGCTTTACAAGATTAGTTTTCTGCCGCCTCACACATCACCACTCTTTTTTCTGCCAGGCTTTTCTCCCGCTTTTATTCTGCCGCTCCACCCTCCCACGAGATCTATGTAAACCTTTTGCCGTTGACTCACTTACTCTTTGTCTCCACTCGTTTTTTTCTGCCGCCTCCGCTTCTCTTTCTGCCGGCCCCAAGCACACTGTACTAGACGCAAGCTCAATATTTCTCTCAACATTCGAGATCTCAGTCGTTGCAAAAGATGATATCACGAAAGACAAATCCGGCCTGTTTGAAGACCAGCGTATGTGTCAAGAGGCTTGGTAGGCTCGTTCCGCCCCGGTCATGTCAATATGACAAGTCACGGGACACACTCGAGATCACGGCAGAGGATTGTGTCGGGCCCATGTTGCATAAGCTCAGTGTGCGTTCAATTCACACATTGACGAGTTCGTCCGGGTAAAAGAACCCAGAAGCTGCATTTGACGAGATTCACGAATGATGGCAGCTAAATACATCCGCTCGGACCGTGATGGGGAACATCTGTAATTGAGCACAACCATCGTTCTTTGATTCATGAATCCCAACTGTATTAGCGTCTATGGACAAAAGGGGAGTACCCAAGCGCATTGTCGAGCAGAGCAGCGTTTATTAAAAAGCCTCGCACACTGATTGGGGAACAGCATCATTCTCATGGGAAACGTGCATGCGTTCTTCTATTCCCACATCTTCGTACTGCCCTCGCTTGGTGTGCGGCGGAGCAATGGGCTCGTGCAGCTGGCTGAGCAACAACTCAAATTGCAGGCGTAATCTCGCAGCAGTCATGCATGCCGTGATTTCTAAATATCTGACAAGGCTTCATCTGGAGGCCGACAAAACCGGAACGTTACGATTAGAGCAGACTTAAATTCCAAGAGCATCAGAAATACGGCTCCTACAGCCTTGTGCTGCGTAGGGACGATGCTTTGCGCTATGCCTGCACAAGCCAGTCCTTGTTGTCACAAAAGCTGACTGAGACAAGAAGCCAGTGGGGTTTAGTCAAGGTGTTATTGGGTCTGCTGGCGTTCTTCGGCACGAGAAATGATTCTGGGCTGGTGCCTTTTTCCCGCGCGATAGCCTCGTCGGTGTTACGACCCAAACAGTTGGTCGCTGGCTGACGTAACTATATAATGCAGAACAGGAGATAATGATGCAGGTGCATCATCACATACCGAAGCTTTTTCTTTGTGGCGCAGTTGGTTGTCCTGACCTGCTCGTGACAGTCGGCACGAGCCGATGACGTGTAGCAGCTCTTGGCTTTTCGCTGGCAAACGGCAGTTTTTTATCAACCTAGGAGCCAGACATGGCTGTATGAGGATACCGCCCGAAAACTTCGTGTTGCTCCGTTCTGGACTCTTGTTTGAATCTTCACTTTCAACTCCACAGCTCTGGTTCTGTTGCAGTCTGCTTTCAAGGGCACAGGGAACATCGTGAATAACTACCTTTTTTTTTTGGGGGGGGGGGGGGGGGGGGGGGGGGGGGGGGCGCCTCGAGATCCATACAGCTACGGGGCGATTTGCAATGACTCTCTGTAAAACCAGAACCTGTTCTTCCATCAAGGGTTCTTTGCGAAGCGCTGGTTTGCGTTGCGTCCATAAGTATCCCTGCTGTGGTGGTGACCTGCAAAGCGTCGTCAGCGTATCCTTAAAGCCGTTGTTGGTCGCGCTCACTCCTGGCATCCCACGATTACGCAGATCATAACTGGCTCTTGAGCAGCGACTCCTAAGCGGGTCCCAGATTTCTGGTTCGAATATGATGATTTGCAATCATTTGTGGATTCCATCGCTGGCAGGGTGCATGGGAGACCTTTCGAGCTCCTGGCGATGCCCTTCTGAGGAGCAAAAAACTGCCGCGACCGTAATGAAAGTCGATATCTCGACAACCCTTGTCGGTGACTGGGACACATGTGGCCGCAGCGAGACATTGGCATTTTTAATATCTCAGCTCAAGCTCATCATGGCTTGTGTCCATGGATGCTGTCAGTTGCGACCAATTGCAGGAACAGGAATGTGAGACATGCAACCCCAGAAACGCCTTTCCACGAACCTTACCCTGGACGGAACTGTGCTGGAAATGGGTTGCCTTGCAACTGGATTGATGAGCTAGACCCAAAAAGGCTAATATGGCGAAGTAAGGTGCTCGCTGTGTGGCTGGGGATAGTGACTCCAAAGAAAAAGCCTCTCAAGATGGAATTGCAGCGGCGTCGAAAGTCGATTTCTGGGTCACGGATTTCCAATGTAACACCTGGGATCTGGAAATGGATTCTGCAGACGGGGACGTAGCTGAGCAGTTAGAGTCATTGTCGGATGGTGGAGAACAGCTTCCCTGAAAGGTCAGAACCAGCTCTTGTAGAAGCTGGACACGGATTGTGCAGATAGAACACTTGGTAAAGCAAGAAAGCTCCTTGTTACATGGCTAGGAAGATTCTTGACCAAAAGTCAGAAATGACTTCCGCATCAATGTCGCAGGTGCGCTGAAACTGGCTTTCCAGGTCATGGCTTTCCAATACATCAACAGGATCCGGAAATGGGCTTTTGTGGAAACCAGACACGGCACAGCAAGGTGCTTGCTGTATGGCTTGGATGGCCCATCTTGGGATCTTGGGAGCTCAACAGGCTCTTAGCCTGTTCCGGACTTTTCAACATAGCAATGGGGAGCCAGATATGGATCTTGCAGTCACCGTAAGCAGTAGAAGAAGGAAGCTCCTTGTTGCGTGGCTGGGAAGACCAGCCAGAACCAGTTCCCGGCAAGAGTCAGATATGGAGCGTGTAGACAGGGGAGGTAGTGGGACAAGGAGGACCCTTGTTGCGTGGCTAGGGACGTGGCAGGGGACATCCTCCACCAAAGGCCAGAACTGGCACCTGTCTCATCGTTGCGGCGACGTTGGAACTGGATATCTAGGTCTCGGCAACCATTTTTACACAACAGGGCAAGACCCTGGTCGTGTGGCTGGGGAGATCATCTCCCAAAACTTCCAAAGCCGGAATCGAAAAGTGAGAAATGGCTTCCTAAAAGAGCCACATTTGGATCTTGCAAGCAGGGGACATGACTCAGGATGCAAGATCCTTGTCGTGTGGCTGGGGGCAATCTCGCTCCAGACTCAGCCTGCCGAAGGGAGCTGGAAATGGATTATGCGGACATTGTGAATAGCGACTAACAAGAGCCATATCCAACGTTTTCGACATGGGAAATGGAGTGGTCGGTAAGGTCCTTGGTGTTTGGCTAAGAGGAAGGGCCAAAACTGGCTTCTGGTAGGAGCCAGATACGGATGCTCAGGACAGGGGATCTAGGTAAGCAAGCGAGATGCTGGCCGGGACCACCAATAACGTGGTTGCAGCGGCACCCAATGCCAATTTCTGGATCTAGGATCTCTAGTACAGTGGATGAAGCTAGATACAGATCTTAAGAAAAAGCCATATATCGGGACAAGCAGCTCTGAACCAGAGTTAGATCTGGATTTTGCTGACAGGGCAGGTGGGGTAGCAGGCAAGGATCTTGGTGTGAGGCAAGAAAGACAGAGGAGACCAGCCAGGCCTAGCTCCTGGCAAGAGCAAGACCTTGTCGCGTGGCTGGGAAGAGGTTATCCCAATAGCCAACGGCGACGAGTGCCAGCTTCTAGACCTCGACTTTTCAGTATATTCGATCGAGCCAGATACAGCCTCTGCGAAAAGGATTTATGACTTCACCCCAGACGTCACAACCAGCTCCTGGCATTTGGCTGCAGCTGTGCGGGACGGCAGTGCGGATGAGTAGGGCCTCGTTGCGTGGTTGGGGGTATTCACCATCTAGTCAGAATCGGCTCTTTGAAGTAACGAACCCCCAATGGTATGAAGGCAATCGAGGTCGGATGCCGTCCTCGCGGACAGTGCACACAGCCAAGCAAGGCCCTTGTTGCTATGCTATATAAACTACGGTTCGCTGTCGGAAATAGATGAAATATTCCATAGGACCAAGGAGAGAGAAAATCAAGGACTTTGAGGGTGCGATGCGTATTACCAGAGCTGGAGATTCGGAACGAGTGCCAAAGCGGGAGCCAAAATGGTAAACAAGGAGGATTATGGAAGTTAAAACGGGGTTTGGACTACTGCACACAATACCGAGTAGCTTGTTACTGTATTATATGTACTTCCTCCTTCCCATAAACAAAATCTACTAATCAATGCAGTCACTAAGCCGTCGCTAAGCACATACATTTCCTGGTCACTGTATCTCGCCTCGATGCCTTTTCTTGCTTTGTTTCACTACACCAGTGGACGTCAAAATTTGTGGGCGCGCAGGCAGATGGCCAGAAAAGACATGGTACGGAATTTGTATGGAACCCTGGATCGGGAACATATCCTCATGTCGCCCTCGGAGGCGGGAACCTCTGGCGACCGGCCACCCCCATCGTATACGACGGCCAATAGAGGAAATAACTATTCGCTGGGGCATGAGTCGTTAAATGATGCTGAAGACGTTTGACACGACCAAACAATCAATATTCATCGCTGAAGTGACAATGATAGCCCTCGCTTCTCCAGATGCAGCCCAGCTCCTCCCGAACATCCTCACCAACATCTCTCCAACCTTCTTCTCCAGTCACCATCTCATCAAACACTGACCTTGAGATAATAATAAACCGATGTCCAGCCCAAATTCCATTTATGTTTATGCGATATTTCATTGAAGTGGAGGAATCCTGTGACCAACAAATGCCAGTCATTGCCGCGTCTCCAAGGCCCGATGTTTCCTCATCATAGGATCTTTCGAGCTCTTTTCCCCAGAGATCTTCAGCGACCACATATTCCCGGCTGGTCAGGTTGAGCAAAACATGCTGTTGATTCGATGGGAAGCACTCTTCAAAATGACGGGAGTATTCTTCATGAAAAAGTACCGCCTTCTTTGGAGAGTGAGATTGGAAATTTTCGAAAAATACTGTAGCGAAATCCGTCAAAGATAGCGTGTCTTTGTGTTTGGTATCATAAAGAGTAGTTGAGCATTCTCGGTATTCTGGTGGTCGCTCTGTAGAGTAATCACCAACGCAGATGATCTTTCGCTTGGCCCAAATCCCTAGAAGGTGGTCAAATAACAGCCGTACAAGATCGGGGATATTCTCTTCGCCGATATAGTCTCCTGGGCAAACATCGGCTTTGCGAAGCCATGTTCGGTCGTAAATTTCGTACAAGATCGCTGTAATATCCTCTTCGATTGCTGTAGCACCATCGTCTCTTTCGCCTGGTGTCGTAGCACGAAGTTTGTATAGATACGATATTAATCTCTGCTGTATGTCAATGTCTTCCACGACGAATTGATACTGTCCGAGTATAAGCTCTCTTCTATATCTTAGTTAGCAACAACTCCTCATCCTGCGGCATAGGCGTACTGTTTATAGAGCGGTATCATCAATCGCTGTTGTAAGTGACGACCGGCAATTCCACCAGGTAGTATACAGCCCAGCTTTCCCCAAAGTAAAGAGCTCAACTGTTCCTTTTGCTCTGGACAGGCAACCTGCCAGTATTGTCCCATTGTTGCAACCGAAAGAGCTAGGAATAAAGACTGGCCTCAACCGAAAGATAACGAGGATAAAGGAGAGGTTTCGAATACAGCGGTGTCGGCCACTTTCGATCTTATGGCGAGTATTAAGGAAGTTGAAGAACGATGTAGAAACTCTCGAGGGGGAGCCTTTTATGTGCGACGGTGAATCGATGCCTCAGGCGATATGCTTCAGACACCAAGTCGCCCCATCCACATCCTGACGCGGATCCCAGCCCACCTGCAGCCACGTCTTCACCCACATCACTATCAACAATGCTCAACTGGCAGCTCGTTCACGATGATCACTTTTGGTGTATGTGATACCCTTGCCTATATGTTGTCCTTAAACAAGACTGCCGTTGCTTTGTTAGCCGTACCCCGCCAAACTTGCTCGCGGAGTGTACCTAAAGCGTCAGAGCTCTCATAGCCAATCAAAAGGCACCCCGGGAGAGTAGGCTGTTGGTCACTTCTTCGCCACCGTAGACAGAATCGGCTTCACGAAGTCCTGCGTTGGAGACTGCAACTCCGCTTAACAGGAATAAACGGCCGAAACTGCCGGCGTTGCTTGCACCAGAATACTGACCAAGCATATCAACGATATGACATTGTAGTTGGTGAATAGTTGCGTTACGGCTTGAAGCCTCCCAATCTCAAATCATGCGGCCAGCATGGCAACTATTTCGGGATGTAGCTATTATACCGCACGCACTTAATGAGAAACCCGCGAGGAAACCGCTACCATCCGTTGTCTCTTGTAACGATGATCTTCAGTAACGCGTCGTGACTCATCACGCCGCCTTGTAAAATTCCAACTCTTACAACACTAGCGTCTCATTGTTTCCGGTTTCCTCTCTGCTCCACCTTCTTCGAGCTCTATCGTCGTCAATGTCCAAGATCACACGCCGCTGAAAGAGTTTCGTCGTGAGAGATGATTTCCTCTGCCGGGAATTTACTGTCATGCATTACTCCTCGGCCCATAGTAGGCAGGTGGGAAGCGCGGCACGTCTATGGCCATGTAGGACTGGCGGTCGACCTCCACCGTCGTCGTCACGAGGACACCCTCACCTATCTGTTGGGGCGCGGGATCGCTGCCCTTTTGCACCCGCATACGGCATCGTCTCAGTCTATCGAAAGACCAACTCCAGGTTTGCTTCGGACTCTCTTTGTGGAAAAAGCTTTCCGAGTATGCGGGGCGATGTCGGCACGCGATGTTGACAAGTAGCAAACGTAGAGTCGGTAAACTCGCACATAACATCGCCATGGACTGCTCGATGAATGACCACACCACAATATCGACATGGTCCCACGTCTCATCGAACGTAGTGCCGTACTCCACCAGATATTTGATCCGGATGGCAGATGTCACGCAGGCGCTGCCTGCCACGTCAGCCCTCTTCTCCGCCCTTCTCCCGGAAGGCGGGTATCTGACTCACAAGGAACCGACGCTGAACAGCGCGATAACTGCCAGGCGCCGCGGGAGAGAAACCTTCAGCCGCCAAACGTGGGGGATCGGCAGGAGCAAGATGGCGATGTCTTCCGCCATGGCGAGTCCGCCGCTGCTGTATCCCACTGCCTGCAAGTTAAGACAACGACGGTCGGTGATGGTGCGATCCCAGATCGACTGTACGGGTGTGCATTGCACCGCAAATGGGATGATGAAGAGCGTGCCGTGAAGTAGGAGGATGATCTCGATGCCCTGGGCGATTCTCCGGAAGGTCTGTGACGGGAAGATGCGGCGGAGGAAAAGCACGATCGACAGTTTCACGGCAGCTTGGAGGACAGTGTAGACCAAGTTGCCGACGTAAAGCATCTGACTCGATGTTAGGGCGAGGCATCACAATCAACCGAAAGTGCCGGATTCCCGAACCTTGCGGATAACAATGCCATTCCCCACCGGTATCGTCCAATAGTGCATGCCGAAACCAATGCCTGTGATGTACAGGTAGACTGCGGTCAGAGTGGTGAGAAGGACCTGTCGGGTGACATTAGTAGAGTTCGCCGGGGGAGTTGGGGTCAGTTACCGCCGCGAAGATTGTCATATAGTCGTCTCCCCGCAGGCCACCGGCATACTTCATCCGCGTAAAAAGGCGGAGTGTTACGACGATGAACACGAGACTGCAGCTGATGATGAGCGTACGTCGGACTTCTAGCCTCCGCGATTCCTTAGGATACGCCTCGCATAGGACTCCCTCTACCGTCGCTGCAGCTTCTCTAGGTTAGAATAGCACTGCGAATGGAGACGGCGAAGCCAACTTAGTTGATCGCCAAACGGACAGTGTGTTTGCACACATGCCGATAGTTCCGCTTGGATGGCAATGCTAGAACAGATACAGGTAGTCACGTCTTCCGGATCGCAGGCGGACATGGAGAATGAGCTGCTGATACATTCCGACTTGATGGACGACTTATCAGCATGACGGAGACCTGGAAGATGACGCAAAGACTCACGGCGCATGACGGAGCCTGCGAAAGAACGTCGGCGGCCGACGTTGCCTTCACTATAGCAACAGCAATCTGGAGAGCCAGGAGCACGAGAGCTAGTGACCGACGGAACGTTGTTGAGGACATACTGACAAGAAACCGTGAGGATGCTGCGACAGAGGGGTGCCGACGATGTCACCGAGGCTTCAGTACTGACGGGAGCGGCATACCGTATATCGAAGAGCACGCCTCAACGTACTCCACACCATCATGATGGGTGAATATATGCGGCGCTAGGAGAGACATTTGGCGTTGGCCGTAGAAGACAAAACATGCTTCCTGCATTTATCGCGCAGGGAAGATGGCGAGTGGTCGTGCGTGGGAAGAACAGAGCCGCTTACGGCGCCAGTGGCCGACCTACTGATCAATCCAATGCATAGTCTTGCGTATCCGCCCGTCCGTTACAAACTTTATGACAATGGTCCGTTCTGTAGGTGATGTTTGGCAATTGGCAGTTGTGATTGAGAGGCAAAGCCCAAAAAGCTTCTAGACTGTCTGCGAGCCATCGTCAGCAACAGTTGTGCGCATCACCTTAGTCAATGATCGATAAGCAATCTGTCTTGTTTTTTCGATAGTTTGTCCTAGGGAAGAACTCTTCTACATATCATGGCTGCGCTGGGGACTCTCCGAAGGCTTAGTAGTGCCTTGGCATAAGCTGGCTCGCTCATAACGCGTAAAAATCAAGCGAGGGATCTGCTTCGTTCGGATAGCAATGTTTTGTAGAGGATCAACAACGCAAGCAAGCGGCACACAACAACATCCCCAACGCACTAGGACTGGCTGCTAGACTAGTCTACATCATCCTCGTCTCCGTCCGTGTTAAACTCCGAGCTTTCCTCTGACAAGTCTACGCCTCCAACAAAGCTAGAGTCAGCATCTGACGAGCTGACATACTCTTCATCGGACGGGCCTTCATCCATTCCGCACATCGAATGACCTGCCAACTCTAGCTCTCCATCGCTGAGGGTGTCGAGAAACAACTCGGACGCGTCTGCGGTGTTCAACTGAAAGACAGCTCTCGTCCGGTGCATCGATGACTCGTGGGTGTCTGAAAACGATATCCGTGCGAAGCAGTACATGTAAAGCATCTTCCTCGACACTGAGTCGTCGCAGACGGGAAGATTTGCGGGCAGGAGCCCCGGCTGGATGGCGTCTTCGGGCGCAAGAGTCTTCATTATCCGCGCGGAGAACATCAGAACTTGCTCCAGCACCTTGACAATGACGGGTAGGTTGCCAAAACCAAAGTTTAACGCCTTATCAAACTCGAAAAGGAGGTTAGTCCTGTTGCCGGATGGGCCATCGTCTGGCTGTTCGTGCGCTTTGCGGACTTTCAGGCACGCCAAAAGCGCGGCCACCTTGACGACGAACTCTTTGCCTTGGAGTGGCCCACACAGACAGCTTATGACATAGGCAATAAATCGATCTCCCGAGATACTGTTGATGTCCTCTTTTACTTTGTCAAATGGTGGGTACCACGTGTCGTCGGTCAGTCCGGTATGGGGACAGTTGACGGCCAGGCAGATGGCAAGGCAGCACTGCTCATCTTGCCTAAGTAGATTGGTCCTGATTTCATCAGCAGGCTATCCGCCGTGATAGAACAAGGGCGTACGGCTTACCACATGGAGTCCATGATCTATATGAGCAACGTCTATGGCTGCTCGATAGTTTCCGTTCACGTCATATCGCCGACGAGCTTTATACTGTTTCCCATACAGGCAAAATCAAATTTTGCTTTTTGCACATGTAGACTCATGTGGACGTCCGACCTCACCTATCAGTTGAAGTCCAATAGTAAGTATCTATTAGAAATTGACTCTTCTGCCAGCTGGTTCTGCAAAAGCCATAATCGGCTAAGGAATTCACTTCGATAGCTGTTTCTGCAACGGTCTCGACTGATTGGAAATAATTGTGAAGTGGGACGTAGATGCACAACTACTGTATTCATGACGCATTATTATACTCTCCGAGACTGAATCGCCTCTTGGACCATGAACGTCCACGTAGGAAGAACCGGAATGATAGAGACCGGCTTCGCAAGAAGCATCTCTGGTCATCTTTCTGGCTCCTGTTGTGTTTGAATTCTCTAACTACCTGTCACTTACTGTATTTATTCTACTGTAAAAATACTTATAAAGATCGTACACACCAGATTTGGCATCTTGGTTGCAGTTAAACCCATCCGCATAGCACAGCGGCATGGCAACGAGACGTTTGAAACGCCCTCGCCAATCAACCAGTTGGCCGACTCAACCGACTGACATAGACAACGAAGTCGTGGCTTTAGGCGGAACAACCCACGCAATCGACCTCACAGAGGCCACTATACAATCTCAAAAAGCACCCGTCAGTAGGGAAAAACGTCTGGAGGAACTCGTGAGAGACTCCGGCCGTCTCAGACAAGAACTTGATTACTGGAAAGGCGTCGCCCTGAAGGGGTCCACCTTCATAGCCAACGTCGACGAAGCTGTGGCGGAGCTTGCGGACATTGTCAGCAGATTTAGGAGTGTCATCGACGGGACAAATTCTGTATTGGAAGAGAACAGTATGGCTCGTGGTAGTCCGTCACAATCCGACCTGTACGGCGATATAGAGAGACAGACTGGTTGTAGACAAGACTTGCCGTTGACAAAAGGCGACCTCGACGTACTCCTGACTCCTGTCAGACGAGGTCGAGGGGGGTATGACTTTGAGGTCGTTGATCCGAAAAGGAGTCCGAAGCGAGCCCCAAACAATCCTGGAGGCTGGTTCTAGAAGTGAAGCGTAAGGTATCACGGGGATCCTCTTTTACCCGCTGCGTTATCTAGTGTTGGGAATGATTCTGTGCTTCTCCCGCTCCGGGCGAAATACTTGTTGTGCCAGAAAAAGGCTTCGGCCGATCTGAAAGTACAGTTCACTAGTTATGAGCAGAAGCAGGGGCAAGCAATGATCATGAAGACACCTAGTGTCTATGGACGGAGCTCCGAATGGTGAGATCTCGTCACCGATTCCGAACGTGGCTGAAGTGTTCATGCTGGGCAGCAGCTGAAATCAGCGCTCCGATTCCTCAGTCACTTCGAAGTAAGGCTAGAAACAGGCGTGAAGAATCTATGCAGTATATAAGAAAGGCTAGGAGCCAACAGTTTAGCACTTGCTTTCGCCGCCCTGACTGACTGCATCCGTCGCTTCTCCGTAGATGACTATGTCTGGAAAGGAAGTTCTCGATTACGTTATGAACATGTTTTTTGACGACAACTGATGGCACGAAGCCGCCGTCAAATTTGGAGCCAATCCCATTTTCTCCGGCTCCGCCCTCACGCGACTTGCCAATGGTGAAGACTGTTGAGAGCTTCACCTTGAAGCTGCTTCGATGCACTGGACCGGGGATCTCCAGCACAACATCGCGTTGGCCGAATCGCTGGAACATCCCAAGTTCGAGGGCGAAGTCCTTTCGCAGATTCAGGGAGCGGATTCACGGTTCACTTGAGTATCCAAGAAAACGACGACAAAAGCGATGAATATACAAGGGCTCGATGTTTCTGTAGTCTGTTCAACCAGGAAGGCCATGAACTGACTACTTGCGTACTCTATTACAACAAGGACCGGGGGCATCTGGAGGAGTTTCGCATTCCAGGCCGCCAACTGCCGCGTAGAAGACTTTATTGGATTCCTCTGCAGTACTCTTTGTCTGCATATGACTCAAAGCCGCTCAAATGAGCGGTGACGTGAGATACGAGCATAGAGTTCGAACCTCAGTGTTGAGATGCACCTTCGCGGGACTGGTTTCCATAAGTCTCCGCTAATCGGCGACCGACTACGTATGTCATGTTACATTAGCAGTACAATGGTTACTTGAGGGCATCGCACGTGAATGGATGGTGTAGTCTGATGAAGTACGCCTTCTTGTACGAAAGTCTAACGTAACCACGTCGCGAAGAATGAATCTCTGTAGAGTATCCACCAATGACCATGATGAACCTTGAGTCTTACAGTAGCAAGAAATGATCAAGTGCTCGCGGTAGCATGAGTTCGTATATTAGAATATATAGCAGACGTGGTTTTCTATCCTTGACTCTTCAGACTTTTTCTCGTTGCAGTCGTTCGTTGGTAGATGGTGTCTACATGAGTGCGCCTTCCTCCAAGCTGCGAACGTGTGTTCTTTGGAGCCATAAACAGCTCTAAATCCCCTGCGAACGCAACTAGAACCCAAGAGGACCCAGGGCATGTTTGTGTGGTAACAAGACACAGGGATTGGGTAATAATGGTCTATTGTTTGGCAATATATTTTGCATCGAGTAGCAAATGGACAAATAATACAGGTATGCCAGAGCTAATTACCGCTTCTGGGAAGCGTGTTGTCAGCAATACAATGGACGAATCAATGCATGTCTCTGGTCGTGAAGAGAAGCCAGTAACGGCTGTGACGAAAGGCTTGTCGGCTCGGGTCACCAGAAGCCGTTTCGCATCAGGCCGAGTTGTCCCGCACAAGAGTTGTCCTGTGCAATCGGCCTGCAGATCCATAAGTGGCTGTGATGTAGCAATGACTACGGACATCAAGCCCCACAGCCGAATTCGAACGCGACTGCACCTCGGGCGATGATTGGCGTGGGACAGAGGCTTGCAAAACCGGTGTCCGTTTTCGCAAGTATAAACTTTCCGTTAAGCACGGACCATTGGATCCTGAAAACGCTTAAGGTACATGACCAGGGAGCTAGGGTACCTTGACAAAGGCCACACTACATATCGGAGCCCGAAATGGATTACAAACAAACCAGTTGCCTTATTGGCTGACATGATATCATTTCTAGGCACCATGTTATAGAGATATCGTTTTAACCGAGCTGCCGTTCCACCCACGTAATAAGGCATCATTTCTTCTACCGTATGCCTTACCCTGAGTACCAGTGTGTCCTTGATGGCGCCGCTGCTCTTCAAGCTGATGGCTAGTCCAAGGATTATGGATGGACCTATACTGTGTATTTCCATATTGAAGTGTGAAGGTCACATTGCGTTCAGCCAACACTTGTTGCGTTGCTGGGCACTTCGTCCCTCACTACCTGACAGTACTAGCCGCTCGGCCAGTATCGACCGAATTTAAGGAAAACCCAATTTTTAGCCCTGTGCCAGGAAGAAACAAGTGATTTTGTGTGCGTAACTGCATCCCGAGTATTCCCCATTATACGTTCAGTTTTTCAAATCGTTACTGTACATCAGATCTGTTTTGTTTGTATGGACACGTTAACGTCTAACTCATGGCATCGTTTACTTGCCCGTCTGCTCGATATGCCCCTGCGAGTTCCTGTTGTGACGCAAGTCGGTTAGGATGTCCTTCGTCAAGCATTTTCTTGCGAACCTCGACAACGTGCTCGAATAGCTTGATAGCATCTATTACTCGCCCGTCTGCTTGATATACCATTGCGAGTCTGTGTTGTGTCGTAAGTTGGTCAGGATCCTAAGCTATAAGACAGACTACGCTCAGCGTTCGTGGAAACTGGCTCTGGGAAGATTGTGCGACATGCCCCAGACGAGCATTACTTTGCGTTCCTTACCTTCTCATTAGGATTACTTATCATAAATGAAGCGACGGCTCAGCATGTCGCTGAGTCGACTCGGCCACTCTTCTACAAATTCAACCCCCATGCATCGACTCTGCGAGCGAACGCCTAGTAGACGTTGCTTTGTGGTCTACGATCGCATTCGCGTCAATGGCAGAAGGCTTAACCAGCTAGATGGTGCGTTTTCGAAGTCAGGGTTTTCAGAGTGAATACGGCCGAGATTCATCCTAAACGAAACTTCTCATGTCCTCCATTCTTCCTCTATTTCATCCCTTTCTATCATCAACGATGGAGCCGACTCTCGCGCAATCCCAGCATCGACTTGGTTCGTGACATGCTGACAAGCGGAGGCCTCACTAACGCTGAAATTGCGACAGTCGCAAGATGTAGTATCCGTGCCGTACGACGCATCCGTCAAAGGGTAGAATGCTTCGAAGCCATTGATAGAGAAACCGAACATGTATCTGCAAGAGATGGCATTATATCTGTTCAACGAGTTTAACACCTACGCGACTACCTCTAACATTAACAGGACTCTAAGGAGGGCTGGGTGGACGATGGAAATGGCGCGACGCATTGCCCAAGGACGGAATGCTGACCTGCGTGATTACTACCTGCATAAGCTGTCGCCTTTTCAGTCGTACTCTGCTACGACAAGGGTGTAGCCGGACCCCTTGGCCAGCAGATCTATCAAAGGACCAAATACAATGTGACGAACATACAGGACTGGCGTAGCCCGCTTCAGCCATCGGTATCCAATCGGATGAACCGCAAGGCTGCTCGAGCATTCTCCATGTGATGAAATATAAGAATCGGCCATGCTTCACTGTGAGAGGCTCCTTATCAGAAAAGGCGCCCTGTCGTTCGCTGACCAACGAGATTACCGCGACGAATGAGTGTATCTTTCTTCCAACGGGACAGAAGACGGAGTCGAAGGGTCGTTTCTTGCGGCCGCTGATCTGCTTGGCATGGCGCTATTGGAAAAGCACCTGTTGTATCAAGCCTGGCTGTTGGAAGGGTCACAGGCGGCACAGGAAAAGTACAGTAGCGCCTCCCCTTTGCCCATCGGTGCCCCAGGCCGACACTTTGGTTGTCCCTTTTAGTGCATGGCATGTTTATGCCAGAAGAACCATTCAAGTATGTGATACGCTCAGGTACGGCGCAACCAAGACTCCACTGCAAAATGGTTATTTGCACCTAGCCTGGTGATTATTTGATTGGCTTGTTGGTGCTGTAAAACCTCGACTAGCAGTTACATCGATATGGATGCCAGGCGCCATGGCGACAAGAGACGACCATATAGTTGTGTGCCAAAGTGGAACGTGGACTTGGCAAAAGATCACATTTCACATCCATGCACAGACCTCCCTTCACAATGCTAGCCACATAACCTAGAATGTGACAAGCCATTAACACGGAGGACCGGAAACCGTTAAAATCCATGAGTGAGTTGGCCACCTCTGGACTAATTAAGCCGGCTGCGTCCTGCCCTGGTTCATGCACTTATGTCACAACCAAGAGTCCGTTACGACATCAAATGCAATGTGACAAACATATAGGACTTGGCATCAGTCATTGGTATCCAATCGGATAATCCGCAAAGCTGCATGAGCGCTCTCCTTGTGAGAAAGTAGTCTTGCTTCACCTTGGTAGGCTCTTTCTCAGAAAAAAAATGCCCTGCCATTCGCTGACCGGTTAGACTGTTGGTGCCTATTGGGGACTATTCGGATAGCCATGCTTGAGCCGATAGTCGAAGCCATCTTGCGCCCACCAAAGCAAATGGTGGCGGCAATCTGGATGTGGTTGTGGCGGTGGCGGCGGTGGTCGTGCCGGGTGGCCGTCCGTCCGTATAATGATTACAGTCCGAATAACCGCACTCATGAAGGGCCCCAGTATCGGCCGCCCGCACCCTCCCGCCCGCATGAAGCTTTCTACCGCCTGTCAGTCCATCTGCCTTACGTCACTAGCGAACGGGTCGTGGGGCCCTCCCCATCGATGAAGACGACCGACTCGACCACACAGCCCCAGTTGTTACGACGATCCAACAGCTTCCCGACTGCCCGCTCGATCATGCCTCCAGTGCCTCTGACCCCTTGTCCATGATCACCCTGGTACACCAGACACCTGCTCTCATTTCGCCTTCGACCGGCAGAACACCACCTCATTGCTGGCTTGAGGCTACTGGACTCCCTCCATCGTACCATTTCCCCTTACGGTCGGAAAATTTCGGCCGGAGATGAAGTCCGTCAACGCAGGAAAAAAGGTCTATCAAAGGGCTAAACGCAATATGACCAGCATACAGGACAAGGCGAACCCCGCCTTAGCCGTCAGGAGCCAATCGGATGATCCGCAGGCTACTTAAGCGCTCTCCGTGTGATAAAATTTTCGAGATGCTTGCCAGAAATATTGCGACCCTTGATCCTTGATCGGTTTGGGGTGGGGCGCGCTGTTGGAAAGCATCTGTTGGATCAACATCGGCTGTTGGAAGGGCCATAAGCGGCAGGAAATGAACAGTTGCACCCCACCGCGTCCAAGACCAACACTCTGCTTGGCTATCTTCGACTTCTAATGACGTGCTTGGTACGCCTGCAAGCGAGGCTGAGTTGAAGACGCATTTTAGCCTGCCTCGACAGGCCCTTGTCTAATGCGTGACGATCGCGGGTTGGTTCTTCAAGAGCGTTGCCAACACTGCAGGACTAGCTGTAGTGTATGATTGCCCGGATTTGGAGCTTTGCACCCACTTGTCAACCCTTCCCTGACAATAACATGCTTGGTATCGGCGCTTTGGGGTACAACATGCATGGCAATGGATCGGTTGTGATTTTTGGGAACTGCCTACTCTGTTCGTGCTTTCAGACGAGCTATTATCGAGAAGCATATAAAAACACCGTCAAATCCTCTCCCCGAAAGTTCTTTCATCCAACAATCACCTTACCGAATTATCAGCGCGTTCACCATGTCAGACAACAAAAAAGGGGGCAAGATTCTCGATCCTAAGGATGCGGACCTCCTAATCGACCGCGGATCTGACTCTCAGAGGAGGCGAGAGGAGGCTTCAAAAAAACGTTCAAAGGCCGAAGAGGCGGAGAAGATGACTCAAGATGCCGGAACCGAATCTCAACGACGTCGAAACAAAGGAATCTAGGCGCAGTTTATTTATATAAAGTAAGTGGGATTTAAATATCTGATTCACCACACTAACAAAGACAGAAGCGCTTAGCACAGGGATATGATGCGTTTATTTCGCAGCAATAGGGGAGGAGTCACAATCAAATATGAGACCAGGACTGTTCTGTCAAGGAGATCTGTTGCCTGGGAAAAGGCCTGTTATGAAGGGATTGGATGGCTAGGAGCCAAAACCCCCGGACAAGGGGGCTGTCGCGGTCATTACAGAAAATACATCAGAACGCACATAGCTAGCTACTGCAGCAATACACAGTCCTTACCATACAATTACTTCCATTCTTATTATCTCTATATAAATCACTTACTCAGCGAATATTGAATCTTTTTTAACTATATTGGTAGATTAAGTCTAAAAACCACTTGACCTATCGATTTGTGTACATTCCACTATGGTCGGAGGTTGTTGGAGGTGGGTGTGGATTCCCTCTCCTCCCAGACCAGCGATCCCGATGCTTTGTCACTATCCCATTGCTAAACTTGACTATTCAATCCCTCATATATGAATACAGGTCTAGAGATTCTATGTTAGTATAAAATAGGCCCAATTGATTGATGGTGGCGATCAACCTGTTGTAAGGATAGTAAGCAAATGGTGGCTGTTAGATCGACGACCTGGCGGTACGCCAACCTCCCCACTTAAGAGGCGGTGTGGGGCCCAATCCGCATCCCTACCCTCACTAGCTTGGATAAATAATTCGCGTTTTTCAACATTTATCCTACCGCCATCCTTCATCCTCAATAATCCAAGAAACCATTCAGCACAGTTCAACTTTCTATCCTATACTCTCAGTATGGCACCCTTTGACTTTATCGCACAGAAAAACATTCGCGATGCTCAATACGCCTTTGCTTGCAGTCTCATTGCCGCCAAAGAAGACATTGTTGCTTTCGTCCACAAACGACTTAATTGGAATGGGACGGGTTCCTATAACGGTTTCTTGAAAGGCTCTTTCAATATAAGCTTCAAAGTACAACGTGCCGACAGCGACGAGCTGGTCATCATTCGTTTCCCCATTCCTGGAAGAATACACGAGCCATGGCGAGACGAAAAAGTTGAGAACGAAGTGATGGTTATGAAATATCTTCACGACCTAACCAGCATTCCGGTTCCTCTTGTGCGCGATTGGGGCCTCACTGAGGACAGTCCGCAGCACTTGGGTCCATTTATTATTATGGATTTTGTAGAAGGGCAGGAGTTGAGTGGCCTCCTACAACAACCAACTGAGAACAAGGAAGACGCAGTAGTTCTAGACCCAGATATCGACAACGCAAAGCTCGACTTCGTCTATGAGCAGATAGCAGGCTTTATACTGGAACTGTCGCATCACCGTTTCCCACGCATTGGAGCCATATCCCGGGACGCGACGTCTGGTCAGTGGGAGGTTACTAGACGACCCTTGACGTACGACATGAACGAGGTTGTTACTCTTGGTGGCTACCCAACCGACAGCCTCGACTCAGCGGCGCCATTCGATTGTGCTAGCCATTTCTTTGCTGCACGTGGCAAATCTTTTCAAGTACACCTCGAGGCCCAGCGCAACATCGCTGCTGATGACGAAGAGCTTGCTTGGAACGAGTTCGTAGCACGACATTGTTTCGCACATATAATCCCTACACATGGCACTGTCAACGAAAATGGGCCATTTAGGCTTTTTTGTGACGACTTGAGGCCTACAAACATGCTTGTCGATCCGGAAACGCTTAAGATAAGCGCAATACTCGACTTTGAGTTTACCAACGCCATGCCAGCACAGTTTGCTGATGATGTGCCCTGGTGGCTGTTGCTCGAACAACCGGCCGTATGGATTGGTGACGGCAAATTCCAGGAGTTCTTGACTCTTTTTCAGCCGCGGAAAGACCAGTTCATTCGGGCTATGGAGAGGGCCGAGGCCAAATCACGGCTGGCCACGGATGAGACAAGTCTCTCGGCTCGCATGCGAGACTCCTGGGACAGCGGGCGCTTTTGGTTCAACCTTGCATCGCGTAGTAGCTTCGATATCAGCGAAATTTACTGGGAGGTGTTACATAAAGATGGTTTAGGCGAGGCCCTTTTAGACAGTGCGATTCTGAAGGGGAAAGAGGCGTTCTTGCAACGGAAGAAAGCCCAGTTTGACGCCTATAGAAGGGAAAAGGAAAGTGACCAGCGCTTTACTGATTAACGGTTGGCCATTGCAGGAGTCATCTCAGTCTGGAATAGCCAAATTATGCTTTGCTGTTTTCACCTTTCTCTTGTTACCTAGGCTCTGTTTTGCAAAGTATGTGAAGCAAGGAATGAATTACCGCGACTGGGTTGTAAAACCCTGTAATCGTTAATAGACAATCTCTTCTTCATAACTCAAACCGGCAAAATAGTTACAACAGGCGAAGCTTCCAGACACCCTCACCACGTGCAAAAGGAATACATATTAATAGGGTTTGAAAACCTGTCTTCGTACGAAACGATCGCCCCGGAACATCCACTGTTCACCCAATCCTTCAGTAGTTCAATTGCCCCAATAGTCTTCATACTAGAGCAAGCAGTCTGATAAGAGGATAATGCCCGCGATGGCCAATCCACCATTGCTCTGGTGTTTCTCTCTCAACTACGGTTTCTCATCGACCGAGGCCAGAAATGCGGTGTGTAATGGAGTCATACGCCTCAATGTATCGTTGTTGTCAGGTTCTGCCTCCTTATGCCCGATCTAGGCGCCGTCGCTGTTCATGGACGCTTTGCCGAGATGCTGATCGAGAGTGTAAAATATGTCAATCCGTTGGAAAACGTTCCGCAGCATGTTCCACCCCTTCCTGTGGAGCTTTCACGAGGTCTCGTCTAGACGATCCGTCCACAGCTCGGTATCGCATCGTGTTTGCCAAAAGTTATAAAAAATGTGGCTTGCTCTGCTTCGAGATGGATGCTGCTGGTCTGGTTAATCATTTCCCATGCCTGGTGATCATTTTGGAGTCCAGTTCGCTCCAACAGCATCTCGCCATTTCCTGTGGCCAATGGCGCGCATTGATTAAGCGTTCGAATCATGATGATGATGATGATGATATATTTAACGTCCAGAGTAAAAAGGGACGTGCCGGGCGATGCCGACATGGTCTATGCTAATCTATACTATTTTACAGGCTGCCGTCTTCACCTAACGTTCCTGTTCAATGAGTCGGGCAGATTTCAGAAAAGAAATTGGTTGCCTCCATCCATTCGCACAGAAGAGAGGCTCCCTGCGTAGAACCTAGCAGAAAATCTATGCTTGCTTTCGCCATATGTCGGCGAAGATGGGCTGGGGTGGCTTTCCGGCCACGCTTGCAGAAGTAGAAATGCACTGGGGTTTTGCGTCTACCACAACTGCAGTCGAGCAGTGCGTCCTTATGGGCAAACCTCTCGTGGTATGCTGCGAAGTCTCCGTGATGCGATCTTGATGCATACAGCCTTCCCAGCAGGTGTCGAGGAAGGCGAAGCTCGGGGGGCTTGGGATGGGGGACTATCCCAAGGTCGGCATACTGCCGAGGGCAGAGTGATGGCCATCTTCTGTCGAAAGTTTGGAAAGCGACCGCTTTAGACTGCCGTTTCAAGTGCGCCAATGTAGGCCGTGGATGTGATTCTGGGGTTTGTTTGCAGGCCTCCTTGGCCAGAGAGTCCGCTTCCTCGTTTCCTGGTATTCCCGCGTGTCCAGGGCACCACCATATGTATACCCTGCCGGGCATCGTCCAGCTTGTCCGTTCTCTCTGTTTCCAAGAGCAGGAGAGCCCACTAAAGGCCCTAAATCTAGTCTGGCTGCTTCCTGCGCTCCGAGCAACGAGCCTAGCCGCGACTGCGAGGTTGTCGAGGCAGATATGAACATTGTCTGCCATCCGTGCCGTGGGAGACCTTACGGCTTCCAGCAGGCCCTGAAGAGCGGCTTGCGCCTCTGCGTCAAAGACCTCCGTTTGGTGGCCGAGCGGTTCGGATCCCCGGAAGATCTGTCGTGTGGCCTGGTATCCTACCCAGCCAGCCCCGGCGGAGGTTCTGCTTCCGTCTGTCGTTTGGGAACCGTCGGTATAGACAACAATATCCCGCTTTGAGAACTTTCCCAGTCTGTCTGTAAATTCGAGGGCTAGTTCTTCCTTGGCCTTCCCAGGGTCGTATCCGACTCTCCGGAGGACTTTGTGCCAGTCCGCTAAGCACTCCCAAGGTGGTAGTTCCAGCGGGTCTATGTATTCAGCATTGCCATCTGCAAGCCATGCCATTCGTCGTAGCCTAGAGTCTGGTCCTGGCCTGTCTCCGAGCCTCTTCCGGAGGGGATGTCGTTCGTCAAGGCGATGGACCCTTACAGAGGCTTTGTAGAGCTTCGCGTCTAATATCACCTCTGCCGGCGGCAGGGCAGCTTCGCGCTGTAGGATCGGTACAGGCGTCGTTCTATACACTGGGAGTACAGATCTGATGGCCTTGGCTTGCATAGTGTCAAGTTGGTGAAGCAGACCGTTGACCCCGTTCGACACAGTGTGTCCATTCTTGACCCGGTTCCTGCCGGGCCACCATGCCTCCGATGCGTAATACTGAATAGGTGATACGCAAGAGGTAATAGCACGACAAAGGAGGTGCGCCGGCGCGCCCCAGACGGTGTTCCCTAGTCCTCGCAGTCCGTTGACTACCCGGCATGCTTTGGCGCAGAGGTCTCTCACATGGTTCTTGAATGAGAGCCTTCGGTCGAAGTGGACGCCAAGCCATCGCAGAGAGGAACCTTGGTCAACAGCATGAACTGTATGCTGCCGCCCGTCCAACATTGTGATAGATATTGGCGGGTTTCCATCTTTGCGTCTCTTGGTGAAATGGATGAGTTCCAACTTGTCGAGATCGAACGTGATACCCTCCGACGCGCCCCATCCCAGGGCTTCTTGCCATTCTTTAGCTAGTAGGGCACAGTTGTCTTCTAGAGAGGTTGAGGATGCCAGGATGGCGATGTCGTCGGCATAGCCAAACCGAGACCGCTTCCTTCCGGGACGCGCAGTGCCCAGCTTGAATAGAGGTTCGATGTAGAGCATGAAGAGGATGGGAGACACGGGTGAGCCCTGTGGTAACCCACACTCGAGGTCGAAGACGTCTCCCATCTCCCCGTCCAACCTAATTCTTGCTCTTCTCCCGATGACAAAGCTCGAAACCCATTTGACGAGGTTCTCCGGCCATCCTTGTTGGCGGAGGCGATGGACCAGCCTCCCTGGCAGCACGGCGTCGAAAGCCCCTTTCACGTCAAGTGTGAGCATGGAGGTGACAAGACCCCTCTGCCAGGCGCACTCGATATCGTGGATGGCAGCACCAGTGAGATCGCTACACGAGCGAAGAGGGAGGGCGCCGAACTGTTGGTCGTGCAGTATCCGGTGCTTGACTGTGATCCAGGCAAGCCTCCTTGCTACAAGTCTCTCCAAGCCTTTTCCAAGTACGGACAAGAGCGCAATTGGTCTATAAGAGCGCGGGAGCGCCCTGTCTCTCTTGCCCGGCTTAGGCAAGATGACTAGGATTGCTTCTTTGAAACAGGTGGGATGCCAGCCCTCGCGTATGCATCCGCTGTAGAGCGAGAAGACAATGTCCTCAATGACCGGCCATGCGGTCTTGAGAACGGCCGTCGTGATTCCATCGGACCCAGGGGTAGTGCTTCCCGCAGAGAGGACTGAAGTACGTATCTCGTCCTTTGTGATCTGTGGGAAAGGAAGTTTGGCCTGCGGGTGGGGTACTAGGGTCTCTGCTGGTATGTCCGCAGAGATGGCAGCATTTCTGAGAAGAACGCGGGCAAACAAGTCGCGCTTCTCTTTCGGTTGTGAGACGAGAGTGGATGGGTTGTCCTCATCTCGGAGTGGTGGGGTCTGGAAGGATCCTGTGGCTTTGTGCCACCCGACCATTTCAAATACGTCTTTGCCTGTGGAGGCTGCGGCGATCTTTTCTCTCCAGTAGGTGTCCTTGGAACGGCGAAGCTCACGGAGAAAGTCCTGTTTAAGGATGTCCTCCTCCTCTCGCTCCCATTGACAGTCTATTCCCAAAGCGCGGAGTCTCGCGACGGTTCCTCTTTTAGTCGTATAGGCGTGGTGTTTGCGCGTACAGGTTTCGTTCCAGTATGGCCTCCCTGGTCCTCTGCCAAGCGTGCGCCTTGTAGAAGCCGTAAGCGCTTCTCCAAGACAATCTGTGAGCTGCTGCGCTAGGAGGTCCAACGCCTGTGGATCTCTTGCGTTGCTTGCAGTATGGCGCAGAGGTTGCATGTTTCGCCTAAGAACGTCGAGGAAGAGCTTCTCATCCATCGTGTCGAGCCGGAACTTTCCCGCAGTTGGGCTGGGTATATCGGTTAGGGCCAAGGGGACCCGGGTAAGCAGAGATTCGTGATCAGACGTTGTGTGTAGGGACGTTTCTATGCTGGTGGATGCCCCATAGAGGTTGCTGGACGCCCAGCATAGGTCTAACGTGTTGCCGTCTTCGTGTGTAGCTTCACCTGTCGGCGACAGCAGGACAAGGCTGGCGGCTTCAGCCCATTCTACCAGGTTGTCAGCGTCAGGGGAGCCTGTGGCATCGGGCTGCCAGGTCCAATGGTGTAGGTTGAAATCCCCCGCGATCAGTACTCGATCCTCGGGTTTCGGTTGCCAGGCCGCTATGATATCCCTAACCGCTTGACCGGGTCGCAGCGAGCCGCAAGGGGGGTTGTAAACGTTGATGACTGTGAGGACTTTCCGCATTCCCACCAGGAGTTGTAGGAAGAGCAGATCTGTGGATGGGCTGGGCAGTGGGCGTGTTTGTACGCCCCGTAGTCCCGTTCCTCTGCGGAGGTAAGTGAGCACCCTAGGTCTGTCTTCAACCCAATTGTCCACTGGGGTGAAAATCTCAAAACCCGGGTGGCATCTTGTGAGCCTTCTCTCTTCCGAGCGGATAGCGGGCTCTTGTAGTAGCAGTATGTCGACATGGGCCGCGTAGGCTAGATTCAGTGCCGTTTCGTGTGCAGATGGTCGTCTGGCCACGTTTGCTTGCATGATTTGCAGCATCCTAGAGGACTGTCTGCTCCTGCTGTGTCTCATTTGTCGGGGCGCAGTCCATCACTTGTCCTTCTTCATGGGAATGTCGATGCGATTGCTGGGTCGCAATTCTCCACGATCTCTCTCCCTCAGCTCGGATGGCCCGTAGCTGTGCCTTGTTCCTCCTCTGGACTACGCCCTTCACCACTTTGGGTTTGATAGGGCAAGTCGCATAAAAGGCGGAGTGGGGGCCGTTACACGATGGGCATTTAAAGGGGCAGTCACAGCCATCGTGACCCTCGGTGCCGCCGCAGGGTGCCCGGTGTAAGTCAGTCGTGTGGGAGGGAGAGCTGCACTTGAGGCATCTCTTCCTTCTGGTGCACGTTCGTTCGCTGTGAAAGCCGCCGCAGCGGTAGCATTGGGGGGACCTCTTCTCCCTCGGAAACTGCAGGTTCACAAAAACGCTGGCCCCCATCAGACGGAGGCGTCTTGGTAGTTGCCTTACGGCGTCCGCCCTAAACCAGGCTGTCACCGTACCCAGCTTTTCGACTTCGTCTTTTCTGGAAAAGTATGCTTTTTCAGGCTTGAGTTTTGTCACAATCTGTATCTCTTCAAGGAGCTCCTCGGTCGTGATCTCCAGCTCGGTGTTAGTTATCAAACAATGCCTAGTACAAGGGACATTTGCGATATAGGCTCGGATCCAGGTATCGCGCTGCTCGACCGCCTGCGCCTGGAGAAGGGCAGCAATCTGTTCTCTGTTCTCCAGCAGGGCTTTTGCGCCATCCGCTGATGAAGGTAGGAGTGCTAATCCTGTCTTTACATGGTCGATCCCCTTGAGGGCTTCTCGAGCTTGGGGACTCAGCTTTTCTCGAACGAAGGCGTATATGTCGTAGGCCCTCTCGTTACGAAGCGGGTTGTCAGGTGGCAGACGCGCGAAGACGCGCAGGTCTTTCGAGGCCGCCTGGTTTCGGGCTTGTTTTGCAGCTTGTTTTGTTAGCTTCGGTTTGTCCTGTTTTCTGTTTAGTGGCTGGCTCGCCACCGCCGCGTAGGAACGAACTGGGGTCGGCTGGTTCTGGGCTGTGTGTAAGGGATGCCCTTGGAGACTCAGGGCGGACTCGCTGGGTCCTGTGCTAACAGCATGCATAGACCTTGCTAGACCCCGTTGGTGCCGGTCTGACTGCTGCTTCTCCTCCTGAAGCTCTCTTTCCAAGGATTCGATCTTCTTCAAGCAGTCTTTTAGGAATTGTTCCCTCTCAGCGTCCCGTCGTAGGAGGTCCTGGACAAGATTTGAGAGCTTGTTGATCTCATCTTTAAGCTCAGCATTGTCCTGGTAGCTGACTTGCTCAACCACTCTGACCTTTGCGGTCGGTTTTCGGACTCGTCCCGACCGTCGAGAAGTACTGGCGTCCCCGTGGACTGTGATAGTTGGCCCGACATCTAGGGAGACGGCCATGATGGTGGGATTCAGCTCGCGTGGGCTGATGATGAGAAATGATAGTGTGGTGGGCCGCAGCCCTCTATGGTCTTAACAGCTGCTAACAGTGGGTACTCTGATTTCAAAGACTTCAGTGTTGGTTGAAAAGCGTTCGAATCAAGTCTGCCGAATGGCAGCGAGATAAGTCGAGATAAGTCTGAGATCACGTGCTCGCCAATATGGCTACTTTGGGCAAATGATCAGCTGAGACCACGTGTCGTCCGCTGCTGCCTTGTGTGTCAAATTCCATATGATCGTCCTCCACCTCAGTGACTGGTGCAAGACTTTGCCACCCTTCGTCCGTACTGTACGCGACGATGGCCCTCACTGGTTCCCCGTCCTACTTTGACTGGGATACCTGGTCCGAAGTCGAGTCGATCAATGGAGGCAGCCCGGCCGCATCGTCCAGGGCAGCAACACAGCAGCCTACTTCTGACGGCAGACTCCCTCTGCTTCGGCTGATCGAATGGGATGAACTCCGCAATTACGATGAGCAGCCGCCGACCTGTATCCATTACTCCCTTGAGTGGAAATTGACAGCGAACAACAGAACAGTGTCCAAAGACAGCGAGCCGAATCTTGTCCTTGCCCCGAGTGATTTCTGGGAACTGACTTTGCGGAGCAAGCTCAATAGCCTCGTGACCAAAAAGTTAGCGACCAACAAAACCTTCAAGCCCGATGATACCACTGTGACAGTGTCTGTGCGGAACCGCGCCGAAGAAGACTTAGTTAAGCGATTCGACGATCTGGATATACAATGGGAAGTCGTCGAGATGCAGCTGTGCACCTGGAGTCACTTGTTCCGCGCTAGCAAGAGGCTTAAGATCAGCATCTCTTTCAATTACGTGGAGGCTAGACCGGTGGCTGGCACTGCTGGTCGACGAGGAACAAAGCGCTCAGCAACACAACGGATGTTGGCTGAACGCGATGCCGAGCTTGAAGGGGAGCGCAATGGGTCAGGGCAGGCGCCGGTTTGGGAACGAGTGTATAGCCTCATGAGATGTCCTGGTCCGCCCTGTAATCTCGGACCGCACTGCTGGGTTGATGACAACGGTAGGAAGCACTACAAGCTAGTGACTCGTCATCTGACCAAAATGGTTGCCTACGTTGAGGATGGCGGAAGGCCTGAGAGCCACAGCGATGTCCCCAGTAGCACCCGTGAACTGCTGTATGCGGAGGATCAGCAGCGTTTAGACCGTCAGGGGCGGTCTAAGACGCATGCGAATTATCCACCCATCAACATTACCAATGTCTTACCCGGATCCGATGTACCGTTGCCTGGACATCGGCCCAGGCCAACGCCTGCAACCACATCTCCTCACGCTCCAACCCGACTGAAGATCTCAGGGCCAAGAGACTCCGCATTGAGGAGTTATTACGAGTGGCAGTGCTCACAAGTACTGGATGACACGTTCAAAGCAGGATACCGGAAGGCTTATGAGGTTATGGTTGACCATTGTCTTGACCTCGAACAAGTGGACGAGGACCAAGATGCTCAATTCTTCATGGACAACGGTGTTAAGAAGGGCGCTGCAGCACGATTTATCAGGGACATCCGCGCGTGGGCCCAGTGTCGGGAACAGGAACGGCAATAGGCTACGTGGTTTCGTATATCGTACAACTGTAATAATGATCTCCTTGTTGGAACAACCCGTCGATAACTTCATGGGAAAGGGACCGGGAATCCTAGACGGACACCGGTTATTCCCAGCCAATCAGCACGCAGAAATATCGCCGTGGTTTCGCGGTGAAATCCCCGGCCGTTCGCGTAGGATTCACTTACACTTAGAACAGACAAGCAACTAGATTATCACGAGAATAGACTACTGCTTCAGTCAACTACCCGATCGGGTTACCTGTGTAACCAACACTCCTACTGAGCATTGACCTCCTCCCTATTGATGCTCCTCTATCTCCACACCCGCATGCCGAAAGTGACCCTCCGCGCTTGAAGTCCTAGAACCGACTGATTGCACACACCACTCGAGAAACCACCCAAAATCGGGACAGTCCTCGTACTCTGCCCAGTGTCGCTTGATAAAACTCTTCAGCTCTGCGAAGTATTCTTCAATAGGATTCAAGTCGGGTGAATACGGCGGCAAATACAGCAACAAAACTCCAGCATCGTCGCACATCTGCTGAATACTCGCTGAGTGATGGATCGAGGCGTTGTCCATTACAAGTACCGAGTTTGGCTCGGGAAACCGGCCGCAACGTAGAAGCAACGCCTCAATAAATTCCTCAAAAGCCTCGCCATCGGTATGGCCTTGGAAAATTTGCGAAAATAGAACGCCATTTTGTGTATACGCTGGAAGCACCTGGTACCGCTGGCCACGGTGGAACTTAGCTGTCTGCGTGGGTGTCAACCCCAGAGGAGACCAGCCCGTACGTCGAAACCCGCATCGCCTGTCACAACCAGACTCGTCAATATAGACTAGATGGTAGGACCGAAAAGCCGAGAGCTTATAGAGATAGTAGTCACGCAACTCCGCATTCCGTTCTCGAGCGATGCGTCGCGCGGTTTTCTTCGTCCATCCAGCCCTCTTCAAAGCCCTACTGATTGTAGAGGTCGTCACCCAAGTATCAAACTCGTCGAACAGGAAAAGCGCTATTTCTTCCAGATACAGGTCCGGTTTCTCAATCAATCGTTCACATAATGCACTGAGCATGGGCGGGGTTACGGTTCTATGTCGGCCAGCGCCGTTCGGGGGGGCTCTCGTCGACCCGAAGCATTCTAGCTTTTGGCGGATGCGTCGAACGGCACGAGTGCTACACTTCGCGGTCCTGGCTATCTCGGCATTAGTAAAGTTTTCGCTTGCTAGCATGTCACGGATCAAGTTGTGCTGCGACTGCGCGAGAGTCGGCGCCATTGTTGATGATGAATGAGGGACTTTCTGTGGAGTTAGAGTCAAAGGGACACGTGGAGTCCTGTCATTTCGGTTAAAGATCGGCTTTACTCACGCTGAGGATCCTCTTCTCCAGCGTTTCAAGAGACACGTATGCAACCGCACACTATGGAGTCGCCGACGGCTGGTTGTTCGTTCGTCAAGTAGACTCACGAGCTGAGTGGCCGAGTCGAACGCTTACCATGGCTTATTGAGCCACTCGCTCCGTTTCTGCCAGATAATCCTAATGCGAAGGTAAGGAACGCCATTAAACGCTCGTCTTGAAGAGCTTCATGCTGAGTATTGTAGAAAATTCATCGAGGCGTTTCTCTGGTGCCAGGATACGCCGACATAACAGACTCCCTGCCGGCGTCATTTAACCAGATGACCACGGTTCCAGTCACCCTTTAGAAGCCAATCGACCATCGACCGACTTTCGAGCGAGAATGGATGCCATTTAATGATCATTCGGTTCGTTCTACGCATCGCGATATCAAGAAGAGCAATTAAAAAATGGTGTCATTCTGCAAGCCTTCAATGTTGAAGGCGAGCTGCCAAACATCGTAAGCCATTTGGCCTCGGGATGCGGCTAAAGACACCCAAGCACGTGATCTTCTTGCCATCTTCAACGAAATGGTTACTGTGTCTTTTCCCCTAGAACTAAGGGAGGGAAGCATTGAGAATGGGCAGATCGAGGCTTTATGGGCTTGCCTGAGAGTTGAAAGGTAGGTCTTCACGCTTCACGCTGTAATAATGTAGGTCCATTCCGACGCCTCCAAGTGGCCACGAGCTCGACAAGCAAAGATGACATCGAAGAGGCTTTTTGGGCAGATTGCTGATCCCGACGAGGCATACAGGAGAAGTATTGAGCGCGCCTGAAACTGCTTACTGCTTGGATAGAACGACAGCTCGGTTAGAACGATATCTCTATAACGCTGCGCCTAAATGGAAGACAGCCGCTTGTTGCTGATGCTGCGGACCCCCTGTCAGCCATTTTTTGCTTACGTCACGTTGATTGACTGTCATGATGACCACCTGTCAGCCATCTGTTCCGTAATCCATTTCGGGCTCCTACGTAGTATATGTAGCGTGGCCTTTGTCAAGGTACCCCAGCCCCCTGGTCATGTACCTTGAGCAATTTCAGGATCTAATGGTCCGTGCTTAACGAGAAGTTTATTCTTGTGAAAACGGACACCGGTTTTGCAAGCCTCTGTATCGTGCGCAAGTCTCGACCGATCCCTGTCCCTTGCAATTATCGTCACGTTCACATGGCGGAGAAAACTGTAAGCTGTTCGTTGGCTATCATGACCTCCCACTTCGCCGATTCGGATACTGGTCGGAAAACCGGGCTTGTGCAACTAAGACACAAGATGTTAAGCACCTCTATCTCCGTTACGACCAAGACTCGGCACCGCCTGCGCCAGCGTCGGTGGTAGAAAGATCGTCAGATGCCCTGCTTGGACAATCGACATATATAGCACGACAATCCCCTCAGTCACCCACTTCACGTTCTGCTTCACTACGGCCAAAGATTGAACGACGTACTCGGCGAATCCCCCCAAACCTCGACGACGATGCCATCTCGAATCCCAATATCAACTTTGCTGACGGACAACCTGGCCATGCAGACTGTCTCGGCCGAGGTTGGAGTTTGTTCTGAAGAAGCATCTAGACCACAAACCCCGCCACAGCGAGACATTTCGTTGTCAACAAACGGCTCATGCTATCAAACAGATGTCGAGCCGTGCTCCGGCACGACGAGCCATGCCACGGCGGCTCATCCATTACTATCATCCGCAGAGCTGACTTCCTTTGGGAAACTCACTTTGGAGGATAAGTTCTTGTTGCGAATGCTGCAACCGTCCGCAGTAACGCCTTCGAGTGTGGCTCTCCAGCAACAGATGTTCGATGGTTATGGCAGTCTAGGGCCCCCTGGCTACTCGCCTCAGATGTTAACCCCTTGTTGTTACAATGCATTCGTCAAGTAAGAGAGAGCCGCGTCCTGTCAGGTGTCAAGAAATCACTGCTAACGAGTTCAAGTTTTTTGTTCTTCAAATCCTTATGCGATCAGCAGCTCCTCGATATTTCCAGCTTCGGCAGCTATGACCCGGCATTTTCCTCCCCCACCTGCAACTCCTATTGCGGATGGCATCCTAATTACGCAAACGGGGTGCGTCAGCCATTGGAAGACGGCACTTCGAGTGGCTATTCCGTGGAGAGTTCGCTCCCCGAGACCTACCTTACTGGTGGGTGCCTGAGCAGTGGTGTTGCTGTCCAAGGTCCACCGGCCGAGCTGTCTCAAACGTGGACCCACGGCTTCGAGGCTCAGCCTGTCCTACCACAGGCTTTTGTGCTTGGAAACGGCGACAATTGGGATGTTGCTGGGGAGCAAAATGGGCTCATCACAGTTCCTGAGCCATTCCCTGCTGATCAGATGGCCCTATTGGGTTCTTGAGAGGCTTCCCCTTTCCCCTGCTCCAGTTTGATAGCACATGGACCAATACTGTACGATGTAGCGACCTTTGTTTGATCCCAGCAAAAGAGAGAAGCGAAAGCAGAGTCGTGTATGCATGAGCGCATAGAAATGAGAGAGTGTTCCCTTTTCAAGGCAGAGTCCGTCCGCCTGGAATTGTGTCTGGAGGACCTATCGCTCGGGCTGATAGCATGAATGTCAGCCACACAGTTGATCAATTATTCACTTCAAGGCTCAATCCAATGGAATATGGTGTTGTATATAATTACGTCGAGGACCCGTCTACCTATGCCTCGCGTGCAGCTGCGTCTTCGTCCTTGGTGCAAAGACTAGATTGCCCCAACATGATCGTGATCAAAGAACGACCGGCTGCCGTTCCATTCAAATCCACGCGGCGGACGAACTGGAAACAATTGAGAGGCGGCTCGCTCGCTTCGATGAAGTCTTCCCACTCTGCCGTCTCGTCTGCGTCGCTGATGGCGAATCCGTTGATGTGGTAAGCAGAAGCGCTGCTATTGATTTCTGCCCTGGCTGTTCTTGCTGGACACCCTGGTTGACGTCTCTTGTTGTAAAGCGCGACGCGCGCAGTCTGATGAACCCCGGTGGAAGATCGACCATGCTGGTCGCTGTTGGTCATGTGCGGTCGGATTTCATTCGCCTCTCCCTCGGAGGAAAGGGCGGGGGGCAATGTTCTGGCGGGACCAGGCATGGAGAGCGCTGTTTCGTGTCGCCGATCGCGAATGGCATGTTTCCCTCCTGACGGTATTGCAGAACATCGACGGCTTTCGGTGTGAGGCGACATGGAAGAAACCCATTCGCTAACGACGTCGAACGAAGTCAAAGACTGATGCGACATTTCGATTAGCCGATGGCCAGCCGGAGGTGAGACCTCTGTTTTCGATCGTACTGTATCACATTCGGATACTACATATCCTATCCCCAAGCCATAGCTGGTATTCCTGTTGAGCGCTCGCGACGAAGCCGTTGTTTGCTCGGTGGATCCCTGTACGCTCCAAAAGAGGCGCCTTAGACTGGGGTGTTTAATAGAAAGCTCTTTCTGGACGTTCACGTGCATTCCCCTGCCCAGCAGGAAGGGGCCATTTTGCTTGACCCAAGAGCGAGTGTTAGACAGCCATAACCCCGTATCCCTGAATGTTGTTTTGATGGGATCCAGCCATAAGGGTGTGAAATGCACGGAAACCGCGAGAGCTAGGACGCCACCTCAATCCACGGCCAATCAACGTGTATCATTTGCCTTTGTACAGTAAAAGAAGCCTGCTCTCTTGATTCGAGTTAAATGTTTGCAACTGCCTGTACTATACGTATCTGCGGTGCAAATCAACGTGTTGCGTCGTTTGGTCCACATCTGGTGGCCTCGCCCTTTTGTCCGTCGTCTGGTTTGGCCGCGCTACCTAGGACCTTCGCCCGCACTCGCAGGCTTGATCGTGCTCTGCCAGCAGGTGGCTATAGTTCGACATGTCCTCCTCTGCTTCCCACGTGGGACATGCGTAACCGTCCCACCTGACGGCGTATGAAACATTACCGCCGTCGTTTTCATAGCAGCCCACAATGGACTGAAGACATGACGCCCAAGCAGGATTGCTCGGCCGAGGCCGCTCGACACATTCTTGCCATACTTTGACGGAGTTTCCGTCGTCAAAAACCCATAGAAGTTGGCGATCAACTGGCCAATCCCACACGAGTGAATCAGGAACCTCTGCGACTACGCCGTAGAAGACGCGGCCATCACTCGCGAAGGTGCAGATGACTTTAGTTACATCAAGACGTGACGACCATGCCGCATCGACCGCCGTGCCCTTCTGCACTCTCATATTGGCTTATGGTTGTACGGTTTCTCAAGAGTACAGTCAAGGCCTCCTCGTGAGGATGAATGAACCTTTGGGAAGAGGGCTGATGACGGGAAAGAAGGGTTGTCAGCTCTCAGCAGGCAACCTGAGTTTATACCAATGCGTAAGCAGATTCGTCTACACTCATGGAACGCAGCCACTTTTCGATCCAATCATCGTTTGCTTGAACGCACAGATCTGCTCTTTCGTTGATAGACCGTTTGTTCTGGATCTCCAAACCAGTATCCGAGCAGTCGCTGCTGCGGCGGGATCTCGCCAATGCTGTAATGTGGTCACACAACTGAAAGAACATGGTCACCGTATCGCACGTAAGAACACAAAGACGCGTCGAAGATGAGCCTTTCGGTGATCACATGGGAAACCCGACTACGTTTTGCTACTATGATGCGCCCTCTGTTCTGCGCGTACAACTTTAAAGACGACAGGTATCTCACGCGCCGTCTTCAAGCCTCCTCGGTATTTCGGCAGAGCCTCTTAAGCAAGTTCTCCATCCCTTGAATAGCATGCTTATATTGAGACGAGATGCGCGCACTAAACACTGCTTCGTCACCGCCGTCAAACTCCGTACAAATGATAACGGGCCACTGATTCTTTGCAACCTCCTGCATAACTTCCTGCGCGAGAGCAGTCACAGCGCCGACTCGCGCGGTTGCCCTCATTACTACGTCTGATTCTGTCCACAGGTTTGTGCTTCTCATGTGTCTGTCTGACGTGTCTGGCGCTGTGGGATCAGCAACGGGCGTAGCGGTGTTGGTACTGGCTTCGTTACGTTAGCAGGTGCTGGTAACAATATAACAGTGGAATTGCCTACAGCTTTCAACGCGTGCCCTTTTTCGTGGATGCTGCTGTATGGAGGCTTGGATAGCCTTTTGTCGCTCATCAAGCTCTTCGTTGAGGAAAGAGCCCTCGAAGAGCCTTGCATCCCAGCCGCCCAAGCGGGGAGAGCTTTGATCGAAGGGAGATTCCATGTCTTTGAAACTATTGAGAAAAGTCTATGAAGTACAATAGACATGGTCTTAAACTTCGGTCACGAGTGCACAGCATTGCAATTTATACCTTTACGCAGCTGCGGAACCCTTGGTTTTGCCGTTTCAAGAATGCCATATGGGACGGTGGCCTCTGCAACGAGCAAAACGTCCGTCACTTGCCACCAGGGATGCATGTCCATGTTTCACGCAATCATCCTCCTTTAGTCACTCATACTCTGGCCGTTTTCGTGAATCTACGGGTCCTGCTGCGACTATTGTTGTAATCAAATGGGATTCGCTGCTGTGGACAATTCCTTTGCGATCCTTCTTTCTAATACGACGCAGCCAATTTCCACATGATGTAATCTCTACTCAAAGCGTCTTCATGAAAACATGCTCGCGATGATCGGCCCTGACATCCCGCCCTTAGTCGTGTTGAATCGCAACACGTTGAGGACCCCCGTTTTACTCAGACTGATCCCGTGCTTCAGCATCTCCGTAACCATACGCACGATGGACCTTGGCGAATCCTGCAGAAATCGCGTTGCCACCGGATCGCCGCTTCTCGATGCTGCCCAAAAGCAGTGCGAATACAACACGTGGAATATCCTCAACAGCTTGGGCTCTCGCGACAGGAGGCTGATCACACCCCAATCGTCTCGCGCATCCGCCAGCTGCCCCAGCTTCTCGAGGACGGTGCACAACACGTTTTCGTCCATTGTGGCACCACGCCGCAACAAGATCGACGCCATGACGGGGTCTCCGTGGCACGTGGAGAGTGTCCAAGAAAGGCTCGTTGCACCGTGCGAGTCGCGTTGATCAATGTTCAAGTGGCCCGAAGAGAGCAACACCTCGACCTCCCAACGACGCCTCGCGCGGATGAGCTTCAGCAAGAGAGGCCCCGTCCAGTTGCACCGCGCAGAGATGCAGACCGTCGCGTCCGGGTCGGCGCCCGACTTGATGAGGCGGTGGATGAGCCGTCGCTTTACTGCAGCCGTTCTCCCGTCTGTCTGCTTGGACCGAGCCAGCAGCGCCAACTCGAGCGGCTTCTGGTCGTAGATGCCGAGCGCGGGGTCGGCCCCCTCCACCAAGCCGTCCGACTCGCCGGTGGCGTCCGCTCCGGCTTCCAAAAGTGCGACGGCGGCAGAGAACATGCCGTCTTCGCACGCCATACTCAGGGGCGTCATGCGCCACGTGTCGATCGTCGTCGGCTGGTCCACGTCCACCCCGAATCGCGCCAGGTGAGTTATGACCGTCTCGGGCGACGGCGACAACAGCGAGTGGATCAGCGGCGTGTCCCCGTTGCTGTCGACCTGGTCCACCCCCAGTCCTTTCTCCTCGATCAGATAGGTGATGACTTCGGTCAGTCCCGCGGCGGCTGCTTGGTGGAGCGCGTTGATCCCAAACTCGGGAGACTCGAGTTGTGCGCTACGCCGAAGGAGGATCATGGAAGTTTCCGCATCCCGGCTGAGGAGAGATATGAAGACGGGGGTGCGCAGCCGGCAGTCCGGGACCCCGTCGATATCCGCACCGTGATCGAGGAGAAACGACACGATCTCAGGATAGCCTTTCGAAGCGGCCAGGTACAGGGCCGTGACGAGAAAAGGGCTGGGCTGTTGGGCTTCGGCCATGTACATGGTCGCCGGTTTGTTGTAGTCAGCGCCGGCTCGGTGAGTATTTTCAAGTGTGGCGAGGGCCACGCGCGTGTCTGTACAGTGGACAATGGTCTCGAAGACGGCGGAATACTGACCGCTCGTGACATCGTGCCTGTACAGCTTGGGATTGAAGAACGAATGCCAGGCGTGCGAGCATCGTGCGAATCGGGACTGGATATGGGGTCCGCTATGGTTGAAGATGTGCCACGCGACATCTAGGGGGATCGGCTTCATGGGGAAGAATTTCCGTGGCTACGGAGCGAGATGTTTTGGTCCATGTAACAAAAGAACACGGCGCGCTGGGAGGAGCAAAAGACGTTTGCCTAGTCAGGCTCGCTGGTTTCATGAGTACATAATGTATGAACCCAGCCTCTTCTCTACATCCAGTACGTCGAAAACGGATCAAACGTCCATTACAGACCTACAGTTGACGTTGTCGTCTACGATAGGAGTTGCACTTTTGCTGACCAGACCGTACTTGCTCTTGTTGACAGTGAGGCATTCCATGCATGCGTTGAGTGCACCGCGTACTGTATTCGCTAGGGTTCTAAGGTGTATCTGTAGACTAGACATGTCGATGTTGGCTTCCATGGTGCATGTGTATTCGAATGGTTTCTTTTGGCTCGGCTCGAAACTGACATGGGGTTTGGATGCAAGTGCCTGTCACTTTGCGGCCCCGCTTGAGATCAATTTTGGACGCTTAGCTTGGTCTACCTATCGCAAGTTTTCGTGAATGCCCCGCAGACAAGTAGAGTAAAGACCGAGTCTTCTCGGTTACCGTACTGTATGCAACAAGGATCTTGCTTTCTTCGCCACATCCTGTCCTCAAAACCCGTGTCTGCTTCTCACATTTTGGTTCCCGCAGTCGAGTTCCAAACTCGACGTCTTGTGCCGCAATCCTGTGCTAAGGGCCGCTTCTGGCTCCATAGGTGGTATCCTTAACTTTACAACAAGGATCCTGGTCGTTCCGCCACAAGCCCTATTTGCAAGATCCAATACCGGAAATCGACCTTTGGCACTGGTGCAATTACGCGCTGATGAAAGCCTACTATGGGTTTTAGAAGTACAGTAGACATCCCAGCCAGAAACAAGAAATTTGCCTGCACCAGCACATCGTCTGTCCGTCGGACCCACAACTAGCTCTTCCTAGGAGCCAGTTTCGGCTTTTGGAGAAGCCTTTCCAGCCAACCAGCGCCGAAATGTCGTCTGTCATTTGTCGTGAGCTCCGCATTCGATCCGAGGAGAAACCGCGGCGGATAGTAGACGGGGACAATGTCCGAAACTGTCGCTGCCAAAACGGGGGCACCCTTCTTGTTGAACCGAATTCCAACCCAGGGAGTATTCAGTAAACTGCCCATCCGTTGCATTTGTGGCAGTAGCAATGCTTTCTTGTGCTCGTCCACCAAGTCGAAAAGCAATAACCCTACCGTGGCATAGCTGAATGGTCGCTCTGGAGGCGATGTGGCGGTTCCCTTCCTAATCGGCCACGTCAGCGGCTGCGACCCATTCCATACCTTCTCCAGGAATCCGACCGCAGCCTCCTCGTTGTCATCGATGCAATGAGTCCAGGCCAAAGCTCTTGCTAGCGGAAGAAGTGCTTCTCCCAAGTTCCGAGCGGCAAAAATCGGCCACGACATGGTGAAGGCCGTTTCTACATCGGCTCTTGGTATGAAGCAGCGTCGAATTGCGAGCTCCAGTTGTTGATATAAATGCCCGACCTTGTAGGCGCGCACCCGGGCGCACATCGTAATTGAGATCCTTTCGACAATCACGCCACTGTGTCTCTTAAACACATCGTAAAAGGGCGGGAAGACTTCGACGGCAGTAGCGAGGGTCATGAAATCTTCGACACGTTCGAGAACCATCAGTAGAATATCGTAAGGAAGTTTCTTTATGGGTGCGTTGCGCTGATAAGTGACACGTCGTCTTATTTCTCCCAGCCGATTCGGGCGGCGGCTTAGGCAAGATCTTCTATAGAGCAGCATTTTGAAGGCGATCAATAGGAAAGGGATGGAGTTGGCGAGATAAGCGTAGAGGGTGAGAACGTATGTTGTAAGATTCAGAGTGGGCAAGGAGTTATATAGAAGAACCGCGGACGGGTGAGTTGGAAATGCGGTATCCTCGAGTCGGAGTTGGCCAGACGCTGCTCATGAGATTACGCTATGCCCGTTCTGCCGTCTCATGCCGCCTCAGGCAGAACGACCCCTCCCAGGCTTCGCCTCTGGGGGCCGGCAAACGACGGTGACTCCCACTTCCAGGCTCACGTCCAATAACAGTCCAGCAACAAACAGGCGGCACGTGATACAATTATGCGGAGTTTATCTAGCTGGCCTCTAGAGCAGCATTGCACGATGCTCGATGTTGATGCAGTCGGAACGTCAAATGCGCTTGGGTCCAGCGTCCGACCGCCTGACTCCATCGCGCCTCGCACCTCAGGGTGGTAGTCGGGGATGGGAGACAGGGACCATTGGAAGCTTAATCCTTTGAAAAGTCCATCATTTTGGGTCCACCGTCCAAAAACGCCCGCACTCGGGCAGGGGAAGACTCCGGCCCAGCGTCGCTGTTTCGAGCGAGCGAGCCCTCCAAGTACTGGCAAGCAGCATCATCGGGGCCGTCGTAACCGGCTGCTTTATAGTGCTTCCAGAGTAGGATGTCGTCCCGCCTAACTTATCGGTCTGCTCGATGACCATGGTGTCCAAGCCAAGATACTTGGCTATAGCGGCGGCTGCCAGAGCGGCTGCGCCGCTACCCACCACAAGAACCTTGACGGGATGATCGGTTCCGGGAGTCATCATCGCGTCTTGCCGTATATGTACCTGAGGCGGCCTCGCATACGGCTATAGGGCAGGAGACTAACGACAGAGCCACAGTTGTGTTCATGTGGCAAGAGTTAAGACACTCAGTTGCCGCAGTCGATGTTCGACTAGGGATAGCAAGACGGTGAGCTCTTTAATGTCCAGATGGTACAGTGTATCAGCGGTTGTGCTGTCCGACAGAGAGGTGGCCTTACTCACTCACTCACTGAGTTTATTACGCCCTGGCTAAGCCATAAAGGGCTCTAACGTCTATGTGTCTTACATGCTTCCCTTGTTGAGTTTTTACCCTAGTCTCAAAATAAGCCCCGTGTATGAAATCCACTTCCGTCTGCGTCATCTTTGATTACGCCTTCCGATGATTGCAATTTCTCGTGAGGTTAGTAGCAGGCCATCTTGGAGCACTTCCTCCAAGTGTTCAGGTCCCTATCTTCGGCGGCTGAAGCGAGCCCTGCTGTCGGTGGCACGAGGGTGCGTATGGGGTTAGTCGGTGGTTAATGTTAGTGATGTGATGTTATGCTGTTCCTGTCCTATGTTTGGTTGACCTGCATATCGAGTCGTCCCGTTGCCATGGCAAACTTCACTGTCTCTCTTACGACATCCATGCATGGTGACCAGTCGTCAGGGTCTGATGCGGCCTTTCCGCCTAAGTAAAATGACAGGTTACCTCTGTGCGTATCAGTCCGTTGGATCATCGGTGCGCGTTGTGCTGTCCATTGGGTGCACCGGAAGAGAAAATGCTCAACCGTCTCTGTTGCTTGTCCGCATGCACATTGATCCGAGGCGGCCGCCCTGATCTGGTGCAGGTACCAGTTGAGCCTTGCCATCCCCGTCCGCAGCTGGGCCAGTGTGCTGGCCTGCTTCCATGAAAATGAATCGTACAGTTGCCGTGTGTGCTTTCCTGGCAGAGCCGAGTCGACTCTCTTTGAGAACTTTCCGACCCACTCTGGTATTCCGGGGTTCGTCTCCTGTACCCTCTGTAACGCGTTCCTAAGCGTGGTTGAGAAAGCCCTGGCTGGCTTCTTCCTAGGTGTTTTCCCTTGTTGGGTACTCTCCTTTGCCGCTGCCTTGGCCTCCTTGACGAGCTTCGACTTTACCCCAGCCGGGAGCCAGAATAGTGACACTCTGTTGCCTCTGTTTTGTAGGACACTGATAGCCTCGTAGATACGACGGATCTCTTGCTGGCCTGATTGCTGTCGGGGTCTGCTTACTGCTAGCACGGCGGCTTTGCTGCTGGCAAACAAGTATATGACAAGGTGACGGATCCTCTCCGAGAGGGACTCTACTGCCGTCGCCATCGCCTGAAGCTCTGCCGTGAACGGGTTCTGCTCCGTCCTGAGACCGACTGTGCATGATTCCGTTGTCGTGAAGCCGCCTCCCGTGTGTGACTTAGGGAGATGCAGTGCTCTCCCGAAGCCCACGACTCCATTTCTTGCCGAACTAGCTGTCGCGATCTTTGCGGCCCAGCCTGTCTTAATCGCTGCGCTTGCCTTGTCTCCATCGTCTTCAACCACCGTCTGCACTCGGTTCTCCCATGGTGACAGCGAAAACGCGTTGATGGTCTCCAGTCTGTCCAGGGACAAGTCACGGTAGGCCGCGGCCATCGTCTGGAAAGGCGAGATGTGCCTCTTGAAGGTATTGACTCTGATATGTCGCAGCGGATGATTGTTCGGTAATGTCCGGAGACGCACCCAGAATTTGATCGCTTTCCTTTCGAATCGTTCCTGGGCTGACTGTATGCTTGCTTCTGCTTCGGCAACCGCTGTAGCCACCGAGTTGAAGGTTCCCACAACTGCTTGAGCCCCGATCCTCTGCACCCTGTTGATGACCTTCATCTGGGCTGCGTTACACGTGTGTTTCCAGACGGTCGATGCGTAGTCCATCGTGGGGGCCACCGCCGCCACGAAGAGCTGTCTCGCCGTTGACGGTGACAAGCCCTTGAGTCGTCTGAGCTCCAGCACGGCTTCGAGGCCCTTCGATGCCGCTTCTGCCACGTGTTGCTTGAAGCGGAGCTTGGTGTCCATGATCACGCCTAGAATCTTTACCTGGTCTTTGGGCCGGACGATGTCCCCCTTGATACTGAAAGGGGACCAGTCCTCTGGCTGGCGCCAGTTCCGTGTAAAGTGTATAATGGCTGTCTTGTCTGTCTCGAAGGTCGCTCCGCTTCGTCGCTCCCAGTCGAGGGCTCGGTCGATGATGGCCTGGACCCCCTGTCGGTTCGCCTCTCGTGATGGTCCGGTGACCCATGCCGTATAGTCGTCTACGAATGCTAGTGCACCTCCATTTTCGTTGATTTGGTGCTGGACCAAGTCGGCGTTGAAGAACAGAAACAGAACAGGGGACAGCGGCGAACCCTGAGGTAGGCCCGCTTGGGGCAGAGAGCGAACCTCCGAGTCCTGGCCGTTGACCTGAATGCTTGCTGTCCGTTGCGAACAGAACGCATCCACCCACGCCACCAGCTTTTCCGGGATTCCCCTCGCCCTGAGCCTCTGAAGTAGTCTTTCTTTATACACTCCGTTGTACGCGCCTTTGACGTCGAAACTGACCAGACTGAGGATTTTCCTCCTCCTCCATGCTCTGTAGATGTAGTCCTGAAGCAGAACCAGCGCCTGCTCTGCCGATCGCTGCTTCCGAGCCCCGAAGTGACTCGTGGGCAGGAGCCCGTATGTTTCGACAGCATGCGATATCCTCTCGGCTATCACCGATTCCAGCACTTTCCCCAGCGTCGACAACAGCGAGATCGGTCGCCAGGCCTTCGCGATGGTGTAGTCGTTCTTGTTCGGTTTCTTCAGCGGGATGATCTTCGCATGTCTCCATTGCCTAGGCAGTTCTCCCTCGTTCATCGAAGCTCGGAACAGAGCGAGAACCCGATGCTTCACTGCGGGCCACGTCTGCTTCCACACGGCTACTGGCAACCCGTCCTCTCCGGGCGCCTTCCACGATTTCGCTGCAAACAGCTGTCTCTCCACCTCTTCCAACGTGATCTCGGGGAAGGGTACAGGCGACCGCTGTGGACGCTGCCCCTCGTCTTCGATGTTGTTCGGGAGCGGAGGGAAGAAGGTAGATAGTAGTTCTTCTGCCTGTTCTCCGTTTTCTTCCGTCTTTGAGCCGTCCGCCCTAGTAAGCTGAGGAATTTTGTCAAAAGAGGCGCCTTTGTCGGCGCATAGATACTTGGCTGCCTTCCAGATGTTCGTATCGTTGGCCAGAAACTCGTGCCAGTGCTTCTTCTTTTGTTGTCGGATGGCGTCGTGATACTGCTTCGCCGCGGCTTGGGCTCGCTCCTCCAGATCCGGTGGGCAGTGGCCAGCCCGTCTCTCTGCCCTCGCCCGGTTCCTCCAGACTGTGTGGATCCGACGGAGCTGAGTGAGGTCCTCCGTCCACCACCTCTTCGCATACCTAGACGGCTTGGCTGTGGGCGTCAGGGCCTCAACCGCTTCCGATACTACCGACATGAGCCGGTCCGTCTGTTGCTGCACAGTGCCTCCCATAGGGATGCATTGCATTGCTGTCTCAATCCTGGCATTGATCGCCTTCCATGGGGCGTTCTTGAACAAAAGTCGAGGCTTGCCGTCCACGCCCGGAGTCGCAATCTCGAACATAGTCTCAATCGCCCGATGGTCCGATCCGTGGTCTGTCCCGTGCACAATACATCTTATCATCATCCGTGTCAGCTCCTCCGACGCGATGGCCAGGTCAATCGTTGTTGCTGCGTCGTTCTTCTGCCACGTCTTCGTCCCCCTCGGCAAGAGGCTACAGAGGGAGAGGTCACTCATCAAGTCGATGATCGGGTCTGCCTCTCCCTGCCTGCTCGCCGAGATGTCGTC